GATCTAAACTCAAGAGGGAAGAAGCCAGGATTTTTCTGGGGAAAGACCCAAATGAGATTTTAACCCAGAACCACTTTTAATGTAAGGAGGCTTGCCACCAACTTGTCCAAGGCTGCTAATCAAAAGTTAGTTTGAGAGGCACCGGTTGGAAATGAGTGGATAGACTTTGACACACAAGGCAGGATCTCAAACTATCTAGTGAATGTGAGCCCCTTGTCCTGGGGAGGAACACTTTGAGTTTATAACTTTCACACTCATGCATAATTGTAGTATTGTTGTTATGGATATTGACAGTTCTGTTACAGGCAATTTATCCAGTTATTGAAATAGAAAAATCCTTCAGGCATCTGTATAGTGTAAGTGTGAGACTCTTCACTGCTCACGCAAATTTCAAATAAAACCTAGCCTGGTTCTTAGAGATATCACGTGGATCAAAATGAGGTGACTGAAACAGAAGTCAGACAACATGACTGAGTGAGCACTAGCAAAAGTCTTGAGCTACAAAATGGCTGCAAATTGCTAGTGTAGAGAAAAAAACAGTACAAAATATAACTGGTTTAGGCCACAGTGAATCATTGGACCGTTTATTCCCTGTCTGGGTCAAGAGAGACAAAGAAAGAGAGAAAGTTGACTTCCAAAGTGCTGTGATAAGGTTTCTTTTTCCATCTCCTTGTCTGTTTCTGTCACTGCTGCCGACAGCCACTTTAGGTCACTGTGAGGCTAACACTCTATCTACCTGTGTTTTAGCACATCACACGCTGCTCTGCTTCACACACACACACACACACACACACACACACACACACACACACACACACACACACACACACACACACACACACACACACACACACACACACATCCGACTCCAATAGCTGAGGCAGATCAAGGTCTCCTACAGGAAGCAGGGATTTGTTTATATGGATTGAGTGACCTGGCAAAGGTTGTCAATAGATGAGGGAAGACAGGAGAGGGGGTGGGGGTACTGGAAAGGCTGGAAATAATAGTTAAATAATAGATCCCACAGATAAATTATTGAGGGATTACATTGATGCTTTCATACAGGGGAGCTCAGTTTATGTTCTGGGTTCATTCATGAAAAAGGTGGATGAGGAAAACATAAAAGGAGAAAGGGGATGTTGTTGCTATGTCAGGTTTCAGCTACATTACACCCTCCACCAGTATACACTCAGAGACATAGACACTGGTTTGCTGACCACAGTTATATTCTCCATTATTGCATCTTAGCTTTACATTGAAGTGCTTTGACTCTTCCAAATAACACTAGGATCTTTTTTTTAATCCTCTAAATACTTACATTCAATTTGTCCTAGATTGCTTGTAACTGGAAGTCAAACTAAACCAGACAAACAGGGAGGAGAAGGTACAAAATACAAAAGGGAACACTGAAAACTAATTACAAGAAAAAACCCTGAAAACACAAGGAGAGTAGGATCATAGATCAAACTGAAAACACACATAAGTAAAACACAGGGGAACTTTACACCAAAAATGGAACAGAAAATGCAAAATAAGGAAAAAACAATACCACAAGAATAAATTATGACAGCCTTTAATAATCTATTTTGGTGATTTGATTTGTCCAATTTCAAGAAAAATATATGTAAAATGTGCTTTTATCAGCCTGTCCAAACAGTCAAATGTCTTTTTTTTGACTGCTTCTATAACATTAGAGTTTCAGCTTTTAGTCTACTTGAATCCTTTTTCCTGATCTGTTGCTATCTTCATTACCGACCTTTTTCTGGTTCAAGTTTCATAATTATGAGCCAAATTTTTAATCAGATGCATGTTTCTGATTAAAACTCCAGGCTGCAATTAACAGTGATCTTTCTTCATGGCCTACGACAATCAAAAAAAAGATTTATTGTTTCTGGAGAGTAATTTTTAAGGTCTAAAGCCACTGGCAATGGGTAGAAGTTAGACCAGCTGCTGACAGAAAAGTTGGTTATAATTGAAAGGGTATATAAGTCACATGTTTCTCGCTGCTCACACAGAAACTGGACATTGTACACAGGCAGACAGTTCCAAATACACACACACAAACACACACACACACACAGTTTGCTTTTGGGAGTATCCTATGATGCCAAGTCCTCTTGAGCTGACAGGTGACAGAACAGGCTACATCAACAGAGGTCCTCTCACACACACACACACACACACACACACACACACACACACACACACACACACACACACACACACACACACACACACACACACACACCCTGCTGCTGTACAGTAGACAGCTCTAGACATGCCAAGGCTGGACATGCCCAAAAGGCAGAGCCTGTTCCCTGTCACCTATCAGCTGGTGGCAGACAGTGGGGTGTGCATTTGTGTGTGTATGTAGGGGAGGAGGTCCCCCCCCCCCCCCCTTCTCTTCTTTTTTTTTTTTTTACGTTTTCTCACGCTCTAATTATATCTTGCATCTGGAAATATTCATGACTCCTGCATTAGGTATTCAGAACATTAAATATCTGCGTCACCTATAAAATATGAAGTAATTTCTTGATCTCATGCCTATCATGCTAATAGCCATCATACATTAAATGTTCTACACTGCACAGATATTTATACAATAGAATATCTAAACATAGACGTGCCTCAAGTGTGGTGCACAACAGAAAATACAGAATGAAAAGCCTTTATGTGTTTTTTTTTTTTTTTTTATGTGACTTGTTGGGATGGTGAATCAGAAAATATCTATGCGGGTTACACATGCAGAGTTCCTAGTTCCACAATGGTCCAGTAGTGGATTAATAGACCTGGTAGAAGAATAGAAAAGACATGAGGAGGCAGCATCCTGTCCAGGACTGCTGGCACGGAAGCCAGGGGAGGGGCCAAGACAGCATGGCACACATCAACCCCAGACCCCCTCCTCCTTCCCCTTTCCCCATGGGCTGTGACAGGCGGCACAGGAACCCCTCGGCCCAGCAAGGAGTGGACAGCCATCTGACAACTCCCCACCTGCATGACCTTTACCATGCTTGACCCCCTACAGGAGACAATCACCTCACAGCAAACAGCCCCACAGGAGATGTAGATACACAGCACAGCCAGGAAGAAACACAAATAGGCAGACATTCCTGATGCACACACATATTGACAAAAATTGAGATGGGGGTAGTTAGAATAATAAATACAATAATAAAATATAAATATATGCTTTTGATGAGTCATTCAAAACTGACCAGTACCTTTCAATAAACAACAGGTCTGTAGCTTTAATCACATCACAACATTTGGATTTGGACATTGTTTATTCAATCATTTATTTCACAGGGTCTAATATATTTGCTGAGGTTTTGATTGAACCATCTGATTCAAGTCTAAACTAACCACAGGGTAGAGTGAGCAGGGCTAACTGAACAAATATGATAGATTTTTTTAGGTCACAAATATCAGGTGGTTATATTTTATGGCATATTTTTATGGAGATATCATGACAATTGATTGGGTGACCCTTTCTCCAGTGTGTTGAATTCCAATTATAAAGTACATTATGCATCATTCTGAGAGTTGAAAACAAAAGTTCAAAGTCCTTCAGATGTGTAACCTTTTTTGTCATTTTGTCATATTATCTGTTAATGGGGATATTGTTATATGATCACTTGCTCCAGCAAAGCTTAATAAATATTATTAAACATAGAGTACAGCAATGCTCCATGGAACAATGTGTTTGATTTCATAAGTTATCTGAAAATATCATTATAAATTATTTTCATATGATGCTTATATAAAAATGAAGTAGGTCTTCATGATCATAATTACTGTTTTTTTTTAAATCAGAAGTGTTGGAAGCTGTTAAAGTGAAAACTCTTTGCAGCTAAATGCAGACAAAACGGAAACACTGGTTATTGCCCCTGATGACTCAGTTTCAGGGATTAAACAGTACTTTGGTGACCTGGGTGTCATCTTTGACAAAGACATATCCTTGGTGCAACACTGTAAACAGTTGATGATAAACTGCTTCTTTCAATTGAGGAGAATCTCTAAGCTTAGGAAAATGGTGTCACAAAATGACTTGGAGCTCATCATTCATGCCTTTGTGTCGTCACGTTTAGACTACTGTAATAGTTTGTTTTCATGTCTGAACAAAAAGAAGCTGTCTCGTCTTCAGTTAGTGCATAACTCTGCAGCTAGAATTCTAACCCGCGCTAATAGGAGGACTCACATATCCCCTATTCTTAAAGCTCTACATTGGCTGCCTGTGTCCTCTAGGATCATTTTTATAATTCTTGTCCTAACATTTAGCGCCTTGCATGGTCAGGCTCCATCTTACATTTGTGATCTGATCCAGCCTTACATCCCCCCTCAGGCTCTGAGGTCCGTGGATCAGCACTCGTTTTTTGGACCAGAGGAGACCGATCTTTCCAGGCTGTTGCTCCCAGGCTTTGGAATGATCTTCCTCTCTCAATGCATTTAATTGACTGATGACTCCTTTAAAAGCAAACTCAAAACTTATTTATTTGCTCAGGCTATTGTTTAATTGTTTTGGGGCTGCTATCACTGTTAAATGTTGTTGTCTTGGCCTTTTAATTTGTATGTACATTTTTATTTTTGTCTCTGTGAAGCACTTTGTGACTTTTTTGTCTGTGAAAAGTACTATAATACAAATAAAGTTTACTTAATTACTTAAAGTGGTGGCAGTATTGCTGCACTTGTATTTGTTTTAAGTAGGTTTTATGCCATATATAATATAAGAGATAAAAACATGAAAAACATCAACAATGCGGAGCAGAAACCCCTACTATAAAAAGTAAGTTGGAGGCTAAGTTTAAACCTCCTTAGGAATACATTGACTGATATTTTACATTTATAAAGAACGTGTTTCACTACTAAAAATGTTGAGAACATTAATTATCGCTTCAAATGTCAGATTATTGACTATACAGTTGTTGTAGCAGAAGAAATTAGGATAAGAAATTAAAGCTAAAACACCAGAGCGGAATATAGCTGTTGACGTCATCAACATGCGACAGTTGAGCTGTCACTGCTGAACACAATCACAACGTTGGAGCTGTGGAAGGAGCGGGAAAGTAAGTGTAAATGTTTAACTTATCCACGCTTAAAGTGTTTATTTTATCGAAATGTTAAGATTGTAGATATACTCCAGATTTAATTTCTAAATGAATCTTAAAGTGGATTACACATGTAAAGGACGATTAGAAGTACAAACTGTGATCAAGTACTTATTTAACTTTTGCACAGCTTTCTCTCTGACTTTTTACTTACGGTTTATTGTCATAACATTTGTCTCATTATTAGGTCCCCTTCTTTGGATAAACTGCTCTTCCTCTTCAGAGAACATCGATCTTTCAGTCCGGTTCAGCCGATGATGAATCCTGTAATAAGACGGAGACTTCCTCCGTCTGTGAGGAGTCTCCTGACTGACATCGGTCCTAAAGAGGAGTGGACAGACACTGAGACCGACGACACGGTGAACAGAGACGGGATCCTGCTCCCGTCCAGAGGAGATGCTTCAGGACAGGAGTTCCTCACCCCAGCACAGACACAACAGGAAAAAGCAGCAGAGGATGAGAGCAGAGTAAACAGAGCAGCCTGTATGTTGTGTAAATGTAAGCCCTCTTGTTACACCTGCCCTCGATGTAACCTGCATTACTGCAGTTTGGCTTGTTACCGAAGCCCAGAGCACACCACATGCTCTGAGGAGTTTTACAAGGAGTCTGTTTTACAGGAGCTGAAGGATATGGGCAAAACAGAGAGTGAGGGGAGAAAGAAAATGCAGGAGGTTCTTTTAGGACTCAGACAAAAGGCGGAGAGTACACATGGAGGGATGGAAACTCTGTTAAAAGAAGCTGGCGTCCTCTCAGCGGACTCAGATGAAAGGGAAAGAGAGGAAACAGAGAAGGTGCAGGTGTTAGAACTCCTGTCCCGCTTAGCGGAGCTCCAACAGTCTGAGGATGAAAATGAAACAGAGATTGAGGCGATTTTAATGAAACTTGAGCAAATTGGAGGAGAGGATCTGTCATCTGTGGATGTAGACCAGGATCCTGAAGGTACAGAGGGGGTGGACTTGGCTGATAGGCTTGCGGGACTTGATATTGATAAACTATCTGAGGAGGCGCTTTGGGAACTTCTCAGCACTAAAGAAAAAGAGACATTTCTTGGACTAATGAAGGATGGAGCCCTCGGAAAACTTGTTCCCCTGTGGAAACCTTGGTGGGAAGAGCATGAGGAGGGTGGGAGATCCCTGGTGGAGGTGCTTGGAGAAGAAGTCGGCAAAGAGGGTAAAGAGCACGCACCAGCTGTGGATCAAAAATCCCAAGAAGAGGTTCAGAATCAGGGTAAAACTGCGACAAAATTGAGAGGAGAAAAGAAAAAGAAAACAAGCAAAAGTAAGGCAAGTTCAACAGCTGCCAGCATCCCTCTGATATCTGCCAAAATACCAAAGCTGAGCTCCTTGTGTGCAAACCCGTCACCCCTGGTTTGCTACGGTTTGATCAATTCCCTCTTTTGCTACACCTTCACCCTGTGCCTGTTCAACAATGACACTGAATCACTGATGTTTGAGTTCTGTGACATGATTCTCGCTCTTTCTGAGGCACTAAACTCAATCAGGGTGTTCAACTCCATCCAAGAAGCATTGGACTGTGGAGAAACTCTCATTTTGAGTGGTGGTTACCTGGACAAGGAGGATCCTCTCGCCCCAGCCAGGGCAGTGGAAGCTGTGGCCCACATAATGACGGGCAAAAACAGGAAAGATGCTTCAGGATATTGCCTGGCAGCCTTGAGTCAGCTTCGCTCAGTACTCTCACGGGCCAGAACTGCCCTATCTAAAGAGGGAGACAATGGGGCAAAGAGGCAGAAGTACTTCCTAGCAGCAAAGAAATGTGAGTTCTTTCAAGCCTGGGTGTTGGATAATGAGCACAGGATTCGTACACTAGCTATCGAGTTGTGGAATGAACACAGTAGAAGAGAGAGTGTGAGGAGCAGCATGGAGAAAGCAAAGGCTGCAGTTGAAGAGAACTTAAAGGAAGAGAAGAGCAAAGGAGATAGAGGCTTAATTGAGGAATTGAGCTGATTCATTTTTTTGTATCAACTGTTTCAAAAGTTCATGATGTAATAAATCTTTGTATTATTACCTGAATTCTCTTCTTTGACTGTCAAATTTAACAAATAAAAGGTGATCATTGTCCTCTTCTTACTTTACTACACAACACGGTGTGCTGTTTACCCAAACAATAAACTGTTAGTGTAATATTCTTAAATGGGCATCACTTGTTCAAGAATTTCTTGAATTACCTGTTGGAGTCATGTAAATTTGTGAAGACTAAAACCTGTGATAAAAATGTTGATGTAGGAGCCAGAATTTACATTTTTTTTGTTCAGTATTTAATGATGAAAGTTAAAAATTTGCCACTGATGAGGATATTAGTAGTCATTACGCATGAAGACACAAATTTAATTAAGGCCTCAGTTTTGTAAGTGCTAAAAAGTCTTCTTTACTGATGATTATTTGTTACACTGATGTAATCTTATTAGTTTTTTTTTTTTTACATAAACATGTTTATTTTATATGAATGAATTTTAAATATCTATTTCAAATCAGTGTTCATCGGGTAAGCTGTATTGCATGAGCAAAGATAATACATTTGAAAGCATGTAGGGGAGAGTGGGGATATGTTATCAACTTACCCTGCTCCTATGGTCAACTTACCTCATACACGGGGTTGGTTGACCATAGGAGACCACTTTTTTGGCATGCTATTTTATCAAGACAGTTATGTTTAAACTCATTTTGTTTGCAGGGATGCACAACAAAAAACTATGATTGCCTTGATGTAGTGATCAGAAATATGAAAAACGGCTTATTTTACCCCACTCTCCCCTACACTTTTCATTAGTCGCTTGAAATCTGTCGGTACTCTCGCGGTACTTCCTTTCTTTGGCTGATCACGTGGTGCGGATGCCCTTCCACAGTGCGACAGTAAACATGGCTGCGCTCTTGAGATCAGCCCGGTTACTTAAGTTTTCGCCTTCGGGCTTGCTTCATATCACGGGTTTAAAGAGAACCGGGCCGTCAGTCGGTCGCCTGTACAGCGGGGTTGTCGGCGGCAATAAGTCCGGAGTTTGTTCCCGTCAGATCAGCAGAGCTTCGGAAAATGCGTCCAGGTATCGTGCCTGTTAGCTGGTGTAGCTGTGGTCCACGCGTGAGCATGGAGCCGAGATGTCATTGAGGGTCCTTGATAACTCAACACAAACCTATATTTAAACATGACGTTCACCTTTTAATTTATCGCGTATAAGTACATGTAGCTATGACAATATGTTAAAATGGCTCGAGTTTACATAAGGTTTTGATCAATGTTGAGTAATCAAGTCACAATCTGAAGCAAAATCTCACTACTGGGCCACAAACAACTGATAACAGATCATTATAATGTTAATAGTCAGTGCAATCTATGTTTGTTGGTCGATTCAGTGCTAGCTTTAAGCTAAAGGGCCCGTCATTGGAGAGCAGCCATCAAAGTGATCAATCAGGAGGCGATTTGATTGATCTTGATTTTCATCAATCAGAGTGTTTACTGTCACAGTGCAGTGAATGATGCAGACAGCATGTGATTCTGTGCTGGACCTGATTTTCTCAAGGTCATGGCCCACACATGTCTGGCAGAGCATCCTTAGATTTCTCTGCTGTACTTCTTTATTGTGTGTTTAGCTGTCCAATCTGCTGCTCTAGTGGTCAGATTGGACAGTTTAAGACTTGTAATGTAGCATGTATAACCACTGCAGAATTTCTATAACCTGCTAACCTCTCCTCCTGCTGAGTTCTCCAGGTTTTTGGCTCTCTGTCCCACACCTTTGACCCTTATTTACCATTCTCTGCTCCCTGTAACTGTAACTGTCTTATCCTCTACAGTCGTCAGTGGCCGTACACAGTTGGGTTTGTGCGTAACTATGCTACGGCCGAGGAGCAAAAGAATGATGTTGGGCTTGTGATACGGACCAAGCAGATGCAGAAGTTCGACTGGGCCCTTACCAAGCTGGACAGCTCTGTGAGGAGAACTGGTCGCATCACCAAGACATTGCTAAACCGCATCTTCCATGACATTTGCAGGACAGGTGGGAAGGCAGGGAACTGAAATATGTACAGTCACGCTATACCTTAAAGGGATATTCCGGTGAAAATTTAATTTAGAGTCAAACACCATAACACAGAGTCAGACACCCCCCTTAGAGGTGAATGTTGCCGACCGCTTGCTTCTCTAGTTATACCAACTTTAGTAACAACCGCACGATAGCAATACACAGTGGTCTATGGAACCACACACAAACCTCAACCAAAAAGCCACTCTATAGCCACAAATAATGCTCAGAACAGCTCCTAACTTCATCAATAGTACATAAAGGGTCCAAGCCATAGCATTAGCCACCAAACATCTTTTTAACTTTGCCTGATTTCTTTAGCAAAGAGACTAAACACAACTCACCCACTCTCCTCCAGCAGCCGCTTGTTTGTAGCTAGACCTCGGGCCAGTCCATTACGGATGACAGCGGGGTGATGCAGCTCAAGGAAGAACATTTATAATCATTTCTTTGTCATTTCCTTGAAGTAATAATCTCCATATTAATCATTTTGCACTGCAGACGCGGTAATTCTTCTGCCTTGGCATCTCTGATTGCATTTCCATGAAGAAATTATGATAAATGTTCTTCATGGAGCTGCATCACCCCACAGCAGTCCGTTATTGACTGGCCTGAGGTCTAGCTCAAGGTCAAGCGGCTGCTGGAAGAGAGTAAGTGAGTTGTGTTTAGTCTCTTTGCTAAAGAAATCAGGCAAAGCTAAAAAGATTTTTGGTGGCTAGTGCTATGGCTGGGACCCTATATGTTCTGTTGATGCAGTTAGGTGCTGTTCTGAGCATTATTTGTGGCTATAGAGTGGCATTTTGGTTGAGGTTTGTGTGTGGCTCCTCAGACCACAGTGTATCGCTATCCTTGGGTCGTTGCTAAAGTTGGTATAACTAGAGAAGCAAGTGGTCGGCAATATTCATCTCTCAAGGGGGTGTCTAACTCGGTGTTACGGTGTGTTTTGACCCTGAATTAATTTTACGCCGGAATATCTCTTTAAGAAATTTTTCTTATATCTGAAAGATGCATTTGATGGTGCTGTTTTTTTGGCTTGCTCCCCAACACAAAGGCAAAACTGACCAGTAGATAACACACTTAAAATTGACAGGTACCCTGTGCAACCACACTTACAGTATAAAGAAACAAAACAAACAAAAAAGAAGCACAAACATGCAAATGTGCAAACAAAGACAAACATTAGTTAAGTTTGGTACAAAATCACAACTAACGGGTAAATTCACATGTATAAAACTTCAGAGCTTGGGATCAAAATGTGAATACTTAAGAAAGTACTGCAACTGGTAAAATTACTATGACAGAAAAGAGGCAACTGGCCTCGTATCATGAACTTCGGTGACATATAACATGCAGTGTATGGAAATGAATGAAGCATAATGTTATTTGTCATTAGACTAACTGGCTCTTACTTTTATCAGTTCTTTCTTTTTTGTCTTCACTCTTTTCCTTACCTTCTGTTCTTGTGTGTTTGTAGGCTATCCCAGTGGTAACCATGCCTTGTTACTGCTGCGCAGCTGTGGCTCTCTGCTGCCAGAGATTCCTCTTCAGGAGCGCAATGATTTTGCACACCGTATTTGGGAGAAGTTGCAGGAGATGGGTAAGAGGCTTTGTAAACAGCTAAAGCTGAGCCGTCTAACTTCTGAAACAATATAACTTGCTGTTTTGTGTAGTAAACTTGAGAACATTTGATCAGACTTTCATTTTTTCATGAATAAGTTCATATTGTAAAATTAGAACTGAGGCTACCCAGCAGCTTGCTATGAACTTGGCAGTTTTTCTTGATTGCATGCCGCAGTGTTGCTGAAGTAATAGGTTTGCACATCATCCTTCACAGGTGCTCAGTATGATGTCAGTCACTACAACGCTTTGCTGAAGGTTTACCTGCAGAATGACTTCAAGTTCTCTCCCACTGACTTCTTGGCCAAGATGGAAGAAGCTCACATCCAACCCAACAGAGTGAGTGCTTTAGTGCTGGGTACAGAAGAGCACCTTGGTGTGAAACAAAATGTCTTTGGAAAGGCACTGTGTAGTGTTGTCAGTAATAAGAATCTGTTCTTCACATCCACACTTGCACACTTGAGTTGCATTATTGCAGCCCGTTTCAACATCTTATGAGTGTTTTTATTTTTTAATTTTATTTTTATCAGGGAGAAACATTCAAAATGTGTCCAATCACAATTAAACATTTGTGGCAAAGCAAACAAACATGCCCAATTAGACTAACATATTTTCTGGTCTATTACACTCCCTTTCATTTTATAATATGTAAAGTAAACATTTGAACAATGGATGTCACATTTCCTCATTTTCCACAAGATCTACTAATATCATTTTTCAGTTGTCCAAGTAGTTTAATAGTCTGGTACTTCAAGCCATGTATCAGAGGTATTTAGAGCAGTTCAGGTCTCCGTGCTCTTATATAACTGATCCATTTCGACCAACGTCTCTTTCATGAACAGTTCCTTGCCAGTCTTCCAGTGTTGTGTTCACTTCCTTGTTCTAGTCTTCTTTGCCCCAATCAGTAATTTCTTCATTAGATATTTTCTGCTATCACTTGAGTACGCAATGCCATGGTACCGAAATACGTTAAACTGACACCAAATTGTATAATAATTTGAAATATGTATTCCAGACAATCATGAATATCATGCCAATAAGACAAAAGATTCGGGCAATCCTAAAATAAATGATAATGGTTTACTAAATCTGAACCACACATCCTCCAACAACTTGCTCCACTGCCTTGATGTTTCCTCTGAGCCAATGTTATAAAAAATCTCATGACGTTTTTCCATCCAAATCACCGCCACCCATGTGAATTTGTGGTTTTCCACTGTAATTTACAGATATCTTCCCATTCTTCCTCAGATATGACCAAATCTCCCTCCTTTTCCCATCTACATTTAACATGAAGGGTGGTAGAATTCGAGGAGTCTTGAAAACTTTTATATAACCTAGATATTAATTTCTTTCCACTACATCCCTATGAGTTTAATGGCTTTGAGACGTATTTGTTTGTCTTTTTGTTTTTGCATAGGTTACTTACCAGAGACTAATTGCAGCCTACTGCCAAGATGGAAACATTGAGGGTGCCAGGTGAGCACACTTCCTTCTCTCGCTAGAAGCCAACAGAGTTATCTCTCTGATGAGTAACTCTGCTGCTTGACAGCCAATTTCTAAAAAAGCACTGTCCTTACACCTGAGCTTATTGGATGTATCACATGCTTATACATATTTTATGGCATGAATTGGTTGATTTATTCTTTCAACCCTGTTGATTACATCTTCAGTACCAACTATCAGTCAAATATTTTGCCTTTGGATTGACCCGTTTTTATCTCGCCTCTGTTTTCTTAGCACTATATTGGGTTTCATGAAGAGCAAAGATTTGCCCATCACTGATGCTGTTTTTAACTCTTTGGTGACCGGCCATGCTCGTGCAGGGTGAGTCTCGCTTCATGGGTTCCAACAGTGTAATGTATCATATGGATTTTGAAAAAAAATGTTTGAACAGAGATAATTAATTTTTAAACCACCTGTTATTTTCAGGGACATTGAGAGTGCAAAGAATATCCTGCCTGTGATGAAGGGAGCAGGTATCGAACCAGGTCCTGACACCTATATTGCCCTGATGAATGCCTATGCTGAAAAAGGAGACATGGAGAGCCTGAAACTGGTGTGTTCTTATTCACTGAGTAATTTTCCTCATTTTGTGCCTTAGACACTAACTACATCTTCATCCTTTTACTTATGTGTCTTTCTCTCTCCTCCTATTCCTGTTAGACAATGAAAGAAGCAGAAACTGCAGAGTGCAGTCTGATGGACAGGGACATCATGCAGGTCATCTTCACTTTGGCCAAGGCTGGACAAGAGCAGCACATCCAAGAAATGACTGAGCACTTGAGGCATGAGAGGGGTTATGTTCCAGGTAAACATCTCCTCATACCTCATCTATGCCTTTGCCCTTGTAATCGCCATCAGCTGTGGTCATGCAATTACAAAATGTGGGACGTAGGACTCAAAGAAAAGAAAAACAACTTGGTGTACAACAGTAAATGTGATTTTGTGCCATATCACCAGGCCTCATTGGCATATTTTGCATCCAGAGCAACATAACATGTTATAAACTGCAGTACGTGAATTGATCTTCAGATCATGTTTGCTATGTTTGTTTTCCTTAAAAGAGAGAAAAGGCCTAGAAATACACTTTTGACATATAATTTGCTTCTCATACCCAAAGTGTTTGTAATTACATCGACAATGTTTTCAGACTGAGTACAATCTGTGTTTGTTTACCTCTTATAGATGCCATGAACTTGTGTCTGAGCCTCATCACTCAGGGCCTAGAGGACACCGCCTTCCAAATGCTGAAGACTTTCCCCTCACTGCAGTCTGAGTCTGCCAACATGGGCAACTTCTTCCTCAGACACTGTGTCAGCATGGACACGGTACACTGTTAAAAGACTGCTCATTGTTCCTCTGACTGTCTTTGATGATAGATACACCAACTAAAATCTGACAGGATTTAAAGATTCTTTAATGCTATCATAAAGCTGGCATTATCTTTAAAGGTGATAGTAAATGAAGATGGTCAAATAAAAATTTTCTTTGTTTGATCGTTTGTTTCAGTCTTTGGAGAAGTTGTCTCAATTTTGCAAAGAGCTCCAGGAGTTACAACTGCATTCCTCACCACTGAGCTTCACTCTGTCTTGTGCTCTGGAGGCCAATAAGCCAGGTAGAGCACACATAATTTCACATTTATTTGAAGACTGTTACCACTCTCCTTTAACTTACATCTAATTAATGTGTAATTAATGTGAGTTTTATTATCAAATTTTTTTTCCAGAGATGTCTTTTGAGCTGATGAAGGAGATGAAGGAGCAGGACTTTCCCATAAGGCCCCACTACTTCTGGCCCCTCTTGACTTGGCACTTAAAAAACAATGACCAAGATGGTATGCGCACACACACACACACAGAATCAGTGTTTTTATATGTAGTGTATATGAGGTGTTGATGCATCTGGTGAATTAGCCAGCTTCATATCGGTGAGAATGTTGCAGTCTATCAGCATATGTGTTATTTTAGAGGGGTTTAAGGGGATTATGACTTCCTCTGTCCTCTGTACCAGAAAGAGCTTTTAAAGGAGTGTTTCCCTCAAATATTAATGCACTTCAGAGTGGTCCTACTGGGACAGGTTTCACTGGGCAGGGGCAGTCAAGGGCAAAGAGGTCTGATCCCTGCGTGAGAGAGTTGAAGCAGGAAAGGATGAAACAACACATGCATACACACTTCCTCACAAACCGGCCTACACACACACACACACACACACACACACACAGACACACACACACACACACACACACACACACAGGTCTCTCTGGAGATCTCTGGGAATAGATCAGAGTTTAGAACTTTGAACAGATGAACTCCGGACCAAAAAGGCACTCTGACTTTCAGAAAGTGTGCTCAGACATGAAAGTCAGAGCTGTTATTTGTCTGATCTTCAAATTCTGGACTGTTGTTCCCTCCTGGGTCTGAGACTACAAGACACTTTTTGACTGAGAGTTGAGAGTACAGTAAAGCTTCATGTCCTCGGCTTACAAATGCAGAGCAGCAAAAAGAACTCTAGACTGCAGATTTGCACAGAAGCCAGGGGTTTGGAGGAGGTCGTTTAAAACAAGAATGGAGAAAAATATTCAATAAAGTATAGATGCTTGCCGAAGGAGTCCAATTTTAAGAACTGAAATTTGGGGATTTCAAGGAGCATCAACACCTTGATGGACCAAAGGGCCAATGGTGGTGGACAGCTCCTCTCTCTTCGCTGCAGGACAGAAAGATTCAGAAGATCTTTTGTACCAACGGCCATCAGCTTTATAGCTCTTGTGTAAATAGTAGATAACTTTTAGAGACATATTATGTGAGACAACAGAATTGAATTTCTCTTCGGAGATTAATAAAGTTCTTCTTATTCTTATTCTCTTATTCTTTTGTGGACCAGTGCAGATGTGGTGAATTTTTTACTCTTCTGACTGATGAGCTGACCCTTGTTGCTTGTTTCCATGATTTTCCTTCACTCTCTAATTTTTGATGAAACAAGCCTGGCTTACTTTCTCAGATCACTCAATGTGAATAAATCCTGATTTTTATTTAACCAGAGTTCAAGATTAGTCAATCTGGTGACCTTTGCCTCTCAACAGGGAGCAGCTTATGTTCCTTGTTGGTGTCACAGGGGGGCTTCAGCAGCGTGGGGCATCCCCTCTTACACATCCAAACACACATTCAGAGGTTAGAGGTCATTTTGCTCCAGCGGTTGCCTTAAAATCCTCCCCAAACTGGACCTTTTTTTTCTCCCAGTTTTCGCCCAAGTCCTCCTCTGTCCCGTTTCTTTTTTTTTATTGAAGAACCTTTTGTGACCCACAGTTCTCAACAGATGGATGATTCTTGTAGGGTCTCTATGAACTCCCGATGACCCATTATATTTCTATCGAGCTTTATGAGGTGAAGGTACCCAGAAAAAAGTTCAGTCTGAGGCTTCACTGACATGTCTGGCCTTGAGTTCTTTGAGGTGATTTTGTTGGACAGAGTCAAAAATGTAAGCACGTGTCTTCTCCATCTGCTACTCAGTACATTTGAACAGGTCATTGTGCCCAGCTTGGCAGAATCGTTCTGCTCCTGATTTCTCTCTTTGCCTAAGAAAATTGTTAAACACTTTCCTTGTTTTTGCCAGCGATGAGCGCGTGGGGGGAAATCATCTCGGTGACAGATAGTCGGCATTTGGAGACTTGTCAGAATTCACATCTCATTAGGAACGTACTCTGTCAGATGTGTTCGGTAGTGGCTTGGCTTTTAAGTGCTTTATTTATGCTGAGCTCTGGCTCTCTCTTTGGGCTTTTTTAGAGCAATGAATAAATGATGCATTTTGCCCCTGTCAGCTAATTGACGCCATTTGAGCTGGCAGGGAGGAAGGGCTGGTTAGACCAGGGCGGTGACGCGCAGATTGACTTCTGTGTGCGGTCCAGACATATTCTCAGTTTGAATGGTGTGATGCTTCATTGCCCGGCTTGGCAGCATGAAGAAGAGGATAAGACGTGTGTTTAAACATGCACAACCCCACACACACAGACAAGCTCTTAGCGGAATCTGCTGACCGCAGAGCCAAACATACACATCAGACAGCATCCATCCAATTATCACAGGGTGAAAAGAAAGAAGGAAAGTGAAGAAACTTTGTTTATGCTCACGCACTCGCTTGTTTCCGGCAGTGTTTGCCTTAACCCTGATGAATCATGCAGCCTCTCTTTTTTTCCCTCTCTCTCTCTCTTACACTCGTTGGCTGCAGGAGGTGTGTGTGTGTCCACATATGTGAGGGGTGGGGTAGGGGCGACTTTAGGAGGCCAGTGCAGGTGATGTGACTGATGCGGAGTGACTTGATTTCATGTAAATGCAAGCGCTCTGAGGGAATTCACTTTGGATTACGCGCCCCACTGTGCACGGCCCATGAAATATTAAGCCCCGTGTCACTTTTTGTCCACAGGTGTCACTAGCGGGCAGAGAGGGGTCGGAGCCGTAGAGTGGGAGGTGAACAACAGGGGGGGCGGGGGATGGAGAGGGAGGGAGAAAAAAAAAAATCCCTTTGCCTTTTGATGAGGTGTGGATTTGGCGGGTTTAGCGGAAGCATATGCTGGCCTATACTTCCCACCTGCCGCCAGCTAGTCACCGCTTGTCAGTCCTTGGACGCAGCGCGCTTTTATCACTTCTGACATGGCGGAGGAAGAAAAAAGGAAAGAGAGGGAGGGAAAGTGCAGAGGATGGGAGTGTTTTTCGGCCTTGTTTGTTTTAGGACGAGATGTAATGGTCCTCTTTTTGAGTCTGCTGCACCAACCTAATATGATCATGCACACTTTTACTCTTTCTTAAATACTGACCTGTCAAATCTGTCATATAAAGTCATTTGTAGCCAGTGCCACCAAAGTAATCTGCAATTTAGTCCTCATGCACTCAGCGGAGTTAATACAGATGGGAGACAAGTATCATCATCTTCATTAAAGATAGATAAACAAATGAAAAAGGAATCAAACGGGGCTAAAAAGGCTTCTGTTCTTGTACTTCTCTGTTTTCAAACAACAAGCGGTCATTGCCTTGCAGCAAACAAAGTCCATCTTCAGAGAGTCACAGACACTGAGAGATAGAGAGACAGATGGTGTTGGAGGCGAAAGAAAAGGAGAAGTGACAGGTACTCATGTCCAAGGATGGGAGGAGATGACAGCGACCAGTTCACTCCACTCCTCTTTTCCTCTCTTTTCTCTGTCCTCACTTCTCGTCTGTGACAGTTAACCTGCAGACATGAATCTGATGATGATGATATCTTGTGACCACTGCCATCCTTAACTCACTACTTTGATACTTCTTGCCCCGGATGGTATGTCAGGCTTTGTGCTGACCAACCTGGAGAGGTCTCTACTCTTCTCGATTCTCCTCTGTTCTTGCTTTTTATCTAAATAGTCCAGACAGCGGAGGAAGCAAAAAGGGTTAGTTACACGAGAGGGTTAGAGGGGGAAAAGTGAAAGACCTAAGGGGTGAACAGTACATATGACTCTCAGTTTAGATCCTTGCTGGTTTGTTATAATTTATTTTCAACATTTTTTGAACTTATTCAAATTTTGACAAGTTGACAAAGAAAAGGTTTTCAAGACAGGTTTTGTTTGAGTTGTTTACCGCTTATTGCTAAAGCAGAAATAAACAGTCTTGTGAACCAAATAGCAATCTTAAAAAACAAGCTTCAATCCACCAAGGCCACAGGAACATCAGGTGCATCAGAAAACGGTGTCATATAAGACTTGAGTTTTTGTGCAAATTGTTGTTAGCTGTTCCCATCAGTTTTATCTGGCCACATACGCTGGCTTCAAATCTACCATACAGACAGGAGTCTAACCTTTTTGTTTTACTTGATGTTCACTGATAGAGAGAGATAGAGAGATTGGACAGTGTTCAGTCTGCATGGCTGTGATTGGTGACTGACTGGTTTGCTCGAATTTAGCAATCCTGTGTAGATGCTATGAACGCATGTTTCACGTCACACAAACACACAGCCCAACACCAATGCAACACACTAAGATGTTGGCGGTGTGATTGTGATGTGTTAAAAAACGCTGACCAGGAGGGCAGTTAGACTCGCAGTACAAGCACACGCCCATGTGTGCAGAGATTGTCGTCCTTGTTGCTGCAGTTACTGATTGGACTCCTAGCAACAACATTTTGCTGTGTTCGTTGCCCCATAGGCTTCTGACTGATTCAGCAACTTAAAAACAAGTTTCTTCCTAGTTCGTTCCTCTGTAGTTGGAACGCTGTGTAATTTTAATGTGCGGCTGATCAGGTCTAAGCTCTTAAACTCTGTTTTTCTTGCAAAGACCTCCCCTTGAACTGCATTATTTTCAACCATTTGATGGAGTTTTCTCTCTGTGTTTTAATAGAAACTCTAGACTTAAACCCCAAACATTACTCCGGGTTCAACAAGTTGCTCTCTTTTTATGTCTCAATAGAAGGGATAGCCTTTTTGCTGCCACCTGCTAGCTTGTGATTTGTGATGAGCTTTGGACATAGTTAAATAAAATCCGAGTGGCTCCTTTCTCTAGTAACAAAGAGAAGTGAATGTGTCTGTGCAACTTACTGTCTTTTCAAGAACTTAAATGAATTTCAAACTTATTTTTGAAAATCTTATTCTGTATTGGTCAGCCATTCTCCTTTTGGAGAGTGGTGGGACAGCACCTTACCACCCTCCATTGACTGGCAGCCACTGGGTGAAACATATGTATTAAACAAAAAAATTTAACATACCCCGAGACAACATACGCTCCTTTATAGTGTATTCTCGGTATAGTATTCTTGGAATCCGGAGATATAATTTCTTGGCTAATTCATGCAGTTACTTTGCTGTAAATCTGTGAATAAAGGAAGTAAAATGGAGCAAAAACACCCTCAGGGTTGAAAGGGTTATGAACTTGACTTGCAAAATAAACACATGCTTGTTGGACATCGGGTAAGTGCTGATGATCCTGAAAACTCACCGGCAGAGGCCGGAAAGAGCATGTGAGAGAAGGCCATCTTCTGTATTTATACACCCAGCTCTACATTCACTTGTTTTCTGTCTGTTTGGCTCACCGTGAAATTGACTATGGATTATTCAGAAGGAAAGCAGGTGCTCCCTCTCTTCTTTCATAAAAAAAGCCAGGATGAAAGTGATTAGGGGGTAAGAATGGAAGGGAGGCCGTCAGAATGGATGGATCCTCCATTGAGAAGAAAGCTGAAGATTGCCTGTTTCTTGAAAGCAGGGTAGATGGAAAGTGAGAGGGGCGGATGAATGAGTGATATGGGAAGGATGGATGGACGGAGGGATGGAGTCGCTCAGGTAGCCGTACCTGGGATAATGCAGCCCCAGCCGCGGGTTTTAATGGCATATAAAAGCCCAAGACTCATGTTTTATTCAGTCTAAGAGAGAGACTGCCAGGTGAACACATACGTCCCAAGAGGATGCAGAATTACAGCGCCGTATACTATTTGTGTGTGTGTGTTTGTGTGTTTGCTTCAGATCCTGAGTGGGGACTAAATACACACAGCATTTTGAGGTGTGTCAACTCAAGGAAGCACTTTAGGGTAGTTTGCTGAACTCCACATGGGAGCCAGGTATATTGGTACACCGGATGGAGCCACACTGTATATAGCACACCGATGCACCTAGCAACACACGCTCTAAGGATATACACATACACTTGGAAACTCATGTTTGTGTCCCCATTTAGGCCTGTGTCCTGCGTGGCCACGCTCCCAGACACGTATGCAAAGTACCGCAGCAGCTTTTCAACACACTCACTAAAAACATGCACAGACACACACACACACACACACACACACACTTTTGTGGGCGCATTTGGAGTGCACGAGTGGCTCTTCCATATGCATGTGGCTGTTTTGGCCTGCTTCCCCGGGGCAGGACCTCAGGGCTGCACTGGAGAGCAGGGCAACATTGCGAGAGTCCACTTCGGGTCGAGTGCGTGTTTGTGTGCACGTATCCTAAAGTTCAAAGTACAGACAGGAGCAGACATTCACATTTTGTTGATGGAGAGTCTGTGTGTGTTCTTGTGTAAATGTGTTGCTGGTGCTTCTTCCTGGATGAGAGAAAGACAGTATGTACCTGCTTATCTAATAGTGCTTTAACAGTTTCACATTCAATTATGTGCATTTGTACAAGCGCAGCGTGTGATTGGTTTAATAATGAATTTACTTTTTGTAAACTCATTTTTAAATGATCAACAAATCCTCTTATTTTCATCAAGTCTCAGATATTGCTGGTATTTGAAGATATATGTATTTCAATTAACATGTAGGAGACATAAGAAATAGTCTATAATAAATAATAATAAATAAAACAAAACAATTAAAAAAGGGCAGGAAATATTAGTACAATGACAATATATATATATATATTCCTTAAACCAGTGATCCTTCTGTACAGAGCAGTTATTTAACGCTGCATTTTTATACAACTTTTCTGTTTTACATTATTGGTAAGGTAAACATCCTTTTGTTTCCATCTGCTATTGAAACAGTAATCCATACCCTGAAAGCTTTTATGCATATTTTTTACAGTGTGAAGTCATTTTCCGATGTTGTTCTATTTTTCTTCCTCAGGTAGATTTTATGCATATTCTTTAGTGCCTCTGTCTATAAAAGGACAAAAAAAAGAATTACTTTTTGTCTTGTAGGTGTGATCGAGGTGTTGAAGAACATGCAGAAGCTTGGAGTTCCACCTGATGTTGAGTCTTTAACCACCTACATCCTTCCTGTCTTCCCTGATATGGAAGCAGCTGAACAGGCACTCAAGGTAGTTGGCATGTCTTTAAATCTGATCATTAAGTGTTGATTTTAAAATCAAAAACTAACTAAATGTTGATTTTCTACGTCCAGGAGTCTGGTGTCAGCACGGATTCGGCGGGTTACTTGTCTTCACAGGTTCGTTTCATGACTGGTAACCTGGAAGAACTCTACACCAAATGTAAGCATTCACACACTCTCTCTTTCTCTCTCTCTCTCACACACACACACACACACACACACACACACACACACACACACACACACACACACACACACACACACACACACACACACACTTAACACATTCCAAAGAAGAGGCTCTTCTGCATCTTGGGCACCAATCATCATAAAAATCGCTGCTTCGCCTGCGGGCTAATTGGACCAGCATTAACACACACACACACACACACACTTGCACATTTGCCCACTTACTCCTGTGTGCTCATCAGGCCTTTTAAGAGATTAGTCTGTGTGAATATGTAAAGAGCAAGAACGAGAGGCGCCTCCACTGGCAGAGGGATGGGATGGAGAAGGCTGTTACATAATGGATGACTCCTTCTTTTCTGTCTTTTCAACTCGCTTTAGTCTCAAAACATTCACCACTCATTTTTTTTCACATACATCGCTCTGTGTCCTCTTTGTGAATTTCAGTCCTCAACTGTGTTTTTTTTTTCAACTCCCCTCATATCATAAAGTTTGAGTGTATTTCTTCTTGCCATGCAGTGTTGCCAAATACAAACTGACCCTAGAATAACTGTCGAGCAGAAAAAAAACAGACTCTTGCTGCTTTCAACCTTGTAATAAAACAAAGCCCCTTTTTTTCTGATACTTTTATCATTGTGAAAAAAAGAACTTTTAGTTTTTTGATTTATGCTCACATAGTCTGAAATTTTAAGGTATTCCCTCACTCACCTCGTCTGTCAAAGGCCATTTTTCACTTTTCTTGAAATAAAAAAGTTCCTATGATTTATCTCAACTGCTATTACAGAAATCAGATTGGATGCTGTGCAAACATTTGTTTGCAAAATACAAAAACTCTGTATTTGATTGAAAAAAAAAAAATACATCAAATATTGACACCAAAAAGGCAATTGTTTTATTGAAAATAAATGCACCTTTTAAACTTGATGCCTTAAAGATTGTCAACAAACTGCGAGGAAAGTTGTGTAACGCTGGAAGATGCACTTGCAGGAACGTCTCATCAGAGTTAATTTGAAACAGCTTACTTAGATGACTGGGTATGACGAAAGCAAATTGGGAGCCAAGTCTCTTATTCATAAGTAAAGATGAGAAGAGATTTATCACTGTGTGAAAAGCCGGTAGTTCCACAATTTCAACTTAGTTTTCAGCTTGAAGTTACAAAGAATTTTATCATCTACAGTAAATATGTCCATTAAAGATTCAGAGAAGAAAAGGGACGAGACCTTAAAAAAGTGGCCATAATGAGATTAAACACAGCTATGACAGATATTGTACTTTTCGAAAACCATCATCGTCTGTTGCTACAGCCTGGAAAACCTGAACATTAAATACAAGTTTTGAAGGACTGCCCGCTTCTGTCCTGACAATAGCTCTTTCAGGGAATACCTTGCATGTTTCAGCAAAAAAATACCAAACCACACTCTGTACGTATCACAACAATATGGCTCTATAGTAGAAAAGTCCTGGTGCTAAACTGGCCGCAGTCTTGATTTGTAACCCACAGAAAATACCTGGTGCACTGTGCAAGTTTTCCTGTACAACTGCAAAACTAAATGCTGACAGAAATGCGGTCAGAAACGAAAATGAATAGTGAAATAAAATAAGTATAAGTAAAACCCCCGACACAAGAAAAAAACACACTATGAATGAGAAACTTAGTAAAATAAACATAACCAACTCTGTCATGAGTTCTTAATAAGGAAACACTGGAGGCAGAATAAAAAGGAAAAAATCTGAAAAAAATCTATTTCTATACTCTGGTCAATGCAGGCTAGTAGGACTCCAAGATAAGACTTTACGACTTTGATCAGTCATTTCAGCTCAGTGATTTTGTCTCTCTCCTGATGCTTCATCACTACATTCACACTGCATCATCCTCTTCATAAAATCACATTGTTGCCTTGTTGTTATGGACATATGAGATGCTGCTGTGTTTTGTCTTTCTCTACTTCTCATCTCTTTTCTGTCATTATTTCCTAGTATCGGATCCCTCTTTCCCCCCATTGGACCTCAACAATTTCCGTAGCAAACTCAGCGTAAGCTTCAGAAAGTAAGTCAATTAGCTCGTTTTCTGTCTATGTCTTAACGTGTTCTTCATCATTTCATATTCCGTATATTTTTCCACATTTAGCCTCACAACTCCTGACGGGTGTTTTAGGGAGGCCTGTAGCACTATGGAGGTCACCGCAGCATATGCTCTGACTATGACATGTGCAGCCTATCACACCATCTACAGGGTCTGTGTGTGTGTGTGTGTGTGTGTGTGTGTGTGTGTGTGTGTGTGTGTGTGGGCAGCTGCGGGGAAAAAAAACACTCCATCATTTACACACACTCATGCACACACATACACGGGTGCCTCATGCATATGGAGGCCATCATCCCCTCTGCTCTCGCCCCAAAGCACCGTGGGAGATATGTAAATTAGCAGATGCCCACCACTGCCCCTCATACCCAAAAAACCCTGCACTGAACTATCTCACTCACACACACACACACATACACACACATGCACACAGAGGAGGAACAGGGTCATACCCGTGGGCTTTTGTTTTTAAGGGGTGTGTATGAATATTTACAGTTTAACACCACACACCCTCATGAAAGCTCTCGGGCCTCTCGGCTGAAGCAGGGGGTGGGTCAAAAGGAAAAGTGCTGACTCTGCTGCAGGCACTCAAGTTGTGTCTTCCTCTTAGAGTTTAAATACGCACAGTTAAGCCCAACTTTTCACCTTTTACGATGTTATAACATCATTTGTTTTAGCTTAGTGGTTGTCGGTAATTCAACGAATATATTGGAAAAAAATAAAATAATCTGTTATGAGTAAGTAGAGGCAGTTCAAATTAGATATTGAGTAACATAGTTTGTATTTCAAGTTCAAAGTAGTGGTGAACATACTGTGAGATAAATAGATGCCTCAAATCAAAGCATGCAGTATTCAAGTAAAACAAGGACACTAGAAGTAGATATGTAGTTGCAGTGAGTTAATACTTTACACTAAGTACATAAATGTAATATCTTTGGGATGTCGTGATGCCTTTTTTAGGGACTCTGTATGTTCCTGTTATTTGTTTGTTTGTCTTTTTTGATTTCTAAACCTGTTCCATTTCCTCCATTTGCTTCGCACTCACCGTATTCACACACACACACACACACACACACACATACACACACACACACACACACACGCAGGCCCCCCTGTGCACTTTTCTGACTGTTAAGTTGCCTGACAGGGTCATAATTGGGCTTGTCACTTGGGGAGTGTGTGTGTGTTTGTGTGTGTGTGCGCACGCAAGTGCCGTGTCATTGCAATGCGGGACCTGCCCCTGTCAAAGACAAGGTCAGGGGATAATTTAATCATTAAAGACCTCTTCTTCTCTGTTCTCCTCTCATCTCCTCTATCCCCCCTCTCCCCTTGTCTCCAGCAACTCGCTGACAGCGCCAGAAATGTCACACGTTGTCATCATTTAGCTCCTGTGTGGGTGTGTGTGTGTGTGTGTGTGTGTTCGTGTGAGCTCGTGAGAGAGCGAAAGGGAGAGGGAGAGAGTATGTGTCTTTTGTGGTTTACCAGGCTTTTGTGCATCCGTCTCTCCCCTCTCGTCGTGTGGGATTAAGTGTCAAACTGAAAAATCTGTATTGTGCTCCTCTATCAATTCAGCTGCATTGACGTAAATACACAGATTTATAGTTAATTGAGTCCCATCCCATTTGCTGCTGAAAAATAAATATATTTTAAGTCATTACAGTTAAAAATGTGTAGTGACACAGAAATTCCAGAGTGTAGGAAAATACTCAGTTTCTAAATGATAACAGTATTTATTTGTATATTTTACCTGATGCTTATTTGACTGTATTTTGGAGGGGTCCAACATCAGATTAGAAATGTAATCTTCACTAAAACAGTAAAGGAAATCCTGAAAAATCAAAGAATAATAACAGTAATAGTACAAATTTGAAGACAGATTTTCTGTAAGGTTTCAGTTTTAAAAGGATTTTTTTTTATATAGAAAAATGTGAGGGAAAGAGAAGATGTAAGACTGAAGTCGAATGTTCAGACCTCTGCATTTCCAGAAAAGTGAAGTAAAATAAACCCATGTTGGAAGTGTGTTTTTTTAGAGGTGTGTCGGTATGACATGCACATTAACCCTGACATGTTAGATGGAGTCTTGTTGACCCCCTGGCGGTGCCTGCCGACTGGGTGCTCATGTCTTGTCCTCTACTGCCCCCTGCAGGTTTGACGACTTTGAGACCATGATGAAGGTAAGGCTGGATTGAGCCCTCATTGTTCAAGTGTCTGTATGTAACTTCATAACAGTATGAGAAACTTGATTTCTGTTTTAAAAATATTTTAAATCGTATTAAAAAAATAAAATCTGCCAAGTAAAGATGAGAAACACCGTATGAAATCAAACATCCAAAAGAGAATATTAAATTGTCTTTTTTTAAAAGACTTCAAACATTAGCGTCTTTCTGCCTGTATGTCTGTTTTTACCTCTTAACAGAATAGTTATAATAACCAATTTACTCGCCATCTGCTCCACCGCCGGTTACATTTAGAAAGAATATACATTATGACAAACACCATCTGCTGCCTTTTATGCAAATCCCCTTATGACACACTGGGGCACATAAATAAAGAAATGTTTAGGACGGATCATTTAGCTCCAGGCAATGTGGGAAAGATGGTTCGAAATGATTTAAAAACAACGTTCATTTCATGGTAATAGAACTGTACCACCGAAGATACGGCGAAAAGAGGAGATATTACTGCATCACGTAAGATTTAGGAAGAAAAGACAGAAAAGACAGTTAAAAGGGTTTACAATGAAAAAAAAAAAATGATTGGATCATCTCTTTGGCATTTGAACCCTCAGCCCTGTTTTCTATGATTTAATTCATACCTTCTCTTGTTATGTTGGATTTTTTGTCAGTTGCTAAGTCCTTGTCCTACTGTGTGTTGTGTGTTTGTGTGTTTTAATCTTTTGTGCAGATTACTAAGCTGTTGTATACAGACAAACGCTTCTCCCTAGGAAATCCACCAGCCGGTAAGTAAACATTTTTCAGCACTGATGTCACCGGCAAGTCAGGACATTCGTATCTGACAGTGTTTTTGTGTGCTGATGTGTGTCATGTGTGTGTGTGGAAAAGAAAGAGACACCGGGATGCATGTGTGCATGTTTGTGTAAATATGTGTGTGTCATCTATCACGTATCAGCTCTCAAACTTGCAGACTTCGGTCTCTGTCTCCATCACTGTCCAACTATAATTCAGTTGACAGAAAAATGCCCAGTGTGTAAATGTTGCTGTGCGAGTGTGTGTATGTGTGTGTACGTTTGCATTCAATCTCAGTGGCAAAGAAGTGCTGATCGGCCCACTCCTCGTCATGAAGCCCATGTGTGCTTTCACCCAGGTGTGTGTGTGTGTGTGTGTGTGAGTGAGTGAAAGATCTGCTCTCTCTGTCTGAGGAAACAGAGCCTGGCTGCTGACACAGTGCTGAGTAGCTAAAAGTGTGTGTGTTTGTGTGTGCGCGCGGAGCATTATATTGCTCTATGTCAGGGTGTGTGCGTGTGTCACAGAGAGTCCCCAGTGCTGAAACTGGTGTGTGTGCGTGTTTGTGCTGGTGGGAGCGATGGAGACTGTTATCCATGTCACATCCCATTAGACTGCGTCGTTATTTGTATGTGTGTGTGTGCGTTTGTGTGTGTGTGTGTGAGAGAGAGAGTTGAAGTAGGGGGAAGCTGTCAGTGCCAGCCAGTGCACATTCACTCACACTCCAGCCCAAAAGCAGCCTCTGTCAGCAGGAAAAGAAACACAAACACACACTCTGCAGAGGTTACAAAAATATTGTATAAATGCACAAATAGAGGCAGTGACTGACACGGTGGCAAATGAAAAGTATTCCCATGACAACTGCCTCCTCTTATGTGTTTATGTGTGTGTGTGTGTGTGTGTGTGTGTGTGTGTGTGTGTGTGTGTGTGTGTGTGTTTCTTTCTTCATCCCATACAGAAAATGTAGGCTACTTTCTGTACAACCTGATAGACAGCATGTCAGAGAAAGAGGTGCAGGCACAGGAGGGCAATCTGAGAATGTTCTTCAATGAACTGCGCGCTCAGGTACACACATTAACACACACGTATATACACCAAACAGTTGTACACTAATATACAGCTTATCCAGTTCATTCATAAACTTCCTGCTTTAAAGGAGCTTACACACGCTGATCTGAGATGTTTGCAGGGTGTAATCACACTCAGATTATTCACAAAGGACGCACACACACACACACACACACACACACTAGGGTATACAGGGGCATGACCTCCTTCCTTTGCTCCATTTCTGGACAGTGAAGGTTCGGGTTGGTTCGCAGACATGTATGATTAAATGATTAAATAATGCTCTTTACTTTTTGATCATGTGTCTAAACTGGCCATTTGCAGACCATTGAAGTTGTTTCTCAGTCAACCTTTTTTAACAACCTGCACTGATAAAATGCAAAACCAATCTGAGATATAAAAACAACTCTCTACCAGTCGTTGCAGAGTTTTTTACTGTAGCAGAAAATGATTTTGGAAAAGAAAAAAGGATTTCTGATCCAGTACATGTATTTAGACACTACAGAGCTTTGGTAAACTGTACCTTTAAGCTGGAATTACATTGACTATGTAAAAGTAACATATTTTTGGGACTATAAGGCGCTCTTAAAATCCTTAAATTTTCTCAAAAATTGACAGTGTGCCTTTTAACCCAGCGCGCCTTATGTATGATTACTTGCTTACTGACCGATTTTATGTGGTACAATGCGCTCAAAAATCTGTCGAAATGTGTAAGTACGACTTTGGTTAGCAACAAAGCTCAATGCATAATGCCACGCTGTGTCACTTCCTGATTGACTGCCTGACTGTAATGTCTAAACTAAGAGTGCATTCAAGAAAGGCAGCCCGGGCCTGGAGTACGCGCTCGCAACAATAAACCATACATGTTATATTACCTCCTCTTAAAAGTGTTTTCAGAAGAGCCTTCAAACACCTTTACGAACACACTGTAATCAAACCATTGGTTGAGTTACATAGCATCTCATTTTGTACTTTATGCTCAATTTGGTCAGCTTGAATCTCACTTTTTAAACACAGGACATTCAGCAGGTTCAGCTCCTGTTTTGCTCACAGCTCATCATCGCTTCTCTCACTTGTTCCTCCACAGAATATGTTGATTCCAAGTAGGATCTGCAGAGGCATCAAGAACCTCCTAGATCCCAACGACAGCCCTCAGCTCATCAAGGTACAGAAAATTACTGTAATTTACTGTTTTAGATACTTAGGGTGAGGGGTTTTGGCAGGATTAGTTTAAATTCTTGAGTCTGTGTGTAAAACTGTCTGCAGCAGGCAACAGTAGAGTATAACTCTATATATAACTCTATACTCTATATATATAAGATATATATATATATATAAGATATACATGACCCCTGAGTGGGGCAGTTCACCTGTTACAGAAGAGGACTCAGTAATAAATACAAGGAATTATAGCTATGCAAAGTGAATATGTAAAATGATGGTGCATGTATATATACACTATACACTCTTTTTACTTATCGCTGGAACTAAACAGTTATTACTAAGAGATGATGAAAACTGTGTGGCATAAAAATGTCATGTAGCTGCAGAGAAAACGTTGCAGATGAAAAAACAATCATCGCATCAACAATTTAAAGCAAGGATCATCTTACGTGCCGATGAACAGAAACTTTTCTAGGTGTATATGTCAATAACAAATCACATACTCCCCATGTTTATTTTCTGTCATTACTAACACTGTTTGTCTGTCAGGATGTCATGGCTTGTGCGGACAAGGCTGCGAGAGAATCCAATGGTCTATCACAAGGATTACCTGTGAGTACAAGAGTTTGAGTTTGGGGAAGAAAAAACCTGTTCACTTACTGGACGCTGCTGAGGTGCCCTTGAGCAAAGCACTAACCCCCTAACTTCTGGAGGGGTCTGTTTATGAAGCTCCATAACTCTGATATCTATCGATTAGTAGATGGAAAGTAAGGAATCACTGTGTTTATGTGTGTATATTTTAGGCCTATGCATGAGTTGCACAATGTAAAAAAAAAAAAAAAACTTTCGGAGATCAATAAAGTACGTCTTCTTTTGCTTCTTCTTCTTCCTCTTTAAGTATGTATTTTTCCTCTGTGTGCAAAATGGTGTGTGATGAAGTGATGAATGCATCTCTTAGTTCAAGCTAATGCACACAGGAGGTTGTATATGCATGTTCATCTTTGTGTTTCACACCTCGGTGTTTCCACCAGGGAAAACTGCAAATCCTCGAGAAGAAAATTGCTGAACTGCAAGCTGAGAACAAACCACTCGGCAGTGTGTTCAAACAAGTCATCCAAGCTCTCTGTGTCACAGAGGTTTGTCTTTTTAGCAAATCCCCATCTTACAATTCTGGTCTTTCTTTCTAATTGAGTGACCGTTTTAGTGTTTTTAGCCCCTGAGAGTTTCGTTTTGTGATCAGAATCTGCAGCGTGCCCTTGAGCTGAAGCAGCAGTACGAGAGCGAGATGACGGTCCCCATGTATGTCAACCTCATCAACATGTGCTGTCGCCTCGGCAATTTGGAGGAGGCAGTCAACCTGAGGACAGAATTGTGAGTGGAGCTGGACACACACACAAGTAGACTACACATATGCACAGCCGGGGCAGAGCTGCGACTAGTGTGAGGCCATTAAAGTTTAACTTGAGTTGTATTAGGGGAGACATTAATGCAGGGTCCAGTCAGATTGTTGACTGGCTAAAGGGGAAACTCCCCTCTTCCTTCCCTGTTTTCTCCTCCACACTTACCTCCATGTCACCGCATTCGACTGAACTCATGCAGGATAACATACAATGGATGAGATGCATTTAGTAGAGTGCATTAACTCAGTCTGTCTCTGTCCCTGTCTACTTTTAGGTACCGCATGGACTCATCAGTGGTGATGGATGTCCCTAAATACATCTCACTGGTTAAAATTCTCTCAGAGCACGGCAGAGTGGAGGGTAAGTTTGTGTCGAGCAACAACTTTGAAATAATTTCATAATTGTTCGGTCTGCTCGTGCTTTGGATAGATAATCGAATCTTTAAGCCCCAACTTTTGACAGCTAAATAAACTTTGTTGAACTGCTTGTTTTATCCAAACATTTCTTCAGAACACACCCCACAGAGTTTTCTCTTGATAGATTGAAGACAATTAATCCATGATCCAAACTGGCTCAGTTTTGTGTTGATTGACTAATTAGTTGACTAATCCATCCAGTGCTTAGTCCCTAGCCACTTCTTTCTCTGCCAGCCTGATCAAAGCAGATCAGGCTTGAACTTTAAAAGTGAATGTGCATGGTTGTGTGTGTGTCTGTGTGTGTGTGTGTGTGTGTGTCAACAACTCTGTCAAAATCTGTCCCTTTCCCTCCCTCAAACCACATTAGTCGGCCATTTTCAGAATGCCACGGTGGGTTTCCTTCAGCCCATCGAAGACCCAATTACCATCAGTTTTGTCACTGCGTTTTTGCACACAATGACAGGCAAAATGTTTCCCTTGTCCGTCCTCGCCTCCTCTCTCCTCCCACTTACTCTCTCTCTCTCCATCTTCATCTCTGTCTCTCTATCTGACCCGCTCTGTCTGGAAGCGTGTCATTCCCTTATCCCCCCCGCACACACACACACACACACACACACACACACCCATCAGTGAGAAATAAGAGAGGGGGAAAATTACAGGACTGTGTGTATTTTTTCTGGAATTATTGAAATCCGCCTTGATGCTAATGGCAGATCATGTCCACCGAAGTGCTTGAGCATTTTACACACACATACACACACACACACAGACACATACACACACTCAGGGACACGCAAATTTGCATGTGAATTCAAGCAAAAAGCAATTGGTGGGCACTACAGTTGGTGTGTCCGTCTGTGTGTGTGTCGGGGTGTGTATAGGCAGCGCTAACGCATTTGCCATTAGCCAGAGTGTGCATATGGAGGGGACGCTTGTCAGCCACATTAGCACACATGGCTAACCTTGATGTTAGCCTGTCCCCACCCAGACGCTGGTTCGCCTGGCTCCAAGCAAGCACCAGGCCCAGCTCAAGATCATGTCTCCTGGCATCTTGCTTTATTTCTTGCCCTCTCTAATGGCAGTGTTGTTTTTCGCCCTTGGTTCAAAGCTTCCCGTCCAACTTTTTTTTATCACTGTACTTCCCTTCGACCTTATGTCGTCTTACTTCTGCTGCTGTTTTATTACTTTTAAGAGGTTTTTCTTCTTCTCCCTCTCACTGATGAATTTCAGTCTGCTGCTTTCATCATCATCTCAATTGTGTTGCTATTATTCTACACATCTGTCTTCACATCTGTCCGTTCACCCATTTGTCTCAGTGTTCATCACTTTATTTGCGTTTCTTAAAGACAGAATGGGGAGTAACACAGTAGTCACAGCATAATCCAGTCTTCATATCTCTGTACTACTGTTTCCTTTTACAGTTTTGTTTTTTGATTCTTATATATGGACTTATAAATCATCTTATACATATATATAACTATTTACATATATATATATATATATATATATATATATATATATATATACAGTTACATCTTATCATCAGCAACTTAACAAAGTGATTCGTCATGACGGTGCCCCAACCAAATATTGAGTATTTAAATGAACATCCTATAAAAATTACATTGAACTTCTGTATTTAACTCAATTTTTTTACTGATCTGAGGAAATATTCTGTTAATGTTGAGCTACTAGAATTTCTGATTTTCATGAGATAGAAGCCGACATCATTAAAATTTAAACAAACAAACAAAAAATAAAACATATTTGTTTCTATGTAATGAATACAAAGAAATGTAAAGTTCACTTCTCTAAAATAAATCATGAAAAATGAACTTTTTTATGACATACAGTATTATTTTAATGTACCTTTGCAGAAAACAATTTTAGGAAAGATTAGCAGATATCTTACTAAAGTAAGTAAGTTACGAAAACTTATTAAAGAAACCTTTTCAAACATCGTCCACGTTGGCCATTCTCATAAACCAAAGAAAATGTGAATGTGTTGACTGTGAATATCTATACTGAAACCTTTCAAATACACAAACATGCAGTGTTGGTAAAACATGAGGTACTCAAACTAACCAAACAACAAACAAATACATTAGAGGTACAATTTAGCACATAATAAAGAGGTAACCTCCTTAAAATCATGAAAATCAGGAGTTACCCTTTCCTGTTTGAAGCTCTATTAACAGTAACGTTACACTTAAATTAAGCATCACTTTAACGGCTGTACATAAACACAAAGATGGTAAACTTTTAAATGACTGTATTTTAGCAACCAATGTGACACTTTTTTTGTTATTGGCCTACACAAAGCAAATGCACAAAAAGTTTCCAAAACAGTTGAAACTAAGAGAAAGCTGTTGTTTAATGCCGATTAGTTTCAGCGCTAACTTGTAATGAAGTACCACATTAACAAAACAAGCTCTGTTTCAAATAACCTCGCTGTTATGCTCTTAAACGTGTCGGTCCTGTGGTGCAGCGATTGTCTTCAGTGGCCTGAAAGCCCCCTTCACCCCCTTCAACCTTCCCTCCTCTTCCTCTGTTTTTTAAATACTCCTTTCCTCTATCACTGTGCGTCTCTTTGACCTGCCCTTGCCCCTCTGCCTCCGTCTGTCCATCCTCCCACTTTGGTAAACACAACTTGCTCTGGCTTTAGGTGGTCCTGGGCTTGTCTGTATGTGATGCACAGTTTGTTTGTGTGTGTGTGTGTGTGTGTGTGTGTGTGTGTGTGTGTGTGTGTGTGTGTGTGTGTGTGTGTGTGTGTGTGTGTGTGTGTGTGTGTGTGTGTTTGGGAAAAGAGACATCACCAGCAGTCATGCAACATTAGATGAACCACTGGGCTGTGTGATGTTTGTTTACCTGGCCTGTCTGCCTCTCCATCTCTCTATGTGTGTGTGTGGTCTGGCTCGCTTTGCTGGCCACGATGCTCGGCTGAGCTGATGGATATGCATACTGGCTAAATGAACAGATAAAGGGAGAGATGGAGGGAGAGGGTTGGGGGGTGGGGGGTACGTTGGACGTAGGGATGTTAGCTTCAGTGTAACTCCATTTGTGCAGATCAACTCCGAACCATTGGTCTCAGTGATTAACGGGTCTGACAGGGTGTGACGGAGAGAGGTATGATAGAAGGGTGGTGGGAGGGAGACACAGAGGAAGAGACACAGAGTCAGAAAGTGAAGATAATTTACATCTAGACTGATGAACATCATGGACTAGACAACAGGTCAGGTCTTTATAAAGCAGTCATTGAATGTTGATACTACCATCAGTTATTGTGATTTTATTCAGCTTTTAAACTTTAATAAACATTTAATAAAAGTTAGAAGTTGCTCATAAGAGTTCTGACAGCTGCTTGAGCTCAACAGCGAAGGCCATACCCCTCAGCAAAGTAGCTATTAGTTTAACTCCTGACCTGCCATCTGCTGTTGTGTTTGCACAGTTTTTAATCAAATATCGGCTTTAAATGATTTACAAACTTTCAAATCCTGTTTTTATTTTCACCTAACTCTGCATCTCAAATGTTGCGGAATTGGGGTTGTAAATGCTAATATAGCGCTCAACTAAAATTTTGTATTAATCTTAGTTGTGTGAAATTAAATCCCCATTGAATAATAAATGGTCTCTGTAATCATTGTTGACCCTTTAGAGCCTTAAAGTTCAAAAGTATCTGCTGTAACACTTTTTTTTAATCTTACCTGAAACCAGCTTACTTTGACCCACTCTGAACCCGACAGCTAAATTCACATTTTTGTTTTTCTGTCAATGCTCAGTGTGTATTTATCTGTTATTTATTTATGTCTTTAATGGTTCGTACAGTTGTGCTGTCGCTGTTTGCTTCATGTTACATTAAAACTGCACTGTTTGTTTTCCAATTTTCCTCTCCAAGGACAATAAAGTATTTCTAAACTTGTGTTAAAATTAAGGAAAACAATGAAAAATAATTTAAAAAATCACATCAAAGGAATCAATTGGTATCAGCTTCAAAAAGTGCAGCAGCTGAACTGTATTATTAACAATCATGTTGTCGATGTTTATGGAAAATAAGAAGCAGGAGTTGTTTGTCTTTAGACTTCTAATCTTACATCCCATTTCAATATATTTATTACAACTATTTATAACCTGAATGTTAATAGAAGTGTATTGAATGATTATGCTTGTGTTAGAGAAGTCAATTACTTCAAGTAATACACTTTTCTTCCTCTTTTATCGCTCTTGTGAAGTTCCCATTCAGCTTACTCAACTTCCCCCTCTGACAAGCTTCATCCCCTTCTCATTGTCCTCCTGTCTAATGGTAACTCCTCCATTGCCAGCCACCCGTACGCCACCTTCCCTTCCTCTATTTTCCTCTGTTCCATTAAATCTATGACAGCCTTTGGTTCTCATCGCCATAACAACTGGCACACAGAGGTGGAGAGATGGAGAGACAGACTAAAATTAGGATGCCAAAGCACTCACCAGTGGCCCTGTCCCTCGGCCCACGAGTGTGTGTTGGACTCTGTATTTTTGTGTATAGAGAGTGACACTCCTGTTTGAGAGGTTTTGTTATATTACCAGCTGCTGAAGTAGGAGGTAGCTGTATTATTAAAGCCGTGCTTTTTTTCTGATTTAGGTAGGAATTTCATCAACATCAGCTTCAAGGATTTGAGTTGGATGGATTAATATCAATATTACCCGGCACTTTGAAGAGTGGCTTGATACACATTATTCAAATGTATTCTGTGTATGTGAATCTCTCCATCTTCTCCCTTCCTCTTGGTCTTGCTGTATAGATTAGTGTCTGTGGTGGAGAGCGGCTGTATCGCTGTCAGCCCATTAGCAGCTGTCTAAATAGACAGTAAACGCATCTTAATTACCTTACTCTGATACACCACATATACACACGCATACGCACACACCCCCTTTTCACCATTTAGTCCCGAGTGTTGGCCAGATGGGCGCGTGGCCCGGTAAAAAGCCCTCCATTACCGACTGGATTTGACCAAACTGATCCACCCCTCGGCCCGCTTACCGGGGTCTCACTGGGGCCACGGCGGGCCCTTGTTGCCACATACCTATAATTTAGCCCCCCAAGTGCTTTCTACACGGCCACGGCAAAATGCCGGCCTCCATTGTAGGGGTCCGGTAATTGTAGTCTCGTTTAGAAAACCGCAAGTAGCAATTAGCGCAGAGTTGGCATTATACGGGGTTGGATTTGCATCCCCGCTGGGTGCAAAATGCTGTTTTAATATGGGTTTGTTTTCCCCACATGGAATTAGCTAAAGGAGCCTTTTATCATATTCACACACCCTACTCTTCTCCCAGCCAAGCTCTGCACACCTCTGGCTTTCTCTCTTCTCCTCCCTCCACATTGTCTCTGTATCTCCTTGTCTTTTGCTCCCTTACATTCGTCTTCTCTATCTAAAACGCTCTCACCATCACTCTGCGAGAGATCGGGAGTCCTGCTTCCTGGCAGGTTGTTTAAGAAGAGCTACTGAGTTTCTAACATTCATATTTCTTTCTCTCTGTCTCGCTTTCTTCTCTCCCTCCTTCACAGAGGCAATTGGCATCCTTAAAGAGATGAAAGAGAAGGATGTGGCGATCGGTGACACATATAGCAACATGTTCTTTCACGTGCTCAACTCTCTAGCAGTCAAAGGCGACGTCTCCACCCTCCATCAGCTAACTGGTGCCGTCTTCACCCTCGGACTGGCCAAGCCCTCTAACAATCTCTGCTCACCCTTGGTCTCTACACACCTGGAGAGGTAAATGTTACAAATAATAAAGTCACTTATTCAAACTCGGGAGAAAGCAAAGTTGGCCCCCATATAGACAAAGATTTTATGTGAAAACATGAACTTACTTTTTTGTATGTTTTGTTTCCATGGCTTGAGTTCTCCACTAACCAGCCAACCCGCTCACTTTTGTTGTCAGATTTGCGTCTTTATCTGCCAAATCCAGTTGCCAGGTGTGTGTATGTATGTGTGTCTCAATGAGTCACTCATCCCTCCCTATGATCATAGCCGAGGTTACGTTCTGGGTCGGCGATTCAGACAGAGAGAGGATGTGGAAATTGCTCATTTATGTGTGTGTTTGTGTGTGTGTGCAGTGCTAGAGCCAGGTTTTGTTTGTTTGAGGATACGCCAGCTGCAACCTCTCTCATGAGCCCCCACCCATGATCCCCTGAAACACCCACTGCTGCACTCCAAGGTGTAAGTGTGTGTGTGGTGAGAGAGATGGCCATCGATGATCCCTCCCCATAATGCAAATATGCAAATGGACGTCACCAAACACTGGCTGTGGGGTCACTGGTGCTTCCCCAGCCCTCAACTCTTTTCAGTCAGTGTGTATCATTCAGCGTATGTGCATGAGTGTGTGTTTGCGCACTTATTTGTCGGAGCAGCTTTTAAGTAGATCAACTCATTAGCATGTTAATTATGTACAGAGCACTAATTGCTGGATTTACCACAACCACGCAGTGTGCCGTTAGGGGATCCACCACACACACACACACAAACACACTCTGTGCATGCATTCATACACACTGTTTACCTCTAGAGTACATGTTGCAGCAGAGGTGGACCTTTGCACATGACGCTTGTACAAACACACACACACATTTTCTCAGATGCTCACACACACGCATGCTCCCCTGCTGCTGTTTGTTTTGCTGTAAGTCTAGTGTCTGGCACAAACAAGAGTTTCCAGGTTCACTCGTTAATCACTGCCTCTGCGAGATTAGCGGGCTAATTTACTACTGGGTCATCAACAACAGCCAAAAATATGCACACACACACACACACACACACACACGAGCTTCCCACAGCCCTGTTCACAAATCAAGTGCCAGTTGTACTTTCTCCAAATGATGCTGCAGCATAAACACAAGTGGATGAGCGAGCTGCTGGTGTTTACTTATCACCTGACTCATAGTTTTCATATCTGGATTGGTTTCAAGGCTTGGAAATAGTCAGCATAATCAAATCAGAACATGATGAGAACATTTTTGATAAAACAGGGAATTTAAAAGTGTGGATAAAACTCTTTGTTAGTTTTTAGTCTTGTTCTAATGCATCAAAATTCTGCGTCGTCTGGAAGTAAAATAAAATGTCGTTTTAAGAGAGTTCCAGTCAAAGCTCAGGGCCAGTTTGAGGACTACAGCTCTTGACTTTCTATCATACCCCGCTCTCCGCTCTTTTTTTATCGTCTATCTTTATCAATTAGTACCCGCCTCTTCATTCCGTCAGTCAGCGGACAAACAGACAGTTCAGAAGAGGGGGGGGGACGAAGAGAGGCGATAAAGGAGGACAAAGCAGGCGTCACTCCCGCCTGCACCCTTCTCATCGCTGCGTCAGCGCTAATGACTTAATGAACACTTCTCCGGCAGATTAGCCCTTGACAGCCCGTCATACGCGCCACCCCGTTAGCTTTCATGCCTGTCTGCTTAGTGTTGTGTGTGCTAACCTGCAACTATGCTAGCTGGCAGGTTGCTAAGATTTCCATATCCTTGTGAACGTGATTAGCGACAGGAAATGCTAATGAGCCCAACAAAAAAAAAAAGAGAAACTGGCAGGACATGTGTGATAAGACAGAGAAATTATGGGGATAAATGGGGGAGGAGGATTTGGGATGGTTGGAGAGGGACGTGGAGAAATTTACTACATGTCTGCTTTCCTTTTTTTTTTTGTGCGTGTGTGAAATGAGAGTGAGGAGAGCTCTTTGGTTGAAAACCAAGGTTGAAAACCAAAACTTGACATGACAAAAATCTAACACAGAAAGGGAAAGAAGTGAAATTTGTTAGATTGTTGAAAGCCATTAGATTTTAAACTCTAAAAAAGCCTCGCTACATCTGCCAAACACAGGGGGAGACAGACAAGGCTATTATTTTTCCCATACGAGTTGGTAGAGACCAGAAGAAGGCTTTAAAAAAGAAATGTGAGGGACTTGATAAGTAACTTAAACAATAGAAACTATTTCAAACAACAGAACAATAAGTTTAACCCATGTCCCATCAGTTTACATGGAGGAGGCAGAGTTTATGGCCTGTACTGCAGCAGGTCAGCTGTGAGCGCTCTGAGTGTCTCTGCTCCGTTTTTGTGGAGCTTTTTTGTTTACAACAGAGTTCACTACAAGGTAACTTAACTTCTGCCATATACTTCAACAGCTGTGTAGATCAGCTCCATCATACTATTGGTCACCTGTGTCTGTTTTGTTACAAATACAGGCGAGCGCCATTCTTCAACCAACCGGCATGTAACTTTATGTTTGTGGTGTCATGCTCACAGTCTCATTTGCGTCTTGACACAGACACCTCGTCTTCCCCCGATAAGGACAGTGACTTGATAACAGGCCTGTCCATCTCTACTGAACAAAAGAGGGGGACAGAGAGAGAGGAAAAAAAAGGAGGGGTGTGTATGTGAGATGAGACAAAATGAGCTTCCTTGTCTAATCCTTCAGGTTTCCACTCAGTAAAGCGCTCTTTTTTTTTCAGGGCTTAATTGGCTGGAAAGTGGCTGACATGCAAAGTTGAGGACATTAACAGGGCTGTGCGCTGCAGTAAATGGCAATGCAAAGTGACAGTTAAATTGTACCTAGGGGAAATTATCCATCTTTCGACATCCTTAGCTCTCTTTTTGGGGTGGATCGATGGGCGGAGAGAGGGGGAGAATGAAGGCAGGTTGAGGGGGTATAATTGCAAAGCCAGGCCATTTTTTTTTCCTTTTTTTTCTTTTTTTTGCCAAAAGTGAAGGGATGTTTTTTAAGTCCTCTCATTAAAAAGAAGGATTGTAAATGGCTTTGGAGCGCAATAGGAGATTAATACGATGGACGGATAGTAGGAAAACACAAATGGGAGGAAGCTTTGTAGACATCAAACTTTATTAAATGGCTACATAATGACTTAAACATACAAAACTTTGGGTAGATCTTTATTATTCAGTGTATGAGATTCACTTCCAAAACAGATTTTATAGCAATGCAGACGAACCTGGTGGATCTGCTTGTAACAGCATTAGGTCACAATCATGCACTTATAGAAAACGGTTATATGAAGTAAAAAGGCTTTATAGATGGCTGTTAGGTAGGGGTGGGAATCACTAGAGGCCCCACTATACGATATTTTCACGATACGATATTATCACGATACTTGGGCCACGATATGATATTATTGCGATTTTTAACATTTTGCAATACAGTGAGTATAACAATACAATATATTGCGATTTATGCATTTTTTTCAACTGTTAGCATTTATAGCATTTATACTGTTAGCATAGCTAATTAAGCATTTGTCTTTCATTTTTGTTTGTCTTATTTACAAGACAAGTGGTGGGACTTGCTGCACCAGCAGCTAGCAAGACCACAAACGTCACATGGCGTTGTGATACAGTTTTGTGAAAAATGAGTCCTTGTCGCTCTTCTGATACAGAAGAGCTAGGTTCAACTAGGCTGAGAAATCTGGCCTTCACCTCAAGAAGATTTGTGCGTCAGATGAAGAATTAGACCTTGAACAGACTGTTTTCTCTGCATTCCCTAAAGCCTGCTGATACTTGATTGGTTAATACTGCTTGGGGTTCAAAATGTGCAACACATAAAAACCAGAACACTTAACCATACTGAAAATCCAGACCTCAAGCGGTCTCCATTTCTCTGTTGAATCTGTAAACAAAGATTATACCACAACAAAACATTCAACAACAATTACAAACAGGTTTAGGCAGTTTTTCCTTGTATTTGTACGTAATCGTGTACTTATGACACCCCCACTACCCTGTGGGTCTCATTCTATCTCTGCACTCTTTCTCTCATTTTCAAAAATCTCTTAGTCTCTCTTCCGTGTCGTTCAATCAGACTGTTGTGCAGCTGAACAGCCTCTTGACTGGCGCTGCTGAATAATGTTGTCCCTCTTCATTTCAATTAGCAGACCTCTTTACCTTCCAACCCTAATCACTTCATTCCTCTTTCCTCCATTGCTCTCCTCTGCTTCTGCCTCACAGAAGCCAAACTCAAGGTCATACCATTTCCTGTTTTTTTCCGGGTTGTTGGTCTTTTTGGGCATATTTCTCTTACCCACTTGTCTAATTGATTGGAGGAGAAAACACTCCAGAAATTATACCTGTTACACTCAATCTCTGTCTCTCGCACGCTCCGTCCATCAGTTTCTTTCTCACTCACCCTGCCTCCCCCATGGTTGCCCTATCTGCTTTGACCTCTGTGTGATTGACATGGTAATTACCCAATCAACAGATTGATGGCAGCGCTGTCACAATAGAGAGGATTGAAGTGGTCTCTTTCACCTCCCCCTTCTTTCAGCTTCTCGTTCTTGTGTTTCCTTTCCCTATCTCTTTCTCTCCTCTTCTCTTGTTATCACTCGATCGGGCACACTCATCCTCCCTTCATGCACTCCTTTCGTTTCTTACTCTGCTTGAGAAAGGATGACATGAGAAGAGGAGAGTGAGCTGGTCTGGGGGAGTAATGTTGTTGCCATATTTTTGATAAATTGCTCAGCAGGGGGTTGAGGTCACCGGCTGACAGCATGAAATCAAAAGGAAGACAGTTAGGAAAGGAAGAGAAAGAAGGAAGGAGGAAAGGGAAATGAAAGAAGAGGAAATGAGGGGAGGTTAAAGAGGGTCAGAAAGGACAAAAGAAGAGAAAAGAGGAAGAAGTTTGAAGGCGGGCAAAGAGCCGAACAGGGAGGGCAAAGATCAGTGGAATCCTTTTGTCTGTTACATTGCTCCCCGTTTAAAAGCCTGTCCAGAGAGACATTAGCCCCTCGCAGGCAGGTGTATGAGAGAGTGCCTGATTGTGTGAGAATGATGTATTGGGGCCAAAAGGCTTCATCACCCACAGTGGTGCTGTCATGAATTCAAAGGCCTGTATTGTTACAGGGGGTCATAGTGCCCCAGTAGAAGGTCATAGAGCTGACCCTGAGTGATACACTCTCCATTCTCTACCCACACAATCCCTGTACAGGACTGATTGGACAGACATGACATCTAACGTGCTGCCTCTTCTCTCTCTCCTTCTCTTTGTGTTTGTGTGTGTGTGTGTGTGTGATTACTCTTCTGCAGAGACGACCTGACCAAGGCTCTGGAAGCAGCAATAGATTGTGGTAAGACCTACAAAGTCGTGCCTCGCATCCACGAAATCATTGTCGGTCTGGTGCAGAGGGGAGACACCGAACAGCTGCAGAAAGGTGAAAAATCCTTTTCATAGTTCTCCATCTGATCCATCCATATATTATTTTCTGATGTGTTGTAAATCAAAAGTTTTGATGTACCATGTAAACAAATGCTGTATTTTCTATTGTTTCAAAACAAACACAAACTTTCCAGAGACTAATAGACACACAGGGTCATCGTACCCGGAGCAGAGTCAAAGTTTTGTTCCATTCATCCAGATGGATTTGCAAGCTGTGAACACTGTTTGAAAACTGTTTGTAGCAGAACGTCTGCTTGTCCATATTCAACCATGGAGCAAAGTTCATAACTTTGAATTCTACAGATATCAAAGATGATAAGAGTAGGGTGACCATATTCTGAATCCCCAAAAAGACGTCGCCACTACGAGTTGTGCATGCGCGCATAACTTTTTAGGGTTTTTCTGGGGTGATCATATTCTGAATCCTCAAAAAGAGGACGTGCATACTCAAAATTTTTAGGGTTTTTCAGGTCGGGTTGAGTGTTTTTTATGCTTCTAACTCCGTTAAACGCATATTCTTAATACCAAAAAGACACTTAACCAGGCCTCTTGGAGATACTGAAAATACTTACACAAAGTTACGTTTATAAACAATATATTCATTTATTCAAAGCATTTCTCCTCAACAAAATTATCAGTCACATACAAATATTTCCTTTTCTTTAACTCACTGGCAGACAGTGCATGCGTGCGTCTTGTAAGTGGCTTTGCTTAGAACTGAGTGGAGGAGCGAAGCTGCAGATGCGCTGCACAGTTTTATAATGAATGAATACACATTCCAGGGTTTGGTGTCTCAGAGTGTGTTTCCAATTAAACCATTAAACGTGTATGGTAAATACAGGGGGGAAAAACCGGGCTTCAGTACAAAACCCCGGACATTTGAAGGATTATTTATACTCCCCCCGGTCAGGCTGGACAGCCCCCAAAAAGAGGACAAGTCCGGGTAAAAGAGGGATAAGAGGGACTGACATGTGGCAGCCTTTACTTTGAAATTTCTCAGATGTGTAAGATTTGCAGGTGGAGCAACTGTTGTAAAAGAATAATTTGTTCTTCCAAAGTTCCCCAGTTTTAAATCAAAGCCTTTTACTAAACTAAACTTTGCACATCCTCCCTTTCCAAACTTTTTCCCCCCTCATCTTTTATTCCTTTGTCTGTGCGTGTGCTCGGCAGCGTTTACATTTAAACGCATGTTACAAGTGCCAGCAATTCCAAAAAGTGCATAAGGGCACCAGGAAAGTGAGAAATGTTTAGACCAGGGTCATGTTGAAGGACATGGCTGATCAGGTTTTTGAACAGTCTCACTGTACGTCGACAGCAGCATAGTGAAAAGGTCAGGTTCAATGTGCTGCAGGGCCAAGTGGCTCTAGAGTGCTTAGAAGTTGAAACTGTGCAGTTGAGCACCTCTCAACCTCTTTCTCTCCCCTTTCACCCACTACCTTATCCACTCTTCCCTCCTAACTGCATCTCTCACCCCACTGATAGGTGACCTATTCTGTTGAAACAAAAATGGCTGAAACACGGATTTTCTGACAGAGGCCGACATCTAAGCCGGTGTATAGATCTTGAAACAACAACCAGATTTTTCTCCCACTCCCTCACACAAAGCAGTAAAGAGGAAGAACTTCTGACCTAAACCTTGAGTCACACTCCACCTGAAAGCTTTGTGAGCGCGTGTTAAGTGCACCACCAGCTGCACCGTGTCTCGCTCCTTCAGGGCTCATGCTGTTATAGCGCATTGATAGTCTGAAAATTCCCCACCTGAAACAAAAGCTGATGTACAGTATGATGAAACTTTCCAACAGACTGGCCTTCAGCGGTTCAAAACACACTACAGCCATGACATGCCTCATCAAAAGATCTTGACTTAACTGGTTTCTGACCGTGCCGAGTTCAAGTATCAACAGAAAAATACAATGCAGGCGGATTTTGTGAGGCAATTGTAGCAACCACTTGTGTTTTTTTAACACGAAAGGTCATTATGGACACTGTTAACCTAGATGTGTCTGGCATGGAAAGTCTACAGGGAGCTGGATTTTGAAGGGGTAAAGCAGATTAATGAAATCAAAGCACCATAGACTTTATAAATAAATGGACATATCCACTGTGGGCTCACCTGCTGGTGTGGGGATAGTTTTGAAGCCCCAGTCTTGTTATTTTGGCAGTTGCCATCTTTTTTTTTTTGGAGTAGGATGAATAGTTCAGGACACATTGTCAAGTCTCTATCCTGGATGTCAGGGCGCCATGGTCGCACTTTAGTGACACTCAATGACAACTGTATAGCACACAATGGACTTAAAGGTTAGCCATTGAGTTAGATGTCATCCAAGTAGACAGCAGGATGACCAGATCATCGCTGTCCAAAGTTAAACTTGTTCAACTTTTTGCTGTCCTCCATGGGTTGATGCTCTAAATCTCCATCTAATGACGAGGGCGTATGAGCGATCTGGACAACAGAAAAGCTCGCATGTAACTGATTCTTTTAAAGCTTCAGTAAGGACAATGTAGCTAGTTATGAAACATGATAAAATCAACACTGATGCCTCTATAAGACCGGTAAAAAAGACCATTTACAACAAGAGTCCAATCTATTTTTACTTTCTCTGCTTCTAACCCGTTATTGCTCTTTATTGGTTTTATTCTCTTTATTTGCAGTTATTTATTATCTGCTATTTACAAGTTATTCCTGTTGACCTTATTTGGGTTGCAATCCGTCTCTGCATCCTATAAATTATGTCAGCTACTCTATGTCTGGCTTTCCTCCTGAGTCCCTGCCTCGCTGTTTGTCTTTGAATGTGTTGTAAAGATAAAGTCGTTATTTTAATATCATTATCTTAAAAATGGACAGCTGCTGTTTAGGCGTCATACATGTCGTACATCGTTTCATGTGGTGTCATCTGAGCAGAGGTTGAATGCACTTTTTCATTGTTTCAGTTTTAAAATCAGAAGGGCTGCATTACTTTAAGTTTACGGTTAATGATTTGCATACAGACAATTAAACATACATTTAGGTGACTGAGATTCCACAGGTTGGCATCAGAGCTTCAAACTATTCATCTCTTGATGGATGAAGTTTAACCAGAGAAATCTCAGCACAGACATGACAGCAGCTTAAGAAGAGGGATTATTCTTTCTTCTGCTGAGCTGAATATGCAGGTCCTTTTGTAAAGTTTGGAGTGTGTTTGTGTTTTGTGTTTTTGTGTGTGTGTTACCTGTCCTGAAGCTGCTGGACAGAGATAGTACATAACGCTGAGCAGAGCGCTTTAGGAAGTTCACAATGAGGGCTTAGGCTTTCATTGGGGACCTGTGTGTGTGTTTGAGAGCAGACTTGATATGGCTGCTTTGTGCCTGGGACATTGTGCCAAATAATGGAATCAGAAGGAAAAGATGAAGTGTGCTGTGTGTTTGTTCACCTAGGAGGCATTTTTATTCATTACCTGTCTCTGCTCTGTTTTCCCCGTCTTGTCCCTTTTTCTCTCTTCAGCGATGGACTTTTTGAGTGAGGAGCGAGGAGAGATGACCATGCTGTACAACCTCTGCTTTGCTTTCCTGGAGAGCGGCCGCTACCGTGAAGCTCGCAAGATCATAGAGGTAAACATACAAAAGTACACAATAGGAACTACTCATGCCAGGTTTAAAATCTCTGGCACAGCTTTCTCCTGGAACGAATTCCTCAAAGTTTCAAGAAAGTGATGCTATCCTTGAAACCATCTGGTAAACAAAATTTTTTCCAAACATTAGAAAAAAGGGACCTAAAAAAAGGGTTTTGACAACTTAATGACATCTCAAAAGAAGCCAGAAGCCAAACACCAAAAGCTAAACTTACAAATCTTGATAATTGATTAGTTGAGCTGAATAAGTTTGTTTAATGCTCCATGATTTTGAGTATAAATCATGTATACATATCTTTCTTTTTTTTGGTTTGTTTGTTTTATCTGCGATGAATTAAGAAGTCTTTAAAATGTATTGTGGACCCTGTAGAGTGAATCCTTTTGTATCATAGGTTGAGTGCATTGCTGCGTCCTTAACACTCAGATACTGTATTCCAAACAGGAACTTGCCTTTAACATTTTGCATGTTGTATGTGATGGAAATGGAGAGTTTTCTGGAGCATACATTTAATGTTGACTTTAGCTCGTGGCTGCAGGTCTTGATAAAAAAGTAGATTCTCAATCTTTGAAAAGATACCTGATTAGAAGTACTTAATCTGAAAATGAGGATGACACGGACAGACTCGACATGACATGACATGAGCCGCAGAGGACATGTGGGCTATAATTGCCAAACTCCTTTTGTTCCCTCAGCTTGTCTGACCTGAATATTTTCTGAATATTTATATCTTTCTCATCTTTCGTCTTTCTGTAAGCCCTGTAGATTAATGTGAGAAAAGGAGCGAGGCAAAGCAGGCAGATAAGAAGCGATTTTCACATGGATAAAACGAAGGGCCGGTCAGGGACTGGATAGCAGGACAGGGAGACTGATGAATAAACAAATAGAGGGATGAGCCCGGCATCAGATGAAGGGAAACAAGGCCATTATATTGTCTTATCAGGATGAGAACAAGAGGGAGGAAATCAAATACCTTAACTCCTCTGCTCTGGCTCTGCTCACTCCTCTGTCCTAGTGTGCACTAAAAGAGGGATTTGTCCCTCTTGAGGATTTCCAAACCCTCTTAAATATTATCTGCATGTTGTTATTGTGGCTCTCATTCCCCTTCTGCTGGATTGTATGACTGTTATCCTACTTATAACGGGGAGTCAGCTGCATGCAAGCAGTGGTTGAGATTGGCGATGCCCTGTAAATCAACCATAGCTGTACATGTCGTGCTTGATGTCGGTGGAAGATGTGGATTTGAGTGACAGAAGTTCAAACAGGTCACCTCCATCTGGTGAATTTTAATACTTGTGTCAAGATAAGGATTTTTGAGCGACGCCAACATCGTCAACAAACACAATCCAAGTCTTTGACTGCAACAACAGGCTTATCTCTTCCATTTAGAAGGCTTTGGCGGACTTCAAACATTTTTAATGGGGCCCATAGCCAATGTTTTTGTCACACAATATTTCCTTGTTTGCGTTTCTCTACTTCTGTCTCTGTGCTGTTTGTTTCTGAGCAGGTAGAAATCAGCAGATTTATTCTAACTTTTGCTGAAAAACTGCTCATGTTTGTAAACAGCATAAGGTTAAACCAAAAAATAGGGCTGGTTGATAAAATGGTAACAATAAAAAATCGAAAATTAATTTCCCTCAATATCAGTACAAAACATGGCCAATATGCTTTTTGATAGTCAGCATTCTGCCATGTTTTGGTAGACTATACTTATAGCCAATGAAAAAGGGAGTTGCTCCTGGTCCGCTTTATGCTGAAGCAATCATGTGCTGAATTAGAACCAAGCCATAGCATTTTTAACACATGAAGCCGACAGCATTGTCAGTGAGACAAAAAGATAATGAGTGCCAACGCCGGCAGAAATTCAGATGAAGGCTCAACAGATGACAACATCGTCGACAATGCTGGCATGAAAACGTGAATAGCGTGGAGGTATTTTGCTTTTTTGCAGAGTAATGTGCACTGCAAATTGTGTCGAGTACATGTTCTTGCAAAGTCAGGTAATACCTCAAATCTTTTCACTACCTGAAGCAGTGCAACGGGGCAGAGCACACGCAAAACAAAAGGTTACAAACCTGAGCGGAGCAAGGAGCCCATGGCGCCTGTGCAGTCGAGACAGCCAACCATTCAGTCGCCTTACAACAAAGTATCGAAGAGACACAAAGACCTCACAGATGCAGGAGCTTATTGTATTGCAAAAGACATGCTACCAAGAAGAACTGTTAAATTCATTTTTTATTTTGGGATATTTATCGACTGACATGAAAAATATATATCGTGATAGAATTTTCCCCATATCGCCCAGCCCTACCGAAAAAGTGACATTTCTAGGCAGAAGACTAAAAGAATGAGCCTAAACCACAGATTTGGTTCTTCTTAAGTGACAGCTTATATCTATCGTCAAGTTAACGCTATGAGTTGAGGCATCTTCAGCTGAGTTTTGGTGATCCGTCTGAAGTCTCCTGCTGTAGGAGAGCAATCAAAAAGTGAATCTGTCAGATCACACATTACAGAGCTGCTGAAAACGTAACCTATTCAGATGTTGAGAATAGAGAAAGTTCACTCCTGAAGTTGTACTCATCACATTTACGAGGCAGTAAGTACAGTGCTTAAGATATATATAGTACAAAAGAATCATATCCACCACTTAAATATTCATACACACTCAAACACACAAATACTTTTTTTCCCTTTTGAGAGCGTCAAGTGCCCGCCCAGAGTGGTGTCTCTCTTTAGGCTGTGTTTGGTATAATTGGCAGCTGATTAATCACAGCTAATTAAATGTAATGATAGAGAAAGGTGGCCAATTTTGTGCTAAATGGTCAAGGTTAGGTAGAGGATTGTCAGGTGGTCCGGCCTATTATTGCAGCACACACATGTATGTGATGGTCAGGGTTAGGTAGTGTAGCTAAAGAGTGGTGGGCTATTATGTGTTTTAGTGTTAGGGAGTGGGGTTTTTTGGCCATGTATGTGTGTTTTTCTTTGTGTGTGTGTGTGGACTAAGTGGCCAGGTGATTAGTGGAATTAGCACATTAGGAATTGAGATGGAGAGGGTTTGTTAAGTGGAGGTGAGATGAGGTCAGGCCTGTCTTTTTCTTTTTGTGAACACGCACTTAAAGGTGAGAGAGAAACCCGTGAAGATGTTGTCGCGTCCAGAGGCCACGGAAGACTCAGAGTGACGGACCATAAGGCGCTCTGCTGTGTCTGTTTTTGTGTGGGTCAGAGGATTGTCCTGATAATCTTGACCTCATGACATTTTTCCATTATCTTTTGTGAAAGTGAGAGCGCCATTGCCTTTTTTTTATTTTTTGTTGTCTACTACTTTGTATTCTTTTGATCCGTCGTCCCCATGCGTGTATAAATTATGTGTCTTCTTATTTCTGAGGATTTTGTTTTCTGCTCAGATTAGGGAGATTTGTCCTGACGGATTCAAAATCCCAAACACATTGCTTTCCGCGTGTATGTGTGTGTGCGTGTTCGCATACGAGTAGATGTGTGAGCTCACAAGATTTCACCAAGTGAAGGGAATCGGAGGCAAAAAGATGGAGCACTTGCACTGGGCCTTAGTCTCTAAGAAGATTAGACAGACTGCGAGAGAGAGTGCGACACATTTTAATTTGTCCCTTTGGCTGGTTGGGTAAGAACATAATGCCTTCGCCTGGGCTGGATGGAGGGATGGAGATGCAGGGGAAAAGACAGAGTTGAAGCAGGGGAGATTTGGAGGGAGAGGAGAGGGATTGAGAGAAGTGGGGATTGAAAGAGGAAGGGATGACGGCAGTGAGGGATGGTCAGAGAAAGGGATGAAGCCCGTCTTTTCTTGACTTCCCCACCCCTCCCTCTCACAGTATGATGGGCTCCCATCAAAGAGGCCAGCGGGGATTGAGCGCAGTTGATCCCCCATTCAGATTAACTTCCTGGCAGATCGCTCTTTCTCTCTCTCTCTGTCTTTTTTTTTCCCAGCCAGATTACCAAGAAGAGAGGGCAAGCGAGATTTCTCAATCCTAGTCTTATTCAGATTGTATCAAAGCCCCAAGAGACAGATGAAATCCTGATCACTGTTAGTCCTCGATAATAATCATCTAGTCACTGCACATATCAGGCTAAATCTCAGCTACATGAGCCTGAAGATCAATCTATGTCAGCCCTTATTTGACAGTACACACACACACACACACACACACACACACACACACACACACACACACACACACACACACACACACACACACACACACACACACACACACACACACACACACTCACTCAATCTGTGTATCACTGATGTCCTAAAAGCACCGCAAATCTCCCAAAAAAGAGCTGAACTATTTATGACTGTGCTTTGGGGTTTGGACATTTTTAAATCTAAATCTGTTGTTTTATGATCTGTTTTTAAATTTGACATCTAGCTCTGTGTCTAAGGTTAAGACTCTATGCAGCAGTCTTCCCTGCTGTGACCTAGATCGCTCAACATTGAGATAAACAAAAAATATTCTTACCAAGTTGTTACGGACAGATGATTTCTTCCATTAGTAATCACCTTTTAAAAGCATTTGAGTGTTAAAAAAATCACAGTATTTACTTCCCCTTACTCTTGAAGTTTGATTCATTTGTTGTCTATATGTTGTAATCTTTTAGGGCTGGGCGATATGGGGAAAATTTTATCGCGATATATTTTTCATATCAGTCGATATCGATATATATCACAATCAAAAAACCAAAATACCTCCACACCACCAGCGTTTTCGTGCCAGTGTTGTCGACGATGTCATCATCTTTTGAGCCTTCATCTGCATTTCTGCCTGGGGTAGCACTCATTTTCTTTTTTTCTCACCTCCGTGTTTTAAAGTGCTACGGTTGCGTGTAGCTGCAGCCTGCTACTACGCAGTTGTTTGCTACTTAGTTCTAATTCAGCACGCGATTGGTTAAGCGCGAAGCAGACCCGGATCAACTTCCCTCTTATCCCCTCACTCCCCCTCAACATGACAGAATGCCGACTATCGAAAAGCATATTGACCATGTTTATATTGATATTGAGGGGAATTAATTTTCAATATATATCATTATCGTTTTATAACCCAGCCCTATAATCTTTCCATAGAGGATTTTCTCTAACTGTGTTTATGCACAGACTGGTAACGAAATGTCCAAGTTTTTTTTACAGACACTGGTGTTGTTACAAAAACTGGTTCAGTTAACAGAATACACACATACAGGCATAGAGGCCAAACATTTCTTCTTGTCACCTCATGAATTCATTATCACGCCTCTTTTTTTATACTATTGTTCAATGAATAAGTGAGTGTCTTTAAGGACGGTGCTGTTTTTAGACATAGGTATTGAACTTAAACATTTTTATTATCTCAGTGACCAACAATTAAATGATAAAAAAAGACCAACAGACTAATTTCTGTGTAAAAAAACAGTACCTCTAATTGTAGCTCTGATACTAAGAGCATGTTTCAGACTCCTCAAGACACATTTACTCGATTGTGTTTCTATTTTTTCAATCTGTGTAGAGATGTGTGGCTTTTGTGTACCTACAGTCCATACCGTGTGTCAGCTCAAGGCTACATAAACATAACCTTCACATTCTTGTTGTCAGTTTACACTAAAGAATTCCTTTAAAAAAAAAAAAATCTTTAAAACTGTTAAAACTACTACGATCAAACAAGAAGTTCTCGTTTAATGTGTCAAAACTGTGATTTATTATTGATTCTTGGGCGGTATATGAGGATCGAAGTGTGTTGATTTACAGACTTAATGGATAATAAATTTTCAGATTTATGTTGGTGTGTTTTATCCTTCTACAAACACTCTGTGTGATTCACTGCTTGATCTCTGGATGACTAAAACACAGACCTTACCATGGTAGATTTTACTCTTATTCATAGTGCTTTAATAGTCCTTAGCTAGTGAAGAAAAAATAAACTTTTTACAATTTACTAAAAAATAAAAATAAGGAGCCCTGGTTATTTCCATGAAGCCCACATGTTCTTTACAATGATAGCCCAGACATGTAACGCAGCAGCAAACATATCCAGGTGTTTTTTTACTCCCTGGCTCTTTCAGGTGAAATATTAATCCGTGTTCTTCTTTTCATTTTCTAGACCCCAGGTATGAGGTCACGACCTGGGCGCCTTTATTGGTTTGCAAAGAGATGCGTACAGTTAAACCAGGTACTTAAATCATCATATAAACACACACACACACACACACACACACACACACACACACACACACACACACACACACGCACACGCACATACTGATGGAGCTGCTGGCTGAACCAGTCAGGGCCACAAGTACAAAAGCAGACAAACATATAAAAATATGAACATGCAGTATTGTTGTTTGTTTGTTTGTACAGATGGAGACCTTGGAGCAAATGGTGGACATTACAGCCAAGCTGTTTGAGTGTGACAGAGACGAGATGTACTCTCATGCCCTCCTTCTTTGTAGTAAGTCTCTTTGGTTTTTTGTGTCTGTTTGTTGTTGTTTTGTCGGTTTCTGAGTTTGCAGCTTCATGCCAATATCTCCTCTCGCAAAGACCTTCTACCTGTGAATGTAGAAGATTCTTTACTTTGTGTGTGTTTGTGTGTGTGTGTGTGTGTGTGTGTGTGTGTGTGTGTGTGTGTGTGTGTGTGTGTGTGTGTGTGTGTGTGTGTGTGTGTTTGTGTGAAGGTGAATGGGATCAGTGGGGAAGTAAGAGCAGAAGACTTAGTGTGATTGCTGTAGTTGAGAGTAGAACAGATAGTTGCTCTGATTGGAGTGTTAAAGCTGATTGTCAATCCATTAAGCCCACTTCTTCACACACACACACACACACACACACACACACACACACACACACACACACACACACACACACACACACACACATGCTCAAGCGTATACTCGTTAGTGTGTTTCCTAAATTAGAACATAGTTTAGGGTCAGCCAGCTGATCACACTTGTGCTCAGACTGACCTCTCACAGCATGGTGCTGTTGGTCAGAAACTACCCTTTGATGAAGGTCCACTACAAACATGGGTTGATATGTTATTGCTTTTATTTTATCACATAAATACATAACTTCTCTCTTTTCCACCACTTTATTTGTATTTTCTTTTCAGAGGAGAGAAATGACTGGAAAAGGGCCGAAGCCTTCTGGACAAAGATGCAGGAGGAGAGCTTCATTCCTCGGGAGAGGACCCTGCTCCTCCTGGCAGAAATCCTGAGGAATAACGGCAAGGAGGTCCCATTTGAGGTGCCTGAGGTAAAACCCCACTCAATGATATGCACATCAGAGAAACGCTCATTAGACAGATGTGTTATTCAGAAGAATAACTGCCAGGAGGTCCCTCAAGGGGGAAGAAGAAGAGCAGATAAAACTGAAAACAAATTCCTCAGAGCATTGGAGGACTCAGAAAGTGCCTGAGGTCAAACATAACACAAAGCAGGCAGCAGTGAGGGTTTAACACAAATCACAATGCAGCATCAGCATACATTACTGTCTCTAACTATTGGACATAATCGGACAGAGCCACCCTTTGTTACAGTAATGAAATTATCAGCTGATGAAAGGCAGTAAAAAATGTTGGCAATAATCCTGTTATCATTTTGTAGAGAAAATGGCAAACTTGATCTGTTTCTAGCTTTTACTATGTGACAGTATCCTCCCTTTTTTGTTTTATTTAATCCTCAATTGAAAACCCTTTCTGTGCTATCAATGGTTATGTTTTTTCAAGGCCAAATTAGAGTCCTACAGAATAGATTATTAAGAATATAATAATTACATGCACAACCAAAAAAGCAATGTGTTTACCATAAATTTGCAGAATTATGGTATTTAGTAGCTTCAGAAAGTGAGAAATGTTCAGAATATTACTGTTGAATGTCTTTGCATGTTTGCTGCATTCGTGCATCAGAACTGTCCGTTGGAGTCTCATTAGATTAGCAAAGCTGAATAATAACTGATGCTGAATCTCATCATTGAAAACACAATAGTCTTATTCTCACTTCTTTTCACACTGCTTAGATTAACCAAATCACAAACTGACCCCAACCTCTAATCATACGAAGTACCCCCCCGCACCCCCTCCGAAAAACCCCTGAACTCTTATCTCCATACAGACCCGGGGCCCCACCACCACCACCACCCTGCTCCACTTTAAGCTCCTGTTCATTACATGCAGAGGAAACAGGATTGAAGCTCCTGATCTGAAGTGTGGTCAATCAGAGCGACTGGCTGCTGAAAGGAATTACAGCTTGATCTGTCTGTAAATCTTTAATGCCAGACTAATTTAGCCAGCAGCTTAATGCCACCATATGGCTGCTGCTGGATTCTCAGTTATATATGCACATGTGGCTTCAACTTTATTCCGCCCAAAAGATAAAACAAGGCAGACAGAATTAAATATGTCACAAAACAATGGCACAATAATAGCAGAGGAGGTCTTTTCTTTTGCTTCAGATAAATTAGATTCCTTTCCTCCTTGTTGCATTTTTTTTCGCAGTGTTGCTTCGAACATGAGCGTGCTCCAATAGCCCAGAGCGTGACGAGACAGGAAGTGATTGCTGTTGCCTGAAGCGCTGAACTTAGAGACCCCTGGGGCTCTTAGGTTGACACCCCTGTTTCGACATACTCTCTCTAAAGCACACACACTTTCATTTTTGCCCCTGGGGTGCCAGACCTAATTTGCCCCTAGCCAATACAGCTTAACCCCCTCCCCTCCTTGCTACATGGGTGACCGAGCATTATGAGACCCTGCCCTGCTGGCCCAGCATTATTGCACTGTCATACACACACATACACACACACACACCAGTTCACTGCTTGCACAGTTGAATATGTAAACAGGCTTTAATGCTGGATGTAGCAGGGTTTTGATGCAACATCACACTGAGTTCTTTCTCTGATTTCCCCCATGCGTGTCTTTTTCAGATATGGTACCAACAAGATGAGATCACACAAGCCGACACAACTGAGCAGGTCGAGGAGCAAGCAACAGAAACAGAAACAGAGACAGAAACAAAACCCCCAAAGCCCCCCAAACCCACTTTACACGAATCACAGCTGATTGGCCAATGTAAGCGTGGAAGAGCTAAAGGTAGGAAAACAGCGTTGTTCTCATCACACGAGAGCTGGTTTACTCAAACCATGAGATTTGGAGCTGCCTAACAAACTTTCAGACAATTGTGGAGTGCAAAGACTCGCCGCACTTAAATACTTGAAGCCTATCAGTTTTAACCTGGCAAAAAATATTCCCTCCATACAGTCCAGCAGAAATGTGGGCTCGCAGTTAGAGCCTTGTGTTATGAAAATATGAAAATATGATAATTCAGATAATGCTGACTTTCAGTGACTGCTTGGAAATTTTCCTTAAGTAAGAATTTCTGCTCAAAATAGCTGCACAGATTTCAAACACAGCATCAACTCGTAGCAATGAAACAGTGTGAATTTGAATTTAACCTTTGTATTCACACTTTTGACAACAGAGTACTCAAGATCTTTTGAGCTTTTGCTTTTCTTCATCGTGTCTAATCTCTTCTTCATTGTTTCTTCTGTCTGTTCTTCCGGACCTACAGAAGCCTTTCAGAAATTGAAGGATGCTGAGGATAAGAGTCCTGCCGGCCCCGTCTTTTATGACCAGCTTATCCGTGCCCTGTTGTCTGAGGGGTCCTTGGAAGAAGCCATGGAAGCCAAGGACATGTGAGTGTATTATTAATATGATTGCCTGTTTGCACCTGCTATAATGTTAGTTTTTATTCAGTGGTTTATGTATTATTTGCCGTATTTCCTACTGTCTAACCAGGGACGAGGACCGCAAATTAGCCATGGCTAGAAGTCCTGCAAACACAGCATTGGTTGCTCTTTAATTAGATGCAACAATGCCTGATGTACTGTCCCTGTCAAATAAACGAATAAAACAGAAAAAAAACTTATTGCTGCAGCCACTACTGACAAAAAAAAAACTTTGTCTTTGAGCTGATTTATATTTGGTAGAAAATATTACAGATATAAATCAGAGTAGACTCTTTAAATATTATTACCTTGCACTTGTTTTCTTAAAAAACAACTGCACCCCCTCCTTTCAGTCCAGTTATTTTGGTCCTTAAAAAATAATCAGAGCTGGGGTTTTGATGACCTTGCAATCATATAAAGGCTGTAGTTTATAGTTTACTGTGTCCTTCCCACGCCTGTGTGCTGCATGTCTTCCCACACTTTTCCTATCTATCTCCAGCCTTCCCCAACCCTCTAGGGTTAGGGGTGGGAATCACTAGTGGCACAATATTATCTAGATACTTCAGCCACGATACCATATTATTGCGATTTTAAACATTTTGCAAAACAGTGAGTATTGCGATACAATATGTTGCGATTCATACAATTTTTTCAATTGTTTAGCTATTTTCGCATTTGTTTTTTCTTTATGTTTATTATTCACACTGTATTTTATTTTCATGTAACACATCTCGCAAACCTTATGTGTCGGGTCAATCACCTCTGCCAACCTCCCCGGACAAACAGTTGATTTTATTTTTCCATTATCATAGATTTGACTTCACTTTAGCAATTAATTTGAAGCTACTTGCTCAATGAGACGATACGATATATCACCAGACAAAATATCGCAATACTATGCTGTATCGATTTTTTCTCCCACCCCTACTAGGTGTATCCTGTGAACTACAATCATCATAAATCTAAGTAGTTATGAAATAAATATGAATGAATAAAAGTAAATAGTTTTTTCACAGTGAAGATATCTTTGTAGTAAAGCGAACAGAAGAAAGATTCAGCATGTGCAATGGTCAGCCTGTACGGCACCAGGTCACCTCAGGCTAAAACTCCTCTATACACATGAGGATTATAAACTGATTGTGTGCTAACACATTCAGTCCTGTCGGATATGAACAGTGGTTCTTACTAAGCCCCAAAATACACACACTCACACAAACACATACTCACACACATACAAGGATGGAAGTGCAGATTAATTTTGGTTTTCTGGGAAGTGGTTGACTTTTCCCAAAAACATCAATCTCCTTCCAATTAGTAATGTATCATGTGTTGTTGTGCTGCTCGAGTAGTATCAGAGCTTGAGCCTGGAGACAAATAGATGGACAGACAGAGGAATTAGAGATCTGAGCTTAGGGCAGCGCTGATCTTTTCAGCTCTGTTTGTCTTTTTATGTAATCTCCTCCTTTTTTTCCTTTATCTTCTTTTGTCTCGTTCCTTTATATCACTTTCTCCATACAGATGAAAGCACAAGTGCAAAGTGTTCAAAAAAAGAGATAATAGTATAATGACACAACACTCTGAAAGAGGAGATGTAGATGCTCATTTGTGAGAGAGAGAGAGAGAGAGAGAGAAGAAAAAAAACATGTAAAAACATCTATTACGCTATCAGCCTCTCCCCTTGTTTTCGCCTCTCTACATGGTTCACTCTCTTATGTTATGAAGAATAATTGTATCAAATTTCGACCCATGTTTCAACAAGCACGAGGAAATATGAGTGATAACCCATCTCCGGGCTCTGTTTGAATTGGTTTATGGCATCCCTGCCTGGATAAAAGCTTCGTTTATCTACGCTCTAAATGAGAAGTGAAATGAGCTGAGAGGAGAGTGAAGATGAGGAGGAGAGGAAGGAGATAAAAAGAGCTAAATGGGAAAGAAGGAGTGAAGAGGGGAAGGAGGGCAAGATTTAATCACGCACGGGGTTAATGAAGACGCTATAGGCATTAATTCTTTGTGCATGTGGGTGTATGCGTATTTGTTTTGGGGTAATCTGTACAGAATTGAGCAGCAGGGTGCTTATGGTGAGATTAAGGGATTGGGAGAGAGTGATGATGAGAGAGAGGGAGGAAGAGGTGGATGATGGATTCATTGGCTGGAGTACAATACCCCTTAGACGGAGAAGCAAAGAGAGGGCATCAGTGTGTGTGTTGGGAGAAGGTGAGTGAGAGACATCCTCTGGAGATTTTCTTCCACCCGATAAGAATAACTCTGACCCCACCACCCCTCCCTCCTTCTCTGCTCTGTCTCCACTGCAATCTGCCGGCGACCCTGTTCTCACTCCAATCTCTGCCGTGACCCTGTCACCGCACTTGCTGGATGCCGCTTGGCCTGGTGTCGCCGCAGTGATAAGGATTGCCGGCCTGATGCTCAATTGAGCGGAAGGATTAATCTGGTTGCGGGGCTATAATAAGAAATCAAAAAAAGACGGGAGGCGAGCTTGATTGAGGTTTTAGAGGCACAGAAATGAAAAGAAGGAAGGCTGAAAAGGACAGCATATAGTCAAAGCGAGGAGGAGGAGGGGTGTGTGTGTGAGGAGCAGGGGGCAGCTTCCAGAGCTCTCCAAACTGCAGCATCTAGCCTGTCCCAAATAAAACCACACACAGATTTACAAACACACACATGTGAGAGCTCAGCGGGGAGTAATCAACTGTTTGATGTCTGTATTATTTTCAGGGTCACAGCAGGCGCTTTACAAGAGGCTCAGACTCGTGGTTGATCACATTTGTTCCTATTGTCTTGTCTGTTTTCTGCCTTTCAGCTCGGTTTATCCACTCTGCATATCTAATACGGTTTTCAAAACATGATTCTGTTTAATGGCCACACGCAGTACCCAAAGACTAAAACACCAAAAAAAGATGTTAAGTCAGTCATCACAGAATATTAAGGTTTGCTTTTAGTGTAGGACTTAGAATTGATGGACTTTCACGTTGATGGTGAAATCTAATACTTGATGCATCAGTCAGACATGTTGATGAAATCTTCTCATTGGTAAACATAATTTTTAATTAGGCTATTGAATTGCATATGATTGACTATATTTATTTACAAGCTAACATATTAACTCTGTAGGAGACTTTTGCAGTTTTGCAGTACTGTCTTTTATAACATACACTGGCGGGTTAAATTATAAATGTACCGCTTTTTTTTTTTTTTTTTTTACCATGTATTATCCAAATGAGTCACAACCATAGACTGTATATACTGTGGACAACTTAGTTCCGCCTCCCGCCTGTATACGGATCTGAAGCCAAAAAGCTCTCGGTAGTTCCGTGATTTTCCTTCATTTCCTGAAACCAGCGCTGCGCAGTAGCATTGTGCGCATTTGGCGGGAGAGTCACCGAGAGTCGCTGTGATGACGCTCGGCAATGAGCTACGCAATCAGCCTATGCCCATCGGCTGTATCAGGTGTCAATCAAAGAAAACATGAACCCCCTAATAACTTTTAAAAACGGAGCTGTACAGAAAAAAGAGGACTTGAGCACAAACCAGTCTGACAGTAAATACATGTCAGAGAAAAATTTATATTCTGTGTAATACATTTCTAAAGTTTGTCCACAGCTCCATAAGCTTTGCTGGCGAAGGCGGGATTTATGACCTATACTGCAGCCCGCCAACAGAGGGTGCTGTTCTCGGAGTGACTTCACCCAGCGAGAAGGCAGACTCTGTCCATTCTATATACAGTCTATGGTCACAACCTATATGAAACTATGTTTGGACACTGAGTTTTTTAAGCTAGCTGCTTATTTTAGTATCCTTGACACTTCTCCCCCTCCATCCACTTAGACAGCATGAAGCCAAAACACCCCCTGCAACAGGTGCCACACACAATGCGCTGGTGACAACATTTGTAGCCATGCAGTAGAGACAGGCTAACCACTATAACCTTTATGTGAACCAAAAACACACACTTTACTTATAGAACCAGAAACAAGATCTCGAGGTCAGTCCGGTCTATGTAATGGCTCCATGTAAAGGTTTAAAGTAGATACACGTGTATAATAAGTTTAATAACTCCTTTGTTAGCATTTGTTACATTTCCTCTGGTCTTCAACTGTTGATCAAAATGTCAGTTCTGTTAAAACAGCTTAAGATAGTTTTGTTTTGTGAACTGTTGGATGTGCTGCTTGACAGGATGTGCGACAGAATTGAATCATTATATATAAAAAAAAAAACACCAGTTTTTACCAGTCAACAGCACAAATCAAAAGAGTCTTGTCATGTTAAACATCAATAACACATCAACTTATTTGTATGCGTTCTCCAGCTGTAGATATTCTGAGGTCTGTAAATTCATCCTTGTTGTGAAATTAGAAGCTAATAAGAAATATTTTCTGTCTTTGTCAGAGCTCAGACCCATTTGCCAAACTTTTACTTAGGTGACATGGCAAACACTTTGCTCATTGTCACACTGAGTAAGAAAGGCCGGCTTGAAGGTAAGAAACACACAAAAAAAACACGCAAACACACTACAAACTCACACCGCACACATGCATACTCACTTCTTGAATTGCTGTCCCACAGAGGCTCTTAAGCAGCTGAGGACAATGCTGCAGTTTGACCAAGTGCCAAGGCAGCTCGCTATCACCAGACTGGTTCAGGCCATGGGTGACGAGGGCGATGTCGCGGGTATCCAGGAAGTTGAGTCACTCATGCAGAAACTCGGGACGTCCTTAAACATGTCCAAAATGGTGTTTACCAACAACAAGGCCCTGGCATACATCAGGAAGTAAGACGGCTTATCAAAGGGTGTATTTAATGATTTTAGGTTAATTAAGAGTTTGGCACTAATTTTCTAGGTAAGGAAACCCCTGTGCTGCTTAAATTCCTCACAAAACAAAACCTAAATCTGTAACAGTCAAGTCTCTACGATATCTGAAGTCCAAAGATCAGATATTCTCCTGCATAAGATGTTTTATAAAAGTTGTGGGACACTTGCAGAAAATAACCGAGCCATATAGAGACGGATATTTAGGGATAGACACTTAAAAAGAAAAACAAACATGGATGAACAAAACTTAAGATTTTTGCCAGAACTTACCATCCAACATGTAGTCATCTGTACTGCTTTGCAAACTCTGGCTGGTATGCAGAAAGACAAAGTGGTTAATGCAATGCCAGCGACTAAGTGTGACAAGACCCAGACTAATGCACTCCTAAAGATTAGAGGGCGAGCGGGGCGTCAAGTACAAATAGGAAACACAGACGTGAAAGGATTATTCATGGCGTCCTTTTAATGTCATAAAACTCCCATCCTCCACGCCGGCTTTGTCGCTTCTCAAACAAAAGAGAACAAAATATAAAATACACTGTGCATCAAACTTTTATCGCGCTACCTTCAGCATTAGTCCTGTCCCCCCCCGCTCGAACCGCATTGTTGTCGTGCCAGCTCAGAGGGACAGCAGGAAGTGGAGAATCGCACAGCGGTCTCACGCCCGATTGGCCATCGCAGCAAGGGCCTGTCAGCTTGAACCCTGACCTCTGGGAGCAGCGCTCTGAGCGGCTCTGACACGTGCGTCCCCGCTGTATCTGACTCAAGCTGACTTGTTAAGAGCCGGGGCGGAAAAAGCGAGCAGGCCCAGGAAGCGGAGCGCCACATTTAGAGGGGCCCCCCATTGAATTATTCAGACGGTCCCAGTCGCAACAATCAGCGTAGATATGTTCCCCCACCTCTGAACGCTTTCACATATACATACACAAAGACGCACACACACCCCGCATGTTAAATATTCATCACGACTGGTGACGGTAGGAGAGAGCAGGCAGCGGAAAGTGTTAGCAGCGAGGTCGGGTTGCCAGATCGAGTTGTTTTAGATTTGTAGTGCTCTGGTTTTCAAGCTTTGTTTTTTGGTTTTGGAAACCTCAGCAGAAAAACATTCACAGTCTGAGCGGGTTCGAGCAAGCGTCAGTGGAAGGTTTAGGGGTCTGCACTCAGCGGGAGGCTGTAATGAATATGAAACCAATGTCATCTTAATAAATTATTCTTTAATTAATTTGTTCTTCAATTTAGACTTTTTCTTTCATAAAATTTTATTCTAATGTCCTTCCCTAAGTGGACAATAACATTTATTCAGGATCATGAGTTTTTTCTCTGATCTAATTAGTCTTTCTTATTTCAGCCATATGGACAAATTTGTAATCGAATAAAATCTTTCAACGGTATTTCAAAGCCAGTGTAGAAATAAGTGCTCCCTTTATTCAAGAAAGATGGAGTAAGGTGTCGGAGTTTTGGCTGTTTAGTAAATTTAGTATAGACAGTTTGGCAAGAAACCTGTTGATTTAGGAAGACATCTTATTTTGGTTTTATGGTGACAATTGTTGTAAATAGGTAATTGGATATTATCTGTTGTCTTATTGTATTGTTTACTGTGACTAAACTCACTCTTATTTCCTTCCTTTCATCAACCTCCTCCAGTGGTGATGTGGATTTAGCTTTAGAAGAGTTGGAGGGAGTCCTCACGAATCCAGAATTCAAAAACACGAGAATATCCTTCGTCTACAAGAAGGTCATGGAGGAAAACAATGACAAAGCCATGGACAAGTGTAAGACGCTCACATTCACACACACAAAGCAAACATTTTGATCAAAAAATGAACACATGCTGTGAAAGAGGACTGTTAAATAGTATTCCAGTTAAACAAAATGTTTGTGTCTTGTTGTTGTGTTTCAGTGGCTGCAATGGCTGAGCGACTAGCCAATCATTTCGCCCTCTACCAACCTGCAACAGATCTCTTTCTCCAGCTGGTGGATTTCGGCAAAATAGAGGATGCAAAGTTCATGCTAGCTGTGAGTACTAGATGTCAATGTGTGTGTTTGTCAGTGTGTTTACACATGGGTCTCAAAATCTATGTAGTCAAACAACAAACGTGGGAAAATGCGAAGTATAAGTGTAGGAATCTAAATGTGTTTCAGTAGATTTTAACCAAGTATATTTTAATACCGCCTATACTTTTTTGTTTGGGTTTAGATGAGCTACAGTTTTACACGTCTTTCTGGTCTTTTTGTTCCAGGAATCAGATACTCCGATTACCAAAATAATTAAAATTTAGGGGAAATTTGCTGGTATTGATAGAAATAAACTGTAAAAGAATTCAAACACAATGTAAAGTCATCAGAAGTTTCACTTTTTTGTTTTCAAAGTTAAAATCCAATTTTTACATTCAGACATAACCAAAGACAAATAGTCATATATATGTTTATGATATACATACATGTGGTGTGTGTGTGTGTGTATTTTTTTTCTATCTGCGTTATTTGTAATACACATCAAGTATATGAAGATGCAGTATTTGCCCTATAGTTAATGGGTGATATTCCAACCTGTTTGAGTTTCAAACCACAGCTTCATTCACAGCTAAAACGGCTAAAATGAAAGAAAACAGACGCTCAAGAAAAAGCCACGTGTTACACAGTAAATGAAGGTTATAAAGTTTCATATTTTTCAACTTTAGTCACTTATGCTAGTGTTGATATTTAGATTGGATGAAAAGCAAGATCAGTACAACACCAGCAAAGCTCTGTGAAAAGTTTCTTTTCGGGCCACTTTAAATAAATTTTAAATAGTGTGGAGCACTCTGTCCTGATGCGCACTGCCCCCTTTGAGTAGCTTGCACTTGGCTGCATTTGAAATAAGTATATATTGAAGTAATTAAAAAAAAAAGAATCAACAAGGGAGGTGGGGATGAATTTAGTCCATCACAACTGCCTGATGTATTCGTCCAGTTTTGTAACCCGCCACTATCACTGACTTATTTATCCACCGTCACATTTGTGTCAGGAAAAGCTTACCCACACTCCTCCTCTGAGTCTGGTGGTCGGAAGTTGGCCTCCTGCCACTTCACTTATTCAACACGGTTCATACATTACAGCTCGATGGCTTTGCATTGAGCCGGGGGACATGAATATGAAGGAGCTGGATGAGTGAGAGACACGAGGAAAGATGAGGAGGAAGAGAGTTTAAACAAGAAGGGAGAAGGGAAAACAAACTGAGATACAGACGCTGCGTTTCAGGGCCCCTCTCAGCCTTTTATTTGCACGTGCACAGTCATGAGCAACTTAATACTCTCAATTTGAGCACTCTATCACCTTTTAGCATTATGATCTAATAATCTTTGCGGCTTTTATCCAGGGTATCCGCGAGGTCTTAAAAAGTCTTAACATTTCTAAAATCCAATAATTTGAATATAAGGCCTTTAAATGTCTAAAATTCTTTTAAAATCTCATAAAATGTCTTAAATATGATTTTGAAAGGTCTTAGAAATGTATTAACTTCATTTACAAATAACTTTACATACAAATAAAGATTAATTTGAAGTAATGTAAAATGTTCTTTAGTACTTTTTGCCAGTAGGGATTTAAAATGGGTCTGAAATTATATTCACAACGGTCTATAAAAAGTCTTAAATTTGACTTGTTGAAATCCACAGAGACTCTGATATATTTTCTTGTTTCCCTTTGATCCATTTTAATCATTTTAACTTATAGTTTTGTAATTCCCACTGCAAGTAATGAGGTCAAAACAGCATAGGAAAAGAGCTTCAAACACAAAAGGTGTCAGTATTTAATATTCTAAACATGCAATAAAGAAGGCTGGGACCTTTACAACATTAGAATTCAAGTTGTAATACCTCCTTTTTACAGTCCAGAAATTGGATACTAATAGATCCTGGTTTAGTCTTTCTATCTTTTATTTACTATGTGGGTCAGTTTAAAGAGCGTCCCGGGTCGAGACTTACAGCGAGGGATACTTGAAGACACAGTAGGACTCATAAACCCTGCTGGATCCACTCAGACATGGAAGCGACATGTGTCTGCTCCTCTTCCATCCCTGACATCTTGAGTGATTATCCCTCTCAATCTTTAAACAGGGATGTCTGACTGGCATGCATGTTAATGAACAGATACATTTCTCGCCACTCTCATCTTCATCACTATTTAAACATGAACCATGGATTACATGATTTTGAAGCCATAATATGCTTCTTGCTTGATATGCAGCTTGATTTGAAATGTTGCCTTCCTCTTTACAAGACGGAAGAGGAATGCTAAGAAACAAGTTCTTCAATTTTAGTTATCCTGGGACAAGACATGTTTGAGATATTCTTAGCAGGGGGGAAAAAAAGGACGATAAAGTGAAGTAAGGACAAAATAACATGATTCACAGCCTAATTTCACTCATAGTTTGGAAAGTAAGCCTTGCCACATTTCCTCCATGTAATGAACCTTGAACTCCACACACAGCTGGATTTAAAGACATCACATAAACACCATTAAAAAGTAGGGGTCGGTGTCGGATAGGAGGAAAAATAACAAGGACACATTAAGGAAAGACTATTTTAAAACACGTTTCCCATTTGTCTTTGTTGCCACAGTCTTAATTCAGACACTAATGTGACCCCACCTCAACTGCAGTGCTTTTTTTTCTTTTGGGTCCCTCACCATGGCCTGTTTACGTCGTCCTCTTTCCCCCCCCTTCCCGTAACCGCTCTCCCAGGGTCGCTGGAGGGTAGCAGCCCAACTCCTCCATCATAAGTGAAGCAGGACCAAAACTCTGAAAAGCTTTTAAGTAGGCAAGCAGACAATAATGATGACAAGGCTATCAGGAGAGAAGGAGGTGAGGTCGGTGGGGAGCAAGAGGAGAGCGAGAGGGATGAAGTCAGTCATTAAGAAGTGAAGCAGGCAGACGACTCGGCTACGGCTGCTTATGTGCGTGTGTGCTCTGGGAGGGTTGATTGCGGAAAAAGAGGAAGAACTCCCTCGATGTAGAGAGCTTTTAGGCGGTATGTGTGAGAGGCAGGGGAGACGGTAGGCCTGGATGGTTGACTGTCACCTTTGGGAGTGGTTGGTATTGCAATGAGGGTGAAAAAAAGGAGGAGAGAGAGAGCAAGAGAGAGAGAGAGAGAGCACAGAGCAAAGTTGAGTGAAGTGGCGCTGTGTTGCTCTAATTGACTGATTGTGCTAAAGCCATTTTGCTGCTTTGTGACTCAGAAAGACAGCAGCTTACTGCTCAGAATGTGTGAGAGAGAGAGAGAGAGGGTGTGGGGGGTCATCCTGTTAAAAGCCTCACAGGCCACTTACTTTTAATTCAGTTGGAGAAGGAAACACGTTAGTTTACGACTGGCTAGTAATCGGACCTTATTGCTGCTCAGCCAGGAGAACATACACTCATTCACTTAGCATTGTTAATGCATCTCCTGGAATCACACACACACACACACAGCTACACACAGACAGAGTGTATTGTATGTAGGTTTGCATGCCATGATAAGCAGTGATGCAAGGGTTAAGTCTTCAGCTAAAGCAGTCTCTCAGATTATCGCTGAGAGAGTCGAATTGGGATGTTTTCACATAGAAATCCATCTGAACAGCTGCGGTCTTCTTAAAAAAATGCAATGGTAGTGTCTCCTTGTGTTGGGTCATTATTGGATATATTGGTTTGTGTGTAGTTAAATGAAAACCAACAAAAAGAGACCTTAAGTTGCGATTTTTCCATCACAAAGTATCGCAGTTTATTTTCGAAATCAGAAAAAACATCAGTGCTTTCAATCTTAATTTTCTGTAGATTATTCCACTTTTTAGTAGACAGTACCTGATAATTTAAAGACTTGTTCCTGAAGTATTTTCAGTGTATTCCCTTATTAGCTGATGAGGTTATCTATGTTCTCTGAGTCTATTCTGATATAAACCCAAAGTCCTGCGTATGCTCTGTGTATAGCGTCATTACATACATTTGGTCCCGTGTTTGGTCCGGTGAGCTTTCACACTGCATACGAACCGAACCAGGGTTCACTTGCAAGCGAACAGGGACCCACGTTTGCAGGTGGACCAGAGTTCGCTTGTTTGGTCCGCGCCAGAGTTCGGTTGAGCTTTCACACCTGCCCAAACGAAGCGGACTATCCGAGGAAACGAACTCTGGTCCGTTTAAAGCAGACCAAACAGCTCTGGTGTGAAATAACTGGATTTACACCACCACTTTTTTCTGGTATTTAAATTGTGTATATTGTAGATAGTTTTATTTTTCTTCTCCCTTTTTCCTTTTTCTATTTTTTTTCTTAATTATTACATTTATTTAAGTTCTTAATATTAGGATCTTTATTTTTATAACTGCATTTTTGCACTCTTTGTCTGTGATGCTGCTGTGAAAAAATTACCCCCATGGGGATCAATAAAGGAATATTCTATTCTATTCTATTCTAAAGTGACCAAAGTGCAAAAAGCTGCAGTTCCCACAGTGTCCACTTGAGGCTGGCTCCAAAAAGCCAAGGAATCACCATTTGAGCTCATATTAAAATGCAAGGATTTGTAATGTCTTGTAATTACCGTCCTATTAACTGATTAGAATTCAAAAGCTTCATTGGTCACTGTCCACTCTTATGTGTTTGAAGAGTACAGGTTGGAGAGTCTGCACTGCCTATATCTCACATCATATCTCTCTCTCTTTCTCTGGCTGTCTATCTTGTTTTGTCCCTCTTGTCTTGCTGTAGCGCTGCAACGCCATAGCCGAACAGAAAGACGCATTCTTCGGCTACTTGATACGGACCACCGAGGTTCCTGGACAGGTACATCCACACATTAAGAGACTTGCATGAGATCCATGTTATGACAAGTAGGAAATATTATTCAACCGTTTATTGAAGCTTTATGTAGATTTAAAATGTAACTTATTTGTTTATAATACAAGGATACAACTGTTTTTAAAAGCAGTTTTTAAGCTTCATTTTAGGTCGAAATCTGTCAAACTTTTATTGTACTGGAGGAGGGTTTTCTGCCCCAGCGTCTTGGGTGTGGTGTTGATTTGAAATCTGTGACCTTTGTATCATTTAAAAGTTCAGGTTAGTCCGAAAGTGGAGGGCAGCTACTTGAAATACAAATGCTGATCACCTTGGCATCCATATATCAAGACAGAGTTTTAGATGTTGCTTTTTTTAACCACTTTTTTCATGCAATTAGAGCAAAAAAACAGTGTTTACATTTTTATTCACAGTTACTTCCAATTTTAAATGTATCTGAATGAATGTAAACACACCAATGATTTCTGTTTGTGTCTGCAGTTGGAAAAGCTCAAGAACTTGCTGAGCCTGGTTCCAGATTGCTTGGAGAAGGAAAGAGTGAACACCTTCCTGATGAAATGTCACAGTAAGACACACACACACATACCCAGACACACTAACACGAGCTCTGAATGCGTCTTGTGGAGCCGCTAACGGTGCAGCTAGCGGCTCGGTGGACTGTGGCTAAGTCAACATTTGCGTATCCATTAACAATGCATCAGGTCAAGCAGTGTGTGTGTGTGTGTGTGTGTGTGTGTGTGTGTGTGTGTGTGTGTGTGTGTGTGTGTGTGTGTGTGTGTGTGTGTGTGTGTGTGTAGTCAGACATTCAGGGGTTAGAGGAACACATGTCCTCTAATGAGTTAGCTGTCCTGGCTAGCCTAGCGTGCTAATTGCAACACGGTCCAGCACTCGACTTCCCCTTTTCAGTTTTCCTCCTCTCAATCGCTTCTTGATCTCCCCCACCCTTTTACTCCCCGTCTGTCTTTTCTTGTCCTCGGTTTCTCCTTGTCCTCCCTTCACTTCTTCTTCTACCTTCATGCTTACATCTCATCTCCTCATGTCCTCCCCTTTACTTCACCTTCTCACCCTCTTGTCGTCCTTCCTTCCTATCTTGTCATTGTAGAGATGAGCAGACATGACTATTTAATTAGCATTAGCTAGCTGGTTGGTCAAGGCTGCCATAGGGGAGACAATTAGAGATGCTCTGCTGGCCTCTGTTCTCTGCCCTGTCTGTGTGCTTTTTATTACTTTTTAAAGATCGTCCTTTCTCTTGTGTCTCTAACACTTTTTCTCGAGAGAGCAGAGACCAGACTCCTTTTGTTTCTGTCTCTTTTGATGCATATAATCACTCACAAATGTATTCCAATCTGACTAACAGATGTTTAGGAACATTATTTCTTCTTATCAGTCATTAGTTTTAGTTCTGTCCTACTAAAAGAGATAGTTAACAAAGTAGTCGATTTCAGCTCAAACTGCAGCAGGCATGTGAATCTAAAATTGGTATGTTTTGTGTTTGGTATGTAATAAGATTATTTCCTACGACGCAGTTTAAGGGCCACATTAAGAAAAAAAAACTTAAGACTTCATAATTACGGGAATAAAGTCGTAATAAAATCATTACTGACAAGAATAAAGTCCTAAAAAAGTAATTACTTACAAGAATAAAGTTGTAATGGAATAATAACGACAATTAAGTTGTAGTAAAATCATTTCTTACTAGAATAAAGTCATAAGAAAATCATTTCTTACGAGAATAAAGTTGGAATAAAATCATTTCTTACAAGAATAAAGTCGTAATAGAATAATTACGAGAAAAAATTTGTAATATCATTTCTTACAAGAATAAATTTGTAATAAAGTAATTACAAGAATAAAGTCGTAATAAAATCATTACTTACTTTACGAGAATAAAGTAATAGCTAATAGCTATTCTAACCTGTTGTTAGTTGTATAAATGAGCGCTGTGGAGCATTTAGATGAATTGAACTTCAGTTTCTAGGTTTCACAAACAAGGAGATAAATCTTTTGGCATTTCAGCATCACATTGTCATAAGTATCAGGACATATGCACGAAATGCACATTTTCCGCAGAAAGAACCAGGCGGACTTGTCGGAAATCGCTGTTTTTGAGGAGGGGGAAATGGCTGGAAATAGCTGTGCAGAGGCTAAATCCCTCAATGCAGTCCTTTATAGCAATAGCATTTGGCTTTAGTTTATCGTATGAATCTATAAGCCATAAGGTGTCGGTGCCTCTGCAGGTGTAGGTTGCTGCAGGTGTAACAATAATTTTATTACGACTTTATTCTGGTATGTAATGGTTTTATTACAACTTTATTCTCCTAAATAATGATTTTATTACAACTTTTTTCTCATAAGTAATGATTTTACCAAGACTTTATTCTCGTTAGTAATGACTTTAATCTCAAAGTCTTAATTTTTTTTTCTTAATATGGCCCTAATACTCCTTCGTAATTTTTCTCACCATCAAGTTTGATTCTTTTTTTTTCCTTCTACAGATCAGATTTTTTTTAATGAGCGTTTACATTCAGACACCACGTTTAATTTTCTGTCTCTTTTTTCTCCCTTTCTCTCTCCCCTCTCGTCTGGCAGGCATGGATAAGGACTTTCCAGCAGCCAAAGCTCTGTACGAGCAGATGCTAGAAGAGGGAGTGACTGTGAACGAGCTGTCACTCAAACGGCTGGCTATGCTTTACCGCAGTGCAGGAGAGCCGGTGCCCTTCACTGAACCCCCCGTGAGTCTCCCTCCTACAAACATACACGTACAGTATAAACACCACACATGTGCCAAGAGACGCTCTGTGCAATCACTCAGCTGCATATGTGATTAACTTGTATGTTTTAGGATCTTAGACTGATGTATTTTGATTTTAATAAATTTGGAAAACGTTCATCTCTTTAAAAAGTGTGGAACCCGTACCAGGGTGCCTGACCTGGTTACCATTTGTTGCATGTTTTATGCTTCTAGGGGTATTGAGCAGTCACAAATCAGCAGGTTCCATATTATAAACATCAATCTGACTTTGATTTATCTGTAAATCACAGCTTATGGTCTGTTTCCAGTCAAAAATTTTAAAGTTAATAATAACCTTGTTTGAAGCTGTTCTGCAAAAGCCAATTAGTGTTGAGATATCCCAGCTCCCTTGAATGCATCACTTATTATCGCCTTTGCTTCATTCAACAAACAAATGTTTTAAAAGCTTTTCTTTTTCCTCTTGAGAACTGTCCTGACAAAGCTTTCATTTTTGCTTTTTACAAATCCCCATCATGATGATTTTTTACAACAAACTTAAGAAATATTAATTGTCGGTAAATCACAAGATAAGCAAATACTCATTCAGGTTCAGTAAGCGGAAGAAAAACTCGTGTTATCCGCTCAGAGAACCGAGAAAGATATGTCCACTTTGCAGACGTGTCTCAATTTACTTACATGCCTTAACCTTTCTATATTGATACATCAACACAACAACATTACCATATACAGATCAGCATACAAATAGGAAAACATGCACACCTCCCGGCAGCCTAAAGTGTGCTGGCAGATGTCCAGCTGGTGTCCTAATGTGTGCCACAGTGTGTGCACTGTAGTAATGTGGCAGAGCAGTCAGGGTAGCTCAGGGTAGTTCAATTTACAGACGCCTGCAGCTAGCCTGTGTGTGCGCATGTGTGTGTGTGTGACAGAGACTTTGCCCACGGTCACAGAGTACATACACTGTGTAAGCGAGATGGTGTCACTGCAATAGCCGCTCTTCTTTTCCCAGCTCCTAGTGTTTTTTTAGCGTTTCAGCACATTGCACATTTTGTAAGTTGATGTAGCCCTATTTTTGGCCGTGGACTCACACACATACACGTGTACACACACACACACACTCATTCGGCCCTTTCAACCCCCAGCACTTTGGTGTGCTGTCCCCCCGAGGCAGGTGTGGACCAGAGCCCACCTCTTACCTCGCCATCACTCACCTGCAGTGTAAAGATAGAAGGAGAAAGAGGGGATGAAGGTGGAGACGCTGCTGCATTATTCACTGAGTGTCAGGATAGTTAAGTGATGGCTGGCTTTATAAGCAAAGCAAAGCCAGAGGAGGTACAAGGAGAGGGAAAGGTGAATATAGTCCACGTTTTCAGAAGTTTCCACAAATAAGTCTGGGATAGAAACAGTCCACTGCCCTCCTACCTGCTCCGACTACTTTCTCTCTGTATGTAGGCTCCCAAACATTTCGACAGCCTTTCTCGGCACCAACACAACAGATTTTCTTCAGTGACAATGTATTTGGCTGTAACATGTAACATGTTGTTTACTGCCCAAATGAACCTGTACTATGACAACTACCGTTACCCTAAGCTTATCTCCTTTGTCATTTGTTCCTCATTTGTCAACCAAGCTGTCAATCATGTTGTCATATGCGCCATTTTTAACAGCTAAAAACTAATTCAAGCATCACCCATCCCCTGTATGACACTTTATGAGCACAAAAATTAGCGCCATGATGAAAACTAAAATTTGACATGTACTTTGATTTTCTAGTTTGACCAGTGTTGCACTTGTTATAATCAAGGAGGCGGAATTTTGTGACCTATGCTGCAGCCTGTCACTAGGGGGAGCTCTGAAAAATTTGGCCTCACAGGAGGTCGCTGTTGCACTGTGCATGATTTTATACAGTCCACAAGCAAAATGTTCAAACTAAAAGAGCAACTAATACCAAGTCTGAGCAGAAATGAAAAGAATCTACTGATCTTGTACACACAGCTCCATGACAACAGATGATTCTGGTAACATTGTAATGTTCCAGCTGTTCATCACATATAAACCCTAAACACTCAAGAGATGAATGTTGCCGACCGCTTGCTTCCCTAGTTATACCAACTTCAGTAACGACCGCAGGATAGCAATACACAGCGGTCTCAGGAGCCATAAACAAACCTCAACCAAAAAGCCACTCTATAGCCACAAATAATGCTCAGAACAGCACCTAACTTCATCAACAGTACATATAGGGTCCTAGCCACAGCACTAGTCATTAAACATCTTCTTAACTTTGCCTAATTTCTTTAGCAAAGAGACTAAACACAACTCACCCACTCTCTTCCAGCAGCCGTTTGTTTGTAGCGAGACCTTGACCAGTCCATCATTGACTAAGGCAGGGTGACGCAGCTCAAGGAAGAACATTTATGATCATTTCTTTGTGGAAATGCAATCAGACCGAGATGCTAAGGCAGAAGAACTACTGTGTCTGCAGTGCAAAATAATTAATATGCTGATTATTACTTCAAGGAAATGATAAAAAAAAAGATCATAAATGTTCTTCCTTGAGCTGCGTCACCCCGCAGTAGTCTGTAATGGACTGGCCTGTGGTCTCGCTACAAACAAGCGGCTGCTGGAAGAGAGCGGGTGAGTTTTGGTTGAGGTTTGTGTGTGGCTCCTGAGACTGCTGTGTATTGCTATTGTGTGGTCGTTACTAAAGTCGTTATAACTAGAGAAGGAAGCGGTCGGCAACATTCATCTCTCGAGGGGATATCTAACTCTGCGTTGCGTTGTGTTTGACCCTAAATTAATTTTACGCCGGAATATCCCTTTAACTGGGACTACATGTTCCGGAGAAAGTTTTTAACTGTAATAAAAAAGGCTAGCCCATCAGGAGCACTGTTCCTGTAAGAAGTGTTGCAGTGCAATGTACCAAACTAAACTGTATTTCCTCAAAGCAACACAAGTAAAGTTTAATTCTATAGAGTGTTGAAAAAGGCCAAAATCCACAACTGATACTGCAAAACGTAGACAAAAAACTAGATCTTGAGGGAAAATCTGTTTTATAATTAGGGTAAACGGACCCTTTTGATGGTGCTCCAAACCCCTGCCAGGATCTCTTTATTTTTTTTTTTCCCTTCGTTAACACAGCTTTCATTTTTATCAGCGTTTATTACTACATAAAAAAAGCAAACATACATTGTAAGACGCCAGTGTAATCTGCAGAAAAGCTCTCACCTTCTCCCCACCTCCCCAAAAAACCCAAGCACAACACTTTGTCTGGATCAAACCCCTGATTAATTAGCCAGAACAGAGGCTGAGAGGGAAGGAGCGTGTTTGGGGAGCGAACTACAAATCCCTTATTTGTGTATTAATGGGGATTTAAAGATGAAACGAGGCAACCTGGTCAGAGAGTGGAGACTATTTAGACAGACCCAGGAGGGCTCCGACAGCTGCTTACTTTTGGAAAGCGGCGAGACAGAAACACACACAAACAAACCTCTGCACACACACCTTACACCTCCACCGTACAACAGATGAGCAGTTCTGCTTTTTCTTTCACGTTTGACTCTAAATCGTCTTTTTCTTTACAGGAGTCTTTTAGATTTTATGCAAACAAGCTAAAAGAGGAGGGCACCAAAGGCCAAGAGACACCTGAGGAATGAAGAAGCATCCTCCCCTTATGTTCCCTCCATCCATACCCCGCTGATTTCTTCCTTCCCTCCTTCCTCCCTTCCTTCTATCCTTCCTTTTTTTTTATAAAAGCTGTGTGATCTAAAATGTTGGGTATTATGTCATAGCTGTCTGGTATTTGAGTCTGTCAACTGCATCTCTGAAAATGTCCAAGATGATGTTGAGAATGTACAGAAGTATTTATGCTAATAAATGAAGATAGGAATTAAACATTTGTGTCAGGGTCTTCATTTGGATTTATAGATGATTCACACGAATATTATAAACATTATAAAATGCTTTAATATGATCCAAAATAGCAGTTAAAAACATCTGCAACAGGTGTTTATGTTTCTATTGTTATTTCATGTGCCTGTCACCTCTGCTGTGAGGTTGTTGTTGTACAAGGTCTTAAACCGCACGCCGTGAAACTGCCTTTTATTTTATCTTTGTGCACCAAACAATAATCAGGAGTTGCAGGTTATGTATTTTTTTTTTTTTGTATATTTTTTTTTTTTTTTGGGGGGGGGGGGTCATGAAACATGTTCAAAAGATCAGACTTTTACCCACTTCGCTTGTCACAGAAGCAACATGACCTGAAAGCTCCTCTCAGGAGTATTAAATAGCAATAAAAGACTCAAATCAATATTGATGCATCAATTATATGACCTTCAACATCTAATATGTTTTGGTTGTTGTATACAGTAAACACAAAGACCCTTGGTGCACCAAGTTTTACCCTGAAAAGGTGTGTTAGAAAAAGACATTCTGACAGACAACTGTACAAGGACATGATCCGACCAGAGATAAAAATATGGACTCTCTTATAGGCTGTTGTGCTCTTATGTTAGTATATGAGAAGTAATTATATTTTCCACGATCTGCCATAGTTACCCCAGAATATTTTACAAGAAACAGCCTGTAAACATTTACTAGACTAGAAATACCTAACATGAGGTCGATTTTGATCAGCAAAATTATTAAAATATGTTTCCGTGTTCTGAATGTCAGGAATCCCACAGTAAAAGTATGCTGGGGGTGCTTTTATTTTGAAATAGAGCTTTGTTTTGATTTTAGAGTGTAGTATTTATTTAAGTCTTGGTATCAGAGTTTGAGTGCACACAACATGCTGAAAAATTCCCTAATGTTTTGCGTGTGCTTTTAATTTGAAACCCACACCATATGGAGGTGCCTCCCCTATTCTTAAAGAAGGAAAATGGTACGTACCCACTTAAAAAGAGAGCCTAATAAAGGATAATTAGACTGACAGTGAGGTTTTTTTTTACATGCTCTTAAGGCATCTGCAGTAAAATGTTACCTTTGCAAACCTTTTTTTAGCTTTTTTTCCAGAGTCTGACCCTGACACAGACTCTTCTCTCTTCTGTCCCCTGACCTGAATCTGCAGTCTTCAAGTTTTTGGCTCTAAGCTCTTTTTGCTCTCCAATATCGGCTTCACATATTCATTTGTGCTGTAACACAAGCTGTTCTGGACTCCGGTTGAGACAGATCTTAGATAACACACACACACACACACACACATACTCTAGTTGTGTACTTGGTGGTGTCCGGGTCAGGCCAGGGAGTTGAGCTTATTTTAGATAGAGGTGAAGATGCAGGGGGAAAGTGTCACTGGTTTACAGTGGACAAAAACATAATAAATCTGCACCAATATCTCTTACGAACACAGGGTGTACTCTTGATTTTTAAACTTTTTGTTTTACTAACATCAGGTAAAAATTAGATGACCAAAAATAAACCTTCCTGCAATAACTGAGTAACATAAACTTGGGATTTCCTTTATAATTTTTCATCTTTTTGTTGCACCGAATAACAGCTTCAATGTGACGGATAAACACGATTAAAAGACTTGTTTTATCAGCATTTTATTTGAGCTTATGAAATTGCATGTCTGTGAATAACTACACCACACAGCCAAAAGACGAGGCCAAAAGGATAGCAGACAGTATGATGACAAAAATGGGCATGCTTAAAAGGGAGCGATTTGATTTAATACTTTACCAATTTAGACTCAAATCATGTCAGTCAAACATTTATCAGGCTTTTGCACCAGTGCAAAAAAAAAAAATACAGTTTACATAATCTCCAATCTATGAGAACACAAGTACAAGCTCTTTTTTTTCTGAGTGTGACTATATAAATCTCTACTAGGCTCTTTTTTTCAGAGCTTCCTATACTGACACACACTGTAAAGCTAAATAACCTTACATATACAAAAGATTAATCTGTTGGGGAAAAAAAAAACAGAAGATTGAAAAAGGAACAAGTAAAATCTACAGATGGATATCTGCCCAAGTAGTGCTCTTATCATTTACCAGGAAATAGCAGAAAAGAGGAAAAAAATGAAATCATTTTTAAATACCGCAGTGCTCTGCTGCCACCCAGCAGCAGCTAGAGGTACTGCAACAAGTGCTTCTAAATCAAAATCTTATTAATTTCATATCGAAACTTTTTACATTTGTGTATGTTAAAATCATTTTACATAGCATGAAGTCTTTCACCCTGCTGCAGTATCAGGGTAGTTAAGTCTACCATTAAAGTGCACAGGAGTTTTCTCAAGTTTGAAATTATGGTAAAAATGTGGGAAGAATTCAAAATGTAAATCTTACTTTTTTTTTTTTTTACCAAAAAATCCTAATAAAAAATAAGGAAAAATCAGAAAGCACAGAGTTTCGAACCAGTCGAACTAGAGCCAAGATTACTCATCTTTTACAGCCACAAAATTAAACACGTCTTCTTAGTCGAACCCTGATAGTCAGAGGCTGGTCTGTGGGTGTTCACCAGTCCTGACTGGACTTCTGTTTGATGAATCTCAGAGATAAGTAATAAAGCCCCATGAAGCACAGACAGACTGCCAGCAGCACCAGATAGCATGAGTACAGAGGGTACTGATTCATATCCATGGCCTCCACCACCTGAAAGACAAACAGAGGAGAGAGATGTTTTGAACACTTTGATTTTAGCTGTGCTGTTTATTTAGTCTACTTTGAAAATAGTTGCTATCCTGGATTAAGTTCAACCTTTGTCCTGCCAATGATGATCCAAAATTTAACAAAATAAAAAAAAAAAAGTGATTTTGTATTGGTGTAACTTTAACTCACATATATGCCGTCCACATTAAAGGTGATGTTTGAAATGGTAATGGGATACTTGTTGCCTTTGAACTGCACCTGCAGCATGCCTTCAAAACCCCAACGCATGAAGGAGATGTGCGAGAGCCATGAGGCCACTGAGGAGTCAAACATATGCATAAGTATTCACATCACATACTGTGCAGCATATTATTCTCTATACACACTTTCCCATTAATCATTCTCACCGAGCCACATGTTCTCTAGGCTGATGACAAACCCTCCGGTCAAATAGAAAACAGTGAACAAGGCGTTTCCCATGAAGGCTGAGGTCTGCAGAGTGGGCAGGGAGGCAGCCACAAACAGAGCCATGGACCGGCTGCAGTAAACCATCAGCCACACCAGTAGGAAGTTAAGCAGGAAACGCTCAGGAGCCTCGTTCAGCCCGGCCAGCCAATAGATGGGCAGGCCATACACCAAAGTGAACACACAGTGTTCAGGTAACTCCCCAAGGATCTGAAAACGAAAACATATTCATTTAAAGAGAAAAAACAACCAGAAAGTCCCACACAAGAAAACCTTTACACCATTTAACACCAAATTACAAAGAGGCACAGTTGTGGTTGTAATTATGCTGGTGTGTTTGCAGCATGGAGTGAGACTGCCCCCTGCTGGTAGAAGCATTCTCATTTTCACTGTGGGTTACCTTGGCAAAGAAGTAAGAGGTGACAGAGTACATGCCGTCCTCCAGCTCATGGTACAGCATCGCTCTCTCTGTGTGACCTGCAGGGAACATAAAGACTTAACATCCCCTGATGTCCTTCAAGACTCAAATAGTTCTTCTTTTTTTACTGTATGTTAAACATCCACTCAGCAAAAATAATCACAAGTTGTTCAGACTCTGAAGCTGCAGCAGGCAGGTATTTTTACTGTGATTCCAAAGGTTTTCCATATGTATTTAGTCTCTTCAGGCTGGAAGTACAGTGTGTAAGTCAGAAGTGAACTTTGAAAAAACTTTATAACTTTTGTTGGCCTTGAACTTACTAAATATTGTCTCTTGGTGGCTGTGTGCCAGGATCAGTCGTTCTATCTAAGCAATATTGGGACTGATTATACTCGGAGTGAAGGAACAGGGCGTCATTTAGGTATCTGATAAGTCTTCGATAAGCACACCACTACTACATGTCAACTATTGAAGAAAAGTAGCTGCAAAGCGCAGAATAGTTATGAATAAGTGAGGGTACAACGTTAAAAAAGCTGTCAAAACTTTAAACACTCTTCATTTACTTTCTAACTATCTATTTATCTTGTTCTCAACTTATCATCAATCTTGTATTTAAGCTAAAACTGTTCTCAGAAAGGAAAATGCCTTCTTCAAGTTTGCTTTACTTACATTTAGCTATGACGTCCAGCACCACAGCAAATGGAGTGAGCGCACCAATCATGTAGAGGAGAGCCACCGTGTCCTGAATGGACAGACGATCTTCTCCCGCCCCGTAGTACAGACAACCGACCAGCAGTGACATGAGGAGGGCTTCGAAGCCATGGACCAGTAGGGTGACCAGGTCTCTGAAGTCGTTGTACATGTGTCGCCTGAGAAAGAGGACAGGTAGATGAGTGTCTGTGTGAGAGCTGTAATCAGTCCATGTGTGCTGTCCATACCTGATGAGGATTGTGAATTGGTGTAGACGGCCAGGCAGTTTGTTTGCTCTTTCTGAAATAGTGATCACTTCCTCTTCTCTTGTCTGGCTCAGCTGCTGAGGGCTGTGGATAGAAAATGTAGATGAGATTCTCAGTATCCCATAAAGTGAAAATAATAAAGGGTGAACCTCTTGAATAAAGATATGAAGACATGCTGCTACCTTTCAGTTTTTGTCTGTGCTACATCAGTCAAAGGTTTCCACATGTGATCGTCTGTGTCTTGGACCTTTTCCCTGAACTGCTGAGCCAGAACCGTGGCCCGCTCCAAACACTCAGCCTCACGCTCAGGACTGCGTCGGTCTATACTGATCAGATCAACTACACAAACACAAATGTACCAACAAAATGAGTCTTATGAACAAGAGTGGGTCACATTTGACACCGTGGTTTGAAGTAAGACAGATGCAGATAAAGAGGGTTTGGACTTCATTTCCACACACTAACCATAGAAGTCAGAAGGGTTGCAGTATCGTGGGCAGGGGTATCCTAAAGCAGTGAAGTAGGGCACCATGTCTCGAGCGGGGCCGCAGTAAACAGCTGAACCAGACGACAGCAGGACCACAAGGTCAAAGAGCTGAAAGATATCTGAGCGAGGCTGGTGGACAGACAACAGGACCAGACGGTTTCCCCGGGCCAGACGGGACAGTGTGATCACAAGGTTGTGGGCTGTGAAGCTGTCTAAACCTGACGTCGGCTCATCCAAGATTAAAATCCCTGAAATGTAAAAGCACCAATACAGCGATCAATGAAACACCACTGTTGTTTTCAATCATTTTGTCTGATCATAAAATATCATAAAAAATGTGTTTAAACTCTGATTCATGTGATTAATTACACATCTGTTGTTTATTCATGGCTTGACTTCTCATTGTTCACCTTTCCTGTGGGTGGCACATCTTTGGGTAATTTAGAAAACTAATCTGATAAGTGATTTTGTGTTTTTTACAGTGAAAATTTAAGCCTCATGTTAATAATAATATTTTTAAGAAATGTAAATCCTGAAACACAGCCGTTGAATTCTTTAGCCATAAATGACAATATCATAATGGCTTGACTTGTCTTTGTTCACCTTTCCTGTGGTTGGCACATCTTTAAATTTACAAAACTAATCTGATAAGTGATTTTGTGATGAAAATTCAAGCCTCATGTTAAAAGAAGCGAAACTGTTACTAACAGTATATCGTCTAGTAAGAAGACATAATTTTTGTAAGAAAACACAATTTAAATATGTAAATGACAACATTAGTAAAGGTATTAGGTGTACGATGTCTTCGGGGGAGCCAAACTGGACACAAATAAGTCCTTGACATTGCTTTGACAATTTTCTCTCACCTGGGTTCCAGAGAAGTTGGACAGCTATACTGACTCTCCTCCTCTCTCCTCCAGAAACTCCCCTCACATAGTCGTTTCCCACCCTGGTGTGAGCGCACTGTCGTAGACGCAGCTCTGCGATGACATCATCTACCTGTGACAAATTAAAAAAAAAATACCAGCACTTTACAGGGACAGTCTGTTGTTTAAAACTTACAAGACTTTTAGTCATTTAGTTAAAGTGCAAAACCTTTTTTTCTGAATAAGCATGTCTGCTTGAAAGTAAAAAAAATATATATCATGGATTTACACAGTATACTGCAAACAGAGCAGAGCAAACAGTCGGGACGTTTATGTCACTTATAAGTAAGATCTTTGTGTTTTGTGAATCTTTGTGACTAAAACAGCCTCATAAAGGAGGAGAAGGTGAACTTACTGGCACTTTTTCTTGTCTCTATGCTTTCTGACTTGACAGGGATTAAGAACCTTCTCAAAAATTGAAGCAACATATGCTGGGATCTCTTTAACATACACTCCAGACTAACAACTTTTTATTTTTTCTATTCAGCATTCAGCTGGGAGTGACAGGATGAAGTGAAACCTTACCCTCTGGTCTCTCTGAGCCTGTGTGAAGTGTGTAGGAAGCCTCAGTTTGGCAACAAAGGAGAGAGTTTCCCGGACGGTAAGATGAGGGAGAAGGCGATCATCTTGGCGGACATGAGCGATGTTCTTTTTCACCAGCTGAGGAGTGTTTGGCTGTCCGTTAATCAGAACTTGACCAGATGTCATCGTGCCCCCCTCATCACGGCACGTTATTATGTCCAGCAAAGATGTTTTACCACAACCTAAAAGAAGAAAAATGTCTCACTTCAGGAGTCGAAATCTGTATTAGGATCTCTTAATAAGTTCAGATTTTTTTTTTTTGCGTCTCCAAACGTTAAAGATTCTTTTCTTAAGTTCTCAGAATCATGGAGACAGTTTTCATTGTTTCTTTGTTAGAGGCTAGAGATTCAAAGTGTAGATGTGTCTTAGATCGGAGCTGATAAAAGTGATTTGACATTGAACACACGAGATCATTCAAAGAGGCTTTTACATAAACTACTGAAACTGGATGTTATTTGATATTTGAAGCGATTTGTTTCACCTGAGCTGCCAATGACAGCCAGCATCTGTCCGCTGTGAACTCGGAGGCTGAGCTTGTTGATGGCTGTCTGCTTGTTTCCTTTTATCTCCCATGGCAACTTGAACTCTGACAACCTCTCATACCAGGGGATCTGAGCTGCTGTGTCAACCTAAGTGTTACACACAAATGCATACAATTTCCCAATCAGTAGATGCATGATTGACATATCCAGACATGTGCCGAAGGATGAAAAAATACAGCTAAGGTGATTGTGTAGGAGTGTGGCTGCCCGTCAGTTACCTCATAGTGCAGGTCGCTGACCTCCAGCTCATTGCACCCTCCACTGTAGGTAAAGTAGAGACTACTGTCTTCCTCAGAAGAAAACAACTCTGTGTCTTGATGCTGTTTGAGAGGAGAGCAGAGGAGCAGACGGGTCAATGAGTTTCGTAGAGGCAGTAACATTTAATCTGCATCCATATCAGCCCTGCAAGGACAAACTGTATTAACACTGAGAAGAAAGTAAGAGTCATAAAACTCTTGTTATAGAACGAAAGATTTATGAGTTAAATTAGAGAAAATTGAAAAGGAAAAGTGCTTCACTTCTGCACCAGATACTGTAGCATGATTGAGTTAAGATTGCAACAAGCCATTAACGGTTGTACAAAAGACTCAAAATGATCAGTCAATGGTAAAATATGACTGAAATCTGAGCTTTGAAGCAGTTACATGTCATAAATTATCATAATTTTATCAGCTGAGATCATGACGCCTATCTTTAATGTGCTGTTGTATCTGCACATCTCTGATTCAGAGTTTATCAGCTGGTTTATTGAACAATTTCAATTACTCATTTATTCATTGATCAGCATGTGCATGTGAAAAGTCACAGGCATGTGGCAGCTGTGGGAACACGTGAGTCTGCTCATGTGTGTGTGTTCGCATGCACCTACTTCTGTGGTTTTGAGTTCAGATAGTTTGTTGAGAGCATTTGAGGACCCAAAGTCTGTTGAAACAGCGCTAACCTTCCCATTATGTAATCAATGTGTCCCTCCAAAATGAGAAATTCAAGGTTCAGCTGATGCTTAAAAATCTAGAGTACACAATGCAGATTACCCTCTGTAACGTGAGTGTAGACTGGTCTATGTGTTATCAAGTAAAAACACATGGTAAAGTTGCCATCAGTCATGCAATTTTCATGAACAGAACTCGGATGCATGAAATGGGTTTGTTATCAAGAATAAAAGAGTAGAGCATGAAGAACAAAGAGGAAAAATTCATCTGAAGAATAAAAGAAATGATGGAAATAACTAAACAACTAAACGAATCATTTTCAAGCATCAAAATATTGAATTTTTAGTCAGTACAAAAATTAGAAACATGTCAGTTCATAACAAGTGATCTGTTTTTTTCTAAAATAGCTGATCAAGACCATTAGATCTATAAATGGAGCTGCTGTGAGATGATACTTACTATATAAACATACTCCTTTCACCTACTATTGTTACAACATAATACCTAATGTCTGTATGAGAGTTTAAAATGTGAGGATGTCTCTGTGTGTACCTGTGAGGAGCCGTTTACATTATTAAATCCAGTCTCTTTGTCCATGATGATGCAAGAAGCTGATCGAAGCTTGTAGGTCAAGAGGTCAACAATCCCCCTTTTTTCGTCCTCTGTTTGATTCTTCTTTAATTCTGTGGAGGTTTCTATCCTTTCAGATCTCCCTTTTTTGCCTCTGTTTCCTCTTCCTTCTCTCTGTTAGATAGTTTGACTTCAGTCCAGCTGAAGATCTCCTATCGTTTTACCTCACACACTGTCCCTCTGAAAGCATCCAAGTTCATGTCATGTTAGTTCTCTCTCTGCTCTGTCCTGTCAGTCATCGCTTCTCCGACTTAGTCACAGCATTTAATTTGAGGACTGAAGGGAAACTGACCGCCCGTCAATGATTTCAGCATGTGTTTTTTTTTTTTGCTGTCATCTTTATACAACAGCAGATCAAAGTTCTCTGAGATAAGGCAACATTCACTGTGTGTTTATGGCTCCACGCTGTTCTCGCACTGCGGCTCTGTACGGGATATGTGAGCAGAGAAACAAAGTCTGGGCCCGTAAGAAGACTGGACTGCGGTGTTTCTCACGATGTTGACAGGTTGAGTGGATGTAATCTAAGACAAACTGATACGGTAGTTGTTTTGGTGGATGAAAATGGTTGGGGGCCAGGATAGTTCTTACTCCTTGCAGACAGCGGAGCCCAACGGGGCCAAAGCCAGAGAGTCATTCAAGTTTGTGTCGGAGGAGAAAAGAGATGTCTGGAGGGACGTCGTAGAGGAGCAAGCCGAGCCGACCTGCAGTCTCAGTGTCAGCAACGTCTCTTATACTGTCAGGTAAGGACAGTGTGGGTAATGGAAACCACAGAAACAACAACAAAGTTTGAGAATTAATCAGAACATGTTTTGAAAACTATGCTTTGTTTTTCAAATCTGTAATTTTTGAGACAAATCTTTAACTTACAATGATATAGCTAAAATTAAACAGGTATAGGTAAAATTAACGACTCCAGACTTTTTATTAAAAAATGTTCTACTCTAGCATCGAGTAATAATATTTTAACAGAGAGGACTGGATCTAGTCTGTCGGTATTGTATTGATCAAAATATCTCTGTTCACTTTTGTTTGTGTAATTGTGTGTTTCAGTGAGCGTGTGGGTCTATGGTGGGACCTGCCGTCCTACAGGAAGCGATGGACACGTCAAATTCTCAATAATGTCTCCTTCCATGTAGACAGCGGGCAGATCATGGGCATACTGGGCAATTCAGGTTCACACACTGTTAATATATGTAAAAAAAAAATAGAAATTTCAATATTTCTGAGTTGAGTTGCTGTTGTTAATTATTTGTAAGTCTAAAATAAGTGGTCAAATCTTTTGTGATCCTAAAAGAAATAATCTAAATTCTTGTTTAATATCTGATTGGATGTGCTGTGTTTTTCTGTATTAACTGTATTCTGTATTATCTTTGCAAATTGAAATGTAAAGGCTCAGGAAAGACCACGCTGCTGGATGCCATCTCGGGGAGGATTGGAAACAGTGGCACTTTGTTGGGCGAAGTGTTTGTTAACGGGAGGAAGATAAAGAGAGAGGAGTATCAGGATTGCTTCTCTTATGTGCTGCAGGTAACAGAAAAATCTTTTTTTTTACACCTTAAGAAGTGAACATCTGTCTACATTTGGGCTTTATATTTAAATTAGTAATCCTAACTTATGTACTCACACATGCACATCACCATTTTCTCCATTTCTCATCACACACTGACATCGGATTAAACTTTGCCCCTCAGTATTACGTATGTTTTGTATGTATTGAAGTTGCCTGAGGTCTACCCATCAAAATTACAGAATAATAAACTCTATGAGCTCACTCTGTTTTGCAAAAACTCCTGAAAAGGTCGCCCTGGCCTCAGGATGAAATTAACGAAAGACCCTTGCTAGCCTCCTCATATACTTAATCTCTCAATGAGAGGTGCTCAAGTGTATCCAAAGCCTGAATTAAAAACACTGGCTTAAAAACTGGCCTTGCTTCCTTTCAAATCATCTCTCTCTTCTGGCTGATAGCAACCCCCTCTGCTCTCTAAGCCTCGTCATTAACTTCCCCTGCTAAGCTGTAGATGAGGAGGTGATATGAGCTCCTGATATTAAAGTCATTCAGATGAGAGACTGAGGAGAAGTGGGATTGGGAGGCCCAACGTGTTAATTGAAGCAGGCAGCAGGTTCAGTAGGTTCAAGCACAGAATTTGTGTTTGTGTGCATGTGTGTGTGACTGAAATTTTGTAAGGCTTAAGTATGTTATAGTAAGTTTGCATACAGTATATACATACCTCTTCATTACAGTGCAGCTCTGGTGTCCTGCATTGATGTACATCTAGTGTTACTGAGTGCTGAGCGCTGTGGATGTTGAAAGTGAACATCATGTCCTTTGTTAAAGTTTTCTTTAGTTTGACCACTGAGGAACAAGGAAAAGATGGAGGTGATTATTCTTATTCTCAAACGGTAGAAATAGAGTTCAAAAGCCTTAAAGAGTTGGTTTTATGATATATCCTCGACACGTCTGAGTGATCCATCTGCCTTATTTAATCTCTTCTTTCATCGTTTTCATATGTCCTTGCCTCTTTCTTCTCCAGAGTGATAACTTGTTGAGTTACCTGACTGTGGAGGAGACTCTGACCTACACAGCTCAGCTCGCCCTGCGGAAACACTCAGCCGAAGCTATCAAGAAAAAGGTGACTTTTGATTGCCTCCTCTGCCCCGTCCACCTTCTGTTGGTTCTCCTCAGCTTGAATTTAACATTTTCTCCCAGCCGTAGAAAACACAGAATGGAGAACCACATGATTTGTCAGTACATAGAGTTTTCAGCATACCAGTGTTTATAACTTGAATTTTTGTTCTCTTTCGGGTAACTTCTACACCGAAAAATTCAATTTTTTTGGAGCTGAAATGTTTATTTCACTTACAAATCAAAACCAAAAAAATCAAAATTTCCTTAAAACTTAACAAATATATATATATTTTTTATCTCGTTTGGTACATTAGATGTTTTTGGGAACTGATAACTCAACTTCTCAACTCAACTTTATTTGTTAAGCACTTTAAAACAACCACAGCTGAACAAAGTGTTGTACATAACTAGACAAAACAACAAGATAAAAAACAATCAAAAAACAATTAAAACAATGGATAAAATAAATGCAGAATTAATAATAAAATATAGCTTCAATGTTTTTAAAAACTAATTTAAAAACATAGAAACAAATAACTAAAAACAAACCATAAAACACTAAAACAGGAGCCGAGTCTCATGCAGGGTTAAAAGCCAATGAATAAAAATGGGTTTTAAGACGACTTTTAGGATAAACTAAAAGAGGACTTTTTTATCATTTATCGGACTGTATTCAGGTGTTTTTTAGTAATTTGTAGATCATATTGATTTGATGGAAGTATTTAAAAGTATGTATCAAATATGATACAAAAGGCATTAAAGGATTAAATAGTTTTCCTCATATTCTGCAATAATATTAACTACGTTAGCTAAAGTGGTTTGAGTAACAGACAGCTATGTCAGTAAAAAAAAAAAGATCTTATCTTGTTTTGACCTGAGGTACATTTAGACCTACAGGCCCTCTTCTAAGCATCATTTCCTGTTGAATCGCAGAGCGCTCAACCAGTCAGACTGAGACAGTTCTTTGGAAGCAATAGTCAACTGACTTGTTAATGGTAGAAGGTCACCTGACCCCTGACCTCTTGCTCCTGTGCAGGTGTCAGCCGTGATGGCCGAGCTGAGTCTAAGTCACGTGGCCCACAGTGTTATTGGAGGTCGAATTTTCCCAGGGATCTCTGGGGGTGAGAGGAGGAGGGTCTCAATTGCAAGCCAGCTACTTCAGGACCCGAGTGAGTTCCTCTAAAGCTGTGTATCACGAACATCGGGTAGGATGCCTCTGCTGCAAATTGACATCATGAATATGAGCTAAAATGGACTGTCAATGAAATTCCTGACTAGAATAAAGTGTTTGATGAGTGAAGCACTGGAGGTGAGTCTTTGGTAAGCTTTGAAACATTGGGACACAGATTGTCAGAAAGGGGATACAATATCAGAAACGTGTTCAATAAGTTAAACAATGTTTTCATTACCTTACTCAATATTTCTTATATTTTGGGCACATTAAAACTAATGTCAGAACTGTGCCCTCATAAGAAAAGCAGAAAGTTCACCAAAGTTCTCCCCAAAGAGTTTAAGAAGTCCACGCTGAAAAACAAAAGGATCTAAGAGAGAGGTGAGCGAGGAAAGGACTGGGAGAGGGAAAGATGAAGAAGAGTAATGAAAGTCTGGGTTATCACACCATGGAGGGAATGAGCAGAGACCTGCGTCAGTGTGTGTGAGAGAGTGGGCCCATGCTCATCCCAGGTGTGGTTTATCAGGCCTAAAGTCCCCCAGGGAGGGTGAAGGGTCTCAGTCCTCATTCAGGATTAGAAGGGGCCACGGACACACACACACAGAGTCACACACAGAGTAATGAGGAGTTCCCATTCACTGCCTTTCCAATCAACCAGGAAATGAATTAATCTCACAATTAAAGCATCTGCTAATTCCACTTTGCTTTCATAATGCAAAGAGGCAATCTTTTAATTGTCCTAATTAGAGTAATTAAGTAAAAAAAAGAACTCACTTATCTCCACAAGTTAAGTTGGCCCCGCGGAGAGTCCTGGATGTGCCACTTAATAAAAAGTACAAGTAAAAGTTTCCAACTTAAATGAAGAAAAAACTGTTATCGTCCTGCCTTTGTCCTGCGACCAATGTTTTGACATGTGACCAGCCTGGATGATGGTAATAATGTCATTTCAGGGGTGATCCTATTGGACGAGCCGACCACCGGCCTGGACAGCATGACCGCAAATCAGATCGTAGTGCTGCTGGCAGAGCTGGCCAGGAGGGATCGTATCGTCATAGTGACCATCCACCAACCACGCTCTGAGCTCTTCAGGGTGGGTTTGGAGAAAAACTAGGAGAAAGTGGAAGAGTTATGAATGGACTGAAGTTTCTTTAAAGGAGAGATTTGCATTATTTTAAAGTCAGTCAAAACAATTATTAGTCCTGCTGCTATCTGTTCTAGTCCTACAGAGATTTTTCTTTCAAGCGGTGTAATTGTTAAGTCTTTTATGACACTGATAGGGCCAATATCAGGTTTCAACAGGCTAGGTCTAATCCACGGGTTATTTTCTTTGGCTGAGATGATGTAGAGCCTCAAGGAAAAGGAGAGAAACACCGAATAATCATTTACTTACAGCCAACATTACAGCCTCGATTCTTGCTTCACGCACTCTAAAAACTCTTGGATTCTTTCTTCAACCCAATTCCTGGGTTATACATGTTGAGTTAAATTTCTGGGTTATTTTTCAGATCAAAACCCATTTCTTGTGTCATATGGATTCTATTATAACCCAATTTTTAAATGGGTTAATAATTATGGGTTATTTTTCTGAGAGTAACCCAATAATTGGGTCAGAACATTGGGTTCATATCCCACATGAGACACATCTGCGAGATGTGAACTATATCTTCCATTGTGGCTCCTTAGGCAAGACCCTTAGTGCTATGGCCTACAATCAGTTAGGTAAAAGTACATGGGAAAATAAGGTACAGGTTGTAAAAGCAAAGCTCCCCAAATGCATAATTTAACCCAAAATCATGAGTCAAATTAACTCGAACATTGGGTTAATTTATTGAGTCAGTTATTGAGTCAACCCGAAAATTGGGTTAATTTGAATAACCCAAAATTCTGGGTCAAAATAACCCAATAAGTATTCGGTCCCTTTTCAACCCTGGTGTCAAACCCAGGGTTTTTTAGAGTGTGTTTGTAACATCTTCTGGTTTTCTTTGTCAGTGTAGAAGGGGGCATGTAACTGCTGCTCTTAGACTGCAAAAAATAGATATTCTATCTCAACAAAGAAACTCCACAATGTGTTGACTCTTTGTTGGTGTGTATTTGTGGGTGTGTGTTTCAGGTGTTCAGCAGGATAGCTATCATGAGCCATGGAGAGCTGGTGTTCTGTGGCCAGCCCGAAGAGATGGTTGACTTCTTCAGCCATTGTGGATATGAGTGTCCAGAGTACTGCAATCCCTTTGACATCTATGGTAATGAAGCTTTGATTCTGGATTATTCACTGTAGCTTTTGAACATTTGTGAGCGACAAGATAACATTAAATTGCTTTGATACTTTTCAACAGTTGATTTCACCTCAGTGGACACACACAACAGTGAAAGAGAAGCAGCCACTTTCAACCGTATGCATGAGATCACTTCATCCTATCAGAAATCAGACATCTACCAGAGCATGCTGGAGAAAACGGAGCAGAGCCTGCAGCAAACAGACAAACCAGCCATTCCCTATAAAAGCAAAGAGTCACCAAGCGGTGCAGCCAAACTCGGAGTTCTGTTCAGGTCAGTGATGGGCGGGGCTTAAGTTACCTTGTTTGTGTGCTGTATGTCAATTTCCTACATTTGTTCCCATAAACAAGAATTTTGAATGTCAAAAACTCTCAAATATTACCTGAGTTTATGTGCTTACATGTATTTTCATTTGTGTTTTCTGTACAGGCGAACATTAAGAAACTTGTCCAGAGACAGGATGGGTGTTCTGATGCGTCTGTCCCAGAACCTGATCTACGGCCTCTTTGTGGCTTTCTTCGTGATGCGGCTAGATGATGACGTCAACAAGGGTGCTGTGCAGGATCGCATCGGCATCATCTATCAAAGTGTTGCAGCTTCCCCTTACACTGGCATGCTGAATGCTGTGGCTCTCTGTGAGTTCAACCAACACCATAAATCTAAACAAAAAAGAGAAAACAATTAAAATTATTTTTGAATTTTAGATTTCATAATATTTTAAACTGAATGTAATAAATTTAACAGAGTGCGCTGCAGCATCAACATGCATACATGTATCCCTACTTACCTTTATTGTCATAATAGCAGAAGGACAAAACCAGTAATGCACCATATGCAAGCAGGTAGGAAAGTAGCAAGGAAAAACTCTCTCTTAAAAAGTAGAAACCTGTTAAAAGGGCTGAGAATGTGGGACAGAGTGAGAAATAGAGAAAGATAAATCTAAAGAGACAAACATATGGAGACAAGGAGACATACAAATGCAAAAGAGAGGTAAACATAGAGATAAATAGAGTGAGATGAGGAGACAGGAGCTCTCTGTTTCAATTCTTCCTGGTGGTCTCAGCCTATAACAGCACCGGTTTAGGGCAACCCTGAGCCAGCCCAAAGATTTTAGGAATATAAAATTCTGCTCTGCCCTTACAAGGACTTTGACCGAAGCTTGTAGATGATTTTTGAGGACAGGAGTCCGATCAGACAAACCACTGACCTTCTACTAATTTTAGTAAGAGTAAATGGAAGAGACCAACCCAAATCAGGATCCACATCCACAGTTCTTTAATTACATAACATCTAGGTGACATTTTACTCTAAATAAATGTATGTATCTGATAACATAACCTGATAAATATCTACAGAATGTGGACGCAGTGGCTTCAGGGAAATTCTGAAGTGCGCGTGGTCTGTCATCAGAATTAAAGTGATCTATTATCTTCATTTAACGGCATGTTTGAATTGTCTTTATCTGTGCTGCGTAAGCTGGCTTATCTCTTGTTCAGTAGGTTTTTGTTCCCTTCAGCAAAAACGTGAGAAGTCTAGCTTGGGCTTTTTTTTTAAATAGGATAGCGCAGAAAGAGACTTCTTGTTCTTGAAGCATCTCTCTGAGGTCAGCATGAAATCTCAAGTGTTGTTAATCGGGTGGTAAGGTGTTATGGGTTCAACAAGTGTCACTTTCAGCTTGGAAATCCAGTCATAATCACAAATGTTGGACATGTCAGTATTAAGAAAAAAATACATTTATTTTAAAGATGATGATGGGTCTACATTTTCTATTATTTTCTTTGTATTTAGAGTTGGTATGAGTAGTTACAACTTTCACCCCATCTACACCACAACAAACCTTAGTGCCCTTTTACCTGCAAACCTACAGTACCTTTACTATCTATACTGTCAGTGTGTACATATATTTGTGTCTCTCTGTGTTCAGTGGGTTTCAGGTAAGTATTTATAGCTACTGCTGCTGCTGTGACTTACGGTGATCATAGACTTTAACAAACACAGACAGAGAGAAATAGAGATATATATTTTAGGGTTTTACACTTTCTTTTCTGTTTTGTGGTCTACAACTTCAATCAGGTGGTAAAACATTTTTTGTGTGTCAAGTTAAATTCAGGTTTAGAATATTTCCAAACCTGAAAACAGCTTTGTTAAACATCTTCGCATTTATGTCTAACATGCTGTCTTATACATAAGATGATGTAAGATGTTATAGACGATAACAGGATGGATATTGGCAGTATGAGTTGATCATCTGTTCAATGCCTTCCTCAGTTATCAGGTTAATCTAAACTCTTGGCCTCGGTCTCCAGCTGTCACAGATACCGATGATAAGAGCTGTGATAAAACACTGGGCTGAGTAGGAGTCAAGCTAAAGTGAAAAGGTAACTGTAAGTCAGCTATGAGCACCCAAACAGCCACAGGTAGTGATTGGAGATATCACGCTGACCTTAAATCTAACTGATAACACTGACAGGATACATCACAGCGCAGCCGTTTGTTTCTGGAGACAGGTTTGAGTCAGTTTTCTGGACAACTTTGCTGATTAAGGAACAGGTGAATAAGCAGGTCTGTAACTCCTAAAGACAGTTTTAGGTTAACTCCAACATGATGTTAAATCAAACAGAAATCACAACATTGTTGCCCTGAAATTTAGGACAGCCTCTGTTCTCATAGCGGTTGTTTTAGTGATGGGTTTTCAGTTTCTAGAGCTTCATTGACTTTCTGTCTTACATTTGTCCTTCTCACCCGTCCCATTATCTGCTCCCTCTCTATCTACTTCCTCTCTGTCAGTTCCAGCATTGCGAGCGATCAGCGATCAGGAGAGTCAGGATGGTCTGTACACTAAATGGCAAATGTTCCTAGCCTACATCTTTCACATCCTGCCCTTCAGCATCCTGAGTGTGATCATCTTCACCTCCTTCCTTTACTGGTGGGTACGATGTGTTTTCATGTGTAAAAGAAAGGTGCTGCACATCCCCACCTGAGACACTTACTGGATGTTGTATTTCCTCATTCAGCACTCACTTCTTTTTGTCCTTTTCCTCTCTGTGCTGTCTGTATTCCTCTCAGGACGGTGGGTATGCACCCTGACACCTTTCGCTTCCTGTGTTTCACTGCTGTAGTCATGGTGCCACATATTATAGGTAAGCAAATAAAGTGATTTATCTTACCGTCTTTACAGCATATGCTCATCTGTATAATAAAGGCACAATAAGGGGCAGGAAGGTCCCCCATCACTGCGATTTTCCAGCACTTTGACAGCAATAGACCATTAACATTCAGTCCTTAAACAATTTATAAAAAGATCCTTCTGCAGTTTAAACTTTATGTGGCCTTTAGTTCTATTTATTGGTATATTTGTTTGATTTTCTCAAGGTGAGATGCTGACTGTGGTGCTATTAGGAGTGGTTCAAGACCCTAACATGGTCAACACAGGGGTGGCTCTTCTCAATATCGCAGGAATCTTAATCGGATCTGGCTTCCTGAGGTGACGCACCAAACATATTCATGTTTTAACTAGTCTGAAAAATATCATGGTTCAAAACTTTCAAAAGTCAAATGTCATTGTTTAAAAACGCTGTTACTCCGGTCACTTCTAACTTTCAAGACACATTGTAATGAATACACACCTTCTCTATCCTTTCCTTTCAACAGGAGCACCCAGCATATGCCTGCTGTCTTCCAAGGACTCAGCTACCTGACCTTTCAGAAGTACAGCTGTGAGCTGCTCATAGTCACCGAGTTCCACAGCCTCAACTTCACATGCAGTAAGAGGTTTTCTTAATTGTTGGACCATCATCTAAAAAAGGGACACATAAGTATTATAACTCATGTCTCTACAGCTGAATTTACAGCTCATAAAATTTATGCCTTCGTCTTGTTTGCCAACTAAAGTGCTATGAAATACAACATTATATATGATGCAATTAATAAAAAATACACAGAGGAATACAGAAATAGCGACAAAAACAAAGGACGAGAAGCTCAACAGATGTGTCAAAAGATCTGAGATTCTCTTCGGTCTGAATCCTCCTCATGAATTTTACTGTTCATCAATCTGCTGATAATCTCATCGAAAATTATTTTAAGGGCTGGATCAGAGTTCAAGGCCACTTGGTAGTCTGGAGGACACTCAGGCTGTTCAATGACCTGAAGTTGTGTCAATAAAATCACACCACTGTAACCTCTATAACCTGATGTGTTGTTCTGTTGCAGATACTCTCAGCTATTTACCTGGAGCTTGTCTGATCACTGAGGGCGATCAGATCATCGATGAGGGCTACCCTGGCGCTCTGTCTCGATACACACAAGACTTTGTTCTCCTTTACTCCTTCCTCCCCGTACTGCTGCTGCTCGGCATAATCAGCTTCAAGATCAGAGACAAAGTTATACGTCACTAAAATAAAACACTTTTTTTTTGTTGTTGGAGAATGTTAAGTTAAAGTTGCAGACCAGATGGAGTTTTACATACCTTAAACAGACTTTAAATCCATCCTCACAGTGCTGTTGTATTTAGAGAGGATGAGGTATACTGATTTAAAGTGACTGTGGTTGTACTTAATCTTCTTCTCCAAACTTTAATTAATGTGACTGTTTTTGCACTTATCTGTGAGTTTTGCAGAGGAAAGGTTTTTTCTTTGGTTTTTCGTTATTCGCAAGTTCAAAGAGTTTCTATTAATAACTGTCCTCAAATAAGTCGTCTTTGCTCAAGTGTAAAATTATTTGTGTAAAAAATTACTTTGAGTGGCACATGTAAAAAAAAAAAGCAAACAATTTTGAATTTTAGAATTAAATGTTGTATAAATGCTGACTGTCATCAGGAAGTGAGCTTCCATTTAAAAGCACTTCATTGTCACTTGTACATAAATTTATGACATGGCATTTTAATATTTTGATTGTAATATGGAATAAACAGAGAGAGATTACATCTATGTAAACATGTTTATTTCTGAACCATTTTTTCTTCAATATATATTCAACATTTTTATCAGTTAAGTATTTTGAGGAAAAAATCTCTACCTGTACAAGTTTGAGCCAAAAAATAGTAACAAACCTTTTAGAAAATGTCAAAAAAACTGAAATAAAAAATTTAAAATGAAAGTTGTATTTACATTATGTTGTGTTGTGTATGAATGTGAACATATATCTGGTAATTTTTCACGTGTCCAGCTCTAGCCCCTTCCATGACTTGGCTGAATTCCTCTTATACTGATCCAACTCCTGCAAAACAAAGGCACAAGAAAAAAGGAAAAAAAAAAGTTTACAGATTTTCTATATTAATGAGTTACAATGAAAAGGGTACAAGCAATTGCTCACATGTTCTTAACATTAGAGTACAGCAATATAAACAAGATTTGGGCCACATATAACATTACACCCAAAACACTGGTGACTCATGACACATTTAAAAAGACACTGAAGTAAATCCAAGTAGTCAAAGAGTTTCAAACATTAGTCATTACATTAATGTAGAGTGCTCTCCATGTTTCTCCAGTTAGTCTGGACTTTGGAAAAAGTCATGACACTTACAGGCTTGTGTCAGGTAATGGTAAACAGATTAAACAGGGTTGAAGACAGATTTGTCACTTCAGGTAAATGCAGTAATGATTTTGTCATCTGTAAACAATTTATTTTGCCAAGGTATGACAAGAATCTGCATTTTATACCACCTTTTACAAAATAAGTTTAATAAGGTGAATTGCTTTCATCTAATCATTCAGATGGTGTACAGGTAGGATGAAATAGGATAAGTTAGGGCCCTCAGTGGAAAAGTTGGTTTGATTAGGAACAAAAAAAAAAAGAATTCAAAAGGTAGTGGGGTAAAAACATGATCAAATAAGAGAGTGCAACACACGTTTCTACTGATTTAATGTAATCTCAGCTCTGAATATGGAAAACCAGGTGATAAAACACTGTATATTTTTAAAAAACTTTCACAAGATCTTGCTCAGGTTAAAACTCTGTTTCCTTAAACTGTGGTATACTAGTTACTGTTTGTCATTTTACCTCCTCGCAGGTTATTTTTAATTATCACAAGCTTCAATTTGAGAAAAAGATTAAAGGTGATTTATATCACACACTAAATATTAATAGTAATAATAGCAGATGCACAAACTGGCATGTGGGTAGGAGGAAGTGTTATCTCTAAGTATATTTACACAGTATATGAAACAGTTTGCATAAAAGATGTCCTTGTCCAGTCTTACCTAACAAGCAAACGGACCTTTACAAAAGTGCTACACAGTGTTGGAATAAACCTTTTGCCCTTTTCCTTTTATTGGTTACACAGAACAATAACATTATATGCTGACCAATGAGCAGCATCAGGTGAGACTCAGTCAGTGATAACAAGGTTGTGACTTCAGCAGGTTACTACAGTTCAAGTGCCAGAGTGGCACCTAGGCAGGCCTGCGAGAAGACCTCTAATCTCTGCAGTTATGAGCGGAGAATATGTTACAGCCGGTGAACAAGACCACTAAAGATACACGAGTAAATAAACACAGGATTCTGAGGGGGACAGGGTTACTCTGGGACATTACTCTTCTTTAAGATAGGTGTGAAGGAGAGGGCAGAACACAGCGGTCTCTACCGGCAGATTATTAACATGATGTGAATCTTTATCGTGTGTCGTGGTACAACAGCTGATCTCATTTATGGACATTTAAGGGCCGTCATAAAAAAAACAAGATAATTATATTTCATTTTCAAAATTAATTTTCTTAGTAACCAAATAAAAACAGATGAACACCAGATGCTAATCATCCTGAGAAGTAATTAATCAAGGCTAATAATGACGTAGTATAGATTGTCTTGGACATAGATCTACCCCTGGGGTGTCTGGAGGCACTTAAGCTAAAAACAGCCCCCTCCCTAAACAAAGAAGAGTTGAAACCTTGACTGTCCCAGTGTGCTTTAAACAAAGATGTGACAGAAATAACAAAAACAGGGATCTTTTGCCTGTTCAGTGGTCACAACCATAGACTGTATATAAGAGATATGAGTGATCACACATGTGCACACACATATACATTTAAGGGGCTAAGAGGTGGAGGAGATTAGCTATGGACAGATTCACACGAAGAAGAGACTGAATGCATAACTTCCTCTGATTCGTGTCTTGCAGTTTTAGAGTGCTTGGATATGAATCAAGTACAACAATGCAGGCAAGATTTGATACCTGGTCTTTCTGGGCTCTCATGGCATCAATCTGAGGTTCACTGTAGCGTGGGTCTTTGGCTGGATCCTTCAGTTCCCTTTGCTCTCTGGTATTCTGTAAACAAAAAGCCAGTTACTTTTTTACTTTAAGTAAAAAAAGAAAAGAAAAAAGAAAATCTACAGCTTGTTTTCAATCAATATCAATATAAATGTCCAGAGTCAGAGTTTTCATATGTCAATACCACAAAAAATTGTTTATTACATAAAAATATAAACTGTTATCAGTGATTGAACTACCTCTTGAGGAAAAACTCGTTCATAGACTTTCTTCCAGAGGTCTTTTGGGTTTTTGGCATGAAGGGAGGAAATATCCACATCAGCAGTAGGAGGGGATCCTAAAACAACAGGAGTGTTATTTGAAAAGAATATTACATCGTTTTCATATCAACAGCCAGGCTTGAGCTTTTTAACTGAATGGAAATGCATTACTGCTTTTATCCACAGAGTGGTGCTGTGCCCACCTATTTGGGTGAAGGAGTCAGAGCCGGCTGGAATGATGAGAGGCTTAGTGGGGTCACTGGACACAGTTTTCCTGTACATACAAACAAAAATAAAACAAATACAAGTGATGATATTAAAGTGATGTGCGTTTGAATATTAAAGAATGCCAGTCCCAGTCCATATCCTCAAATATTTAAGATAAAATGCCATCATCTTCCCCACCCTCTGTCTAAACCGAAAGCCAGGTGAGAGAAAAAGCCCTTGGTTTTTGACATCAGGCTCTCAGACTTGATGCTTGTGAACTGCAAAGAAGAAAAGAGACAAGAAAAGCAAAACGCTTAGTTAAAGGAAGTGAAACTGTTGCAGATCGATTGAACGGATGAAAAGAGTATCAGGCAAATGAACACTCACAATAAGAGAGGCTGCATTGTAGTGGGCGACAAAACGCAATGTTTTGCTCACCACCTTCCGTTTGTCAGAGTCAAATTCCTGAAATACAGATGGAAAATATAATTTAAGAACTGTGAGATTTTAACCAATGTCATTTAAACTACAATCAAACAAACTACCCCCATGCTACAAAAAGGCCATATGGTAATAAGTCACATTTATTTCTAGATATCTGGGTATTTTACCTGAAAGAGATCATATTTGCTGCCGATGATGAGCAGAGGAACAGGAAAGGGACTGATCAGCTCTCTGTCCTGTCAACAGAGTCACCGTTACCCCAGGATACATGTGCCATCTGTTAGCTGTACTGAACAACAACTTTTTAACTTTTTACACTTTTTACACCTGTGGAGATTCTGAGTTATCCAGGTCATGGTAACTCAAAACTCAATGAGCTGATGTAAAAATCTCTAGTCTTATAATGTATTTTATATTTTGAATACATTCATTATGTACTTTAAGCTCCATGAATCAGCCTGGGTATACAGTAGCAAACAGTAGCTACAGTTAATTTGCTTTTGCACACAGGGAAATTGACTGGACTCAGACCAGCAGCCACTCCTCATTTATGATGGCTTTCCATTGTTATATGTCATTTGTTTTATGAATATCTTTAACCCAAATGTTTGAGACAAATATATCAATATAGGCCGCATGGGAGTCTATCTGGTACCCTTAATCAACTCCCCTCTCCTGTACATTTGTTGCATGGAATGAATGTACATAATTTACTCTAGTTATAAGTGAAGTCTTACTGGGAAGTCTTTGGGTAAGACGCGTGCTGCTGACTGGTGTTTGGCACCAGATTTGGTCCTCTGGCCTTTTTGTGCCTGGGTAAAGACTTTCTCCAACTGATCTTGGGCTGCCTGCAGGAGCTTCTCCATGGTCCCCCACAGGGTATTGGGTTTAGACAAGTCCAGAATGAGGATGACAGTGAAAGACCTGGGAAAAGACAGGAGAGACAGTGATCACTAAGTGCTTCCACGCTGCCTGTCATATTCACCCATTCATGCCACATTCAAATAGCGATGACAGAGGTATTATCAGTATTTACTGATCTTATTTGTACTATTTCACACACTGCTGATTGTGGTCATCACTGGGAGCGATTTGGGGTTCAGTGTCTTGCTCAAGGACACTTCGGCACATGGCTGCATTGAACTGACAACTTTACAGCTAATAGATGACAGACTCTAGCCAAGAACCACAGCCATTCTAATTTAAATAGCATGAACAGTATTTATACACAAAAATCTCCCTCTTTCAACATAACAGAGAAACGGGAAGCTGTGACAGAGACAAAAGGACCTCTGGAAAGTGGTTTTAGTAACCCACCTGATGCTGGCAGGAGTGATGGGGATCTGGACCAGGTCTGACAAAGAGATCCCTCCTCCGAGTTCCCATAGGTGGGCTATATCTTTAGGCTGAAAGAGAAAACCACCAGCCTTATACCACTATTTTATCACAAAATACAGACAATGTTCCATTTTAGACAAATTTTATATTTCTGCAGGACTTGGTGCAGATTACATCATGTTCTTGCATCATGTTCTTGTACTGGAGAACTCAAAGATATGAGGGTTTGACTCTAATCCTTGTATCCCCTTTCAAGAGTTGACTTTTCATACAGCTTTCCTTATCATTTCATATTCAAATGAGTCTATATGTGAATAGCTATGATCATTTTGTGTCTTAATGTCAGTCTGAGAAACATGGATCCAAGTGTACTGAGCTTCCTTACTGTGTTGTGTCCTCGTGCTCTTCTGCCAAAAGTGTACTCCAGTGCCAGAGTTGGTTTGGCCGGTTCATCTCTGGTGGATCAATCAACAGAGTTACTCTTCTAGAACAACCCAAAACTGCAGTCTTTACAGGAAATTTAGTTAGATCAGGGGTCTTTCTGTGCCTTTTCATAAGCGTTATTCCTTATAAACAAAAACTGTGAATCTCTAAAGAAATCTTCAAGAGTGATAGGGGAGACTATATAGGGGAGAGTGGGGTAAGATGAGCCATTTTTAATATTTCAGATCACTACATCAAGGCAATTATAGTTTTGCCTCTAACTAGTTTATCTGCATATATTTCAATGGTCTCCTATGGTCAATTTACCCCATGTATGGGGAAAGTTGACCATAGGAGACACACACTCCACTGCAGCCCTCCCTCACCTTCTCTCTCCCTAAATAACAGTCATTTCTTCACATTCATGTATTTTTATCTATTATACACTATTCAACTGGTACAATAATTCTTTTTATTATTATTGCATAAAACTGCTAAAAAGCTGTTTTGTATGAGAATGCCTTTTAAGTGATTCAGAACATTCACAGATGTATTTTTGACAAGAAAAAGTAACACATTTCAACAATCTGAACTGAAACTCTGATCCTCTTACCAGACTCTTTGACTTTCTCAACTTCACCCCAGAACTACTATCATGACTTTACCCAACTTACCCTTTGACTCAACTAACCCCACTCTCCCCTACTCAAACAGTTTGTGTTCACAAGTGTTATGTTGGATGCTAATTTAAAGCTAATGGTTGAATGGTTACTTGATAAACTTAGATTAAATAAAGCTACAGTCTCTGCGTGCAAACCCTACTCACCTGTCGAGACATCTAAGAAGAATAGACGTTTTACCCTGAAAGAAAACAGGATTTATTGGTTTGGTTGTATATTATGTGCCCTGGTGTGTCTTCTATCAACTGTATGTGGTCCAGCACGGTGATAAACTCATACCCCAGCCTTGCTGCCCATCAGAAACACGGTCCTCTCGTTGACGGTCTCTCCTCCGTCCTCTCCTCCTTCTCCTCCGCTCTCCTTGCAGTGGACCTCCGCCGCAGCCAGCTCCCATAACGTGTCTGAGCTGACAAACACCACACCACGGCGTCAGTTTTTTTTTTTCATCAAAAAGGACATCACCAAAACAAAAAACATAACCGTACCTGATTTTTGTCATCAAGTTGAAACATTGGAGAGAAAAATACGCACTGGGTTAGCTTAATGGCTAAAACCAACTACTACAAACGTTGCCAGAGTAACGGCAGGCGCTTTTTGATGACGCAATACTACTTTCAGGAGCATTGTGGGAGATGTTGTCCTAATGTTAATTAGACCTTGGCAACTATACAACAACACTTAACACAGCCTATGGGCAAAACCAAAGTCACATTATTTTGCTCCACGTTCACTTGAAGCTTTGTTATTTAACTTTGCGAGTGTCATAAAAGTGCTTAAACTATATTTTATAACATTCTTAAATAAAACTCGTTAATGTATTAAATACAAAAGCATGTTGTTTTAAAATGACAACCTAAATATAGCTATCCTGTTGTAGCAGGCCTTTTTTTTTGCAATAAATTATCTTTTGCCCTCACCAACTTGTGACCACTTAATGGACATCAAAAGCAATCACGGGTATGTTTTTTTTTCTTTTTAGTTTTTATGAAGAGCTGTATTAGTTTTCTAATATTGACCTTTATCCCACCTGATCCATTTTTCCATTTTGTGACTTAAAATTGTTTCAACAACACACAAAACTCATCACTCACTTTTGGAATACACCTCTTTATTTATTAGACATGAAACTTAATGTTTTCATTCACTCCACAGTAACTTTCACATGACTCAAACATACACTGCTGAGAAATAAGCAAACTCCCATTTGAACCTCAGACTCTTTCAGTCATATTTGTTAAATACTGTACACAAAACCATGCCATTTAATTTACAGAATTTCATAGCAGAGCAGTTGAGATCTTCAGTGACTGATCAGTCTCCTTTCAATGTTCAGATGATCTTAAAAAAGGGTCTCCGTTATGGAAAACAGCATTACAGTTGTTTTAGGAAAATCCCTTTAGATGCAAACTGATGGCAATATTTTACAGTAAATCTCTTTCTTTATGAAAAGGGTGTTATTGGATGAGCTGTCATGACCTTTTCCTTGGCTGGTCACAATAGGGTACATTTTCGAGTAGGAGGTGCTCTCTGGGTCGAAGCACTACGGGAGAAAAGGAAAACTTAAGTACATAAAACAATGTAACATCATTCATTTATTTATTTAGTCAAGTAAAAAAAGATTTCTAGTCTATTTCATTTACATACATATGTTACTTTTCTGTACATTCCAAAAGGACAAGGCAAGAACGAGAAAAGCAACAACGTACAAAGTCTCTGTTCTCCAACATGTTCCATTTGTAGCACCGTCTCTCGAAGAACAATTTCCACATCTGAGCCCATTTTGATCATCTGTAAAACAAACAGATGATGAGATGGACACACTGAATCCCTGGGCACAAACAAAAGGGTTGACTTTATATAGCAACATACTACACATACTAAAGTGCTGTTGTGCTTGAAAAACGCAAAACAATCAACAGTCCTTATTTTGATTTGATTTGATAATTTTATTGATTTTTTTAATAATTTTATTTTTTTTATTTTTTATTTATAATGAAAGAAAAACAAAAAAGTTCATCCTACAGGGTACAAAATACTTTGCCGCATATGCCAAGCCTTTTTAACAAATTTTGCCAAAACAAAAACATCCTTTTCAAACAACCAACCAACCCAAAATCTCACCTTCACTCTTCCAAAATAAATCAGGATTTTTAAACTGAATTGATTCAAAAATGACAGTCCTTAAGTCAACATATAAGGGACAATTGAAAACAAAATGAAATTCATCCTCAACCACCTGTAAATCACAGAATTCACACAAACGTGCTTCTTCCGGTAAGCCTTTAAATCGTCCCACTTCTTCTGCCAGAGGTAAGGTACCTGTTCTCAACTGAGCACAGAGAGATCTCTGTCTTCTCTTTAAATTAAGGAAAATATAAGGTTCTGTAAAATAATTCTTCTTGAACTGAACATAATTTCTGAGCTTTGGTTTCTTCCATATATCCTGTTTCCACTGATCTTCGTGCTTCTCAAACATTTTTTGTTTAACAGAATTTATATTACATTGCAGATTATTTCTATAGTAACTGTGCTTGAGTGCAAAAAGTATTATTACTTACATTATTTTTTCAAATACATCCTGTTACAACTGTTTATAAAGAGCTGTATTAGTTTTTGTAATATTAACCTTCATCCCACCAGATCCTTTTTTTTTTTAACTTTAAATTGCTTTAACAATCCATAAAACTTAACCCTATAGTCCTTAGAGTAACTGTGCTACAGTGCAAAAAGTATTATTATTTACATACATTATTTTTTCAAATAAATCCTGTTACAACTACATCAAGAAGTATCTTGACATGAACTTTAAATCTCCTTATCAACGTTAGTGTTAGTTACTCTAGCCAGTTTACTGTAGATCAATTATTCTGGACCAAAACTTAAATAAAGAGAAACAAAATACAGAGAAAGGCTTCAATCCTCAAAGTATAAAAATTGTACTAGGTTTGGGATTTGTAGTCACATATGGAAAGAAATGAAACACCATGACGGAACCCCCTACTGCCCAAAAGATGGAGTAATTTATATCTCACTTTATGACTTCTAGCACTCTTTTGACCCATAGGTGAGACCCTTTTTGGTTAAGCCATGATTCTATATGTTCGACTTGGATTGTTATCTTTCACTGTACCTTCTGGATGTTTTCCTCTGAAGTTTCATCTTTATTTTTGCGAAACTCCTCGTTGATCTTTAATCTTGCAGCTTTGGGGAAGGAAACAGAGTGAATTATTAAGGAAAAAATAGTGAATTGTTAAGGAAAAATAGTAAATTATTACGGTTTAGTAAAGACTATGGACCAGGATACTCTCCTGTTTTAGAAAAATCACACTCATATATCACTCACCAGCTAGTGCTTTATTGTCATCTTTGAAAACAGCCAGCCTTGTTCTGTGCAGCGATTTAAACACGCTCAGCACCTGCATTTATAAAGAAAATCAACATTTGTAATTTCCCCATCGTGACAGCTGTGACTTCAGCTAAAGTGGCTGTACGTTCGATTTCCCTGAATTTTAATTGTTATCAAAAGAAACACGTATTTTTTAAACGAAACAAACAAAGGAATATGCAATTCACAATGTCTTATGTTAGTGTTTTCTTCAATAATAGTAATAAATGTTATCCTCACCTTCAAACGAGCACTCATGTTGACTTCTTCTGGTCTTTTCCTGAATCGTGGGCGGTGTCATATGCTAATAACCAATCACGGAAGACGTAAAGATGACGTTTTCTCGCAGCCAATGAGCGTTCGCTGTAGTTTTTCAGGACCTAAATCGGCGCAGACATCCTGGTCGATTTGCGCCAACATGGCTGATGAAACTGCCAAAGCGCAGGCCGCCCAGCCGGGTGGAGATACAGTATTTGGGAAAATCGTCCGAAAAGAGATTCCTGTCCAGTTCCTCCATGAAGATGACTTGGTAAGCACTTATTTTTTAACCGTAAACCCATTTAGGTGGACGGTGTCTGAGCTGCACGCCTGCTCCCTGCAGACTGACGTTTAGCTAACAGCAGCTAGTTGTGCACAAACTGGATTTGCATGGTCTGTTAATATACAGTAGATTGAACTTTGTTTGGCTGTGGGCTATTTTCACAGCTTTAGCAATAACTTGCGTATGCTGCTGTGAATTGCCTGAAAATAGCTATTTAATGTAGAAACCTTGCAGTAAATAGGACCTGCTGTGTGTATTAATGAAGGTTTATTTTGTGCTCTTAGTTGTTGCTCTTACTACATTTGCTGCGTCTGGTCTTTGAGGACATTGACTGTCCACTAGGAGCCGGACAAGGTCCAAGAGGCTAGGTCCTCTGCAGCTCTTTATACAGCCCTTATACAGCTATAAAGTAAGACCCTGCAAGCTTCCATGACTTGCTGTTTCTGTATTTTGGATTGAAATATGCAGTTATGATGTAGCTCCTTCCATCTATATTTATGCCAAAATTTCTATATCTATATTTATGCCAAATTTGAGTCTTGGTTTACTTTCTATATGTGCATTTAAAGATTTTATGAATTTCTTGGTAAATTCAGTGTAATAAACTAAAAGATGCATTAAACAGTGTGACACTGGTGGACCTTTTATGTGGCTGAAGATGCAGACTTTATCTGAGACCTTATCTTCTGAGTGATGGTTTTGCTTTCAACTAATTTCTGATCAAAGACCCCATTTTACAAACACAAAGAAAGATAAATAAATGAATAAATAAACAAAGGCATCCCCATTACTGACATTTAAAAGGACCTTGTTTTGAACTGTGCCATACCTTATTCCTGTTTTTCTTCTCTGCAATGCTATTGTGTCCTAGTTAGACCAGTCAATTATACCAATCATACTAAACTTAAATTCAACTTTAGTTTTATGGCACTTTTCAGACAAAAAGTGCCATTCAAAGTGCCTCACAGAGGCTAATAACAACAATTAATAACAATAAAACCTGACCCTCTCACCCATGGACACACACACACACGCACACAGTGTGAGAATTGAAGATATAATGTTAAAGAGACATGGCCTACCTTTGGGAAGAGCTACCTTTGGGAAACACTGGAGATAAAATGGTAAAAAAGAAGGAGTAAAACCTGATGGACTAAAACAAGAAAATAATATTAAATGAACAGATAAGTAAGAGCTCTTCACCATATAAAAAAGGGTTAAAAGAAGTAAAAACCTCTAAGACGGTAATTAAGAAAAGACAAAGAACAGAGATAATTAATAAAATGACATAAAATAAACATTAAGAACTTTGATTAAAATGAACATTTGCAATAAGAGAAATATAGAAAGTCAATTAGTGAAAAGCCTGGTTAAAAAGGTGAGTCTTGAGCCTCTTCTTTTAAACATCAACAGCCTCTGCGGCCCTGAGGCTCAAAGAGTTGAAGTTTGAATAAAGAGCCAGTGGTCTGTACAGACTCATTTCTCTGTTTTCTGTTTATTTCAGTGTGTAGCCTTCCCTGATGCCGCTCCCCAAGCTCCCACCCACATCCTTGTGGTGCCAAAAAAGCCCATTGTGAGAATGTCGGAAGCTGAAGACAGTGATGCTGCAGTAAGTGGGATTGCTTTTTACTCACCATTGTGTGTTATTAGTTTTCCTTCATTGACCACTAGATGGGAGTCTACATACACGACTCCATGTGTGCCAGGACGGTTACAGTATTTGAGTACAAAGTTTTGAGCAATGAGTTGAGAACCGTTGTTGATGCATGCATTCGTTTTCTCTTCCTCTCTTAGTTGTTGGGCCACATGATGATAGTAGCAAAGAAATGTGCAAAAAATGCAGGTCTGACTAAAGGCTACAGGCTTGTCGTCAATGATGGACCGGACGGTGGGCAGTCAGTCTACCACATCCATATCCATATCCTGGGTGGCCGTGGTATGGGATGGCCTCCTGGTTAACCTCCACCTCTCAACACAAACCGTCCTGCTATGAGTGTGTGACCAGTGCTGTCCAATTTTGACTAAAACTGTTTGTCACGTGAAATAAGAGTTAAAGACAATGTGGAAATTCAGAAATGATAATAAATGCACTTCACTATAGAGTCATGATCTGGTTGTCTTTTTTTTATCTCCATCTCTGTATTGGAAATTTATTCTAACTAGATCCATCCTTTGCTTATCTCCTCCTCCTCCTTTTAATGTGTGAGCCTGGTAGAGCCCTCAGGTCTTCAGGTGGTGGTCTTTTAATTGTTCCCAAAGTAAAAACTAAAACATACGGTGAATCATCGTTCCAATATTACAGTCCCCATCTGTGGAACAGCCTACCTGCAGACCTGAGAGCGACACCTACTGTTCATATTTTTAAAATTAAACTAAAGTCCTACCTTTTTAATCTGTCTTTTAGTTGAATTTTGTTTTAATCTGCATTACATGATTTTACCCTATTTTAGTCCTAGAGTAATTATTTTGTTCCTTACCTTTTTTTTTTTTATTTACTCTCTTTTATTGATTACTATGACTATACTATTTGATTTAAAGACTTTAATTTAATTAACTGATTACACTTTATCACCTTTATTACATTTTATCATGGTTTTATTGTTTTAGTCCTAGATCCAGTGTTTCCTCATCTTTTTAAACTCAAGACAGCGTTCTCCTGGGCTTTAGTGTATGCATCCGTGTGTGAGTACTGTATGTGTTGAATGGGGTTTGGTATCTATAATTTAATTTAAATTTTTTTAATTGTTTTTTTAATATCCCATGCGAATGGACAGCACTTTGTGCTACATTCCATCTATGAAAAGTGCGTTAAAAATAAAGTTTGATTGATTGATTGGGGAAAAAGACCCTCCCGAGACATGGAATCTAGTCATAGAGTGAATAAGTATGGGTTCAAAACTCCCACAGAAGTTTGAGTCTAAAATCAACTTTTTTGGGGTAAATGACTCCAAGTCAAAAATGAATATAAACACAAGTGAATGACTCTCTTTTAATATCAGTAAGAAACAATGCAGGCTGTGGAACAAATATAAAATACATGAAACATCCACAAAATATTAAACAAAAAAATAAATAAAATGGTGTTTTTTTCTTTCTTTTTTTACAAAAATAACAAAAAAACAAAGAACACTGATCAGATGACACATAGAATTTCAAAAATAAACATGTACCTAGCATTCACAGTCCCCTAACTTCACTTTTTTGACAAAACAGGGAGGAGGGGAAAACACAATTAGAGGCTTCATTTGTACAGACAGAAAAGTTCCAGAGAGGCAAGGCAGTCACTTCTGATATCAGGCAGAGTGATGTTCTTCTTCATCAAGCTATTTGACATTTGATGCAGCCTTTCACTTTTTCACTTCCTCTGTATGAAAAAACACCACAACCTGATGTGCAAAATAAGAAATCTGTTCTTACATATTTTCTTTTCATCAATGCCCTTTTACAGTTGAAATGGGCACTTTGAGGCATTGAAATACATTTGCAGTACAGTATAGAGAGAAGGAAATGAACATGTATTCTGGTACCTAAACTCACTATTGCAAACATTTCTATATTCTAATATACTGCCTTACTCTAGAACACAGAAAATTAGCTGGAGAGAGACTTGGAAAAGGGTTAGTCTCCATAAAGCAACTAGAAAAGCAGCAAAGTCATTGAGGAAGAGGTTAACCACAATCTCTCACTGTTTCAGTTTGCTGGAGCTTCTTATCAATGGTAAAAGAACAATTCAACTCAAGTATGTACACAAGCATGAAGCCATGTTAGGAGCACTTCCTTTTCCAAGTTGTTTTCATTTACACTAATTAAAAACAGAGATTTTCATGTGTTCTTTAAACAAAACATTAACTTAAACCAACAGCAGCAGTTGTTTCACACTCAGGTTTCGTGTGTACTTACGATAAAACCGGTTAAATAAAACCAAAAGGAAATTAAATCCAATGTCAGGTGATTAAAAACTTTAAAAGAAAAGGTCTGCAGTTTGTACAGTACCAGTATCTACAATATTCATTGCTAGTTTAAAAATATGTCTCATCCCCTGTGACTGACAAAAGTGGAAAAACCCAATTGGAAATCAATACAGTAGGGCACTTAAGTACATGTACTGCTAAAAGCAAATATTCACAGGCCACAAAAGACATGGCAACAGAAATTAAACTAGTGTTTCACGTTAATAAATAAAACTCTTGAGTCTGATTTGTTGACAGAAGAATGATTCCAACATTCAGAAAAACTGCAAACTGTGAAGACAAACTATAATATTTGAGATACAAAATGTCAAGATTTTGCACCACAAATGAATTTCCACATGGCTCAACTGTTAAAAAATGACAGCATCATTAATGTTGTTAACTTTGGTAAGTGGTTATCTTGAGTGAAAATGGTCATTGGTTTCCAGGATACTCTAATGTAAATTTAAAAAAAACTAAGACTTAGCATTAGTATGATCAACACAGACACCAGCTCTCATGAAGAAAGCTCTCAGCCCCGTCCTGTACATGCTACTGGAGTTAAACACTGTGTGCGACACCACAGAGAGAAAAGGAAAGGGTTAAACATAAAGGGAGGAAGGCGGAGGCACTAAACTTTCATTTTCAACAGATTCACTCTACGCTTTAGTGGACGGTTGCAGTTAGAGTATCAAAAACTTCTCCAACTTCTGATAAATGATGTCGATGCATGTCTGTTACTTAAGGCTGCTGAAATACTGGCTTATAAATCATTGTGGTGTTTTACATTGTACAATAGAGTAAATAGACTAGTGGGATTGTTATTTTACAATGCATTCTGTTTTTCTGAAAGGAACTTCATTAAAAAGTCTTATTAAAGTTGAACATCATTTAGGGGGGAGGAGAAGCTGCTACTGTGGAGGGTGTGTTTTAAGGCATGTCCTTCGAATAGGTATTAAGTAGGGTCCAGACACATGGAGAAGGCAAGAGAAAGAGACTGAAGGAGACTGTACAAGCAGGTATCTGTCCACTGAGAGAGCAGCCAGGTAATATTCTGTCCATCAGGTAGTCAGGTCAGCGAGTTAGCATGAAGAGTTTTGAAGTTGAGAAACTCCAACCATGGCAGTCAATGTGTTAATTGGCTAAGTTTCTAAGGGGGTATATATGCATGATGCATCAGTTGGGGTTCAACATTGTGAGTCCGCAAGTTATTTTGAAGCGCTTCATCTTCAGCCTGATAATACTTGGGCATAAATTTACACTATAATCATATTACTGGACTGAATTACTGATTAGGATGGCAAGTGTTCAAAAGATTCTATTCCTGCTTCATTGCTGTGAAACACGGATCATCTGTCAGCTGCACTCAAATTGAGACTGTCGTTATTATTCACAAAGCAATGCTTGCAGGGAAACTTGTTCACTTCTGTGCAATGGCCTCTTCTCCGCTGGGTCGCATGCGATTGAAGGGCAGCCCTCCAACTCCTGCTAACCCTAAACCCACACTCGGTTCCCGTGCCGTCGTCTCTGTGTTGGCAGTTGATCCTCCAGGACCAGGTAGGATCTCCGGGAGTGATTCTTTGGCTTGGGGCGCAGACCCAGGGCTGGTGGCAGAGAGGGAAGTTGTTGTTCTGGTGGTTTGGGGCTTAGTAGGAGTGGTAGGGCTGGTCAAACCAAGGCTGGCCAGAGCATCCAGGGTCCCATCAGGGTCCACCATCACATTGATCACTGTGACAAAAACAGGGAGAGAATTAGGACATATCGATGATGCCTGTTTGACATAAAGGCGTTGAAAATAATGATTTACTGTATGCAGAAGAGGGTTAGAGTAGAGAAAAAATAAGTGGAAGAGGATTTTTATTTATTTTTATCATGCATTTAGAGAAAATATCAAAATGTCAAGAGCAAGTAGAAATCACAATTGAAGTTAAAAAATAAAAAAAACAAAATGCACTTTTCAAGAAAATGTCACATCCATGAATCAATTATTTGTAAATTTCTGAGCATCACTTTTTTTTTAGAAGAACTTCTATCACACGTGTTAATTTGAAAAACAAGGTGAGAAAGAGCATATGGCCTTTGTAGATATGAAGTAAAATACTGATCTCCATGGATACCCTGTGTTTGGATTACATCTCTAACTGGACTTAGGTTTTGGAGGCCCCAGGAAGGTTGGACTTTTAACAGGTTAAAACTTAAACATGAATTTTTACCTCCATTGATGTTACACAGCATTAACATAGAAACTGTTGTCAAAGTGAATGTCTTCATTAACAGATAAACGGTTCAAGAGTTCAATATCTGATGAACTGTGCTCTAAACTCCAAACAATACCTTTATCGATGAGCAGTTGACCCTTCAACCTATTGAGTGATTGCGAGTGACAGCCGCCCACACAGTTGATGTGTAAACACTTCAGTTTTAATCAGGAAAATGAATTCACCCAAACATGTCACTCTGCCAATTGGCAACCAAACACAAACTGGCTGGCAACCCAGTTTGGGTCATGACCAAACAGGGATGGCTGACAAAGATAGAGTAGGTGTAATAAGAGTACCTGAAGTTATATCAGAAGAGGGAGGAAAGCACAGACTGTGACAACATACACCTCAACTGTGTAACTCACTGTGGTGATTTGTTACATACACAACCTCAGTCATTACTCATTACTTATCAAGTGTCTGATACAGTGGTAACTACCACATGTTTACAGATTTATTAACATCTTTATGCTAAATGAAGATCCTCTAGGACTGTAATCTGTTAAAAACAATAATGTACAGATTATTTACATCATATTAAAAAAAGGATATGCAGTTTTGACCTGGAATCCGTCTTTACTTTGGCATCTCCACTTAGCAAAGATCTACTTTTTTCTCAAAAAGGAACTTCAACTATTTTCTCAAAAATTTACTTTTTTTTCCCTGAACATTGCAACTTCTTCCTCAGAGTGAATATCAATAAAAAAAATTTTTTTTTGCTCATTCTTAATATTCTCTATTTCTGTAATCACTGATGTTTGCATTTATATGGAATCTTGCTAAATACTATTTAGTTTTGTTATCAGTGTGAGTTCACATCTGTTTAAAGTACTATTATGAATACGTGTTTTTACCTTGAAGCTGCTTTTCAACCCTCTTCAGTTCGATCAAAATGGAAGAGATCTCCTGCAGAAAGAAAAAAACTTTTTGATTCAAATAATCATTTCCTTTACCGTATATCAGACAGTGTTCTGACAGATAGGTTGTGGACCTTGTTAGAGGTTTTCAGGAGAGGTACATCACTCTCTGATCGCAGTTTACTTTCGATTTCATCCCAGTTCCTGTCCTTATCTTTGAATAATATCCTGAGAAGAACGTAGCACATAATAGTTAAATGTTAATTCGTACTTATTTTGGCCACAAAACATCACAATAGCAAACTTACTGATGAGTGTTACATATTCATGAACAGTTATAGCATGATTTGGGCATAATTACCGGATTTTTCCTGCTGTTTTGTCGATGGAGTGCCTGATCTTGCTAGAAAGCTGAGAAACTGAGTGGAGCAGAAGGCTGTCTAACACGGCCTGAGTACACAGAGGAACAGAAAAGAAGTTTGATGTGCAGATCTGAGAGTGAGCATTTCTATCTTGGTGCATTTTAATTGTGTATTTTCTGCTGCTTCTTACATCCTCTCGGTTCCAGGTGCGCCTTCTCAGAGCCCGGGGCTCCAGAGTATCAGGAGCACGAGGGCGGAGCTCTGCTGGTTTTCCATTGATCTCTGGCGCCTTATTGGTTGAAATAACAGGTGGAATCTTCCTGAAGTTGAGACTCTCATCAAAAACCCGATCCACCAACTAATGGAGATGTTAAAGAGAGAGAAAAATGTTGAAGAATTCAGAACTTTGAGTGAATTTTCTCCAGTATTATTGAGGCTTGTTAGTGAAGCTTAGTTAAGGTTTGAGAAAAGGGAGGTAATTAGGAACTCTGCCAGAGAGATAGCATGAAAGCTCGAGTTCAAAAAGGATTAAGATTTTAATCCAATCGTGCTGAAATATGTAAATCCTTTCATGGCAAAAAAAAAAAAATGAAAGTGGAAAAACTAGAGTGTAAAAAAGGAATATCTCTTGCAGCGGATACAAAATTGGAAGCAACAAAGAGGCGGCCAGTTGTTTTTAATCAACACAGGAGAGATGGCAAAGGCGCAATGGAAGCACAAACGCAGTCATGAAAGAAGTGGAAGAGGAAAAACGGGCACCTTTTTCATGCTCTCCTGTATTTCCGGCTGCGTGGGACGTGCAGGGCCTACCTCTTCCCGGGTGTCTATAGCAGATCCCGGGGTGGTTGCGGCGGTGCTGACCGTGGTGCTGGGCGCAGTACCAGATGAACTGACTGAGTCGATTTCGCCCGCTACGTCGTGTATCTCGCGAGCCAAGATAGCCAAATCCTTAGCCAGATCCTGGCTGATCCTGCGCACACATGGGAATAACCTGTTAACCATCAGACAGATGAAGGAGTTCTTTAGGACAAAGGAACACATGCAACGTGCATAACATTCAACATTCAAGCTGTAATCTGATATATGTCACAGAAAAAAATGAATGAACAGATTTGTTTTTTACAGACAGGAATATTTCAATACCTGGCTATCTCCTCGCTGTGTGCTGTCCAGTCTCTGATGTATTCCTCCTGCTCTTTCATGCGATGTTTGACCCCCACTCCTCCTGGACCCGTTGCCACACTGGTACCTGGGCTTGCAGTGTTGCTGAGTCTCAGGCTGCGGTGTGGAACGAGGTGATGAGGCCGCATGTGGGAGCGTCCACCATGTTTTGGAGGATTCCGGTTTGAGCCGAACTCTTCCTCTGAGGTGGAGCCATACTCTGGTGGTAGACGTCTCCATCTGCTGCTGCTGGACACTACCAAGGACATGGAAGGACAATGTGAATTTTTTGTCTCCTTCTGCACCTTTTTTTTCAAATTTATGATGTTAATAAATGAGCTTGAAAATGTAAGGCTTTGTTACTGCAGCTGGCCGCTACCAATCCTACTTTAATCCAACAAACTTTAAATCTAGTGCATATAGAGGAGGTAAATTTGTATTCTCTGGAATACAATTATAAAATATGTAATAAAAATATAAGATATACTTTATTTCACATTGATCAAGATTTAAATTTCTAATAATATGTTACACCCTGCATATCTCTTTTTCTAATTATGCAAAATTTTCTGCATAAAGTTCTTTAAAAACAAAAATAGAGCCTGTAATAGTAGGCAGACTATTGAGGCAGAGTATTTATCTTAATACCTTACTTTTTTTCGTTTTGGTGTTAGTTATCTTCAGGGATGATTAAAAAAAAGCACATTTAAATAATAAAAACAGCAAGAAAAGAAAACATTTGAGATTATCTGAAACCCCAGCCAGCCAATAAAAGCATAAAACACGAGACAAAAAACTTGACAGAGCCAGGATGTTAATTTGCGTCATGACGACCACATAACAAATGCATTAATGTAGCTGCACCATGATGAGGCAACACCATGCTCTATCAGTGTCTCTGGAGTGAAATGGGACTAAGTGAAAATGTCAAGAGTAAAAACCTCCACAAGGTGGAGCACTGTTTGGGGTTTTGAACTTGAAAAACATTTAGATAGAGAGAGAGCAATCTTGTGAGTAGAGCATTTGGGTCTTCATCACAGCATCACTTGATGGATGTAGGGGGAGACACAGAGTTAAAATGGAAACATGCTAGAACTGGGTCATCATACTTGATTCTTTAACTGACATGATGTGATTCCCTTGTGAAAATTACACTTTATCATTTACCCGAGGCAAAAAATAAAGGATGCTGCAGCAACATTTATAATATGAACGATGTGTGTGTAAATTGCTAAGACCCAGGTCTGACACAAACACACACACACACACACACACACACACACACACAAACACACACACACACACACTACTGAAGGCTCTACAGGTCTGGTACAGTACCCGGCAGCTCTTCCTCAGCATCACCACCCTCAGGTTCAGGCTGAGAGCTTTCTGAACAATGACAACCAATGCACAAGTTTGTCACAACAACACAGTGGAAATGCAAAGACACAAATGATTACACACACTGACACACAATGAAATATGCAATGGTAACAACTCCTTTTTGGACCTGTGTCTTGTTGCACCAGTTATTTAAAGGTCACATTAAATCATACACTGATTCATGATATGTCATTTTTTGTTTGCACCATAGAGACATAAGGTTAGGGAGGTTTTCACTTCCTCATACAAACTGGAAAAAAAAAAAAAAACTTTTATACTTTAGGGGAAGTTTGTTTTAGAGTTTCCTCTTGTGTTAAATAGTCTCTGAACAGGTTAACAGCTCAAAACAACTTCTATTAACTGATAGTGGTGCAACGGATCACAACACTCACGGATCGAATCGTTCCTCGGATCAAGAGTCACGGATCGGATCATTTTTCGGATCAGCAAAAAGCAGTTTTGTCTGTATATTAAACACTTAAATGGTTGAATTAAAATATATAAAAGTAGTGCATACGGCATAATATCTTCTTTTCAACATAATTATTAATGAAAAACAACTTAAAGTGCAATATATAGGCATATCTCCTTCCTTTAAAATGTAACAATGAACCAAAAATGAAGTATGTGCGCGGTGGGATATTGTAACGTGGCTCAAGCACTTTCAGCATGTTTTTAAAGCCCTCGTTTGCACAACTGAATATGGCCTCATGTCTGTAGCTATAAACACACCGATAGCGTTTGTGATAGCTTTAACCCGGTCGGATTGCGCAGGAAGAGGCTGCTTAAATGCTGCGGTGATGAGCGGTTGCTGGCCAGCTTTCGTTTTATCTCAGGTGTTGTGACATAGAATGCACCCCTGCGTAGAATGCACCCCCTGACGGGAGCGCGGTTTAAAGTACATAACGAGGCGAAATAATCCAAGTTTTTCTTACATTGGATGGATTCAAAAGCGTTTGCCTGAAATAATTTCATTCAGGCTATTCAAAGAAGCCAAAAACAACAGGCCTTGGAATATTGCTGTCCCGAAAATATAATGCTCTCTACCTGGACAGCTTTCTGTACAGTTTATACCCAAGTACACCTCTATATTTGCATTTTTGAGACACATAAAAAGAAAATGAAAGTTTGCTGCTCCATTTGACATGTTGTCATGATCTAATACTCGTGTTTCTTTAAATATGAGATCATTATCTCCACTTTAAGAAGCTAACGAGTGGAGGGGATGCAGGGGTGCGTTCTACGGCAGGGGTGCAGTCTACGGCACAACACCTGTCATTAAAACACCCGGGTGATGTCGCTTTCAAATGCGTGAACATGCTCTTTGTGTTTCCACTGTCATATGGCTTTCTTATGCCACAGTGCCTACACACCTTCGCAGTTTTTTCCACTGACCTCTTTCCTTCCTCATCATAGTTGACAGGGAAGCCACATTTTTTTTTTCAGAAATCGAACCGCGGGTAACGTGTGTGCCGAACCGATGACGTCGATCCGAACGGATCACGGATCAATGATGATCCGTTGCACCACTATTAACTGAACAAACTGCAGGAAAGTGTATGTTAAGTATGACAAAGCATTACCATTTAATGCTAATGTAACCTCTGTTTGTGTGAGATAACTGTCAACTACTACACATTAAAAGAAAAGTACTCTATGACTGCGAGAAGAAATTCTCTTTGCTTGTGAGAGACAACAGTGTGAGTACAAATCAAAGTCATTACACAATCCAGCAAGTAAACACTCCTGCTTCTCCCCCTTCTTCTCCTCAAATTACCCAGTTATTCCAAGCGATGCCCCATGACTGCTGGTGGTTTACAGAGAACTTTACACCTACTTGGATCTGTGTATGAGATTTCAGTTGTAACTTTTGCCTTCGCTGGAACTGTCTCAGTTTTTGCAACCCCCAAAATGTTAGTGCTGTTTGAACTCTGTCTTAAATTGGCAATTATGTTCACACAAGGCTGCTTCTCGACTCAAAGCTGGTGCAACACAGCATTTTATACACTGAACAATAATTCAACAATCACTAAATAGAGATAAAAAAAAAAGTCTAATTTAAAATTCTCCTCTTTTTATTGTTCCGTCACAGATTCAGATGAACCCTATAAACTGGGACTTCATGAGCTCACCTGTGGGAGAACAGTATCCAGCTGTGGTCGTCTTTGTCTTGGTCTCGTTCAGTTTGGACACACTGCTGGCCCTCATCCTCGGTGTCAGTCTGTTCTCTGTTGGGGTCGATGAGCGTAAGCCCAGACGCAGAGCAGTCTCGGCTGACAGGCGGGGTGAAGAGGTGGAGCTCCGTGTCATGGTACACTCGGAGTCACTGCGGGCTGAGATGGAGCCCACGCGGGTCCTGCGCGGCTGGGCCAGCATGTCCAGTCTTGACAGTCCCTTCCGACCAGATGGTGGCTTGGAGGTGGAGCTGGTAGTAGAGACCTCAGAAGCGACCGAAACCCTGTCTGCATCAGCTAGATCTGTGTCAGATGTATCCCCCAGTCTAGCTCTCCGAAGAAGGGAGGCTCTTGTTGGACGCGGCTGAGGCAGCGAGGCCTGCTTGTTGATGGAAGAGGTCGTGGCTGCCTGGAGAGTGCGGCTGGTTTTGGAGGTTCCACTTGGGGAGGTTTTAGAAGACCTGCTGTCGAGTTTGGAATGCCCCAAAGGTCCAGAGTAGGTTTCCTGGTCTGAGGAGAAATGATCAGAGATGGGGAATGAGGAAGTCTGGTCATCATCAGTAAGGTCCAGGGAAGGCTGGCGTGCTCTAGAGGAGGAGGAGGGCTGAACAGAGCGGCGCGCATCAGTTCGGCTTGTAGTCTCTGCAGTTCTTGTTTTAGACTTCCTCTCCAGTCGTTCACGGGCGCTTGTATTGGTAATGCTGGACCTGGAAGCTGTACTCATGTTGCTCTTCTCCCGATGCATGCTGCTTAGGGAACGGCGTTTTTGTTCGCTGCTGCCTAGACCTTTCCTCTCGGCCCCATGACTAGCTGCGCTGGCTGTGTCCACATCTGACTCAGGAGAGATGGAGTCAGTCCGAGTGGGAAACCCAGAACCTGAGCCCTGATTGGAGATGCCACTTTTAGTTCCTTTCTGGTCAAGTTTGTTTTCATCTCGAAGCTTGGCCTCCAGGAACGCCATGACAGCTTCAGTGTCCTTCAGGAGCGTAGCAGTATCCATGCTGCCCACAGAGTCACTGCGTTCACGCCCATTGCCGCCTCTGTTGATGCGGGGTATGAGCTCTGCAGGGACGCTAGCGCTCGGCTTCTCGATTGTGAAACTGCCCTGTCGCACGAGAGGCTTCCCAGACTTCTCTCCTACTTCCACAGCTCCACCTCCTCCTCCTCCTCCTTTCCGCTCCTCTGACCTCTTCCTTCGCTCAGTACTGCCAGAGGTCCGAGCAGGAGCCTTGGATGGAGAAGATGTGGAGCTTTGTTTTCGTTTACTGGTCATCTCAGTGTCTCCAGCAGGAGTCGGGGACTCCCCGTCTCCTTTGTTCTCCTTTTCTTGGGGTTCAGTGTCCTGTTTCTCCCCGATCTCAGATCTCACTCCTAGGGCTTTGGTGCTGGATTTAGCCCGGGGGTCATCAACAGGAAGCTGGGGGAGGGTTCTGCGCTTACGATCAGTCAGACTGGAGGAGGATTCACCTCTGCTGAGGGATGCTCCAGACTCAAAGGCATCAGCTTCAAAAGGAGAAAAGACCATGTCATTAAACTATAGACTTTTTCAATCAAGTAAAAAACAAGCAAAGCTGAATCTTTTTTTTTTTAATAACATATCTCTATTCCCTGAGAATCCAGCAACTATGTACCTCGCTCTTTGTGTAGGAAGGCAGCAGTTTCTGCTCCTGAGCCCTCTGGGTCAGTCCTGGTATGACTGGCTGCTAGACTAGCCCACTCAGAGACCCAGCTTGTGTCACCAGGATGAGCCTGAAGAGAGCATGAAGGGGGGTGGGGTGACAAGAGACAGACAGAGGAGTGACAGCATCAGAAAAAAAGAGCAGTTTAGTCAACTATCTGTGGCACAAAAGTATTTAAAAGAAGCAGATCTGAGAGAAACGCCGTTTTTGTGTTCACTTGAAATGTATTATATGATAAAGGATATTATTCTTTCACCTTAAATGAAGGATAGTAGAATTTAGAACAACTCCTGTTCTGTATTTTAAAACTGCCCTCAAGCATTGAAGAAACACAACAGTACAGCTCTTAAAAACAAAGTTTAATTCTATGGAGATCGTAATAGAAAGGCGATCACAGCTCATTTATACTGTCTTCTCTCGCTGATGAAACTGCCTGGAGGGCCAAGGGTGTCTCTCCACATCTTAGTATGATCTAGGTCAGACTCAGGGAGGACTAGCCCACTCCCATGGGCAGGCAAAAGGAGGAGAGTGGTCAAGCAATGGGAGTGACTGTGACTCACACTGTAAGACTTAATCCACCTCCGACAAATACTACACAGGACTGTGACACATGAGGAGTAAGAGGTCATTTGTCATGGTGGAATTTACCTCATCATAACGCAACTAAATGAGGCAACGTGGGAGCACCGAAGAAAAAGCAGGAACAAAAATCAAACGAAAAAAATGACAAACAAGCTGTCAGAGTGTGGCTCTCTACCTCTTTCCCTGTCTCTCCTGTCTCCTTTCCTTTCACGTCCCCTTTGAGGTCTGACAGATTCGAGGAGTCCTGGCTCTGCTGCACACCGAACACCTAAAATATTTGGGGAAAAAAAAAAAAAGGTCATACTTGACATTTGCTCAATAGTAAATCACGACAGTCTCATCATGTCTGTGTTATCAATGTACTTCACATTTAGTCCTTCCACTGTCTAAATTTGCTCTGAAGCACGCTTTGTAATGTAAATTTAAGAGCCACATTATATATGAACAATACGGTAATACTATCCTGCATATTTGTTGATTGAACTAAAAAAACAATAAGATGCTGTTGAATGAATATAAGAATTTGCACATTGTAGTGTAGTGCCATGGCAACAAACAGGAATTACACAGTCACTTGCAAACACACGCTATTTACAAAAGATTGAGGGATGAAAGCGGAGAGACTGTGAGCAGCGTGCCAATTAGTGTGTCAGCTAATTACAGGCATTAGCATAACAACACTCGCAGTTTTGAATGTAACGCACTCAAGACCAACAAGAGCCAGAAATATATCCAACTAATTATATCACTGCTCCTCTTAGTACTACACCTTTTCATTACTGTAAGGGACATCTGCTTCTTTAAGGTGTCATTTAGTGGAACGTAAATAGTGTCTATAAATTGCTTTTATTGGCAGCAGCTTCCTGAAAATAAGTGGATATGCTGCCAGTGCCAATCTCTGCATCTGTTAGGTAGCAATTCAGCCCTGTTTTCAGTAGTCCTGCACTGTAGTTGAATGTTTTTAAATCCTACTTTACTTTTTATGATGGTCAAAAGACATGTAAGTACTCCCCCTTAATTTAGCCTCAGCCGAAAGAGCTTACTTTGAAACCAGCATTAAACCAGCTCTTTGACAGTAATGCTTTTCCCCTTTTCAGGCAAGTTTTCTGCGACTGTGAGAAACTGCTTTGCCATCAGAAAAAAAAGAGAGACTGATGGTGGTTTTTCAGACCCCCTGAAGCACTGTTTCATAAAACAGGGTTGTAGTTGATCGAGCAGGTCCACACGGGCCATTTCAGAAGCATTAGGTTTTCCAAAGGGACAGAGAAGATGGAGTGGTGATCACGCTTTGCAACCAGGAGGTAAGAGCTTTGTTTTAGTGGCAATAACACAAAACAGTCTCAAGGGACATGCTTGCTCTTAAAGTGCATACACAGCAGGTTATAAAGACACATTAACCTTGTTATGGTCTGTTTGTGTTGGTTAAGATTTAGGGTTTCAGCGCAGTCAGTTTGAACATTTCTCTTATCAATCTGCTTGATATTTTTACAATAACAAATAGCTGAGAGATGCCTCTGTGTCTTCCTTTCTCATTACACCAATCTGATATTAAAGGCCTGACTTTACAAAACGAAATAATAGTTTACAACATAACATAGCCTCCTTTTGAACTTGCAAATAACTGTGATACACCCACAATGATATTTCCCTAAAGCCTTTTGCAGGCATTTGATCTAAAAGAAAGTGAAAATTAAAAACTAAATCTCCCTCAGGCTGTGGTAAACTATTCTTCCTACCACTTTATTATGGTCAATTATCTTAATCACATCATCAATGTAAAGAAAATCAATTTGTGAGCTTGCAGCAACATTGTGTGTATGTGTATTGTGCACATTTATAACCTTCAGATTCAAGGACATTGAGTTTTTCTGCAGTTTCATGCAAATCAGTCATCTGCAAAACCATCAAACAGTTTTCAGGGAAAAATATTTAGATGTCTTTATGAATTAGTAACAGTAGTGGTATCTACATTTTTAACTGGTTTTGGCTAAAATAAGAGTGATCCAACATGATGCAGATACGTGCTAAGCTCTCTGGCTTCTCCAACCTTGTCTATCATGCGCCTGGCCTCTTCTTCCTCTGGGTTCTTGTTCTCCAGTTCAATAGTATAAGTCCCCTTGTCGCTGTGGTCGTCCTCTGCCTCCCCGCCAGCAGATTCCCCTCCTTTTCCCAGGACTGATGTGTCCTCGCTGGGGGTGGTGGGACTCCCTGTAGCCAGCCCTGTACTGGCTGAGCTGCGACCAATACTTGGGTCCTCTGACCTTTGCTTGAGCAGGACGCGGGCAGCAGTGGGGGCACCTGCAGTGACTGTCGCTGGTATTGGAGCAGGAACTTTACCTGTGGGTACCAAAGAATCAAGTTAAAGTACGACTACAACAAGAAATAGACATGCACACATGCTTCAACAGAGAACGATGAAAATTTATAGAGACTGAATAGTAATTCTGACTCATTTTAGCTCTGCCTGTCTTTTCCAAATAATGATTTTAACTTTTGACATTTTTATTTCAGAGAAACCCGCAGAAGAGAATGCCAAAGAATACATATTAAAAAAATGATAACAGACTTAATACCTGATTCTGAAGCTGAGGCGGCAGAGGTGGAAATGCTGAACACCTTTGGGTGAGAGGGGGGCTGAGGGCACAATCCCTCTCCACCTGTTCCTCCAACGTGCAGGGGTGCAGTCTGGGAAAAGGAATATGAGCGGCGCTTGCGCGGGTTTTCCTCGTCGTAGAACTCTATCATGAAGGCAGTGCGGGGGCCTGTTCCTCTGGTCCCGCTCACTGTTATGTTCCCCCCTCCGGTTCCACCTCCTCCTCCAACGCCGCCGTGTGCTGCTTTCAGGCGTTCCTCGAGGGCGTGGCGGCGGTTGGCGAAACGCAGACCCAGTCCGTTCTCTGAGTCACTCTGGGTGCCATCCTCATGTTTGCTGCCTACTGGCACACAAAGAGCGGTCACAGTTAAGCTTCAACCACACCTGACCTTAAACAAAACAAACACTTAACCGAAAATGTACTAACTATAATCACAATGTAATTAGATATGAAAGCATTAACATGAGTCATCCATTTAAATCAAGGGACTATTTTGTTTCCCTAAAAAAGAGTTAAATTTTAAAGATAACATAAGATAAGATAAGCTGCTGGTCTTCATATACAGTTACTGACTCATACTGGACATGTGAAGACTGCTACAGTTCCACCAGTATTTCTAATTCCCACTCAAAGTGTTTACCCAACAGCAACATAGCAACAGAAAAAAAGAGCTATGATACACAATGCCTAAAGCTATTACTTAAGATGAGCAAGGAAGATGAAGAAAAAAAAGAGGAGGAAAGAAGGAAAATAAAGTGGAAGTAGAGTACCGTAGAGATGATGCCCAAGACCCTGATCTAGCTGACAGCATCATCCTTTGTGGATATCAACCGAAACTGAGAATTTGCTAACCGTCAGGCACTGACTGGACTACTAACCTTTATCAGTGACACTCATATCACTATAACAACAGAGCCAACATTCACAATGACTGGTTTACATACCACAGTGCTCCTATTTCTACATTCTGTTCAGTCTGGGTTGAATCAGCATGTGCCCTCAGTGTAGTACAAATGCAGACAGTGTGCCACGCTAATCCAGACATGCCACCCACACGTTTACTAGCCCTGCCCACTGGCAGTGAGAGAGAGGAAGGGGGGAGGGGAGGAGGTGAACATAGAGGGGGGAAGTGGGGAAGGATGTGAGTAAAGGGGGGAGAGAAAAGGCTTCAGGGATGTAGGAGGAGGAGGGTATGTGAAAGGAGGCTGGGAAAAGAAAAGGGGAGGAGGAGGATGGGAGGGATGAAGAAAGGAGATCAACTGAATGAAGTGATAGAAAATAAAAAGACAACCATAAAGAGAAAAAGAGAGAAAAAACATGAATGAATTAAGAAAGAGAGAGAGAGAGGGAACTCTTGACCTTAACTGAAAGAGGCTGGGGATAAAGTGGATTGCCACTAGTTGTGAGTGACAGCCACTCACACTATCAGCCAGTCTATTAAGCTGTCAACAGACAGACAGTCAGTGGAGAAAACACCAGGACTGTACTGCAAAGAGCTTCACTCCTGTTGATTTGAGATGGGTTAAGAATGGGTCCTCTCCCTAGACAGGACTCAATCTTTTCCCATCTTGAGGTTTGGGTCTCTGAAATACATCAAACAAAGAGTTTTGGTCCAGACCTGCTCTTCTGGAAAGTTTCTTTAGATAATGATTGTTGTGTTTTGACGCTATAAATTGATTGATTGGTTGTTGTTGTGGATCACTATCAGGAAAATGCACTTCCTCTTCACCACTTTCAAAACTCATTTTACAGGCTTTGATTATAACAATTACACATGTTGCAATTTCTTGGTGAAATTTCCTCCCAAAAGAAAGGGGAGTGCTATTGGTGAAGCTGTGACATCTCAAAACATGAGCCGTCACAGGCCTTCACAGATATGGTATTATTTTGTGGAAGGGTGCAACACTAGTTTAATTTTAACAATCCATCCAAGTGCACTTCACTAATGTACAATTACACTGAGATCTGTTTACTTGTGTGTTTGATTCTTAGTACAAATCAGCCTATTATACCAGTTTTAAAACGTCTCTTGGAAGTTGGAGGAACTTTTCCAATGTCAATACCATAGACTGTATAAAGAATGGACAGAGTCTGCCTCCTCGCTGGGTGAAGTCACTCTGAGAACAGCACCCTCTGTTGATTGGCTGCAGTATAAGCCATAAATCCCGCCTCCGCCAGCAAAGCTTATGAAGCTGTGGACAAACTTTAGAAATTTATTTTTTTTCTGTGAAGCTCCGTTTTTAAAAGTTATTAGGGGGTTCATATTTTTTATGTTTGACACCTGATACAGCCTATGGGTGTTCAGGGATTGCGTAGCTCTCCTGGGGGATATGCTGTTTGAGCCGAGCGTCATCACAGCGACTCTCGGCGACTGTGCGCCCAGATGCACGCATCGCTACTGTGCAGCGCTGGTTTCAGGAAATGAAGAAAAATCCTAGAAATACCGAGAGCTATTCGGCTTCAAATCCGTATACAGGCGGTAGGCGGAACCAAGTTTTCCATTGTATATACAGTCTATGGTCAATATTCTGAAATACAGGAAGAGTGTGTAGTTTTACTTAGGGATACATTCTTCTAATGCCACTCTGGGCGTAAAATTAAGAAATCTATCCGGGACTTTTGCTTTCTTTTTTATTAAAATACTCCATCTCACATATTTCTTTAGACTTTCTTGAGTTTTATTATCTAACTGCTGGAATTCCTCTTTTACTTGTGCTCCATTACTGCGCGACAACAACTGTCCTGAGCCCTGCCTAAGTCTGCTGCTCATTTATGACTCTTTAACATCCACTTTCTCCATCTTTCTTGACTTTTATCACTTGTTAAAAATCTAATAACCAATATGTTTCTGAAAAAGGGAATAGCATGAATTAAATGAGCCAGTTAAGTGGCAGGGTGTTACAGCAGTAGCTTGAGCAAATCAGCAGATAAACAGACAGAGAGAGGCAGGTCTTTCATGCCGTGTGTTCCAGACAAAGAAGCTGTTGGCAGTGCCAGAAGAGAACAGAGGTATCTGTGAGAATCCAGCGCTCTGCCCGCTTGCCCCGCCATGACTCACAGTGGAGCTGGCCTCTGCCACCACTGCTGGCTGCACACATACACACACAACTAAACACCCAACCCATGGATGACTTACTTACTTCATAAGCATACACAGCTGCAAAAAACAAAACAGCATAAAAGTAAAAGCCAATAAAACATATGAGCACTGCTGATAAATGTTTGTTTAGTACCATGAATTATGTTTTCATCATTAATCAAAATCTCAGATCACACATGTATAGCCTCAAACAAATCATAGTCACATCTTGTTGGTGATAAAATGCAGATTTCACAATATTGATATTCAAAATAACACAGAGAAGAAAGACATTCACCTCTATAACTCCATTCAGTAAAAAAGAAAAAGACTCACCTTCATGTAAAAAATCAGACCCTCAGCTCCCATCTCTGTCTAGTACCTCTACGACACACCCTTAACACATCTCACACGCCTCTTCTCGCACATGCTGCACTGCTCGTCTTCAGATCAGCACTGAGCATGTCTAACACACACACACGCAGCAAACGCAGGATGGATTTCAGCCCAGCAGATCCACATGTGATCAGCATATGCTTCACACACGCCCTACATCAGCAGTGAAATGCATTTCTCACACATCTATTTAGCAGCTTCTTCACACACAGACACAAAGAGATGATCAATGCCAGTTTTTTCTATTTGTAAATTTGTGTCAATAGTCTCTCTTTCCCTGCCATCATTTGCATTGCTGTTACTATAACAACAATCTGCCAAAATCTGCTCCCTCCTCTATCCCTCTTACGCTGCAGTCCAGGCAACAAGCCTCTCTCTCCCTCTTTCTCTGTCGCTCTCTCATTCTGTGTGAGTCTCTCTCTCTCTTTCTCTGTCCAATCCCCTTTGCTGCTCTTGCTATAAGTGCGACTCTCAGTGAAGTTCTTCTGCTTTTCTCACCTTCTCACGACTGCGCTAACTCTTGTTTTTTACTCCTTACATATTCACAGCTGTCCACCTGCCCTCCAACCATCCCTCTTTGTCCTCTCCTCCTCTTTCCTCCTCCCTTCCCTCAATTTTCTCTGTATTCAGCAGTTATTCTCGGTACTTAACTCACACAACAACACTCCATGCACTGGTCTGAATGCTTTCTCCTCTTTAAGCCCATTAACTATCAATCAAACCCAGTTCACCGGACAAAAAACTGCTGCGTCTAGCTGTCCAAAACTCAGTCAGATAACCAGTTAGCAACATAATCTTCCATCAGGTGAAACACTCAGTCCTCCAGTAGCACCATCTCCATCTGATAAATTAGCCTCTCTGCTTTTATCTTAGGAGATTTCCATTTTCATGGGCTCTTTTGCCGGTCCCTCCCCCACACATGTCAGAAACATCATATATTGTCTTCCATTTAATTAACTCTTGACCAGCATGAAGTCGACCAAAGCCTAGCTTAGCATCAAACTCCTTTCTCTCCACGGACAGCATAGCCTTGCTTGGTCCATTCACACAAACTCCCCAACAGCAGGAGCATACTCAGCAGTTGGCTGCTTTCAGGTAGAGGGAACAAAGAAATCCAGAGAAGCATGTGATTCACAGTGATGGCATTCTCAAAGCTTCCCTCAAGGCACAGCAACAAACCCACAGAGGGGCAGAAAACAACAATGTAAAGATCCACACTTACAATGCAAAAAGAAAATAAATCTAACCAGATTTACTTTTATACTCTTTCATATGTGTTCTTAGCTGGTTCGTAAATGCTAAAAATAAACAAAATGCACCAAGGGGTTTTGTTGTTGTTCTTCAGCCTTGTCATTGAATGATAGAGCAGCGGAGTAGATGGAGATTTAAATGTTTCTGTACACCAGCTGCTAATCCCCTGGATTGGTTACCAATGGTAGTCAAACAGTAAACCCAGTGACATGATATCTGGATGTTTCTGATGGTTTTGTTAAAAAGAAAAATATATATTTGACATTCCTTTGATTTGTAGAAACCACAGGACAAAAACCAGTTTGTAAAACAATGATATTACACTAGATCACTCTAACTTAAAGTGTATTAGATGTTGTTAATGATATCTAAAAAATAACTCTTGAAAAAAGCAGGTCCATAAAGCTATTGACTCTGTCAACACCACCAACACCAACACACGGCATCTTTTCTCTCATTATACACACAGCAGCATTTTGCTTTCCCTTCTCTGTGACAATATTCACCTGTACCACATTAAAAGATGAATTGAGTGAGGATAAGTCATGGCAATGATGTCGTGTTTAGCATGATGTTTTTAAGAAGAGGCTCAAGACTCACCTTTTAAACCAGGCTTTTCACTGATAGCCTTCTTATTTCTCTTATTGCTACCGTTCATTTTAATCCAAGTTCTTAATGTTTATTTTATGTACTTTTTATTAATTATCTCTGTTCTCAGTCTTCTTCTTAATTCCCTCCAATGAGGTTTTACCTCTTTTACCCCTTTTACATGGTAAAGAGCTCTTACTTATTTGTTCATTTCATATTCTTGTCTTAGTCCATCAGGTTTTACTCTTTCTTTTACCATTTTCATCTTTTTATCTCCAGTGTTTCCCAAAGGTAGCTCTTTCCTCACATAATGTCTCGGTGTCAAGCCATGTCTCTCTTACAGTATATTTTAAATGCTCACTCTGTGTGCGCTTGTGTGTGTGTATGTGTGGGTGAGTGAGGATGGGTGGGTGTCTTTGTGTGTGTGTGTGGGTCTTTGGGTGTATGTGTGGGTGGGAGGGTCGGGTTTTATTGTTGTTTTTAGTCTCTGTGAGGCACTTTGAACAACATTTATGTCTGCAAAGCGCCATAGAAATAAAGTTGAATATGAATTTGAACAATCCAAAATAAAGACAGTGCAGAAAGACATCAGAAATAACCAACTGTACATCATTTCTAGAACAGATGACGCTCCTCAATTGATGGACTCATAGGAAGGACTTACTAAAGGACTACTCTCCCCTTACAGAGCTTTTGTCTCAGCAGGTTGTCAGGCGCAAAGCGATAAAAGGGAATAAATCACAGAAAATGGGTAATGATTTCATACAGATTAAAAAAATAAGTAAAGGGATAAAACGTCAAACTGATCAGTGGTTATACTCAAGCAGCCGAAAGAGCAGACTACCCAGATATCATGTGAGGTTTGACACTTTGTTAAAACTACATTTGGGGGCGTCACTAGCCTCGTCTAGCCTATGTTGGTGCCCCATATAAAGAGGTTATGCCTCAAGCAGCCGTCTGGGTTCAAATCCAGCCTCTATCTACAACAAGCTACACATATACAAGAGTTAACAACAAATAACATTTACCTTTAAGCCTTTTCAGATGGACTGGCACATCGCTCTTGATGCTCTTGCTATCTTCTTCTGTTGACTCACTGCGCACTAGAGTTGGGTCGTTCTGGGCCAGCCAATCAGCCACCTTGCTCTCTGATGCCATCATAGCTGCCTGAAGTGTGCTCAGGTCTCTCCCTCCTGTTCCCCCACTTCCTGTCCCACTCTTTTTGGAGCGGGATCTGTGGTGGTCCGGTGTGAACTTTGACACATGGTCTTTAATAGTGACTTTCCCAGGAGAGGTGTTGTCAAACTCTATAGTGAAGGAGGCATGGCCCTGAGCTGTGGAGGACACATTAAATGTAAATGTTGCTGTCATGTAGTTGTGTCAGTCTCTGTCTATCAGTATTGGTGAGAAACTTTTGAAGACTTACATTTGAACATAAGGTATATGTTTTTGGTACAATTAAATGATCACATGGATATTAATCATAATATGTTCAAGTCAGAGGATTGTTTCTGTTTCAGAATGATTGCCTCTGGTTTATGTTAAACAAACAGTTCATACTTCCTGTTTTGTGTTGTAAATTACAGTTTCTTTATGACAGTATAACATTCCCAGAAAGGCAGACAATCAGACCCAAACATATCCAAATGCACAAGTTGTACAGGTGAAAACAAACTTAACTTTAAATTGTAAAAGAAAAGCAAGTTCATTTTATTGCCTAGAAATGGGAATACATAAAAGTGTTCACCTGCTGTGGGGTGAGTGGTGATTCCCTCTGTGTCCTTAGTGGGGATTTCATGAATGCCATTGTTGGCCATGTGACCCTCCTTGGTGGGGATCTCAAAGTAACTAGAATCATGGGCAGCAGGTGTATGAAGGCCGTCCTCTTTAGCTTTCTCCGCTCGACGCGCCTCTTTGCTGTCTGTGAAAAAATTAAAATATACATTTAACCAAGAATAATGAGAATATTCTGATGTCTAGGTGGACTTTTTTAAAACTGAAACCTAAGTCAAGTTAGTTTGCATGACCTGAGTTATTACAGGTCATGCTAACAAATCTGTTTGCAAGAAGTGACATTTATTAACAATAAATAAATAAAAGGACTGTCTCCAGACTTTAGTTTTTTTCGTGAGCATATTCACTCCTGTACAACGAGTCTAGAACAAAAATGAATGATTTTGTAGTATCTCTGTACTTCACATTTATTTATTTGATGTCAAAAAATCCCATTGTCAAGAAATCACAGTCAGAAATGAACAGAAGTCTCCATTGTCAGAAGTTTATGTGAAAGTTCCCTCAAATACAAACTGAGTAAACCAATGCAGTAATAGTCCTCTCTCAGATATGTGTGTCTCACCATTTACAAAAAAAATAAATAAATCTCTGCTATAGGAATAAAACAGCCCTACATTCATATTTATGCTCTACTTCTGTTCCTACGTCTAAATACAGATAAAGACAGAAAAGTCATGTTGCTGTGTCTAAGAAGTGTTTGTAGAGGGTTTTTAAAACCTACTCTGGGGGAGTCCAAATACAGAGCACTTATTTAGTCATCTGCTCATATTAGCAAACAGAGTCTCTTTGGGATCTGAATATGATAAATGATACTTTCAGAAATTAGAGTGGCCATCTGCTCCATGTTGGGAAGCAAATGTAGGGACATATGGCAATCAGTACAAAGAAGTGACAGACAGAATCAGACAATGCAGAGTTAAACTAATTTTGAGATAATTTCTCCTGAATAATGTTTTCTAAAATGTTATGCAGCTTTGTGACTCAAGACACAAACAGATCTTCCCTGAAACAGAATTTCAGAATCAAATTGCTAAATTTACTTTTCACTGCTATCAAAATCACATAAGTACAACAAAATCTCTTTGGATTTGTCTTTGAAACTTGATCTGCTGTTTGCAGCATAAGCTGCTCTGCAACTTTAAAAAGATTAACATCACAGATTTTAACAGAGTGGAAATAATACTGACTGAAGATCATGTAAATGGAATGATCCTTGAGATGAAATGACTTCACTTAAAAGTAATAACATGAAAACAAAGGTGGAAAAATGCAGTGATCACTTTCTATAAATGCTCTCTATCAACTATCAAAATTAAAAAATTAAACTCAAAGAATTAGTGCCTCCACTTTCCCATCTCTTGGTGTAATAAACATAACTTCCTGTACACACAAGAGTACGAAGTGTCAGCAACTCTGTGTATTACAAAAGCATCCACTGACGTCACTATAAATCATCTGGCTTGTCTGGGAAGCTAGTGGTTGTTTCAGTGGAGTGAAAACTTTAATGGTTTATTAATCTGACTGTGCTGCAGGATGTCTTTTGTTGTTGGTTTATTGTCAACACGCTTTACTCATTCAGCTCTTATTAAACTCTGCATGTTTAAAAGGAAAAATCAACCCAAAATAGACCTAGCATATGAATTAATAACACCTTGAGGCTTAACTCATAAAAGTGCACCTGCTATGAGGTAAAGTTGACAAGTCGCAACTGAAAACAGCAAATTCATTTGTAGCCTTCAGGGCTTTTTCAGTGCTCTGTTTTTCATTTAATGTAAAGTACTTATGAGCTAAAGACAGTTAACTGACACGAAACTTCCTCAAAGACTAACAGGTAATACAGCGAGTGACTATGGTCAGACGGATAATGAGAAGTTGTTTTCAATACAAAAACCTACACTAGCTTCAGAAGCAAAGTTATTTATGGTATAAAGAGCAATACTTACTAGAGATTAGAGAGTGGTTAGCTAATGAACGCTGCAGTATAGATTGAGAGAGCGGTCTGTTTAAACACTGTGTGGGTGTGTGTAATAGGAGGAATGGGGGAGCTGGTGCAATGGCGTAACCCAATCACAGTAAGTGACAATACACAAGGAAAGGGGGTGGGGGGTTCTGACAACACAGCCTATTCACAAGCAGAGAGAAAAGGACAAACACTGAACCCTAACCGACACACGTGCATGTGACAAAAACACAAAATCACTTCCTACATTGAAGAACTTTTCCACTTCTCCTTTACTGCTGTATCTGATTTGAACCGTTTAGTACAACAGGCTTGTACTGTCCTCTTGGAGCCTGCTGCTCCACAAACATACGTAACAACACATCTATTCAACACCAAGTCTAAAAGTCAGTGCTCTAAGAAAGCTACATGCTCTTTACTCACCCACTTCCATGACTGAAGTGGCCAATCCCATCAGCCCGATTTTTTGGAAAGTGGTGATTTGTGGTTTTCAAATCACACCTCGTGCTTGCACAGATTTACTTTAAAACCATGGACTCAGTTAAACTCTTGAAGAAAACAATTTGCTAGACTTCTCAGAAACATCTGAATGGTATTTGATAGAAATATTTGCAAATTTGCAGTTAAAATGCAAGTAATCCTTCTCAGACTGGTGAAGACACTGCCAGACAATCCATCCAGATGTGGTGAGAGATTTGAAGAGTCTTCAGTCTGCTCCAGTGTTTGTGATTAACCTCCCCCCTCTCCTTCTGAACACACTTGTCCACTCCAGCCTGGCACAGAGTGATTTCACTGCACTAGGCTGTTTCACTATTGGTGTAGCCTCTAATCCTGTTACTCTTGCTATCCACCACCAGTTAACAGAACCCCCCCCCTCAAGTCCAACAGTCCAATGGTCACCATGCAGACACATGCAGTTTGTACGGCAACAAACATACAGGCTCTGAAACAAGCCTTTGTGTGCATCAAGCATCATGACACATTCAGCACACTCTCTGGTTGGCCGTTACCCCTTCATTGCTCAACACAAAGCAAATAAACAGCACTCGTAGGCAGTAGCATCAACTTAACTCTCTGTTAAGATAAACTGATCTGTACTACATGGATTAGTTTATAATTGCTGCTATCATTTTTGCACTCTGGAGCAAACTGATTCATTATACCATATGTAGCAAGACAAGCATGAAAGACTCTGTGAAGTAAATCAACATTTGAGTGGGATATGTGTAATGTGTCCATTGTCATGTGACTTGAACTTGTTTCCCTTTTTTTGAGATTATTAAAACCTTCACTTAACTTGTCAAACTTATTCGAAATGTTCAAACACAAAGCCACTTCTTAAAAACCATCGAGCTTCCATCCATTTCCCCAGTTTGAACATGTTTGTCTGATTTAATCCACTTCATCACCCGGTTTCTATGCTGTGCGTTTGAGAGTAAGGGATGAATGTATGTGCTGTGCAATTGAAGCGCAAAGTGAAAAATGAGTTCATCATACCTGATACTGAGCTGTCATGTTTTTTGCTGGATGGCTTTGTTTCCTGTTTGAAGGAGTTCTCATCGTCTGCATCCCCATCCCCCCACCAAGACGGCTGGCCGTACAGGGGGGTCCCACGAGGCAGTGCTGTAACATCCCCTAAAAACCAAAATGCAGAGATGCATATGATCAGAAACAACAGTTGCAAAGAGTACAGCTTCAAACATCTACTTCTATCTGCGGTCTGATTAACATACTTATGATATAACTGACATAAACTGCTCATAGTATCATGATGACACAAAGTGAGCCCAGCTGCTCTTTGTGTATCTGTGTGTTTTTGTATTAAATCCCCCCTGGTGGGGTCTTGCACCACTGACCTATTTTCCCAACTTTAGCCAACAGAATGGACACACACACGCAAGCAAGCACACGTGCGTACTGTCTACCATGCAAACTCTCTGTCTCTCTCTCTGACACTCTCTCTCTTTTTCTCTCAGACACATGATTTAATGAGAGAGGGACTTTCCGTTCGCCTTTCTCTCCCTGTTTTAATGAAAGCTGACATGTGATGAACTTCCTTTGGTAACTCCTTTTTTGAAATTGGACGGCACAGTAGAAAAGAGACAGGAAACAGTTCAGAAAAACAGTATGACGTGCGAAAAAGGTCCTCAGCTGGATTGGAAACAGTAATCGTTCGTTGACTTCTCCTCTGATCTTTTCCCTCAGTTCCTTTACCCTGAGCTATGTAAGTGTAATCACCATGTATCAGGATAATTCACAATGTTATGCATCAAATTGACTGCAGCAGGAAAGCACTTGAATGTATGCTATTGATGAGGTACAATACATGGGTAGGGCCTGGTATTGCAGAGGTAAAACTGCAGGATTACTTCCTTTGAGCCACAGAGGAGGGTGGCATTAAAACATGCGTGGCAGATGAAGAGAATTTGCAAATGTATTTCATGTTCGTGTCAATGAATCTTACTGCACTTTAAGGAAAGTAGTATGGGCAGATGGGTTAGCATAATGCAGGCACTGTGACCCTGTTACTGCTTAATCTGACCAATAATTCAAGCCATGCGTGGCCTTGTTCCTACATCTGGAGCTTAACAAGGGTCCCTGCAAACACCCATGATATCAATTAATAAGGGACACCCATACTGTAAACCTGAATCCTCCTTTTCAAACACAATAACTGCATGCTGGAGTGGTGGTTAATTCCCTTCCCCTGTGACTATGGCCACCCCCTGGTGGCCTGAGGAAACAGACAAAAACCACCACAGTTCATTTCAACACAGTCTATTTAACAATGGATTTTTCCGGGGGGGAAAAAAGCACTTGTAGAAATTGAATCTTGTATTTGTTATTCTTGCAATTATGTGTTGCGCAAATATAGACCCTCATATTTCTCTAGTTACACAATAAAAATGTAGAAAAGATTATTTTATTGAAGTGGAGTTGCAGCTGAGTCATGGCAGTAAATAAATCTAAAATTTAAGAAAGGAACATTATAACAAATATAGGGTTTTAGGTAACAAAAATGTCAAACAACTCTGAGGCTGCTGATGAATTTTTAGTTCCATCACATTTTCTTATGTGATCTGTCTCTCACCTCCTCCTAACCTCTCCTCTGCTTTGTGGGAATCCACAGGTTTAGCTTGTAGGTCTTTGGAGAAAGTGACCCCGTCTGTTGCTCTACTCTCCCCTGGCCTTTGGCTGCTTCCACTTGGGGATTTTAGTGTCTTTGTGGGGGTCTTAGTGGGAGATTTGCTTGTGGTTGTGGCGGTAGTGGTTTCCCCATTGGATGGCTTCTTGCTCAGCTGCAGGCCACTGGTGAATTTTTCATGCTAAAGGAGAATGACAATTGAAAAAGTATAGTGAGTTGCATCATGGTAAACACTGATACTTGACAGTGAACTGGGGTTTATGTGAGTGTATTCTTACCTTTAGAGCCTCTTCAGGCACAGTAAGCTCTCCCCTCACCACCGTGAACAGGTTGGTATGTGAGACAAACAGGTTAAGGTATACTACTTTACACAGTAACAAACATGAACTTGCACACATATTCTTTACAAACATACAAATGAAAAATATAAAATTTGTTATATCTTTTAAAAGGCGAAAAACATTACATCTAGAAATAATTATACCAAGGTTTGGACCGGCTGGTTCGTGTATTTGGAAGAATACAGCCATTAGCAGACATGAAGGATGAGGTTATTAAAAGATCAGAAAGTGAAAGGATATCATATCCAAACCTCAGCTTGTCCTCCAATTTCAGAGTGATGTACATCTGCTCCTGTATGCGGACATCGTTTACAAAGGTCTGCAGAAGAAGTAAAGGGTGAAACAAGAACAAATAAGATTATCTGCGTCAAATGTGAGGATGAAAAGAAAAGCAAAACAGAAAATCCTCAAATTCAAAAACAACTTGTGTTCATGTCTCATTCCTTTTTGTCACTTCTCACTCCATGTTTGACTGATGTTTTAGTCAGCTGAAAATACCAAACACCTAAAAGCTTCAAGACATAACTCAACTTCTTTGGTCTGGTTTCAGGTTACTGATAGCTGTAACCCACCCAGTAAATGCTTGCTGCCAGTCAGTGATGTTGAACCTGCATAAGGCCAATGAGGTTTTGGTTTGAACAAAGCTGTTGTGGACTGAGTCAATCAGCTGATCCTGGTGTGTCCTTATAAGAAATCTGTCTGCATGACCAAGCATAACGATTTATATCTTAACCTCCAGCCGTTTCTTTCCTTCCTTTCTCTGTCGTTCTCCTTCTCCCCTGCTGCCTTTCACTCCTCCTTCAGCCAAGCAGCTTTGAAACTGATCGGGTTTCACTGAACTGCAAATGAAATTCTATCACACTTGCAGTGCTGTTGTAATAAAACATTCCTGCCCCCCTCTAGAGTGTAAAATTCTGAACAGCCAGAAAAAACAGCCATTACATTCCTAGAGTAAAATTAAGACACTGCCCAAACACAGCTTTTTACTCGGAGTAGCTGCAAATCTCGGCGTATCTCCTGAGTCAGCAAGAGAAAAGTTCCTGCTAAATGTGCCAAAAAGCACGATGGTCAGTGACACAGCAGGAAGTGGCTCTGACTCTGTCTTCCTGACTGAGGGCTTGAGAGGATGTGAGGGAAATTCTGCATATGGGTACAATCTGCTGTGCCGTGACTGAATGCTGATCACTATGCATGACTAACAGCATGTGGCCGAGTTTTACTGGGTTGTAATGTCAAAGAGGAAAGTGAAGTGTGTTTCAACAGGGAGAAATACAGAGTTCATTTATGTTTTCTAAGGTAATGATACAGAATTATTTTTGAAGTTATAGGACATTTGTTTGTTCTGCGATATCCTTTATACTTCAGCCTTCTTAAACTGCTTCATCTCCAGTCAGTGTTTGACTATAATTCCCAAAAAACTTTAAACAGTTAACCATGACCACAAACCAGAGCAGCTTTGACTCATCAAGCAACACTCCACCGGAAGTTGCAAGGCTGGAGAGAGGAATCGTTTACAAATGAGTAGAACTGAGTTTTAGGGCCGCACTGAAGGTTCTCTTTTACTGAGTTTTTTTCAGACTTTTTAGATGTTTTAAGGCCATTTTATTTTATTTATTCCTTTGCATTAATGTATTTCTGCTTGCTTTATCTTGTTCTTTGACTGTGTTATTTGTTTTTATGTGTCATTGTACAGCACTTTGGCTACCCTTGTGGTTATTTTAAATGTGCTATAGAAATAAAGTTGATTGATTGATTGATTGATTTTCTTATGAGAATAAAATCCTTGTCAGATCATTTCCACAAGACTAAAAATGTAGTAAATTTATTTTCTTAAAAGAATGAAGTCAAAGTAAAGTCAAATTCTTACAAGAATTAAATCATAAGAAAATTGAGTAACAATATCAGAGATTAAGGTCAAACTGTTAAGAGAATAATATTGTAACAAAATCACAATATTACCAGAATAAAGTCCTCATAATAGGAGAATAAAGTCATGACAGAATAAAGTCAGGACAGAGTTGTAGTCTTGGCTTACTGTGGGCAGTCAGCTGCAAGTAACAAAATGAGTAACATGGATCGTCTAGTTAAAATTGCATTTAATGTTTTGGCACCTCACTACTACATAGTAATAAGTATCAGGACTTTGTAGATCTATTTGATGCCGCCTTTGTATGATGTTTGCCTGCAAAGTGATTGAAATAGATTTTGTTTAACCTGGAAATCATTTTATATATGCACTCTGTACCCCCCCCCAAAATAAATAAATAAATAAATAAATAAAAATAAAAATAAAAATAAAAATAAAAATAAAAATAAAATAAATAAAACAAAATGTAATAAATAAATAAATAAATAAATACAATTTTTTTAAAATAAAATAAAAAAACAACGTATCTGTGTTAAAGCTCGCAGTTATTGACTAGGTTGACTTGGTGACATTACTGAGGTTTTGGGTTTAGATACAGAACATGTGGGACAGGCAGGATCTGTTCCACGAAAAAGAACCAAAACAAATTAAACCGTACAAATTGACCTCAGCTCCAACACAAGTATTCATTGACTGAGAGACCAGTTAGCAACAGAAAAACAGCAGCTCCAATTAACTGCCAAAGATTAAGTTAACCTCTAACGCTTAGAAATCGGTCTGCTCTAAAGTGTGCTCTTTAAATGTCTGTGTGTCTACCCCACAATCATTTCTCTTCCTTTACATGATCAATGTAGCTCCATCTAAATCTGTCTTTATTTCTCCCCATCCCTCATGCATCATGTACCATGTGACCCCTTACTCTCCTCAAAATGCCCTCTCTCTTTTGTTCCATTATCTCTGTCCCTACCTCTCTCTGATTTGCATATTTCTATTTGTGTACTCACCCCATTCAGGCTGCCCAGGTCCTTGACCTTGTGTTCGTCAGTCCCTGCCTCGTAGTTGATGACCGCATGCTGCTTATCCACACTGCGGGACTGCAAACAAAAGCATACACAAAACATTACACAGTGTAGGATGCTTTGTAATAATAGAGACCAAGGCGTTAAGAGGATGCTGATTGTCAAGAATCAGACAAATATTAGGTCAATTTTTTCAATATGTGTTGCTCTTGAAAACTTGAGCTTTAATGTGAACCAGCACTGCATTCAAATTACTGAGTGTGTGAGCCTGATAGTTAACTGCAGATTTGTTTTTACACAAACCTTTAGAGCTCTGTTTGTGACCATGTTTAAGCTCTTTGGCATGATGAGCATCCAATGTCAAGGATACATTTCTGATAGTGATCTTACATGGTGCTATGAAGGTTATATACTGTAATATCTACATCAATCACATCGGCAGGGACTTAAACGTCTTTGACTCAGCAAACAACAGCGCTTCACATCCATACACAGCTCTACACACACACACATATACACACAAAGACATAAAGGGAACTCGAGGTGAAAGTATTGATTTCCTGCAGTGTTCAGAAAAGTGTGTCAGCTGTTTTAATGATAAATTGTTTCCAGCACAAACACTGAAATCCTACCCCAATAAAAAAAAGAGATGATGTGAGCTTGAGACTGAAATATGTGGCAAGAATTTAACAAATGGTAAATATCTCCTCATGTATGAAAACACACCTTGAAGTATGCATCGGCACTAACTGATGAGCAAACTGTCTGCGCTCCTCAAAACTCTGTGGGAGCGCCTTTGAAATGATAGCCATTCATAAATAATTTAACAAAAAACCAACAGAAATACCAAGAAACATTATCCTTGAGCTATTTTCTGTTACATCAGCATAAACGATCTCGACTTAATTTTACCAACTCAACCAAGGCTGCTGTGGCTTAGTTTGCTGCTGCACACCTGCTGTAAAGTTTGGTGTAAAGTAAGTCTTTTCTCACTGACTGGCACATGATTTAGAATAGCTGGATGTGAAATGTCAGTTGTGAACACTGTGAAAATATCAAATAAATATCTACAGTAACCTCAGATTTACACAGGTCCATCACCGAATCTTCTACCAGTGCTGACACCAAAATGTACATTTCTTGTACATTTAAATGTAAAAAAATATATATTGTAGGCATCAGTTATTTATGAATATGTGAGCTGAAAGCCATCTCCATTTCTCATATGTATCTCTGTTACCTCAATATTCCTCTTATTAAACAAAAAATAATCATGCTGGGTTGCATCGTCATCCTGAAACAAAAATGCACATTAAGAACCGCAGTGATGCTGAGAGGCAGCTCCAGGGAGCCAACCATAAACTTGATCACCTTAGTGAGATCAGTGTAGATCAAACAGAATTGAAACCACCCTAGCTTCATCTGGAGCCCCACACTAGAATAATTCAGCAGACTCATGCTGTTAAATATAGATACACTGCTGACCAACAGAATAACTACTGAGGAGACTGAAGAGATGAGGTACAGATGAAGGCTGTATAACTTACAGAAAAATAATGAGTGTCAACAAAGTTAATACAACTGAAGTGAAAACCCTGTCCAAGTTAGAAGCATCAAAACCTACCAATAAAGTGCTTTCAAAAGTTTATGCATGTTAGTCAAAGAAAAAAAAATCACAAAATTATGACAAGTAAGGAGAAAAAGGAAAATCTAATTCATCAAGAAAAAGGGATAACACACACATACACACACATGCACATACATGTATAACAACAACCATATATGAGTTTAGCTGTGAGACAAGGGGAAAAATCCTGAGAGACAGGCAGAGCCTCAACAGCTTCACTGACTTTTTGTATTTGGTTTATGGTTACCCAGAGGAAAAACGTTTAATGGATTAACAGTGACTCCATGGATACTCTGTCCCTGTCTTTATCTCTTCCTTCTCCTTTACCAAATAAGTAAGAATCTGGTCATTATGTTGGGGTCAGTCAACAGCAATCTCAAAACCATTGGCAGATGGGGTGATTGATTTCCAATACAGTGAGATGACTTCAAAGCTGTTATCAAACACTCATTCAGTCTTCTCAAGAAGCACTGTGATCAAACTCTGTCAGTGGAAGTTTGCTACTCTGCCCATGAGAGTGCATGTGCTTGTGTGAGTGTGTGTTTGAGTTCAATTGGGTGCATGAAAAAGCCACTCTAAGAATCTGGCCTTGTGATTAGACCGTAGCTTGATAAAGCAGTCACATGGAGGACAACTGCCAGCAACTACACAGAGTGATGTACACACAGAAACACAAGCCAGAAAAATGTTCTCATTTAAGAAGATGTTCAATATCTTTCTAGAGACATCCCAAGGGTAGAAATACAAACACACCATGTGTTTACTTAATGAGAAGATAAGTCACAAGATCTGTCTGAGAACTTATTGAAAAAAAAAGATCTTTTACAACTCGTCACGCTTCAGTAGAAGATCGTTGGTACTTCTCAACTGAAGTTTCCTTGTCAAAGAAAAAAACTGTGAAAAGAATAAGGGCCAACTGGGACGGCCATAAAAAAACTCAGCAATCAGCAGACTGAAAGGGCAATAAGGTCAGCTTCAGACACAGTACTGCTTTATAAAACCGTGTCCTTATGAGTCATGTAGTGCTTTTCAGTTGAGATCAAAAGTTCACCATCAAAACTTGGAGACATATAGAATAAAGAGACTGAACAAAAGTCATATATAAAAGTCATATGACCTCTGTTCAGCATAGTTGGCTGACAACATAAAAGACACCTTTTTACAAATATGAACACATAAGTTATTGAAGATGAAATTTTTTTAGGATTAGATCTGGACAGACACTTATCTTCTTTGTGGGAAATAAAAACCCCTGGATGTCGCAAAATACCCAAAGATTATCACTTGAAATTTGTAAGTTGGTGTGCCATACTGTTTTATATTTACAGCTGATATTGTTAACACAATAATAAGTTGTTGTGTCTTCTGTCCAGCATGATTCTTGATTCCCATCCCTGATTCTGGGAGTCATTCTGGGAATCTGCCCTGAGTCATACTGCGTATAACATGGAAAAACTCAACATTATTTGATTCAAACTATTTGTAAATCACTAATAAGACCCACAGATCCCTCTGTATTATGTCTTCGTCCCTCTTTATCATTGACAACCACAGCAGATAAAAACAGCCATTTAAGAAGTTTGTCCTGTTATTTTAATTCTGCACTTGCTCTTCGGTCAAACTCTCTGAAGAACTCTGGTACCAGCTTAATTCCCTCACCATGTAACGTCATAACAGAGACCGCTGCCATGGTTGCACCCTTTACCCACAACAACCAAGTCAGTCAGATAGGATCTAACTGAGGAGGTATCTGCCCCACTTTCTATTAATAGAAAGGTGACTAGAGGTACACATGAGCATACACACAGTCTCCCTGGATGTATGCACAGCTGCACAGACACCACCTCAGGACAAAAAGACACACAAACATGAAGGCAAGCTCTGCTACTGCAAGAGCAACAGCCAAGCAGTCAGGCTGATTTTTATCTGTAATCACTTGGCTTATTAAACCAAATGCTGAGTGGTGAGCAGGCTATTTATATGCCAGGGAAGAACTCCTCAATGAGTGTCAGGCTGCTTGTGTTTACTTGTTATCAAATCATCTCAAAACTTGGACTGCCATTTACTGTGAGAAAAAAAAGCACCTCAAAGCAAAGGTAAAATTTCATTTGCGCTGGTTTTTGCTGTTCTCACCTGTAGCATCAGCTCACAGTCATCCCGGCCAACGAAGATCATTTCCCGTGGCAGTCGGTGGCGAGTTCCCCCACTGCTCACCAGAAACCAGGAGGTCACACTCATCTCTGCAACCTGCTTCTGCCTCTGGTTTACACCTTTGAGGACAGATGCAACAAAGAAGTGAAAAAAAGAGGTTATCTGAGTGAACAATAAACAGAGGTGGCATTTCTGTGACAGTTAACCACTCTGTAGGGTTATATAGTTTAGAAAACGCTGGAATTTCTACTCTTGAATTAGGATTTGGACTTTTGAAAGGATATCCTTCAAACCAATGTTGCCTTATCTGTGTTTACCTTGACATATAGAAGTCAGTTCAGTATTTTAAATATTTTTTAAGGAAGAATATATCATATTACCTTGTCAAAGTACAACATGGATATTCTTACACGGTCAAATAGTGAGTTCATTTACAAACCTCTGGACTGGGAAGCTCACTGCTGATAGACTGCTGATGACTCAACACCGCTAGGCCATCCTGAGGGAGAAGGGAAAGGAAAATATTTTACACCTTATTGCATTAAAACATGTTACTTGTTTGTGACATGACAACCATGGCAGAGATTTATATAAAAAATTTAATAATGATGCAATAAAATGGTATATGAAGTGTAAACACTTGTAGAGAGACACTAAATCAAAACACATCGTCTTGCTTCATTCTGTTTTGCTGGTTGGGGGAATGAAGTTGAGTAGGCGGTCTTGTAATGTGATGCCTCAGTGTCTACGCCTGGAAATGAGCACTAAACCAGCCAGTAAGATACATCCTCCCTTTCTTTTTGCCTGCCCTGATCATTGCCAGATGTTAGGAGAGGAAGTGATGTAGGAATGTTGGCCGGCCTCAGCAGCAGGACGTTTATTTTCCCTCTTGCCTTCCTCCTCCCCTTGCTTTCCTTCAGATGAGCTGAAAAGGAGGTCAAAGCCAGCCACTCTGACTCTCTAACTTCTCAGGCCAGAAAGGGCTGACAAAGATGTCATATCGATGACTGTATATACAAACTGACTGAGTGGATTGTTAGTTTAGTTTGATGGCTGGTTGGGAAACACTGACTGAACAACTTGGCTGTAAGATGAAGATTTTAACAGCTTCCAACAACAAAAAGCACCTTGAGTGAAGAAGAAATCCGTACAATATTTATATTGATCATTCACATGTATTTTTCAACAACAAACAGGTTTCAAACAGAAGGTAATTTTGAGAAGCACTTAAATACCGGGCACTCTCTCATGTAAAAAGTGCCAAGAAAGGCTCATCAGAGAAGGAATTAAAGCTTATTGAGCTTAGCTTTGCTCACTTGACCTCATAAGTACTGGATATACCAACTCAATAATCCCCGGAGTAAAATTTTAATCAGCTCCACACCTCTGACAGCTCCCTCCACGATTTTGTTAGGGAACATAGCTGCATTAGAGCAACAGCTGTCTCTGATGAAAAAGGGATCAGCCTTTAATGACAGAATATCTGACAACTTTATAACATTTTATGTTGTGATTTAAAACAGTTATGAATTACTGTGATGTAAAGTAAGGGAGGCCTGCATGATGCTGTCGTCATCAAGTGGGTTTTAAGCCATATTTAAAGTTAGTTTTACCACTGTGATGTTGTTATTGGAGAGGGACAGACAGGTGAGCTGAAAAAGATAGGATGTCCTCTGACACATGACTTTACCAAATGTGATTGACAATTTTGGACTATAGTTGAACAGAAGCAGGGAACTTTCATCCATATCGAACCATTTCTGGCCATATTCCAGCCCAGTATCCCACACTCACATAAATGATCTGCCTCCTCTGCTTGGTAAACATGTTACGACAGCCATGACAACAGCACAATCATATGACCCCCACTTTATATGTTCGGTATGGAACAGAAACTGTGTTGGGACATGAAAACAACACACTGCATTTATTGACAGAGATGGCCTACATGAAAACAACAGTATTGTCATTACACTGTAATTATGTGTGGTTCCCCTCCCCGCTGAAACCAAAGCATCTAAAGGCCGTCTCGATAACTACTACACACTCGAAGCAGATTGCAGGGTTAATGATAATGCAGCATGGGGAATTGAATTCAACAAATGCCAGCCTGTGCAGTGTCGTTAAAAACCTTCATGCTATCACACATGGTGCACAGGAGGAATGCTGGTAGATCTGAAAAGGACACACAGCTGTCTGCCAAACATGTGCACTTAACAGTCTTAGTATTATCTGAATTTTAATAATAAATTATAACAAATAAATTCAATCACTGATATTGTGGATAATCCAAATTAAATCAAGTCTTGAACTCAAAGATTTTCTTTTCTTTTCTTTTTCAAAATGACTTCTTGGGATCCTGAAACTTCAACCTTTTTTGACTGAAAGACTAACAAATTATATCAATTTAATTAATTCACAGATTTAATCTCATGCTCATTCCACTCTCTCAGAAACTCCAACTCTCTCTGGTGCTAATAAGGCGGAATAGTGACTTCATGGTTTCGGCAGGAATTCCCCAGCCCCCAGACCTGACACACAGAGTTAAGGAGTGAAAGGGGAGGATTATTCTGAGATGACTGGGAATTCTTTGTATGGAGGAGATGGTTGTGAAGAGATAGAAGTGTGCACAGTATTTCCTGCAGTGGAACGCTCACTCACATTCAAGTCCAAGGAAGTGGTGATTTCATTTGTTAAGAGCATTTAGTGTTACCCTCGAAAAAATAGGATCAAGACGGGAAAAAAATCAAAATAAAAGCATAAAAAATAATGGTTTTGTGAGGAAATGTCTCTTCTAAAGAAGTTTCTGTCACTTTGAACAATCATTTAATTTTTATCCTGAACCTTTCTAACAACTAGTAAACTGAGCATGGAGTTACTACTACAACTCAGCAATCGCATCCCTGGAGCTAATGCTGCGTTCGAGTTACCTCGGAAATCAGAAGTCCCAGCTGAAAATTACATCACACCCACCCGAGTTACCAGCGTTTCAGTTACCAAGTCGGAAAAAAGCTAACTCAGAGGCGGAAACAAGATGGCTACATCTACCAAAGTTGTTTTAGTGCTTGCCTTGTCCGAATATAAGGCAAGCACTACAGCAACTTTCGTAGATGTAGCCATCTTTTTTCAGGCCTCCGACTTTGCGAACACACCGTAAGATGTCAGAACTGTGGAAGTATTCTAAAACAGGAAATGAAAACAGTCAAGCTGCAGCCAAATGCAATATAAGCAACATGGTGGTAGATTGCAAAGTGGTAAGCTGGCTTGGTACAGTATCTAAAGTAAACATGCAAAGGAACACTCCCAGCTTTACAGCCAGTGGCATCAAACCAGAGAGCCCTGATAGAGAAGGGAGTCCAGGTTTTATCTCCTTTTAAAGAGCTGATGCAATAAAAGCATCATTTTATTATTATTTTAAAAGTGATCCTTATATCTCTACAGCAAATTCCAAACACAGGCTACAAACATCAGGAAGCAAGCAATGCAAATGAGTGCAATTCTATGTACTGTTATAACTCACTCATGTGTTTCTTTGCTGCTACACATGGCTGCTGTTCTCCACGTAGCATCTGGCTCAATCATGTATCACAGGATGATGCAACCGCTGGGTAACCATCAGTGCTACACATCTGCTTTTTCTATTTAACCTCTCAAGACCGTCACTTTACCACCAAGACCCTGATAGCTGACTCAGGCCACATCACTGACAGCTGCAGTTTGTAGCCTCATACACAGACTTAACTCAAACACGCACATAAGCACTCCAGGACAGCAGCAGCAGCAGAAGAAGAACCAGGACAGACAGAGGGAGACAACTCATCTGCTTGTCACATACATTTCCTCACAGTCTTGTGATGAGAGCCAAACTTAGCTCTTGCAAGGGTGTGGTTGTCTGCCCTCGACTGTAAAAATGTAGCTTAAAACACAGAACACCAACAGTAAAACTTTGTGAACAACTTTGGTCAAAATAAAGCAAAACAGCATGTTTGGGTGGTCACACTTTGGTGCTGAGCTTTGTGGATGAATAGCAATGGCAAAAAAAAGATACTCTCATTCTGCTGGTCACTGATAGTGTTTAGATTAAAAGGCTTTTCTATATTGGTTGCCCCGGACTTTCATGTCTGGTTAGTCTTTCCCAGGAGGAATCTTCTGCCAGACAGAAAGAAGTGCATTAAATGTTTACATCAGCAGCAGGAGCCGATAGTTCAGATATAAATAGCACTATGTAGTCAACTTGAGCATTAACCCCCTTTGGTTGAAAAGACAAAGAACAAAGTGTTACCTTAGTTAAACTCTATCCACACAATAACCTGAGGAGAGTATCGTGACTGACAGGGATTTCTCAGGGGTGCATAAATTCAACAACAGAGCAACCACAGCTGAGCACCACAGATGTTGTCGGAATGAGAAGCCATGACTTCGGTGGGATATAACTTTATGTAAAGTCTGAAATTCATGTACTGACAGAAATGTTTTACAACAAAGCAAAGGGGCTACATACAGACTGCTGGATGGTACCTTTGAGAAAAAACAGAAACAATGAAAAGAAAAAAGGAGGTTAGATATTCCCTTGAAAATGCTGGGGTGAGGTCAGCAAGTCAATACTCAGCAGACTTTGGGGAGACTGAATTGCACCTGCAACCCTTTCAATCTGATGGGCAACAGGGAAACCTCCCGACCCTGAGGGGTGTAAAAAAGACAGTCAGACAGACCGACCAAACAAAAGGGTTTTTCTAGTCCCTAATGGTTAGGTCTACGGTACATGCACAGACATAAAAGTCTTCATTTGAGGAGGATCTATTGTCTCTCTTTGTCTCAGACATCTCAGCAAAATGAATCAAAATATTGTTCAGTTAATGAGCTACAAATGATGAGCCTGTTGAATTTTAGGATTAAAATCGTACATTTTAGATCTGAAAAACAAACTAAATCACTGATGGTGCATCATGGTTTCTGGAGTTTCTCTCACCATAATGTGTTTACAAAACCAATCCTGAATAGAAGTCTTGTATCACAGTTCTAAAACGATCGTTCAATGCCAATATGACACTTATCACAATGAGTAATCTCACTGAGTGCTGTGTACACTAAGTAAATACTGTATATCTTAGCTCTGCTTGGCAGCCAACCGATCTCTAGAAGTTCTGTTTGACAGCAGTTGAATAACACAATCTGTTTTATGTTCTTGGTCACAAATTAGGGTGGCAACAAAAGAGCACTCTGTAGGCCCACTAGGGACATCAGTCTCTAAGTGTGTGATTCTTCTTGACGTTTGAATCAAGTTGCTCTACTTTACCTCCTCTCATAAATGAAGAACAAGGTAAACACTCAGCAGCCAAAGTCTACTAAACGGGATTGCTTCTGTATTTTTAGAAGAACCCCATCTACACATCTACCTGCTCATGTAACTGGGACTGTATAAAAGCGAAGTAATTTTCCTTTTTTTAAATGTAATTTAGCTAAAACAACTCAAAAAAACAAACAAACAGCAAGAGCTGAATGGTGTATAATGAATTGTATATGCCACATACTGGCGGATTAAGATTACCCCAACATAATTCACTCACAATAGGATAACAGCATCATGCAGGGAGATAATAAATCATTATGGTGTCATCGAAGCCCTTCAAATCTGCAGAAACCTGAGTGTGCATGTTTCTGTATGGCTCCATAAATGCAGCATGTGGGTGAAAAACAAAATCTCCCCATGCAGCAGAAAAGACCATATGGTGCAGAAAAGCAGCCGTCCACATCACATGAGCAGTTGGCGATAGGAACAAACAAGCAAACACCTCCATTTAGCCTGCATCCATCCAGCCTGCTTCATTGTTATCACCGCACACAAAGCCAGCAGATCCCTGGCCTTAAGATATAAACACACACCACATGCTCACTGACCCCGGTGTCCCACATGACCCATAGACCTACATATGGAAATTCACACCTTGCAGATATGAAGGACTAAAAAGCATTTTAGGGAAAACCTTGTCTACCCTGGAGCAGAATCTAAGAGGCTGTTTTGTGTAAAATACAGCAGAGGGGAAAGCAGCACTCAGGAAAAAAAAGCTCTCTCGCTGATAAAGAGATAATGAAAAGAAGATGATTAATAATCCAAGAGAATTGTTAATGATGCACATGCCCTACAGCTTTGCCTGTTTCAGCGCCCATGACTGACTCTCTAAGGTGCGTGTACAGTTCTTTTTTTGGAGGAAATTCAATGAAATACTCATAAATATTTATTAAAGTCATCTCTTAATTTACTTAAGTTTCTTTTATGATACTTTTTATTAGTAGTCAACTAATGTCACTTTTTAAGCAGCCAATACCATATTATAATACTGTCTGATATATAATGTGATTTATCTTATTATCGACCTCATGATTCAGTGAGACTCTGGTCTGAGTGACAAAGAAATGACTCACAGGATGAACTATTATTACTTGCATCTTCACAAGGTGCCAGTATCAACAAAAAGGGCACGTCAGAGTGCCATAACTCAGGGAGACGTGCACCACTTTTTTCTTCATGTTTACAGCTTGGGCCTGTGCTTCCATTGAGAAAAGAAAAGCAAACACAACAGGAAGTCATCATCCGAAAGAATAACTTCACATCCCGTACAAGTGAACAGAAACAGCTGCTGAAGTCTCCAAGACTGCAATGCCGACTGAGCTAATTCTGATGGTGAACCCACTGACTTTTCAAACCTAACCAAGCAACTAAGTGATGGACACCCAGACCTCTTCAAGTAGTACAAAACAGGACAGGTTAGCAACTTAACATTAAACTTGTAGACTAGCTTACTCGTAGAATGTTGACAAGCGATGCAACTGCTATAAATGATGCGTAACATCAGCACATTTGGTAACCCTAAGATTTTTCATATGGAAAACCTGATTATCTCCCAAAACACAATTCATCATTTAACTCAATAAACTCTCTTTGCCTGTTTCACACAGAAAATAGGACGGATGCATGCATGGCGGCTTCAGCTCATGTTGATGCAGCAGCCAGGGCTGTTGTGGTGCAGGAATTCCCATTGCATTAATTCAGAGCAAAAAGTGGTATTTTTTGCACCAAGCCTTTTAATTCCATTAGCAAATTTTGGTATCCTTTGGGGATATTTTTCATACTCATTTCAACATTCAAACACATCTTTAACACATCTCTAAAAATAAATGAATGGAGGCAGCAATGTTGCATATAAGAACAGGCAACACACTAACATCCTTTAGGAAAATGGCAGCCCAACAATTGTATTTTAAGCTGCAGAAACTGGGGAGATCTCAAATATGTATTCATTACAGTGATAAACCAGCTGAATAACATTGACTGTTACTTGTTACATCCTCTGTGGTGGCTTTAAAGTATCAATCAGAGAAGACCTATCATTGATTTATTGATTTTTTTTTTCCAGACCAGAAGATCTAAAAAAAAAAAAAAAAAGGTTCAGATCTTGTCCAGTAATTTTGTAACGCTTAAATATTATTTTTTATCAAATAAATCTAAACAGCCAGTGGAGATTGTTTGGATATCAAAAATTGAGTCACTAAACTGGGCGCCAGTATGGAAATCAAAATTTTGGTAACTTGACAACATTAATGATAGTATGCAACCCTTAATTCAAACAATTAACAAATTAAAAATTTTTCATGTAAGCCAAAATATAAATATGTTGTAGGACAAGACTTGGTAGATTTGCTTCTTTTTTCAGCTTTGAATCATTTCAAAACAGTTGTTTGGAAAAAAAATCAACTTTTTGAAAATATCACCTGGGCCTTTAAGAAGCTTTGTAGGTATTTTTTTGCTGTTTTTGGCAATTCAATATGGCACCTATCCACAGTAGCCAAAGCAGACAGTGTGTAAAGTGCAAGTTTGTGCCCTGTTTGGTCCCCCTGCTGTGCAGATAATGTCCGACCTGTGACCCTATTGCCAGAAAATTAGTACACGGCCAATCTTGCCACGTTGATTATGGCACCACTAACATTAAATCCTGCCCATAGCAATGGCCTCAGCAGCAGACAAAAATAGTGAACTGTCTCACTCTGAAATCCACACTAGCACTTAGGAGGGAAAAAAAACATGGTAAGCATAACAGGACAATCAGAGGGAGCCCGGCGGAGTGAGAGTAGGGAATGGAAACTGCCCAAATACAAGATCAATATCTGCAGTGGAAAATAGAACAAAACACTGGAAAGTCAGAGGGGAGTATATGTTACACCCCATAACAGATGTGCAGATCTCCCTGTTTTATTTTTCATTTTGAGAAGCAAAAACCCAGGACACACCTCTTGATGTACCAAAACAAGGGAGAGGCTGATGATGATGTTTGAAATTTAGTTCAGGCTTTTCTGTTTTTGTTGGTTTCTACATCATCATTCTCCCTAATTTCTTACCAAAGACTTTTCTGCTTACTTGCTGATTTTGTCTTTTTGTCCCTGCAGCGAGAGGTGCATTAGACAAAGCTATCTTCCTCTCATAACCTTTTCAACTGTTCTACTCTGGCAGATTACTGACGAGAGATTCACTTCTATTTTAAGCCACAGGCACCCTGGTACAGGAACACTTTAATGAACAAGTTGAACAGAATGGAAAAGAATTGAGAATCAAGACCTAGGCTGGGTTGTTTTTTTGGTCTCAAAGATCACTCCCTGACTACTGGAGTAAAATGAACTCACTTCCGAAACTTCCTACCATACACAATGGCCACGGTCAAGCCAAACAACAAAGTCCATCTATAGACCAGCAGAGAAAATAAGCCCCTATTATTTAAGACCAACCTTGCTTTATCTGAACATAGTGTTTATTGGCAATCTGGCCATCACAAGAGCACAAGTTTGCACAGTTTACAGTTTAATGGCCCAAAAAAACTCCAACAGATGTGGTAAAAATAACTATCCGGTTGTTACAATTGGTTCATGTTTAATTATCTGCGCTCTAACTGTATAGATCAGCACGTTCGAAGGCACAGAACAGGCTGATTTCTCTCAGAGCGCAGCAACGGTCCTGTGACACTGACACACTTTTTAAAAATGCAACCGCCTGTAGAGCCAACCAGCCTGCCGGCAGCCACATTTGCAGGAAGGACAGGAAGCAGGCGGAAAGAGGCAGAGTGAAAGAGAGAAAAGAAAGAAAGGAGGCAAAGCTGAACTGGACTGGATGGCTGCATCTGCTCATTCTATGGCTCAGTCCCAAAAATTTGAATTAATACAGATCAGGAGGAGGAGACTAAAGGGCTTCAGTGATGTGCAGCCACTTACAGTCCAGCTTTTGATAACAGTCAGTTCAGTACCAGAACAGCAAACTGTGTAATAACCCTGGACCAGGAATACAAGGTACTTTTATTGGTTTACGAGAGAAAGGATTAAGATAAACAAATCTGATAATACTGCAGAAGAGTCTGTTTTAACAGTTATGCTACTCTGCAATTATTCTACATAAAATTCCCACTGGTATTTTTGACCTAAATCATCACTCAGCCAAGCAGTCAAATCCCTTATGCTTGGAAAAATAATGACAGCCTGGAAATGCAAAAAAATACATCAGCTTTGTTTGCAAGAGGCAAATAAGCCTGCAAACAAATCTGCTTTAATATCTATAAATAATGCACTTAATTTAGCTCACGTTTTACATTTTCAAGTTGTGCATCTATGTGATGATGACAGCAGAAATCAACTCAAAACAAAGAGAGCGGATGCATGTAGGCCAACCACATCTGCCCCATCAAAACAAAGCCCCCCAAACAGAAGATGAGAGGGGGTCCGAGATCGGGGGAAAACTCTGCAATCACATGTAAAGAGCGAAAGCCTCCTCGTTTTAATCCTTTCTTCAGACAATATAAATAGATTCAAAGAGGACCCTCAGGTTAGTGTGTCTCCACCGAGATAAACACAAAGCGTCCATTGTGACCGACCTTCATTGATGTGCATCCTGTCTCGATAGCCTCCGTGTGGTTGTAGGAGGATGCAACTCGGGAGGAATAAAAACGGGTCAAAGACAAATCATGATAGCATAGAGGGAAAACGTGGTTAGTGTTTTAACAGAGGCAGGAGAGTGTCGAGGTTGTGTCCATATACAAAGGCAGCGCAGAGCAGGCTGGTCATGCTGCTGCAAACAACACTAGCCACCACATCCAGTTAGCCCACAAGGAGTCAGACCAGTTTAGCCGTCATGAGCCTAACAGGGCATCTATCTACTGCTTTTATTGCTAAATATGAAAATTAAATTGAATAAAGGTTGATGTTTTTAACGTGAGAAGTTCTTGAGTCAGCCGTGTTAACCGAGGTAGTTTTTATCATCATAAAAATCCTCTCATTGGCATCAATAGATGTGCAGCAGAAAAGCAGAGCAGCGACTCTTCCCTTTTTTTTGTCTGCCGCAAACTTCATGAGCTTTTAACGGTCGACCACCCAGCGAAAGCTTCATGTTGGTTCCGCCTAAATATGACACTGTATTAGTATTAAAAGTGAAATTCACTCGTCACTTACCCTTCTCCTCTCCGGTGAGTGCTGCTGTTGAAGGTGTATGTGTGTGTGTGCGGTAAGAGCCTTGCCCTGCCCTGCCGTTGCCGCTGTTCAGTCTCCCTGCCTGTGCGCGTGGGCCTTCTCCCCCTCCGTTGCTCAGCAATATACGCTACTCCCCGAAAACGAGCGGCGCGCGGACCGTCATGACAGAAGCGTCATGTCGCGCTGACATCGATAACGACTTCCGTCTACGACTTTCACAATAAAACCAGAGCGAGATTTCTGCCATGATTTGACAGTGATAGGGGAGAGTGGGTTCAGCTGAGCCAAAGGGTAAGTCGAGCCACCCCCTGTTGCTTGGAAATGGTAAAAGAAATCGATCAAGTGACCAAATATTTAGGAGATGGGCATCAATTCATGGAGTCTGTTTATTTTTCACTCTTGAAAGTACATTTAGTCTGTCATAAGCTTTTTTCGAATTGTGTTCAGACCAGTGTTGTTTTCATTGACAAAAATATTTCATCAACGCCCCTTTTCTCCATGATGTAGATGTGACGTTGACGAGCGAAACATAAGTCTTAGATGACTAAAATGTGATGAGACGAATGTGCGTTTACGTTGACGAGACGAAGTGAGGCTTTATGACCTGTACTGCAGCCCATCAACAGAGGGTGCTGTTCTCAGAGTAGCTTCACCCAGCAAGGAGGCAGATGCTATGGTTCAGACCAAAAAAGATCATTTTAAATTTGTTTTATACATCAATTATGGTATCTTTGAGCTACAACATGAGGTCAAAAACCTAACATTAAAGTCCACCATTTTAGCTAACTTACCCCACTTCTATGGTCAACTTACCCCATACACGGGGTAAGTTGACCATAGGAGACCACTTTTTTGGCATGCTATACTACCAAGACAGTTATGTTTACACTCATTCTACTAGTGAAAGACAAAACTATGATTGCCTGATCTGTAGCGATTCTAAATATGAAAAATGGCTCATCTTACCCCACTCTCCCCTACATAAAACTGTGATAGACTGACTGCTTAAAAGAAACGCTTACGAACAAGACTCATGACACTGTTGTACAGCCTTCCTTGTTTGGTAAAGTAAGATTGGCAACTAAAAAAACATTGACATGATAGTCGTGGTCAAAGTACAACACACAAGAGAAGAAAATTGGTGAGTTGTTCCCTTTAGTTTGAAGACCTGCATTTAGGTTGGTAGATTTCAACTCAAATAATCACGTTGATTTTTTAATCACTTGAAGATATAACTGCTTCCAAGTGATGTAACGTATCAAACGAGAAATAAATCAAACGAGAAATTAACAAACGAAATTCTACACGCAGATCATCACTTTCAAAAACTTTCTTTATAATTTTAAAAGCCAATGTCGTCATTTCCGGAGTGTTAGTGTTTCCTGTACCTTGACGGAGGTCTTCCACAGCAGCGCCTGCGTCTACACTTCCAACCGTGGATGCTTCCAACTCGACCAGAAGCTGTAGACAGAACCGGGTGGGCGGGTTTCCTGGACTCACTGGTGGTCGCGTTTCAGGGTCTATTGTTCCCGCAACATCAGCTGTGCTGCGCAGCTGGCAGTAACATATCGAAGTTTGGAATATATAGGCAACATTTGTATAAGGCTTTAATTCTCCGCTACGAGGGAGGATAAACAAGGATGAGATGAAACGTGAATGTGTTAACACAGGAGCATAAGAACATAACCTAGATGGTTTTTCTGGTTTATACTTTAAACTAAGTAGAGACCTTTTAACTAATATACAACTGAGTGCTGCCGTAAAAGTAAAGCTCATTACAATAAATAAATAAATAAAAATACACCGTATATAAGAATTTTGAATGTTACTCAAATGGTTGTCGTGCAACCGAGTATGATTAGATTTGCCTTCTTTAAAGTCGTCCAACACTGTAGCCAGAATAAAATTGGAATTGATACTGTGCATTTCATACGATGAAATGTAACATGGCTGGAAACCTTAAAGTAGAGATTTAAAAATTTTCTCTTTTTTTCGAAATTTATCTGTATTTTTTTTAATTTCTACGCAAATTTTACAAGGGTCCCTCTCAAATTTTAACTGAAAACGGTGCAACACTTCAAATCGTCCTGCACAACAACGACGTAATGACGTTCCTCCTCTATCCTCGGGAAGCGCTCGGTTAATGATTTAATATGCACCTGCTGGCAAGGCGGAGCGTTAGTTTGATATTTATTTTTGAACTGTGCGTGAGATCCCGTGACTCTGGCGCACTTTTTTGCATTTAAACTGTGTAATGATAGTTTGCATTTAAATACAAACTTTTATTTTGTTCACCACTGACATTTTGATGTCTACTTCAAGGATATGGTCTTCAGTGAAAGTCAGTTATTTAACAATTAAATCGTTTTAAAAACCACAAACTACTTGTCTGAATATAAAATACATTTTCTTAAACTCTCATGTGTGTTCTAATTTTTGTATAGAGAAGTTTTATCCCTTCTTTATGATTAACTTTATCGTTCACTTGTCGTTACGGCACACAGCGTGACACAAATTGAACCGTCTTCTTCGTCCGTTGGAGGGGGAGAGGGGCGTTGTCTGAAGTCGAAGCAGGCTGGTGTGTGCTGCTGTTGCCAGCGAATGGACGTACAACATGGACGACTTGCGGGACGTTCAAATTTCCAAGAGGCACGGAAGCTCCAGGTCGATATCTTCGGCTGGTTCTGCGGTGGCAATGGAGATTAAACGGAAGAAAATACGCCAGAGTACTTTATTTCACCAAACAGAGGTACGGGCTGAGAGAAACTGAGTTGTACTTGTGTGTTTAGTCGTCAAATCAGCATAACAATGACAGTTGGGTTGATACTGGGAGAGGTTCAAAGTGCGACGACGCCAATAGGCAAATGTATTTGATTTTTATTTCACCAACCGTCAAAACAGTTGTCTTTTTTTCTGTAAACTGGGCTTAAATAACGTTTCTAACTGAAGTTCATACACTGGCTCTCACTTACCGAGGAGGTTGAGGACAAAGCCAGCGAGTCGTCGACCTGCTGTCTTCGTCTTAACGTCTCAGTAGAAACTATAGAGCTGTGTACTCTTTGCGCTGTTGAATGTCCCTAAAATAATGCTTTTTTCTTTGCTCTAACACCACTTAAACTAATATCATTTCAGACTAAAAGCCTAAAACGTCAACCGAGACTTCTGAACGACACCCAACAGATAATAGAGGATATGAATTTGTTGTACATACGACAGATTTCTCATAAGCAACAGGTGCATAATGCGGTGGGGAAATTAAAAGGGAAATGATGATGTTTGTATCCATAAAACAACTGTCAATCTCTTTAAAGTAGTTTTTCTAATTTGTCTATCACCAGTAGATAAGGTTTTATTTTTGACCAAGATTACTATGTTTTCAAATCCACTGATAACAAACATCATCATGCTCCTTTTGATTTTAAATATGTTAACCAGACCAAACCATAATAGCATTTTCCATTATACATTCATTCATCCGCTTCAAAACTGTATTTTTGTCATCCATATTGCCAATTATCTAAATCCATTATGCACTGTCATTGTCCTTTCATCTAACATTCATAGTTTGCTAATAACACTCAAAACTTTCTCTATTTTCACAATAAACAGTTGCTTTTGAGTGATGAGAGTATAATGACTGCATGGCCTCGATTCATTTTCAAAACATCAGCTTATTGTCAAATAATTGGTGGTTGCAGTACCGCTGTTTATTATAATTAAGCTATAACTCTATTTTGTAAAAGCATAACACAAGCCTTGTTATATACGCCAATAACACGGTTCATTAGAGCCCCGAAAATGGAGCAGGTTTCAGGTGAATTTTCAAGTCAAACTAACAAGTGCCACAGTGCAGTGTTGGCAGAGTATAATGTTAGCAAAATGAATGTAATCTTTGTTTTTCCACCAACAACAAATATATATTTTTTTATAATTTTTCTAGTGACAGGAGTTACTGAGTATAGGCTGATATGCTCATTCCAAATTTTTGGTATCAGGAAGAAAAGAATTTTATCAGAACATTTCTTTTTACCACCAAGAGCAACTTCACTTTCAAACTCAGAATTTTTGCATTCCTCATGTCTTGCATAGCTTTATTTTTAAGGACTTCTTGAGTTCAAAACATCAACACACCAATAATATTATATTTATCTTATGTTTATTTAAAATTTATCCTCTCCATCTCTGTCCAAGAACACTAACATACAGGACAAGCTTGACTTTGAGATGCGAATGCGCGAGGGGGCCTATAAGCTTCTCCTCGCCTGTAGTAAGAGAGAGCAGATTCTCAATGCCTCCAAGAACCTGCTGACCTGCAACGCCAGGATCAAGGCTTATCTCACACAGCTGCAGAAGAACAAAGAAGATCAGGACATGACTGGAACTGTTAAGAGGTGAGGAGCTGTGGGTTAACCGTTCTTAGGTGTTGATTATGTCATATACAAAGCTCTTGAATCTCAATCCCTGATGACTCAGGACAGGAAAATGCATTTTCTTGAGAAGAGGTCTTGGTCTTGTTTCAGTGAAATTTGATGAACAGTTTGATCACTTTTAATCATCAATGAAATATTTTATGTCAGTCTTTCAGATCCAGCTTCAGATGACCGCGTGCCCTGTAGTGGAACAGTTGCGATGTCTGGTAAGACTGTTCATTGCCTTCTCTTGAGTCATAACTGGGAAGTAAATGTGCAGAATATGACTCATTAGTCCAAGAAATTGAAAAAATATAAACTCAATGGCTAAGTTAAATTATTTAGATTGTTGTATTTATGCGAGAAAGACTCAATTCAGAAGTGTAACCCCTTTGGTGTTGCTTTAACAAACCTATCTCCTCAACTTTTGTGTAGGGCTGCGTATTCCTTTGATATGGAGGGATTCAGATCACTTTAACAACAGAGGAAGTAAGTTTGTCCCAGCAGTGTTAACCTTTATGCCCGTTGTTTAGTTTTTCCTTATTTTTTCTTCTAAAAACTTGTGGGACAACATTCACTTGGCATTGCTTATGATTACAGGCTCTCGTCGAGTGGCGTTGTTCTGTCTGATGCAGACTGGCTCAGAGGTGTTCGACACAGAGATGGTGGTGGTGGACAGATCAGTTACTGACGTGTGCTTTGAGGGAGTCACTCTTTTGTAAGTAATTATTATGCATGTCAAACTGGCAGAGTAAAAATATCTTGAGGATTTACACTAAAATATGTTGTTAGAATTTAGGAATTATGTACATGACAAGCAGAATATGACTTTGATTTGAGAGATGTTGCTGTACACAAAATATATACATTCTTTGTTTTATTTTTTTTTTTTTTGCAAATCTTGTGCTTGAAATGTCTATCTTCTCTTACAGTAAAGATGTAGATCCTCTATTTGATCTGAGGGTGGAGCTGTGGAGCTGTGCTGTTGAGGAAGAGCTCACATTGGTAAACACGCCAAAGAAGCTGGCCAAGAAGCTCCGCAACTCCTTGGGAAAGACAGCTGGAAAGAAGGTCTGCCCTCTGCTGGACAGTAATGACCCGGACACCTTCCTGCAGTACAACCCCATACCAACGTGAGTATTATCCCATAAAAAAAACCCTTTACAGACTCTTGGCTCACCATTTAAGCTTTTTGCAGCTGGGAACTAACTTGATTATGGCTTGTTGCTAGAATAAAGGTTTCAGCTGCAGGCTCACAAACAGGATTGTAATGAAATCATGCTGAGTGAGCATTGTAATAAGGGTTAAACCAATATTTGGATAAAAGAGCCTCAAGAAATTCATAGATTTTTTTCTACCACAATATTGAACTTTCTGTTTTTCCAAAAAGCCTTTGATGTTTGTGTCTGCATTTTATTTGTGTCCGCACAAACACGCATTTTACAGCTTTCAGAGCATTAAACACATCTTTATTAAACATCTGCAAGTGATAAAAACCACCTGTTCAGTGTGAGGAGAAACCAGTATTGTCATTATTATTGTTTGTTATGTTAAGGGTTTATTATGGTGGAGGTTAGGAGTTGAGCATTAACATTTTGTGCTTAAGTTTTTAAAGTCAAGAAATTAAAAGAGCTGATGTTTTTTATTTACATAATGCTAAATTTTGTGCATTTGTGTTTTTCTATATCAGAGGAGCCAAGTACAGCCTCCTTGCCTACACTACACTGTCTCTGCCTGAGGCTGAAGGCAGCTTTCAGTCACACTCCCTCATTGTCCTTCAAAATGGTAAGAAGGAACAAAAATATTATTCTTGGGGATGTAAACAGTTTAAGCTTTTTAGCTCCTGCTCTGAGTCGTCATGGTGGTAATGGTACAACATATTTACATTAAGGAAAGCAGAAAGGTGAAACAGATTAATTTTGACTGAAAGATTGAAGTTCGGCTTGGATTTGTTTTTGTTCTCTTGTAGTAAATGTACAAGGAAGTTAGTGTTCAGGCATGTCTTTGTTACCCAGCTCTATATTTAGATCTACCTGAGGTGTTATGTACATATGTACATATGTCAAATTCCTTTGTAACCGGTACACACAACAGCTTTCTCACGTGTAGGTGTAAAACTACATCCTGTAACTAAATGTTGTTGAATTATGTGTTTTAACTTTTTTACTTCTTTTTTCTTTTCTAAGTTCATTTTTGGGATACTTGATCTTTTTTTATCTCTTACTTAGAGAGACTTTTTGAGAATTCATCACTTGTGGCATATCACTGGTTTTTACATAAGCCCCTTCTACCTTAATCTCTACTCTTTTTTTTCCCCCCACAGCCGAGTGGTCATCCTGGCTTCCACTTTATGGTAACCTCTGCTGCCGGTTGGTGGCCCAACCTGCCTGCATGACACAGAGCATGATGTCTGGCTACCTGAACCAGAAGGTGTGTTGACTGCTGATATAAAACAATTCCTGGGGATAACACCACAGCTCCTTCCTTATTTGTTATTCTGGTGATTTATAGCAAAGCGTGGAGGGGATGTACCGCTGCTGCAGTCTTTTCTGTGTGCTGAGTGCCGGTCTTTTATCCTGCTACTTCACCCCTGAAGAAATAGAGGCTAAAGTGCAGCCCACTCTCAGTGTTCCCATCAACAAAGTAAGACAGAGTCCAAACTTACTGTTCCACACTCCACTTTCTTTTGAGTGAAATAATCACTGCAAAGGAGTGAAAAAATAAATGCCGATTACACCAGGATTGTACTAACTCTATCCATATTTGCATTTTTGCATTAATCTTTTATGCGCACTGTCTGATTAGCAGAACTTTGTATTATATATAATCCTCACAGTCATTATTATTGATTTAAACCACATTATTGAGTTTTTCATAATGTTTGCTGTATCAACAAGATGTCACATTACTCATGATATGCTTCTTGCATCTCTGGCATTTTACTGCTTAATTTATATTCATTCCCGCAATCTCAGCAATGTAGTTTTTGTGCAATTTCTCCCCAAGCTCCCATTTGTTCCTGTGGATGTCATTTCCAGCTGATAGTAAGTGGTTGGGGTTGTTTCTGCAGGACACTCGGATTCGTATCATGGAGAAGGAGTCGGGAGGCCAGAAGTCCAGGAGTCTGTCCATCATCAACCCTTCACCAGAGGGATCTGAGACCCTTGTGTTTACCACAGAAACCAGAGAGGGGCTAGAGGACTGGCTGGATGCTCTCAACCAGCACCTCTATGATCAAAGTATGTGTCTGTGTTAACAGGGCTTTGTTAATATTAGTGCAAAGATAACCCATCAGTATAAGTGGGCACAGAGCAGGAGTATACTTCTTTTTCTACAAAGTAGGGCCTTTTATGTGTTTGAGATGAATGGGGATATTAGTCTGTTTTGGGAAAGCTGTTCAGCTCAGTTCAGAATAGATGGTTTAACCTTTTATCTGCATCTCTGGTGGCTCTTCTTGTTTATAACCAGGCCAGTGGCTACACTGCTGCAACCAGCTAATGAAGATTGAAGTTGCGTCACCACGGAAACCATCTCTTTTCCTCACCAAGCAGGCTGACTCAGTTTACAATGACCTCAGTAAGTGGAATAAATGGAACGAGTGGGTGAATTGAGTAAGATTGAGATAAATTAATTGGTGGCTGCCATTTTTTTTGGTATGATTTGAATTTTTTTTTTTAAATAAATTGTGAGACGCATAAATGAAAAGTAATTCTATTTGTCATGCATAATAGTTTCTAAATTCAGTGCTGACAAAAATTTAGTTAAAAGAAAAAAATTAGAAGACTAGACTTTCCTCTTTTGTGGCATTTTTATTTTCCACCAACTCTTCATCTAATAAGGAAAAAACACAGACTCGGTGCTTTGGTTAACCATTTATCTTTTAATTATCTGAATGTGTTATCATCCCAGTTTTCTTTTTTACTTGACATGCAGGTATAAATTCACCTGGCAAATTCGAGAGCATCACAGACATGATCCACAACAAGATCGAGGAGACAGACGGCCACTTTCTCATTGGTCCTGAGGAGGAGAAGGATGCACCTAATTGGTCCACTCTGTTTGACGGGTCCCATTCAGTGGTCGTACAGAGGAGCATTCTCTCTAAGAGCAAGACCTCCACCCCTTGCTCAAGTCCTAATCCAAGCACCAGCTCTACACCTATCAGCAACAAGAAGCGCCGTGCCCCAGCCCCTCCCTCTGACAGACAACCCTATGCTCCTCCCGTACGTCCAGTCAGACCTCCCCCACCCGCTCCCCTCGCTCATCCTCCCCAAAACCAGGAGAAGGAAAACTCTGGCATTTGTACATCACGCCCGCCCACAAGGTCCAAAACTGGCCGACCATCTCTGGACGCCAAATTCTCCGCCATCATCCAGCAGCTCCAGAGGAACAATTCAGGAGGTGCCGCAGCCATCAGCCGCAAAAACGCTCCACTGGGCGTCCTCGATGTACAACCTCAAAGTCAGCCTCTCCAGCAGCTGGAGTACCAGAGCCGCCACATCCAAGCCACTGAGTACCCTGGTGAACACAACTTCTTCAGACCAAGTCACGGTCCTGTTCCTGCACCGAGGAGCAAACTGAGAAAATCTTTCAGAGAGAGGATGAACCTCTAAGCCTTTGACCACAACTAGAGTTCTCTCATTTCTTAAACAAGTGTAAGAACTTTGAAACCTAGCTCAGAAAGATTAATAGAATTAGATACAGAATATATATTTGACTTTAACTCAGTCTTAACAATGTGATCATATTTTGTCATTACTATTGGTGTGGTACTAAACATATTAAAGATAGTTGACATCAAGACATCTTCAATGACAGAAGCATCACTATGGGCCAGAGGCGTTGCATTAAGACTGACGACAAATACTGTAAAAGAGTTCTTTTGAGCTGTGAGGACTTTTACAGCTTATGAAAACATGAGAGAATATGTGCTAAAGATGTGACGAAACGCAGCTTTTGTTATCTGCTGAGTGAATCATCTCCTGTGGATGACTCTATTTTAGGCTGATGAATAGGAGTGGGAGTCTACCTTCCAAATTTAATTTCCCAAATTGTCAAACTATTTCATTCAACATAAAAGAGAGTCAGGTGACGTGATCACTCAGGAAAAGGTCGTCGCTGCGTCCATCATGATAACCCAAACCCCAGTAGACACCTCCTGCCACAATATCAATAACACATTGATGTAGCTCCAGCTCCATTACTCTTTTATAAACTTTCTCATGTGCGGCTAACCCATAGATGAATCTGAGAGCTGAATGTTGGCTCGGGCTCTGCCGTCATCAATCCCAGTAAAATGGAAAAGGCTTATTTCTCAGCTCTGCCTCTGGAACATGGAGTGAAGAAAGAGCCCTTGCAAAAGCACTCAAATTGGAATTGATCCATTGGCCGACTGTGAACGAGTCATTCCTTTTGGAACTATTGACTTATTCCACTCACTGTGACAATTTTATGACCACTAGAGCTGATTTTAAGGGAACAAAATTTTAGAAGCAATTGCAGGCACTAATGTGACTTCTCCATTTCTCAGAGGTCTTTATAACAGAGTGACCTCGGTTTTCAGTGGTTACACAGTACGCTCAACATAATTTAACACTGCAGCATAATTGAATGAATGAGTCTTTTGAGTGGCTGAAATAACGAATGGCCTTGTTTTGTGTTTTTAAGCATATCCATTACTGGAAACCACAAAATATTTTAACCACTTAACAATCACATGCTGAAGAATGGCCTTCTTCATAACACAGAGAAGTACAAAACATCAGGATACTTTCTCTGAAACTATCTGGCAGTGCGAAGCAGTATGGAGAAAGCTATAAACCGAGTTTATTTGATCTCACCCTCTAAATTCCTTTTAATCAAGAAGGGAGGGTGAAGAATTGGAGAGAGGAGGATTACAGGAGGATTTGGTTTAAGCTGTGAAAGAACTGAGAATGGGTTGTTTAAAGGGGATAGTGCTTAATATAAGCAGTGTTTTTAAAATGTGGCTGCTCCTGTGAACTCATAATACATTAGTCACTTTGATGTCGGACGGTATACACCTTGAAAACACAAGTTAAGGTAGAAGGGTTAGGCCTTGTGGTGTTAATTTTTACTTATGTTGATTTGTTTACACATTATCATAATAACTGTACTAGAGCTCCTTTATCCTCTGTCAACACTTTGACCATTTCAATTAAGTGTGCAAGAGACAAACAGCATATTACTACTTATTACTGACATTATTGTGAAAAGTGGTCTTCTTGAATAGTATTTCAGATTAACCCTAAAGCAGTTTACTGTAATGGAAATGTTTCTCCTGCAGATACAAAGATTTATAGGCAGCATGTGATCTCGATGTAGCAGCTGAACACAGACTGAATGTTCTTAATTTTGATCGAATCAACGAGCCTGTGTTTATGTTTCTCATGTTGTTTTGAATGTTGAAGCTGCATGGCAGCAATTTAAACACCAGCAGTAGTTTCTACTTATATGTTAAGGTAAAAATGTCCTGTTTTGATTCAATAGTACAATGATGTTTCAATGTTCTATTTAGCGAATTAATACTTTGACTGTAGGGGGCACTTTGTTTATGTACTCGTAAGTAGGACTGCATTAATCTTGCACCAGTGCTGAATAATTTGTGTGTAGTGCAATGTGAAAAATATGGTAGTTATTTTTGTTTCCCAATAAGTGCAATTTCCTGCTCTCTCTCTCTCTCTTTCTCTTCACTGTTGTCTTGGAAGTTAACTGTATTTTTTATTCTCGCTGATCTGCAATAAAATGTCCTACTTTCCACCCCGGTGAGGCTGCTTTATTTTTGCTGAGCTCGAAACTATTACTGAATATTTTTCATGGTAAAGATTTACCAGGGGGTGGCAATAAAAGTCAAAAGGATAGCTTTTATTGTAGCCCAACACACATCACAGAGAGATACATGTACGGGCACATTTCTCCTCTGCAGCAAACACTGGAGAGGCTTCTCTGGCTCTGAGCCCAGAAGTAGCCTGTTGTGAAGATTAAGGCGGATAGAATCTCATAGCCAGATAATGGTATTACAATAATACGAGCCCATTCACACTGCATTTACTCGAAAAAAGAAAGAACATTACATTGATGTAAGTATACTGTTGTTACACCACTTTATTCGTCCCTGGTAATTCTGTTAAAAAAACACACCTGAGGAAACGTGGGTAGATAGTAAAATATTTTAATTAAATATACAGGAGGTCATATACAAAATGTCTTATTTTTTCATCTTGCTTGCCAGCTGGGTGATTGGTAAACAGATGGCTACTGTATCAAAAACACTTTCAGGATGCACATTAATGAAAACAACATGGAAACAAAAAGAACAACAAATAAAAAGAGTATCCTAATTCTTTGAATTGTAGTGTTTGTTTGAATCTAACATGATCACGGTGGCCTTGAAACAGGGCAAACAAGGACACAGCTAGATTGTATAACCAACTTTTATACTGTTTTTTTTTTAAGTACTATTTACAGATTATAACAGTTTATATGATAACAACCACACAGTACTATCTACAATGTTATTTACATAGAAAATAAGACAAGAGAGAGGGGTTGTCATGAGTTGATCCCGTATGAATGATCTGTACAGGAGCCAGCACTAATGCCAGTTATACCTACACACAGCAATATACAGTACTTAATCAAAAATGAATGTCTTTATCTAAGTATTCAGTAAATCTTTAAACTTTTTTTTCTCTTTTGAAACACATGTTGAGCTTGTATTTCGACTATCCTGGATCGCAATTATAGTGGTTGTAAAAGCCAAAGCAGGTGTTCTCTCCACCTCAGGCTATGGAGCATAGTATGCATACTTTACGGAGTCTGGTACCTTTTCATCACATAAAAGACACATGCCCTGCGGATGACAGACACCAGATCTGTGTCAATATTAGCTATCAGTAAATCTTTGCAGGTTTTTCTACAATCCACTGCCTGACATAGTTAGGCTAGGTACATAGAATGATTGAAGCACAATAGTAGCCATAAATCTTTATAAAATCTTAAATGTTTGTGCCTTACCTGGTATCTGATAGCCAAATGTGCCGTTTTTTTTTTCTTTGTACGAGTGTCTGTGCATTTCAGATAAGAGTGACAGTAATATTGATTTTCCTACCCTGCTACAGGAAATAAACCTTAACAACTGTAGTGCTAACTCTAATCCAAGACTGCGAAAGGCACAAATATTTGCAAAGCAATAATATCTGAAGTGACAACATTCCTATTTAAAATCATACAGTGAGTCTTTTTCAGCGTGTTGAATACAAGAGACTGTTCACTGAAACAAAAAAAAAGAGAAAGAGAGAGAGAGCTTTTCAAGTCAAGAACAAAAAGATGAAATGCTGATTTCTTGTGGTGAGCACTCCACAGCAGAAGGCCGCTTCATTATGCTGGTCCTACAGTCAAAAACAAGCTGCTACAGTCTACTCACCATCACAAAAGGGTTTGGGGGTCGAATAACTTTCAATTTCGAAAGTGAACCTGCTTTTTGTTGACTAATAACAAACATTCATGATTTGTCGACAGATTGAACATGAAAACTGCTAGTGACATGTGATCTGGGCTGAAATACACTTTAGTGAACACAAAACCTGAACTCGGCACAAAGGAGAGAGTCTACAGTACATGTGGTACACACAGCACCTCTGAATGTGACGCTGAAACTATAATCCATGTTACGCAGCACCGCGGTGAGTGTTAATGTCTTTTCCAAAGGAGTCCAGGTGAATTTACTGTGGCACAAACAGCACACAGCGTGGAGACATGTAAACAGATGCAACACAAGTGGCTGCCTAAAAGTGTAATAATGCGTGTGACAGCTGTTGAAGATTACCTCTAGTTGTATAAAGGATTTCATTTACTTTGTCATGTGTACTAGTAGTGTTTTTAAGCAAAAAGGTTTAGCCCTCAGACGCAGTAAACAAATGGCTTTTCTCTGTTGCCCTCCACTTTTCACACGTCCAGGACAACAACCTGACTCATGGTGACCGAGAGCGGCAAACTGATTCATGAGCACAAACACATGAGCACTGTGCAAATAAGTATACAACGACAACAACAAAAAGATACAGTAAGTGGTGATAAAAAATAAAGAACAGTGCAAAGTATATAAACAAATGAATACACAAATAAAAAAAAAGAGAAAGAAAATGGAATTCCACTCTGCATCAGTCTGTTATCAAAGTTTGAGAATCAGTGTTTTCTTTCTACAATCCCCGAGCAAGAGAGAGACGGAAAGAGAGGCTAAAAATGTTTCTGAGGATGAGCAGGGAGGAGAAGAGGGAGAAATAAAACCTCCTCTCTCCCTTACAGTCTGGTGCTGGGGTGTACCGAGGAGAGCTGAGGTGGAGGGAGGGTGGAGAGGGGGTACAAGTGGTGCAGCAGGTCCCCGTACAGTGCCGCCCCACCAGGGTGCCTGTAGAAGTGATGAGGGGAGGGGCTGGAGGCCAGCAGCTGCCTGTGCAGCATCATGGAGTGGAAAGCTAACGGGGGCACAAGAGGGGACACTGCCGACTGGCTCTTCAGGTACTGCAGACCCGGGTGCTGCTGGAGCCCGTCCTGTGCTCCAGGTGAAACCAGGCTGGGGTACATGCCGGGGTAAAAAGGTGCAGCATGGTGTGGGGGATATGTGGTCGCAGGGTGGCCTTCAGGGAGATGGTTGTTGAGGTGAACACCGTGGGATGGTTCGGCTGGTTTAAGCTCCTCCGGGTCACTGCGCCGGATCGCACCTGCGGGGTGGATCGGCGTCACCACACGGACTTTCCTCTCTGGGACTTCCTCCCCCTCAGGTTCAGCAAGATTCCGCTTACTGGGCCGGATGGGACTGGTGAGCGTCGAATCGCTTGAAGCTTTAGGGCTGGGGTATGGCTGCGATGATGACTCTGCTGGGCTCTGTTTCACCGGAGAGATGGTCATCGGAGTGACCCTGCAGGCTTTGGGGTGGGAATCCATATTCTGGTGCATGATGGAATAGGGGAGACTGCAGAAGGAGGGCTTGGAGAAAGAGGAGGACACTCTCTGAGAAAGAGGTTTGGTGATTGTAAAGTCTCTGGGTTCGTCTTCTGCCTCTCTCCTCTCACTGTGTGTTTGAGTCCGCTCAGTGTAGTGAGACCTGAAGGCCAGGCCCTCTTGCTCCAGCCCGCCACAGACGAAGCCCTGGCCGCCCTCACGTTCCCGGGTGTAAGGCTCCCTTCGCTCTCCATTGGTGAAGCCTGCGATCCTCTCCTGACTCAAGCAGCTCTCAGTTTGCCGGTACAGACTATGGAGGTGAGGAGAGGAATAGCAGTCACCTGCGAAGCTACGGGACTGAGCTGATGGACCCTGAAGTAGCGTCTCGCCGTTACTTTCCACACTATCCTGGGCGTGGGTGTGGGGCAGATATGGCTGCCACGGGAGACTGACTTGTGGCTGGAGGTGGTGGCTTGTCCGGTAAGTCTCTGAATGTTCAACGGCGGTGCTCCTCTCTGATTGGCCACTGATGGCTTGATGGTGGGACTTGCTGCTCTGGGCATGCTGGATGACTGATGGTCTGAATATGGGCGCAACCTCGGAGATGTTGCCTCCCACCTCATCCTCGCCCTTCCTCTTTTCTTTCTCCCTTTCAGATACATCAGAGAGCGAGGAAACAGCTGTGGGAGTTGGGTGCTGAAGAGAAGGAGACGTAAAGGAGTAAGGGTTGGACTCGCACACCTGGGAGAGGAGCTTCTTTTTGGCTAAAGGCGACATGACGCCCTGACTGGTTTTGCAGTAGGCCGCCGACTCCTTCTTTACCACCCCATAGTCTTCTTTCTCTGGGAAGGAGTCTACGCTCAAGTCTATACACTGTATCTCGGTCTGCTTACACATGGGTAACACCTTCCCCACTCTCCCACCATGGCTTTCTAAAGAGTCTTTGACCCTTGAGGAGGTCTCGGGCAGAGCGACAAGTCCAGGAGGTTTACTCTGATCCCAGCGTTGGGGCAAGTAGGGGTGTTTAGGAATGAAATGCCTTTCAGTCTGCTGTTCACAGGCGAGTTTTGCTTGCAGGGCCTCGCTCACTTGCATCCATTCAGTCTGAGGACCGGTCCCCACATGGAGGAGGGGTAGACCTGCATGTGTGCCCCTGCAGTCTGGCTCTTTAGGGCGGCGTGAGGATGGCTGCTCCACTGCCAAGGACTCCTCTTTCTTTAGGGTGAGATGTAACTCCTCCTCCTCTATTATGATTGGTTCATCGCTCAGGGATACTTCCTTTTTGATGGCTGAGGACAGCTCCTGGTTCTCTGCTTTCCCCTTGGAGTCCTACAAGGAGAAAAATGAGAGTTGTATAACAAAAAAGAGGCTCATATTTTTACTTCTGGGCTTTTTCTTAAAGAAGAGAAAAAGCATTCTTGAAAGGTGGATTGAAATTGAATTAAACTTAAAGTAAAGGGGGGGATTGTGATGAGGCAGCACTTGTGAGAGCGCTGAGACTGACCTGTGATTGTTCTTGGCCATTTGCCGTTTCCCCTCTGTCCTTTTTACTCTCCAGCTTGGGATTGCCAGCGCTTTTCAGTTTCTTGGCCCCCACTCCTTTGACTTTGGCTCCTGACACCTTCTCCTGGCCACCTTCCTGCTTCCTGGGTTTGGATAAGGGGAGGGGCTTGTCGACTTCACCTTTAATGTGCCTCTCATACGGGAGGAGGAGCCTATGGAAAAGAAAGCAGATGACTTTATTATATCATGACAAACTTAAAAGGCATGATTTTAAGCAAACATTTCAAGATGGAAAATAACAAGGGGGAGGTGAAGCACTTTCTAAACATACAACTTCACTTTTTGTGTCCAAACAAAGGAGGAAAAAAGTTGTATGTTAAACAACTAAAGTGCAGTTGAGCTGGAACAAAGAAACACAATGAGTTGCACTGTACTGCAACGGCTTGCAAAGAATTAACTTCCTATTTTAATACCTGGCAAACATTAAGAATCCCAGTGAAATTAATCTAAGTTAGGGAAAATCCAGGTTCAGATGTGTGCCAGAGTAAGTGTGTGTATGTGAGTGTGTGTGTGAGAATGTGCATAACCAGTAATCTCCTGCTGAGACAGATCACATTTGGTATTAGTTAAGCCATGAGAAAGACGAATGTGTATGTGTGTGTGTGTGTGTGGAGCTAAAGTGGTCTGAGTGCAAATGAGAAGAATGTTTAAGAGAGGTGAAATTAAAGCGTTAAAGGAACGTAACAGTGTATGATATCTGCATTAATATACTAACATGACTGATCACAGAAGCTAAATGGTACCAGTTTGCTTCAGTTTTAAAAAAATGCCCGTTCAACATGATAAATGCTGTTAGACATGATTAAGTGCAGACAAGCCGCACATACTCAAACTCAATAAAGTCCACGCAAAGTGATAAAAAACATGCTTCAGAGGAAAAAAAGACAAACTATTTTTGACTTCTGTTATTTCTCTTCGAAAAACTTCCCAGGTTGTTTTTTCCGTATCTGATGTCATAACTAATGGGAACATTAAGATCTGAATAACACAAAAATACCCATGTGTAAAATAATGACATGAAGAGACCAGCGAGGGAAACTTTTAGACTTTTATTGCCTAGAAAAAAAGAAAATGGAAATTGGCACTTAACCAGAAATAAGGAACGTTGTTGGAGAGGAAACCAGGACAACTGAAAAACTACAACACTTCAGTCTTCAATGAGCTCCTCTGAAAATCTTGCCAGCTCCTCTGTCAGGGTTTTATTTTTTTACAATAACAATCCATAAAAGCTAGACAGAAACATGACTTTCTCAGTCATGTGAAAAAAATAAGGTCTTCTCGTGTAACGACAAGAGATGGTTGCAGTCTTCCTTTTAAGGGACATGGCGGTAAAACAAACAATGAATCAAGAGCTGTTTCGCCTCCTCTTCAAAAGGAAGAAAAAAAGCCTCGGAGAGTTCAAGAGGCTCTGTGGGATTTTTTGTTATTTTTCCTCTGAACAAAAGTGCTGGCAGGGAAAGCGGTGAAACTACATTTCATACAGCTGGTCTGGCACCAGGCCCCAGGCCAAGAAAGGAAATGTACTATTAAATGTGACTTATTGGAAAGAGGGAGAGCAAAGGGATTGTGAAAGAGAAAAGGGGAGGGAGGAAAAAGAAACAGAGGGAGTGAAAGAGGGGATAATGACATGTTAATGAAGAGGAAAAATGATTCTCAATGAAGAATCCTTGAAAACCAAGATAAAAAATAAGCAGCCTTTTTAACTTTAAATAGCAGCAGCAGCAGCAGAGTTATTTATTGCAAATAGAGAAGTGGTTCTCAGGCTTCTATAATTAGCTATTATTTTATGCATACCAAAAGCAGGTTTTTGAGATGTTCCTCTATTGTAACTGTGGATTTCTTCAGCCTGATAAATGTGTATTCAACATGTGCAGCCATGCTATTAGTGATCAAAGGGCGAGAAAAGTGGCATATACATACAGCATATAGCAGAGTGCACTGTTGACTATCACAATGATCTGTGGGAAAGAGACGGCAGCCTTGGCCTGGGTCAGCTTTATGGAATGTCAATATGGAGTGGAGGGTGGAGGGGGTGTCACAGGCCCCGCATAATGTAAGAGCTGAGCCCGGGAAATTACTGAAGCCTTAAATAGTTCCAAATGGAGAGACTGGGATGCTTTGTGGGTGACGGAAAATCAAAAAGTTTGTCCCAGGAAGCTCCACAAATTGCTGGAATTACTCGCTTTGTTTTACTTAAAACAAGTAGAGTGATATTTAAAAAAGAAATATTTGTCCCTTTTTTCTATCAGCGGGATCTTCAAGAAATCATGTATGGAAAAAAGCTGAATGAGGTTCAGACTATAGAATAATCACTTATTGTTTCCATTTTTCACTCTATGTTGTATAAAAAAAACTGTGAAGTCCTCAGTGTGAAACACAAGAGAAATATCAAGCAGTACAAATATATATATCACCTAGTCATGCTCATGTAATATAAAACTTATAATACAATACCACTTATATAAGTAGCAATTTCCTTCAAGGAAAGGGAATGGTTGATCTTGGCAGCCTCTGTAGTAGTTGAGAAGGAGCCAGGTGTTGTTATTAATTTATGCCACTAGGGGGCATGTGTGGCACTGAGAGATTCCAGGAAAGAATTTCATTAAGGCGGGAGAAGAGGCAACATTTTTATGAGGTCAATAAATACTTAACTTCCTCTCATGCCAATTTATCAGCCGGCTTTTGTTTAACCAGCCGTTTTCCATGTTGATAACAAGCAACTAAAATATGCAAAGAGGAGATTAGATGTTGAATAGGCACAGGCAGACAAAAGCTTGTGTTATTAAGATGGGAAACATAATTCTATACACATGTAATGCTTTATGACTTGTCTATCTTCAGTAAGATCAATACAAGCATAAAACCTCTACATCAAACCACAACTGTCTACTAAGCATGTCTGTGCCTTTGAAATAATGGATTGCACACAAAGCACCTCCTCCTAAAAAACACAACTTGGCAAAAACAAGGTGACTTTACCAGCAATGTGCTGCTCTCATCTGAGTTTTGTGTTACAGGAACAAGCAGCGTGCTAGAATCCAAGAAATGCCTAAGTCACCAAATAAGTGGAAAAAGCCTGCAGGCTGTTCCATTTCAACAGTTTCCCTCCCATCCGTGCAGAAATTAATTTAAACTGGTGTTGTGTTAAGATCACAAGAGTCTCTTCGTGCGTTAAAAAAAGGGGGAAAAAACTATTTAAAGAGCTGGTGGACAAGCCCTGGGGGCCGTAGACACATTCAGAGGAAAGAAAAATGACTTACTTTTACAAGCCTGTGAGGGGAAGAATATAAAATTAGAAAGATAAAATCAAATCTTTGTCAAATCTAAATGCGATGATTAAGCATCATCGCAGCCATGATGAGAAAAACAATAGCTGCTGCAGAGAAAAAGGGAGACAAGATGCCAGCAGACAGATAAACAGACATTGTAGCTGCTCCCTCTGCTTTGGATTCATGCCTCAAAGCCTCTCTTTTGTCTGGAAGCCAAACCACTTGAGGTGACCCTCATTCATGCAGTTAAAACAGGAGGGCAGCACAGGAATGTATGAAAAACTTAAGTCCTTTGTCAAGTCTGAAAATACCAGATTTAAAATGACCTCTACTGTTCCCCCTGGGTTTGCTCTCATTAGCCGCTGCGGCTGCAGCTCGCAGTAAATGTTCACTATATAGCAGGTGTGAGCCAAGAGAGCTAACTGTTTAAAATAAATGTGCAGTATTCTGTTAGAAGAAACGCTCAAGTATTCAAAGCCATAAATATGAAGCATATGTTCCCTCCTGCTGCCCTGCAGTGGAGTGAAATCTCCACAAGAATGTCATTAATTGAATTTGCAACACTGAACTAGTTATTAATCTCAGCAGACTTGAATGGATTCTCACACACTCAACTGGCTGTCACATGTCAGTGCTGCAATTTGTGATTTCACACCGCCACCGGGGGGAGAGGAACCTTGGACCTCAGATTTAATCCACTCATAAAGAAAAAACCCAATATTGTGATTGTAAGATGGCAGCAGAAAAAGAGGTTTTATCACTGAAAGCTCATTGAGGCATTTTGTCTCAGGGAAACCATCTCGCTCTCAGAGGTTAAAATAGCTGCCTGCTATTTTAGTGTAAAGTACAAGCAGCTCTTTGGCTGCTTTCCCACTCAAGCTGAAGTCCAGATTGAGTACAAGAGTCGTGGATATAAAGAGTTTGGCCGTGCTTTTGATGGGGACGACATGTTGAGACATTGTTCATAGTGCCTTTAAAGAATGCTGACAGACACCATGTTCTCTGCTGCTTTTCTTGGCTTGTTTATTCCCGACATTGAACGATTTATGCTTTTTAAAACCTGCCATCGTGATTGTAATTTCTCTCTCCACACATCTCTCTGGTTTTGAAATAAATGAAAGGCAGGGAAGACATGAAGGTGATATTTCTCCCAGCACCACTTATTGTAATCCAGCAATAGTTTTAGATCTGGACTAAAGTGAATGAAATCTGTGTTTTAGTTCCAGTATTAGACAAGGCGAGCTAAAATGCAATGCACCACATTTGATGTTCCTGCAATACATCAAGGACAACGCAGAGAGAGATGCTGACGAGAGCTGGATACAGAGGATCTGAAAGAATACATTTTTTAAAAAAACAATCTCTGCTCCACTGTCTCTTATGAAACCAAAACTCTCCTCTCCTATTTCTTCGAGTAAGGACTGGCTCAAGGATTCCTAATAATAATGAGCAACAAATGTATTTTTATATCTGGAGAGCAGCTTTAGTGAATGCGGAGGAACATCGATTCCAGGAGGAATGAATAAAGGCTGAATCAATAAAACATCTAGTCGACTAAAATTGGAACAGGCGCGCATCTGTCTTAAAAGAAACACATATCTGCATGATCTGAGCCGGGGAATATTTCACAGGCCTCAGACTCTCTGTGCAGTGCATCTGGCAAACATCTCCTACTTTTAAGAAGAAATGATCTCAACCACAAAAATAAATCTTCATCTGTGTTGTCTGATTTCACCCAAAACGCTCAGAGTTTTTTAAATAGCAAATTATTCTAAATAGCTTCTCTGTTGCCATGGATATAGCCCCCCCTCCTCCCTTACCCCCCTATAGCCCCCCTCCTGTACCAATGCCAACCCCGTTGTGCAATTACATTAGAGTGCCAAAGCATGGGGAGGTATTAAAAACCGGTAACAGACAGAAATGAACAGAGATAGTGAAATGTGATGTTTCTGTAACAAGGGATCACGTAGGAAAGCAGGAAGATTAAATATGTAGGAGCTGTTAAAAGGCGCTGACCTGTATAATGAAAGAAACAGCATGAAGTGCAAGGAAGGAAGGGAGGGAGGGAGGGAGGGGAGAGAAAGAGGGAGGGAGGGGATGGGGGGGGGGTGCATAGAGAAAATGGCACAGCATAGAAGCAAAAGGCAGTCTATTTCAAGGTTATTGATGCCATCTTTTTCATGACCTCATTTTTAATTCAGAGCGCCGGGCTCTGACAGCTAATCTCGGGAAACGGTTTAAATAAATATCATTAAAGCTTCCCCGTAGCTGCATCAGTGAGACACAGACCTTGGCTTGGACGTCTTCTACATTGATTTCGATCCCCCCAAGTGAACTAATGAACGCCGCTCTGCAACTTAACAATCAGTAACTTTGAAAATGACAATTAGTCGAGGTTATCTCCTGTTTAATCCCAGCTATGTTACTCTGTTACTAGCAGTGATTACTACCTGCTCTTGGACGGCATAAATACAGTGATTAGCTCACGGCTCCATCTTTCACAATAACATCTCCTTGGAAACCATTTCACATGATTTGGCCATTGGGGCTATAAAAGGATAATGTGTATAATTTGAAATGAGGGCTGAATTCTTGTGGATATTCGCCGACTTTAATGCAAATAACACAAGGACAGCCACTAATATCAACTTAATTTACAGCAATTACACCCTGAAATATTATTTCCTTCCTCCCTGCTAGCTTGAGACTTTTTTATATCCTGCTCTCCTCCACTGAGACAAATCAGAAGTGATCCTTCTGAGACAGAAGAGGAAAACATAAGTGCTGTTCCAGTTTGTACGCTGTACATTCTTCCCCGTGAATTATATTTCTGTAGCACATTGACTAATGATTAAAGGTGGAAACAAAGACGCCTCTAGGGAACAAACACACACTTCAGCGAGCCCACAAACAGCCTCATTCATCATGCGGAGAGAATGGCCGTGTTTGCTGAGTTAATACAATGAAGCTAATTGCCCTCCAAGCAGCCCAAACACCAAGGCTCAGCTAAAATTATTCCCCTGAATGGAAACTTGCTTCAGCTGATCTCTCTCTCTCTCTCTTATTTTCTTGCTCTCTCACCCCCACCTTGTCCCCCCCTCCAGATTTACACCTTCCCTCCCTGTCAGCCTGATATTCACTGCAGTGTGTGGATATTATTGCCTTGTATTGATTCAGCATTATTTTCTCTCAGCTGCTTCTCGGTGGCTGGAGAGGGAAAGGCCAGCGCAGCAGTGGTCACACCTCAGAGCTTCCCACACGCTTCCTTCGTCCTGCCTCCCTCCCATCATATTTACGCCTTCAAAACCCATGAACACTGTAGCGTTTTCACGACTGGCTTCAAAGAAATCCCAAGCAGAGACAAACTGATTTCAAGGACGGATAAAAAACTAACAGAACAAGGATCAAAGACACATTCTGTCTTTTGCAATGAAATGATATTTGGTTGGCATCATCTCTGACGCTGAGTGTTGAAAGTCAAATCTATTATTAGTCTAACTACGGGACTCAGCCTTTAAAACATAACCCTGTTACAAGCATTTGTTTAACCTTGGATAAGTAGGCGTGTGTGTGTGTTTCAGGGAGAACAACAATGTAAACACTGAGAGGAACTCGCAACTGCACATTTAAAGGCACATTATTCAACTTCTGTCCAAATACAGAAAACACACCGAAAATGCTCTTACACCCGAAACAGGAATGTTGATTTGCCAAAAGTGGGGTAAATGTGGGAAAACTGGGACAAGGAATTAAAGAAATGTCTGAAATTTAAATTTGTTTCCCCGATTGTTCGGCACAAAATACCAAAGGGAAGAATTTCAAGTTGTTTGATTAAAAATTCAACAAAAGTCTGAAGGTAGCAGGATTATGATCATTGTTAGCAGAGCTAGCACCACCAGCCTTTGGTCCTCCTTACAGGCTAACAATCGTATGTATTTGTTGGTTACACATTTCTCAAGCGGAGCAGCTATACACCAGTTTTCGCAGACCCAGACCAGTTTTGTACGAGTCCTCTAAGCTTCCCATGATACATGTTCTTCTTTAACAAACAATACTTGTGTGCACTTATCTGTTCTGAGTTGTAATACTTAATTATTCATTGTTTAAGGGATTAAACCCACAATTTATACTCTGGCTTTTGAACTCAACAGCTGTACAATTCTACGGTAGCATACAGTGAGTCATTTAGTCTAGAAGACGTCAACAACTGAAGGCTCCTGATTGAAATATGGGAGGCACTAATAAAAAAGATAAGCTGAGTGCAACTAAAATTATGATTATGACTTTATTTTTAAAACCATGAACCAAATCGAAACTATGAATGTGAACAAGTTAAACAGCCTAACTCTATCCTCTTTTCTGGATCAAATACTCCCGTCTCTAATCTTTCATCTGCGCTCATTTACATCTGAGTCATAGAGCATTATTGCAAGTGGAGCTACAGTCTTGGCTAAAGGCAGGTTAGACATTACACATGACTAACATTTCATGCCTCCACTGATAAAAATACCAATGAGTTGTTTAACAGTCTGGTGATTCTGGTGCTGTCTGGCAAGGCTGATGATGATTAGCTATCATCTAACTTAATCTAGTTAATAAAGGATTGCCTGGCTAACTATGTGATGTAAAAGGGAAGGTATAACAAGCTCAAGTTTCAGCCTACAATTTCCCTTTTTATTGATCCCTCAATTTATTTAATGTACAATTTTAACTATACCTCAACTTAGAAGTCTTAATCATATAGAAATCTATATTTTTCTACATTTTTCTACAGTAATAAAAGCCACAGCACCAAATCTGTTTCACAAGTAACTAGCACAAATGTTTTCCTCTTCTTTTGTTGTTTTGTGGCTTTTAGCAAATAGCCTTCAGATGTGCTACAGCCATCATCTGGTGGGTGTACTGAATTACAGCTAGACACTTGTACAAAAACAAGAAAGTATAGTTTCTCAAGATAAAATAATAATCACATGAGAAATTTAAATGTGTGTTACTTATTTTCTCCTACTATTACTACCACTGATGCTTTGATTCACCAACTGTCCTAGAGAAGCTTTTATGTAACCACAAGTGGCTCATTTTTCAGATTCGCCTACTTCATCCAATTCTCCTTTTTCAACAACTATTTCGATTATTTGTTGAGCTTTTAGACTTTATTGATAGGAAAGGCTGAGAGAAACAAGACATGTACAGAGAGAGGGAGAGGAGGAATGATATGCACCAGATCACACTGAGATCTGGAATCAGACCTTCAACCACTAGGCCAAAGGTCATACAGTTATGAAACAGAATAAACTCCCAACTCTCTTATCTTACACTACTGGCATATTTCTGGGTAACTGACAGGTGTGATCGTGTATATGTGTGTGTGAACAGCTGGAGGGATGTGGAGGGGGTCTTGTGCCTCATGAGCGACTGGTTATCTCTCTTTGGGAGGATCATTTTTGGTGTTTGTTTAACCTTGGGAAAAGGGTGTGTGTGTTTGTGTGTCCGCACTTGATCCTCAAACCTCCCTCAAAATCTATCTGGTTATGCTCACTTTAGTTTGGTAATATCATCCAGGTGATTTTAATGTGTATGTTTCAAGAATGCAGAATCTGTCTGCTTCAAAATGTGGAAAAATACAGGAAAAAACCTGTTTGTGTGTAATGTTGCAACCTGTTGTGCCTTAATCATATGTAAAGTTGAAAGAGTTGTTCCTGTATATACATGTATATTGCGTATGTATTGTTCATGTATCCTTGCAGGTCTGTCAATAATTCAAAACTTGTCAGTTTTTTTGAACTTTGAAATCGTCTTAAGCTGGTAAAGCAGCATGAGTGGATTTCACTGTGTAATCGGTTCCATAGTGCACATAAGTACTCAATTAATCCTGAGAAAACAACAGAATCTCATCTGATCATGATAGATTTAGACCCATAAATACTATTAGCACTGAGTGGTATTACAGAGTGAAACAGTGAGGAGTGATTTACAAAGAACTACACTGTCACAAAGGCCCTATTCCTTATGTACACGTAATTGCATTGACATCCTCTGAATGAGATCAATATTTGTCCTGTAGTGTCCTAGCGTTATGAATAAAGCATTGTGCAATCCTATTTGATGCAGCTGTGTGTGAGGGGGAGAAGGGAAGGGAAGAGGGGGGGGCACTCTGGGCGATGCAAACTATTCCATGTGTGCATGCATGGCAATAATGTGTCATATGTAACTGCCATATATAATAACTCACCTCTCATAGTGTCTGCGTGTACATGTGGCCGCGCTCGTGCTGCTGGGGTTCCCGCCCAATTCATCATACACATGCTTCCACTGTCTGCGAACTGTGATCTAAGAGGAGACAAAAGAGGAGTAAGACAAAGAGGAAGAGACAAAGAGGAAAAGTCACAGAGGACAATGAGATGAATGTTGAAGTTGGGGGGAAAATTAAAAAAACATGAGGGGAAGAAAGAATATGAAAAAGAAAAACATAAGGGGTTGACATCATTTTGAGGTCTTGGGGAGTTACTGAGTCATGATGTTCCAGTTATTGAATCCTACAACACTCAATTCTCTAACATAATAAGCTCTGTTAACATCATCGTTGTTCCTGCTATAACCCCTTATCCCATAACAGATGACAGGCTACGACACAAAACTGCCGGGCTAACAAAGCCTAGGCATGAAATGTGAGATAATCAGCTGCAGATATGAGGCTTTTAAAAAGGGATATGAGCCCCGATTATATGAGCTGTATCCTGTTTATGGCCCGGTCTGGCTGTCTGTTTGGATGACATTATAGCGGCTAAGCTAATGAAGAAACAGGCGTGAGCAATACAATTTGACGACTCAACATCAAACATTGACTTCACGTTGGAAACACGTCGCACATGAACAGTGAATGAATAATCGTCAGGTAAGGCTGCCAAGTTCAATGCCTCATACTTCCTTTGGTTGTGTGTGTGCGTGCGTTCAGCGAGTATACGTGTGTGTTTCACTTCATCACCAACATGGGAAAAAATGAGCGATTTGACCAATTTCCGTCGAACCAGTGCAAAGCAGAGGAACATGTGTTTTCCACTCCAAGGGGGTTTTGAAACAACGGCATCATTTTTGCTAAATGTGGCTCTGAGTGAGACTTTCTTCTTGGGAAAATAGTGGCTGACCTCAAAGGGGCAAAAGGAGGGCAGGCGGAGAGAAAGAGAAGAAAGGCAGAAGGTAGGTAGATAGAGATGAAGGGATAATGGAGAAATAGAGGAGGAGAGGGGGATAGAGAAAGTGAGGGGGGGAAGACAGGGGAAAAGAGGGAGGGGCTTTCAGGAAAGAGTAGGAATATATTGCCACATATGTGAATACTTACCAACTCATATCCTCCCAGTTTCTGAGCAGCTTGAAACATGGTCCAAAGGTTGACTGTGGGAGACAGAAGACAAACAAGGCAGTCAGGAACTCTGGGAAAGGACTTGAGCTGAAACCCATAACGTCATATACAGTCATTACACCAGAGAGCAGGGGATAAATACTGTACTGGAGGAAGTATTTAGATCCTTTTGTTAAGTAATGGAGCTAATACCAAATGTGAAAACACTCCACTACCAGTTAAAGTCCTAGTCTTTGAGTCCAGAACCAAATCGTATTAAATAGCTTCTGGCCTGTGTACTGGTGCAACCAATGTACAAGTATGAACCATAGAATGTATATTCAATGTATATAGAATGGACTGCGCAATGTTGGTTTCAGGAAGTGGAGAAAAATCACAGAAATACAGAGAGCTTTTTGGCTTCAAATCCATATAGCGGCAGAAGGCAGAACCAAGTTGTCCACAGCATATACAGTCTATGGTATGAACTGTAGAGAGATTTATTCTACTGTAATACAGTATTTTACCCAGAAGGTGGCGCCTGAAGAAGCAAGTGACTGCTTCAATGTGCAAAGCAAGCTGGATAAATAGTTTGGCAGACCAGTCTAGCAGCCCCATTCAAGACGTTACCTCTTCATTAGGTCACAACCATGCATACAAAGAACAGGTTGGTTTACTGTTGAGTAAGTAAACTGTGAAACGCTGGTATGAATGAGTACACTCCTTAATCTATTTAACATCTATACAACGAGTTATAATAACTGTATGGAAACAAGAAAATATCTGTACAAAATTTACAGAACTGGTGTTGTACAGACAGACAAACAGACAGTAGACATATGATAGACAGATAAGCATACAGGCAGACAGAGGGACACTCAGACAGACAGACAGACAGACAGATCAATAGACAGAGATTGATTGATGAACATAACAGTGGTTGTCTTTTGGATCATTTCCAGCGAACACACTGATTATATATTCGCGGACTGGCACAATGAAAAATGCTTTTTATCATTTTCACACAAAGCGAAGCTGCTCTTGAGCTGAAAAGATGCAAATGAACATTGAATTGTTGTACAATCACCAGTGTGTGATAAAATACAGCATATGCTTCATCCTGACAAAAAGATTTGTTAACCCTCAGCTGCAGCCTGCAGGTATGAATGAAAACCATTATAGGCATCAAACACTTGGCAATATGCTCAAACTTCTGTTTGAACTAATGCAAATTCATTTGCATTGATTCCCCCATGCAAATAGCGCATGACAGGCCATATCAAAATACAAGTCTTGTGTAACATTTTCCTAAAAATAGCAGGGTGAGCTTTCAGAAAGCTTTCAAACGCTTGTCTGTCTTTGAATGAAAATATTTCCCACAAACAAAGAAGGAAAGGTTCATTGGGAGACTTTTTTATGCCAATGACATTTGTATTTGCTTTCTGTAACATCATTGTTTAACATTTTTATATGAAGGCCTATAAATAAGAAAAGGAGGCCTCGCCTGGGGAGAAATCCATCAAAATTCAATCTGTGCGTACACAAAGCCTTGCATTTGTCAAAATGACATTTTCCTATCTCCGCATTTGACAGCATTGATTTTTTCCTTCCCTCCTCTCTGCGACCGTTGTCAATGCACGGGTGGAATAACAAAGGGAGCTGGGTAGGTTTTTCTGTTTGAACTGAGCACTCTGGCGTATTGTGCTTTCTGACTGGAGAAACAGAAAGATGGTCTATTTAACTAGCTTGTTATGCATCGACTGTAATTACCACAATAGCACATGGGGACAGGGAGGGAACAGAACAGATAAAGGAAATGAGCGAACATGCCTTTTCTTAGATGTCTTGTCATTAGCAATTTCTTTTCTTAATTCCCCTCTATTTGGCAGGGGCAATTATCACTGAGATAAGGATGACAAAACAGGAACACAATGCAGCCTCAATGACACACCGATGGCACGGCAATTAGACAACTTGGCTGAAAGAGGGGGGACAAATTGGAACTGATGTTCACAATCACATGCTGATGCCCAAGCAGCAAAACACACACACACACACACACACACACACACACACACACACACACACACACACACACACACAGAGTAACTAGTTCATCTTGCACACCACGAGCCCAGAATATACAATGTAACCGCAACCACTCCTAGTTTATTCCTCCTGAATCCACTATCACTCATTTCTCTCACAGCTTTTACTGCACCAGTACAACTTGAATGGCAGAAGCTGTAGAGCAAGGTCAATATTAACAAAGTGATAAAAAAAATAGAAGGAAGGCAACTCGCTTGAATAAGCTGCAGCAGAAAAAAAAATGTTTTCTTCTCCTCCTCCTGCACTGTAACGGTCAACTATTTTCATTTCATTTCCTGTGATTCAGGTTCTCTTGTGTGTTCAGCCTCTGTGAATAGCTTTACTGAGGTGACTTAAAAGTCACGTTTTTCTTGAAAAACAGTTCGCTGAGGGCCATTAAATGAAGCAGTTTTTAAAGAAAATCTATTTGAAGAGGGAAATAAAAAGATAAGAGGATCAAAAGAAAATAACATGACAACAATTATATTATTGTATTATATCCTTTAAAAATGATAACTGTACAGGAAGTAATACACTGGATTCTCTGTACCCTCTATATTTTATGGTAGCCCTTCTTTGCCTTTTGTATCATATTTGATATGCACTTTAATGATACTTCTATCAATCAATATGATCAACAAATCACTAAAAAACACCTTAATACAGTTCAATAAATGATAAAAATGTCCTCTTGTGGTTTATCAGTTTCCAAAAACATCTAATGTATCAAACAAGATAAATAAATATAATTGTTTAATTTTAAGGACATTTAGACTTTTTTTGGTTTTCAGTAAAAAGTGAAATAAACATTTCAGCTCCCAAAAAAAATTAAAATTTCTGGCCATAATTTGTGGTTTCAGGCATTAAAGGGTTAATAGATAAAAATACAAACAAATAACTAGAGTGGTACTAGAAAAATAAAGAGTTCATGCTTAATTCATTGAGCACGATAACACAAGTTCACCTCTGGAAGTAGGCTACATATAATGCACCATTAATGATTCAGTGTAAATATATACCGCAACCACTACTGTGATGAGTGAAAGTGTAGCTGGGATTTTTAAGTGTGGACAAAACAGAGTTAAACTTTAAACTCAAAATACAGCCAGCTGGTTTAAGAGTAACACCAAGTGTGTACCTGAGCAATAACACCCTATGATTCCGTTTCAGCCTGCTAAATGCAGAGAGTTACGCTTTTCCTGTTATGTTGTAGGTTTTAGTAAACTGAATGCCTGATATTATTGGGGTTTAGAGGCGCCGTGGTCTCACATCAGCACCTCCACTCAAAGATGTTTAATGCACACAAACCCTGGGGTCAGATATAAATTCGACATGAGAGAGAGGGGCAGGAAAAAATGGGAAGCTGTGTTAGCTCGACAAAACTAATGTTACTGGGATTAAGATGGTGTTTTGAGCCATTGGAGGTAAATGCATAATGACTGAATTTTAGTGCCTTATGTGTCTCAGCTGGGTTGTAAAAAGCTGCATTTGCAGTCCTGTGAAAAAAACAGGTAAGAATCCACAGCAGGGAGATGAGGTTCAGCTTGGTCCAGGGATTCAGATGGGCTTTTTTTGTAGCCGAGCCAACAAAGCATGGGTAAGTCTGGTAAATCATTCAACCATCTGTTGCTTTGTTAAACTCCAGAGGACTCCATAAAAAGATTATTACTCAAACGCAACTAAAATAACATAATTTCAATTTCCATTGCGGGAAAGCAAGTCCTTTGATCTTTTAATGCATTTGTAGCAAGTTTAAAGGGAAGAGTATGAAAACGGTGCCTGATTACATCTAAGGGTTTGTTGTATTAATTATGATGTGTTTTTCCTTTTTTTCCCTCCTCTTTACATGTGCTGATGTGTGCTCGCTGCCAAGGACGAAGTTTAAACAGCATGATTTCACCATTTAATGAGGGCCTTGCTTATGATGTGTCTGGTTTTCAGATTCAAAGCATGTACTGTATGTAAAGCAGTTGGCGCGCGGACCTCGACTTTATTCTCAGCTCAAATCGAAAATGCCAGCTGAAAGTAAAAGCATGTTGGGTTTGTAATTTCTCTCTCTGTCTCTCTCTCTTTCTCTCTCTATCTCCCTCAACCACAATGACCTATTTAAGCAACAACATGTCGGCAGTCAAGATGACGGGATTGTCAAAATACCGCGGTGAGGTTAGCAGAAGGAGGCGACCACAGCTTACCTTCATGTAATAGTTTAGAGTAATGACTTTTTTACTGTGCTATAAACTGTCACTGTGAAATCCAGGAGACATCACTTTCTCTCCCACTCCTGCCTCTCATTAATTTGCTGATGTTGTCGTGCTGATGCGAATGGCTAAATCTTTTCTCGGCTCATTCGACATGAATGCAAATGTGATTTCCTTCCTGGAATAAAGACGAAGAAGAAAAAAAAAAAACAAAGAAAGATTCGAAAGCCACAGTTTGAGATGAGTACCCACGTTCCTACCTCCAGATCAAACACATAAAACAAACGCTCTGCTTCAGTTTCAGGAGACCAGAGTGTGTGCCCTTTATGATGTTTACGTGCATGTTTCTCCTCTTTGTACCATGCACACCTGGTGCAAGCTAAGCAACCGACCTATATTAGAAATCTTTCATCTCAGGGCAGACGTGTTTCCCATACATGTGATGTTCTTTTTTACTCAGTTAGAGGACGTTCTTGGCCTTCACAGGAAGCCCCTTTGACTAGTGTGAGAAGATATTCTCTGCTATAAAAGCCAGCCAAAATGTAGTGTGACAGTGAGCCTCCAGAGTCTCTTACTCACCACTAGATGGGATTTTTTTTTTCTCAGCATACACAATTATTCCTTTAGTTTATTATTGCCGCAGCTTGAATGTGTGCTTTTCACAGTTTAACAGTGGTGTAATTTAGTGATTTTTGGGCGCAGTGCCTGCAGCACTTGGCAGCTGTTTCCACTCTTTCCCTTAAGCTCTTATATTGTGGATAGTTAGGACAAAGTCTGCCCTTGACTTGACTGAAAAGCAGCTACTGGTTTCCTTGTGTGATCACACTGGGGGGGCACTATAGATAACATGTGGTTAGAGTAGCTGATTAAAATCCACATTGGGTTTTTCCCAGTGTGGATTTTAATGACTTACAGGGTGCAGTTTCACTCTAGTATCTCAAATCTAACTTGAAATCTAGACTTCTTATTTTTTTCCCTCCCCAAACACGAGACATTTTAGAGTTCTTCTAATTTGTTATGATATTTTTACTTTGCGGGGAAATTCAGAATAGATTAATGATATTCATCTGACTGATCACTTTCAAATGACTGTTAGTCAGATTTTATTACCCACCGTAAATCTACAAATAAAACAGAAATCATTCTCCAAAGCCACCAACTATTATTTGGCATACAGTCCACAACTAGGCACTCTACAGACGACATAAAATTCAACACCCCAGGTATCTCTGCAAACTTAATTCTCTCAGTTGTCTGTTCATTTCCTCCCTGAGAGTAGCATACATTCATCTTTCTATTTCTAGCAAGTCTCAGTTTCACTGTAACTGGGTCTTAAATCTGCCAAAATCACATCTTGATACACGTTTGTAACAGCAAGCTTTCGAGTCTTTGCTTATGTGAGAAGAGAAATCAGCTTTTTGAATCGGTTTATGAAAACACTCGCTTGTCTTTACTTAAAGATTTTACATTCTTGGAGCCAAATAAGTGTACCCCCACAAACTGAAATATACTACCATTGACTGTACTCCTTTGTTTAAACATTTCCTGTGAGGAAATATGAGAATAAGTTTTCCTACTCACTCTGTTTGAAGCCGAGGAAGGGGATCCTCTCTATGGGCGTGTCTCTGTCTTTCATGTACTTGTAGAGCTCTACCAAGAAAGCCTGCTCCTCTGCTCGGCTCTCCTCTGATGTTTCCTCCTCTTTCTTCTCATCCTTCTCGTTCCTCTCCTCCTTTTCCTTTTCCCTTTCCCTTTCCCTTTCCTTCCCTCGCTCCTTCTCTTCAGCTGAGGTTTTCCTGTTGAGGCTGTTGGCCCTGTGTTTGGCCGAGGGGGGTATTTTTCCGTTGGGTACCGATTTATAGCTGGGTTTGACCTGTGAAGACAAAGCCAGAAGAATAAGTGGATGTAGAAGCAGATGAAAATAAACCTTTATCAGTGTTTTCAAAAATGATGTGAGCCACTTTGGGTGAGATGGGTTCAAGCGCAAACAAATATCCTCACAGGCCGCAGAGGCAGCCCCTCATTGATTATCAATGAAGCAGCTCTTCTTGTCATCACAGATTAGGTGCAGATTAGTTTGACTCCAGCTACGAGAGAGAATTACTAATATTGATTCAACTGTCCAAGGTCATAGGAATAAGGGCTGTAGAAAGGCTTTACAGAAGGATATTTCCTTCACTTTAAATATTACAACCAATGCCAGACGAGGCTCGATAAAAAAGGATTACTGTAAAGTACAGAAATGCTGCATCGATTACTCAGTCTTTTTTTGGTGAAAAGAGCTGAGAATCATTAATCAAGCCGATTACTAACATCTGCAAACAGGATGTGATGATTTTACTTACCCTTGTGTAAATAAACTTTCAATTTCCACAATCAGCTCGCAGGATTTTGTTAGTATTTAATTTATTCTACTTCCATTTTCACAATACTGCCTCCTGTTCGTTGAGAACGCAACAGAAACAAGTGTAAACATTTTGTTCCACTGTGGGATCATGTTGCTCTTGTTTGAGTGGATATTACGTAGTTTGACGAAGAGGAAAGACAAACAAGAGCCCTGCTTTACGAGCAAGCTATCATGACTCATCTATAAAAGAAGAAATTAGTCAGATGGAAACAATTATGTTGTTTAACAGGAGGAAAGATTGGGTCTGAATAATCTGCAGATACATTCATTGTTTGAGTCATTGTTTGAGCTCCTGAAAGAAACTTCCAGTTTTCATTCTTAGTTTTGGCACCCTCTGTGGACCAAGTGGCCCCTTTGCTGATTTTGTTGCATACTTGAAATGTCTAGTGCCTTGTGATTACAGAAAACAGACAGAATCACAGAATTTGATGAATGGAAATGAGAAAAGTCATGAAATCTGCTTAAAAAAATCTAGCTATCTACTAAAAAGAGGGGTTTTCCAACCAATAGAAGTGATTTTCACCACATCTAGCCTGAAGGATTGGATAAAACTGTGTAGTCTCCACTATAATTTAGTTCTTCCTGTTGACCTGTCAGTGCGTATCCTGCTTTTGCCTTAAGCAGGTTTAAGTCTCCCCAACACACGTACAGCCAGCACAAAGTAGCAATCTTACACGTTCATCACAAGAGTAAAAAAGCATAGCGATCGGGGTACCAGTGTGCCAAATGAATGTAATTCAACGTTTCTGACAGAAGTTTTAAATCTAAAAGTTAAACTTACACAAAAATGTGTCGAGCAGCTGTCCTTGGCTAAACCCTCTTTTGTAGAGCGGGAGCAAACAGATGTAACAATTCGTGTCACCAGTTCAACTCCTATTAAAACAAGGCCTTCACTGTCGTATGCTTTACTGCACAGATTCTGTCCTCTGGTGAATGGTTGGAGAAACTAAAATGCCACGGCCTCGTTCTATGAGGACGGTGTGCTTACTGAAGAGCTGCTGCATGAAAGGAACTAAAATTCCCATTAACTGTACAAAACTCTAAATTTATCTGATACACATTTTAATGTACATGAGCTGTACTTCTTAAACTAGGAATCATTTTACTATTATTTCATTTATTTAATCTAATTACTAACCAATGCCTGTTTATGTTGTCTTCTTGGGTTTTTCCCTATTTTCAGATCTTGTAATTTCAGTCTAATTTATGTTCTTACCTTTGTAGTAGTTTTGCTATCAAGGCTGGAGGGGTCCTGTGCTGCCACTGCTGTTGACCCCTGTGTGGACCCAGCTGACCCTTGACCCTGAGCCTGACCCTGGGAGTCTCTCCTTTGAGAGATCGACAGCTTCTTCTTCCTGGGTCGCCCCTTCAGGTTAGGAGCTGAGGGAAAGAAGAGGGAAAAAAAGCAACAATGAAAAGACTGATTTAGTTGTAGCAGCATAATGTGATTAAACCAGCATGTTTTTCTTGCCAAGTGCAATGATTTTATCTTCAAACAATGTTATTACACAACAATTGAGAACAGGAATAAAAGACATGTGAAAATGTTTATGGCCAAAAATGCATTTCCTCTCCGGGAACACTGACTTTTTCAGCTGTGAAAAACGGAGGCTATGACGGGAACATTTACAATCAGGGAAAGGAATTTCACAGGCCTGCTAGCCTGTAGCTAATTATTTTAAAACTGGATTAGTGCAACATTGTGCTGAATGGGTTTTGGAGGCTGCCAAATTGTTCCAATGTGCTAGTAAACACCATCCTCAAGTTCCCTCTCAGCCGCACAGAGAAACTGTATTTAGATTCAGACAGATGTATTTTTTAGATTTCAGAAGAGGGCATTATAACAGCCCAGTCGAGTTATGAGTATAATACCGTAAATGACAGATGTGGGTTAACCTGAAAATCCACAAAAGAAAAAAAAACTTTTCAAAACTGTTTCTGCAGGGAGAATGATTTGATACTGGAGCTGCAATAATTCACAGCCTGTGTGTCGTTATGTTTCTGCTTGTTTCTCACAGCACTCATCTCATTTTCAGCCGCCAGAATTTCATCGAATTATATTATACTTAGATGTACCGATTGTCACGCCTCTACCTCTCTGTTTAGCCTGCTCATGTCTTAAAGCTGAACACTGTTAATTAAAAACACATGAACCTTCCTGATAGGAGCTCTTTGTTTGAAAGGCTGGCAGATATAATTGCTCAGTTCACATTACACACACAATAAAGTATTTAAGCCCTCCAAGTCCTTTGTACACCCACGTTTATGTCAACCCGCGACTGTAATGTAACTTCTTGGCAGAGAGCCTTGCCTCCACGCAGCAACACAAACAGAGATAAGCTCAAAGGAGAGAGAGGGAGAGAGAGATAGAGAGAGAAAGAGAAAGAGAGAGAGAGAGAGAGGCAGTAACTTCAAATAATCCAAGTTCAGTCACGTATTTCACAGCGTCAACATTCTTTCCCTCCATCTGCAATGACAATTAAATCACATCCAAGGTTGTTCTCTGCCAAAGGGCCTGTGTGATTATTTTTGTCGGATCAAATTCCCATCAAGAAAATGTAACAATAACACTGGAGCCGAATTTAAAAAAAAACGAGAGGCAGTCATTAAAAAGGGTAAAATGATCACGACTCAGCAACCTATCACTTCATGTTGTTATTTTCACAAACGCTGTGCCGTGGAGAAGTAGCGCAGGGGGAAAATTCCAAGGGCATTTGTTGTGCATTTGTCATCCCTTTGGCACTGAAACAAGTTTTCAACACTGTAATCTTTACTTAGAAAGCTCTGGGTGTGTTTCTTCTCTCTGATGTTTTCTCATTCTGCTGCTCACTCTGTCTCTTTTATCCTGCCAATTACTCATTAATGCAGAGAAATTACATAAACCCAGGGATTTATTTATGTAGTCGTGTTTATTTTTCATGAGGCAGACGCAAAGGCAGCACATGCCATCGCATTACAAGCCCAAGTATAAGCTATTGTATGAACTATAGAAGAAAATATCCTTTGATATCACAGGAATACTGCTGGAAGACACTTCTAAAAACATCATTGTGTGATTTGTGTCTGCAGCTTTGACTTGCAGGAGATTTATTTGTTAACTTGTGACATCTGTTTTAACAAAGGTTGTAGAGGTTTGAGTGAGGTCACACTCCCAGTGCGGGGCTGTTTTTAGTCCAATCACTAACCCCCCTGACACCCTACACCGACTTACATAACCTGCCTGTCTGTTTACATTTTTCATCAGGTCAAATACTGCTGCGTAAGAAAATGCTGCAATCACAGCAAAACGCTGCTGCATAACACACGGTGACACCACAGCGAGCGGGTTTACATTCATCGACGTATTGATGGAGGACAACCCGAAAATGTAGTCAAACAACTAAAAGTGGATGGCCGCTGTAAAAACTGAGGTCAAACGGTACATCAAGTATTTCTATAACCACACTCACACACACATACACATGAGCAGCCACACAAGGTTAAGCGCTGGCAATCTTTCCGTGCTGCAGAAGTCGTGCAGAACTGCTGATCTGCCTTCCTCATGGCAGAAGTTGCATAAGGGAGGAGTCATCAGCTTTAGAATAACACAAAGAAAAATCAAACATGGGCTGACTCTGTGCAGATTGATTTTCTCGATGGAAACATTTATGGACATTTAGAGTCTATAAAAAACAAAGCCGACATCACACTGTAATGATTTCACTGCGCCCTGAGGGATAGGATATTTTTACTGCTCTGTGGGCATTAAGTGTTTTTGTAAATGCGCAAGGAAAGAAAGAGCTCATTTAAGCGTACATAATACTACCCTTGAAATTAAGCGCTTTAGTCATTCACTAAAAATGGCAGCTGACAAAGCCTCCGAGTTCCTTTTTTTACTTCCCATCAAGTCACTTATTTGTCAGTCTGTGGCTTTCTGCTTATCTGGGCCGCTGACATGAGTTGGAGACGTGCCTTGAAGTGACCGGTGGACTCTTGCCTGGTCCTTTAGGAGCCCCAGAGGACATACACACACACACACACACACACACACACACACACACACACACACACACACACACACACACACACAGGCTCACAAAGACATACACTGCTCATGTAGTCAAACTAAATTGAAGTTTACAGCGTGCTGATAGGCGGTTGGCCATGCACAGACACAAAAATATATACATTTAGAGATAAAAACAGGTAAGGGGTTTTCCCTGGGTTGAGAATCCATCATGTCTTGTCACACCAGACATCTCTGAGTCATGAAAGTCAGGACAACTTCAGCACAGCCTGACAGCTTGCTCTCTGGATGCAGCCGAGCGCTCTCGGCTCTTAACGGCTTTACAACACACCTTAGTCCAATAATATCTTCTCCCTCAGATTCAATTAAATACTGCCCTAATACCTTTGTTTCATTGCCATTCAGTTGATGTCACTGATAATGAAAAAGTCATTAGAGAAAGCTCAGGAAGGGGTTGTGACGGTCCTATACATCAACAGAGTAGAGCCACAGGGAAGCCGACAAAATAGACTGATTGATTGATTGATTGAGAGGCTGCTGGGAATGCAGAAACGTATTAAGCTAACCGGAAAACACACACAAAAGTGTCTTAAATTCAAAACAAAATCCCTACATGTGTTTTACAGTCATCTCTATGAAAAATTCCCTCTGAAGTTGACAAACGATCGACCTGACAGTGCATACATGATTTTGTGTTTAATTTGAAAAAACTTTGTTGTCAGACATTAGCAGAAAATCCATCTTTTTATTTAGCCGTTTGAATTAACATCTTAAAGACTGCCTACGTGCAAATCCAAGCTCCGCCCCCGCAGCCCCGCTATGATGGCCAGACTCTGAGAAATAGAGAGGACAATCGCAGACCAAGCGAGTGCGCTAGCGGATTGCAATGCTAATTATGATATTAACTTAATCAAGTCCCTAAAGACATTAGTGTTTAAGAGCTGAATAGCTCCTATGTTACCTGCCACTTCTACTGCACAAGCAATGTTAGGCTACAAGCTAGCATGAGGACGAGTGTGCAGAGCAGCGCGGTCTCCGCCCACAACTCAGAGGCAAATTGCTAATGATCTACTGGAGCTCTGCAGAAGAAAAGCCCTCGAAAATGACACAGGTAACTTAATTTCGCTAAAAATTTCATCATCACAATTTAAAGACCACTGAGAACAATAAGTATTAAACAAAAAACTATCGGAGTAGGGAATTCATGTTTACTTAGGTTAAATCTGGCAATGATCTAAATTTTTACCTCTGCTAAGAAAACAAAAAACACAAATACAAAATAAAGTATTTCTGCTGAAACACTTAGTTTTGTCAGCCTCAGTTTATTGATATTTGTTGTCCAATATACCCACTGATAGCAAGCTAGCATGCAAAAGTTAGATGCTACACATGGTAAGTATTACACATGCTTAACATCAATGTTTATCATGTTATTATTAGTATGAAGACATGCTAACACTGGTATTTAGCTTAAGTGTTGTTATTTTTCAGTTAAAAACCATGAACACGCTATCTTTAAATTTTTATTTTCTAGAAGTATGAGGGCTGTAAATCCTTCTTTTCAGCTTCTCCTTTGCTCTCCTCCCTTCTTCCAATATCCCGCTCATTTAATCTTTTCCTTTTGTTTTTTTTTTAACCAAAAGTGTGGAGAGCACTGAGGTTTTCGAGCTGTGGAGGGATCAAAGTAGAATAATTCATACTTGGATCAACTGATTGGACTCAACAGACTTAGCTAACTAAATTAAAGAGGTTTTATCCCTGAGCAGACAAACTGTGACTTACTAACTCGTGAAGAATCTATCAATCTGCACTTTCATCAAACAAAACACCCACTCCAGTCTTCACTCAAACCCTTAATTCAACAGTTTAACTTCCACTTCCTCTCAGCGTAATGAGGTCCAAGTTCAAACAAAGAGGTGAAGGAGGAGGAGGAGGAGGAAGAGGGTGAGTGAGGCATGACTGGAACAAGCTGAGGCTCGGTGAAAAACATGTTTTGACATAGTTTGTTGTCTCACTTGATTGCAAATTCACTAAAAGACCTGACACCCACTCTGCAATTATCAGAGTTCACAGCCAGAGGTAATATTCATGTTGCAATACAAAGCTGTGCTTGTACAGTACACAATGTCCTCCAGAGAACAACAGAGTACAATTTATAACAGCTAAATTATGCAATCATGAATCACTTTTTATTAAAACATACTTCTCACCAAGATTAAGGATGTATGTGTGAGAGAGCCAAGCCAAAAGGCCATCGTAATAAGATGTAAAATTAAATGCTGCAACACAAACTTTAACTTCAGAGAAAGTCAACAGGAACCATTTAAAACAATTCAGTAGCAGACAGACACTGAGGAGTAGTTTCTTTATTCTAATCGATGTGAATTCTCCCCGAGATCCACTCAGTCAATTTGAAGTCATTCCTTAATGAGTTACACGATAAAAGGGCAGAGCGGTTAAAGGATTTTTAACCAAACACGGAGAAAAACAGCCCGCGAGCACCGGACACAAAGACCGCCGCTTCAGGAGAGATAAATATCCACACAGGTGAGAATCAAAACGAAACTCTACCTGTGAACACGCCCACACACAGACAAAGGGGGTCGTTGAGGTCGGGCATACAGAGTTACAGCGGTACGTTGGAAATTTACAACCACTCATAAAGCATATGGCACCATGACAGACATTATTCAAGCAGTGAAAGCACGGGGCAGATGCTTTTATGTAGACAAAAACAGAAAAAAGATATCGATAATAAAGCAGTTCTGCAACTGAAAAAAGGAACTCCCTAGATGGAAAAGAGAGAACAGATTTTTGTTACTCAAATAAGGACGAATTCAACTAAAATTGAAACTGAATATAAATAACGACTGCATTTGTGAGTAAAACATAACCAACACACTGAATAAAACCTGACAAGTAATATACTGTGATGCAACTCATGAGAGACAAACTTTAATCCTGTGAGCAGCAGAGTCTTAAACGTACGATCACTGAGGTGATATTACACTTTGGTGGAACATTTTAACTCCACTGGAGGCACAGGGATGTGACAAGGGAGGCTACAGAGCAGCAAGGCAGCAGCCACACCACAGAGAATACAAAAAAAAGGCAGCAGTGACTGATGTCTCCGCCGGTGGTGACAGGCGACGGCGTGTCTTCACTATACATCAGAGAGCCCAGGGGTCAGTGAGATTTGAAGCATTCCTGCTCAAGGACTGCTCGTTTCTGACCACAGCCTCAAGAAGTTTCTCTTCTATAAAGAAAAATGTTCAAGATCATGTTTTTTTTTTTTATCAACTGATTATTTTGTTGGTTATCTATTATCTTTTCATGAGAGATGCTACCAGCTGCTGTGATCAAAGGTTGTTTTGTACAGCATAATAAATCGAATCAGAAAAACTTCAGAAAAAGTATCAGTGCTAGCATATAATTAGTTTGTCTTATTAAGTTGTTTGCTTGCTAGAAAATGAAGTATGAAGGAGTATTTGCCCTTTGCCGACACATAACATTTAACTTGTTTAAAAAGAAAGTTATTCCACTGGGTAGCAAAATTAAATTATCTTTAATTTCTTTAATTGTTTCAGTTTCAGGGACCTACTTGTAAAAAGAAACAAATTATAAAAAAATCAAAGTTGTCTTGTGTTATTATCCCTGGAATAATAAAGGACGATTCTGGTCTTTTTTCATTGTTGTGACTGCTCTGAGTCATAATAACTTTGTCCTTGCCACTTTGGAAACAATGTGAACCAGCCGAACCTTTCAAGGCACTCAAACTCATCTTCAATTTCACTTTAATTCACATAAATCATAGTTTTCAATCATAGATTCCCATGTCTTACTCCTTAGTTAAGTATATGAAACTTTCATTACTGTTGACACGGTTCACTGTGGACGTAGGACATTATAAGAGCTGTCTTTTCACTAGCAAGTCCACTCTTTTTTGTCTCAGGAGGCCTGTTAGGTGAAAAACACACACCGCCTTGCAGTTATGTGTCAGCAAAAGCAGGGAACAAAAGTAGCTAGTAATCATACATGCACACAGTGTGGTTAAGCATCAAAAGAGCTCCACACGCCACCAACTTGAGAAAAACTCCCCTCTTGGAAAGGCTTTAATGGTGCTTTACAAACTTTCCTGAAGGCAACATGTTGCTGTTAAATAAATCCTTGATCCAGGGGGTAATGTGTTATGAATACTGCTGATATGGTTACTTATCAGCATTTCCTGTTGCTTTTATAAATTGTGGGTGCTCTATCATAAGACTTGGTTTGTGTTAAAGTGAGTCTTAGTCAGGGTCAAATTACAGGAAAAAGAAAAGCAACAACCTGTATTGTCTTGTCTTAGTTTGAAAGATACGGAAAGTCTTATCTTCCCGTTACAGAAGTGATTTCTAAACTCAGTGTCTTACTGCATTTCAGACTCTTTATCTTACCTCAGTGTAAAAATATCAGAACTATAACCATAAACCCAAATCTCTTATCTTTGTTGACACATTCTGACACTCATACTGTCATGCTAGTACATGTGTGCTGTGTTCACAACACTACTTGTATCCTTGACAGCAGCAGTCTCACTTCACTTCATTGTTCAATGTCGCTGGAATTCGATAGAGGCAGCTAGATGATAACTGCCAGAATGAATCATATCTGGCAGCTAAAAAATGCACTACAGTACGTTATGTTAAAAGTTCTCATGGCCATGGTGTTTTCAAGTCGGCATTCATAACATAATTGGTATTTATGACAGAACAGGATAGGATTGGACTTGATACAGCTTAAATACGAATGAATACGTACAACACCATGCCATAGAGCACTATACAATAAGATACAATATAAAGCAACAATAAGATACGACTATTTGAAAGGGAAATCTAATCAGTGCATGGTGTTATCCTTTCAATGCAAACTTTGTTATAGCACCTGCAACCACAATCAGAGTCGGCCCAAGGCAAAAGCGAACAAAGCGCCTGCTCAGGGCCCCATGGCCAATAGGGGGCTCCCAAGAGCAATCAAAAAAATATTTTTTTTTAAAAATAATTTTTATTTTTTGCATGTATAAGTGATGCTTTCTGTATGATCAAATATATATTATTGTAAAAATAAAATAAAATAAAAATATTTTAGTGCTGCTGCTGATGTACGCCTATGACTTTTACCGCCAATATGTCAAAGCTCTGCTACCGTTATGTGAAAGAAAGAAGAAGAAAGAGGAAGAAAAAACGCCAAGATAAAGTTATGTTTGCATATCATGGAATGTTAAAGAGATTTCTGAAGGTGTGTGAATGATCAACAATCAATATTATTGGCAGAAATAAAGGGCCCCAAAATCAAATTTTGCTTAGGGCCCCATTGAGGCTTGGGCTCTGATTACAATAACTGATTTTTCACTTTCACAACATCAAAGATTGTCACTGTTTTACTCCACGACTGAAAAGAGATATTTGTTAAACTCAGGTGAGTGTCTGACTTTATGCAAAAAGGGTGAATACAATTCATGTAAAAGTGGGATTTATTACATGCCCAAACAACAACAGAAAGAAGCTCTTAATTAGCTTTGGAGGGTAACACAAACTCTACTGAACACCCTAAATATAAATGTCTGGAGTTGAGTAGCTTTCTTTTTTGATTTGCCACATATAAAGCAGTAACTACTGAGCACCTCCGCCCCCCCCTTCCCTCTATCACTTTGCTGCTGACTGTAGTCACCGTCGCATTTCACGTTCTCATATCAGACATTTCTGACGTGCTCATAATTCTCACTTTGCCACATCTGACAGCAGAGTTATTCCTCTGTTCCTACGCTTCAGGCACGTTTCATTTGAGACACACACTGACAGCACAAAAAAATTTAATGAACAGTAATACTTCAAGCATCTCTATCACTGCAATCATCATCAAAAAAAAAAAAGAAAAAAATTACACAACGTGCCCACAGAGTGAGACAAAGTGTGTGGGTGGACAGAATACACTGTTTTATTAATCATCAAACCCTCAGCAGGTTGATAGATGATACAAGTGTTAATTAATTTCTCATAATTATACAGAGGGAGATTATCATTGATAAAGTGGAAAACATTTCACAGCCGAATGCGAGAGTACACTGTTTCATATTGGGTCAACCTCAGGGGGGTTTAACATCAATAATGCGGGAATATTTTCATCACTGCTGTTATTTTCTTGCCTGTTTTTTCGCCCCTGAATGCAACATAAAAAAAGATATTTTTACACTGCGGTGGCTACGAGTGGTTCTGAATTTAATGAGGAATGTATTTGGCTGTTTCTGAGGCATGACAATGGATACTAGTTAGTGTTATTACACAAACACAGCCAAGTTTTGCCGAGCCCTCAACAACAACAACCTCACCTTCCAATAAACAGAGGGAGAGCACAGTCACAGACACAGAGAGAGAGAGAGAGAGAGAGACAGATGGAGAGAAAAAAGCAGTAAACACCAACGAGCAGCGAGAGAGATCATTTAAATGTTTCAGAGTCAGTGAACAGTGGTGTGTTTGGATATAGCACCTGTATCAGGAGCTCTTGTTCTGACTATACACGCAGAATATCTGTGTAATACAAGATTATTAGAGCATGTGCATGAGTCAAAGGAAGGGATTAGTCCGGTTTGTTACTAAAGAGCTCTAACAACAAAAGTCCCTTAGGTGCAGCGACTCATCCGCAGGTCCTCAACAGCTTCTTACAAACAGTCTTTTTATTTCTTACTCTTCCTCTTTTCTTTTTTTGGCAACAGATATTACAGAACACTATGTATTTAATGTGGTATTGCTGTTCATTTGTCAGAACTTCTTTTGTGTGGTTACAGATATCCGTCTGAGAGTCTGTCTTCTGTCTTCTCCAGTGCAGTGAAAGTACATCAGACTGTACTTGTGGTGCTCGCAGCATGAAAAATCACATTACATGAATTTATTTTTCACTGAAATACAATCACTTTTAGAATGAGTTGTAGGGGATGTTATTCCTGGAAAAAGTATTTTTTTTTCACCAGAAAACAGACATGTTGACTCCTCTTATAATTCTGTTTTGGCCACCATATACCAGGCTCTTTTAATGATAAACGCTCCACTTTGTTCTCGAGCAAGCTGCACTTTGGATGAACTTGAACAGGGAGCATACGCTTGTGTTTACACGTGCAGAAAAGCACCGCTGATATAAATGGGGAAAACTGTAATTGTAGCTTTGGTCTCTGTTACTCTATCTGCTGTCTTGTTGCACTCATCGCACCTTGGTTTTCACAGCTTGTTTTTGACGTCATGTCCTGCTTTCTGGGACATTCCCCCTAAACCACCACAACCACTAGCATCCTCACAGGTAAGGGACATGTGTGAACAAGTCAAGTTGGACTTTTTTAGAGGTGGAGCTCCTGAAAACTTCTAGGAAGTTATAAAAAGAAATGTAATACATATGTATAAGAGGTTGTTCTGTGGAATTGACCTGAGGTTACTGACTGAAAACAAATACTTCCTGGGATTGGAGAAAAGTCTGATAAAAGCCAGGACACTGAAGGGACATAGAAAAATTGTGAGTCATAAAATCAAAACGACGCACTAAAAGACGCAAAAATGGTGTGGGTTATTGTTGAGTTGGACAAACCTCTTAGACAGCCTGTCCTCAAAACCAAAAACCAATTTCAAAACAGCAGACCTTCATTCACAAAACTCTGATAAACACCCAGGACTGAAACAAAGTATTTTCAGTCATTTCAGAAACTGAAAACTTCAATTTGAAAGCAGACTTTACAATGCTACACAAAAATGTACTGATTCAGACACATCTAGCAATCTGTTCAGCAACAAAATAACGCAAGAAACAGGACTCATACTCATGCAGAAGTCACCTCTGTCAGTCCACCACCTGTGGAATCTTCACAGCCCACACTTTGGTAATCACTGCCTGAAGATATAATGGTCTAAATCATTTCTTTCAGTAATGTGGGCAGCAAACCTAATTCTCATTTACCACCATTGTCTTTAGGTGGAGTTAAACCCCCCAAATAAATTAAACTCAATGTATCTGCTTGGTTGGATTCGCTGCTGTAGCGGGGAAGAAAAAACACATTTTCAGTACTTTGGTTGGGCTCGTCCTTTAATCAAAACCCCTCTCTCTATTTGAAACCTCTGCCTTTGTTCGGTGTGATTATATGAATACATTCTCACTGCGAGGACAGCAATCCATGCGAGATTTTCTGGTCTGGGGATATTCTCACCAGATCTTTTCTCCTTGTTGCAACAGCTCTGACAACTCGTTCCACTCTATTTCCCAAACCCATCATTTCCTATACAAATACTGCATTATATCGGCTACAGTCTGTTTTTATTTTCCTCAAAGACGATTCCCTTTAGCCGGCTGACTGACAGCTGTGTGTGCATGCATCATTATCTCCTTCACAGAGCCTGTCTGTTGCCGTAGCCTGTGGCAGACCTCAATCACACAGTATTAAAAATGACTTCGGTTTCTATGGTGCGCCAGGCTCTTTGCCTTCTGCAGGTGTGCCACACATTAAATGAACCACAGTGGGATAAAGGTGAGGTAGCTGTTCAAGCCATCTGGAACCACAGACATGTAAAATCAGGTACTTTGAGGCTAATAAGTTCATTTGATTTAGCTAGCGGAAGCCGAGACATAATGAGAGAGAGAGTGTTGCTGATAATGTTCCTGTTCCTGGAAGCGGAGGTCATTCAGGCCAATAAACTGTTTGAATAAATGAAAGACAAATATAAACATGAATATAAATCACTCTGAGAGGCGGCTACTTAAGCTGGAAATTAAGAGAAACAGGGGTTATGTCCTTCTTTTGTATGTAACCTCAACTAAAATAGCACTTTTTGTTGCTTTTGCGAAGAGAAAAGTTGAGTATAAGAGGAAATCTTTCATATTTGAGCTTTAAAATGCTGGTCAGGTGCGAGGTTTCAATAGAGGATCCATGCTAATGCCTTGGTTGATGGTGTGCAGTAGATAAATCATGTTTACAGACCGATGTCCTTGCTGAATATAACAAGATTGCTTCCAATCTGGTCTAAATATGAGTTTAATATGCACGCAAACAGGCTGCATTATCAAATAGTGCGTTCACGGATACGGTATAAAGAGTCTCACTCGCCATTTAGAGCGGCAGCCCACCACACAAACTATTATCCGGAGTTTATATTCTAATATGTGACTATGCTGTAAAAAAATGCAGCTTCTTTGTGTTGATCCTGACAATTTGTCAAATTTAAATTCAGCAGCACAGGGAGGAACACATCAACTCAAAGTGAAATCAATTCAACACCCCCACCCCACCCCGTCCTCCACCTCTTTTTCACTTTCTCCCACTCTCCTGCCTTTCCTATCTATTTCTCTTCCCTTTCTGTAATAATTATGCGAGCGGCAGCAAATGTAATTACAAAAGGGTGGGGTTGGGGAGGGTTGTGTGTGCGTATATATGTGTGCGTGTGTGCGTTGGGGGGGTGTTTGATTGCTGTGCACGCACAACAAAATGCTACATTAAAAAGCTATTATCAGAAAAGGGGACATTTTGGCAGATATACGGCGGAGGGCAACTCCTGCCATATGTTTGTGAAGACGAGGACAACAAGTCAGGTAGTAATTATCAATCATCATCAGGAGGAGCTGTCAAAACGCAAGGCCTGGCACACTCTGACTAGCGTTGCCATGGAGACAGGCCCACATACCGGCAAGAGTGTGTTTACCGGGACATTAAAAATATGCTCCTTTATTTTTACCTCACACTTATAATGTTGTATAAATCGTAGTTGTTGGAGCCATGAGGGGTGCTAAAACGTTTGTGTGAGAGTGTGTTGAGGAATTCCTGCCAAGCCATAGAAAGAAAAAAGATTTTGGAGAGGTAAAATTGAGAAAAATTTAAGACTAAGGGTTGAAGGTTTTCACTCATTTCCTTGCCTTCAGCATCAGGCATGTTACAATTAGCAGATAGAAACATAAATGGAAAACTGCAGCACTGTAAAGATCAATGCGACATATAGATCTGTGTATGTGCTCATACATAATGTATGTTAGTAATGAGCTCATTTCTGTGACCATACTCTTGCTGTACACAGACTCTCCATTCAGACTGTCACTGCTCATAACTCCTCAGCTCAGAGACGAAGACTTCCTCCCAAACCATCATGAATTTGTCAGATTCAGTTTTACATATTTCCTTTTCTCTTTTCTGCATAGCGTACACCAAAGAGCCTTGAAATCTAATTTCATTTCTTGTAATACAGTCTCTATTTAAAGTGTTAGTATTTTCAGAGGAGTGTATAGTAAGTGTGACTTTTCACAGATTCACACATGAGGAATGTTTCTGGAAGACTTCCAGCTACAATGCCGCTTTCAAATGACAATCAATTTCCATGTGACCTCAGTTCATTACACTTCCAGGAATTTGGATTATTCTCACTTTCACAAAATTGAATGTATAACAAAGTAAACATAAAAAGCAAATTATAAGGGGGAGGTGGCGTCACAGCGATGTAAATTTTCCTGCTTTATTATTGCAGTCGTTTAAAAAAAAAAAAAGGGTAGTGCTCTTAATTCATTATTTGTGCGCTGTTGTGCATGCTCCCCCTGGGGAGAAGCAACATTACTCTTTCATCAGATCAAATGAAGCGAAGCCGTGCCGTTCCAGGAAGAGCCAATTAAACTGTTCAAAGAAGTTTATTATTGCGACGGATTATGAAATCATTCTCATCGGATTCATCAGGGTGTGTGTTTCTACAGGGGTGTGAATGTGTGTACTCTGCCACCGCGCAAACTCATAAAAATAATTTGACAGAAAAAAAAAAAAAAAAAAAAAAACACTGTCGGCTTGAGCTTTCCATTTGCACAGTAAATAGAAAATTATGGTACGAAGTCACAGCGCTACATGTTTTACAAGAGACATTTCACGTACTCAATTTAGAGTGAAAATAAGCTGCAGTTATAGGGAAGGGATCCTTCCTCTTCCTGTGTCCTTTTTCATCTCTTTCTTTCCTCTCTCCTTCTCTTTCTTTCTCTCTTTCTTTCTTTCTTTCCTTCTGTCTGTCTGTCTGCCTCATGTGATTGCCTCATGATGGTAGCGTCACCTGTTAAGCACTTATTAGCACACATCACATTCAAGACATGGTTGGGTTTAATCTCAGCCCAGATCCACTGACTGACACACACGCTGAGGAATGCAATGACCTCTGACCTCTGAGGGACTTAATAATATCACCAAGTATTTGGCACAACACACACACATACTCACTCAAGCACACACACCCACACCATGTAATTATAACAAGACGAAAACACTCTACAGTATTGGCTTAAAGTCAAAAAACCACAATACTCAATCTGTAAAAACTAGCTACACTGCTTTGCTGTCAAGAGACAATGAAACTAATTCATTGGAACACAATGCGAGCTGTAACTATCAAGTCGGCGTGTCACTTCAGCTGTTGGGAAGTAACTCTTAAGGCTATTGTTCCAAGAGGAGGAAACTGAAAAATAAACCCCAATGTTAAGAGCAGGGAGCACAAAGGGGACTGTCCTCAATACACACCCTGTTTTATTTTTCCAAGAGTGCCAAATGTAAAACAGAGTCAAAGTTACATAATGTGGAGGATTTACTAAAAACGGGATAACCTTCAAACGCTTCCGCATCATTGATACTGACAGACTGCAGCAATAACTCGGTAGGACGGCGGCTTTAAAAATACAGTATTTCAATTTGGCTTTCGGAGGGAGAGAGAGAGAGAGAGAGGGTAAGGAGAGGAGAGGAGAGGAGGGAGGGAGGAAGAGATGAAAGGGAGCAGTGGATAAGCTTCAAGGCTTATCCTATTCATTACTGGAGGAAAAAAAAAATCACAGCATCGACCTATAAATAAATGAATGCCAGGATAAACAAGAAGCCCAAACATCAATAAAACATATGTATTCTAATAGATCACGCTCTAGTTACACTTGATGGGATTGAGTGGACCAATGAGCCCAATCAGGGGGACTTTATCATTTTGAAAAGCTACAAAGCAATAAGCCATGGTGATTATAAATAATCAGCATTCCCAGGACAAAACAGGCCAATGGATAGTTCCATCTCTATATCCATTTTTCTTCTTTAAAAATGAAATGATTAGCGATGTTTCAGCAGTTTTAAGAAGTATACATCTCCCATTAAATATTTAAAGTTTATCAAACAAATGACTCAAGCAGTTGCCAGCGCTGTTACCTGTCCTTTTTTTCTGAGAAACATCTGCGTCATTTTGGGGGGAAAAAAAAATGGAAACATCAATCAAAGTCATGAGGTACAGTATAATCCTCACTTTGCTTCTTTCATATGTCGGCGGTGGGAAAAAAAAAAAAAACGAGGTATTTGACGTCACTTACGTTACACAAGCTCTTGTCAAAAACAACAACCTGCGACAACAAGCCTCTACCTGCAGACAAGAGAAAAGATGCTCGCCACTTAAACCTGAGAAACCCGGCTGCAGAGGGCTGAGCTGTCTCTGTACACAGATTCTACAGTTACACTGGTGAGTCAGACGTGCTCACTCCAGGTTGAAACATGCCGTTCTGTAATTTTTATTATAGGGACATTCAGGAGGTGAATCACAGATCACATTCGGGGATTTTTTGAAATACGAGTGTCTGTGTGTTGAAAATCACTTCATCTTTCTAAAATGTAAATGTAGTACAACCATGATTGATTTAAAACCAAGTTAACCTGCACTGATCCTTCGACTTGACACATTATTAATGAGATATTAAAACAAAAGAGGTCACACACTGGCCCAGTCAGCTGAAGAGAACAGAAATTAACAGCATGTACTTTGGGTTAAGTTTTTAATGTCACGACAAAAAAATACTTATCTTAGTTCATCTTTTTACCTCCAGGCCTATCATGTGATAAGTTACTATTTGTGCCTTTCCAAGGAGCTGAACGCACCATATAACTTTTATGTCTTGTATTTTTAGATTCATTTTCCACATTAAAGGCATCTCACTGTGTTAGGAACTGAAAATGGTTTGCTTACAGTCAACAATAAAGCACCTGTAGCCCATATGAACATGGTTTGGCTACAGCAGGAGTCGAAAAGAAACTCTTTGGTGGTTATGTTTGTTGGTTTGAAGTCTGACCTACAATGTGTCAACAGAAAGAAACTATCACTCAGAATAGGGTGATACTGATTCCAATGGTTCCTGCATCTCAATAACATCTACTCACATGTTGTTAATGAGTTGCTTTTCTATGTACTTGTACTTTTTAGTACTTTTTAAATCCTTTGAGAAACCATAAAAATGCTTAATAAAACAACATTTATGCTCCCTATCAACTGCCTGACAGTCAGCTGACAGGATGATGTCTACACTGTGAAAATTTCAAGTATCACCAAGAAAATTTGTCTCAATTCAAGTAAACAAAAATGTGATTACCTTTAAGTTAAGAAACACTGACCCACTACGTCCAAATATAAATCATGTTTCAACATGTTTTCAGTCAACTTGTCTTGAAAAGTCCTTTGAAAACAGTATTACATCAATAACATTTTGCTTGACCCAAATGCAGCCATTTTTACTCATTACAGCCAACTCAATCTTTTATTTTTTGCTCGTCATAGCCAAAAAAAAAGAAATAATAGTAGTTAAAATAATATCAATCCTCTCTACAGCCAGCCCTGACTTAAAGGTCCGTGTTCATACATTTCAAATAAAGCACTTTTGACTTTTACTTGGGTAGATCATCAGGTTTTTCCCTCCACTTAGCTAAAGTGTATTTACGTTTTTACTTGGCTAAAATATGTCTGTACTCTCCTCACCCCTGCTCACTGGTCTTATAAACACATCGCATTGAGAGCAGGAAAGAAACTCTCAAAATCCCTATTCTTATATGAAAGATTTAAATGGGGAAATAAAACTGAAACAGGCTGTTGCAAAAAATAGCATTTAAGGAAGTGTGAGGGACACGTCATGTTATCATCCTTTGAATTAAGTTGTACCTGTACCAGGTACAGAGCTTTGAAAAGTCTCTCGAAAGCCAGATGCTTACTGTATTAATCTCTGTGTGCTTGTCTTAAAATAGACAGGCAGCAATGCAAAGTAATATGAGAAGAGCTGCTGTATAACCGATGACATAATAGGGATAATCAGGAAGATTGTGTTTTACTCAGCCCAGAGGTCGAGCTGGGGCTGCTGATGCTTGTACAAGAAAGTACTTTTAGTTAAAGTGTTATGTGTAACAGAGCAATGATAAGACACACTGTGTTCTGTAAAGCACAGCCTATTAGTTATATAAAATGGCATTATTGTGAGAATTTGTATCTTTCATTTCCTGTAAAACTGAAGAGATATATAAGGACATGAGTGGCCTTCACCAGATGTTCAGTTGTTGTTGTTGTATACAGTTCATGTCCTGATTATGAAATCAGAATATAGAGCAACAACAACTCCTCTTTTCTCCTCTAAATTTCTCCTCTACGGCCTCTGTACACCATGACATATGGACGATGAAAAATTCATGGGCCGGTGGTTAACACAAATCTGCAGAAGAGATGGGAAAACATGAGCTTAGCAAGCAGTTTGCCTATTACATTAACAGACGGGGCTGTCATGGGACAGTATCGCCGTATGCATATTTCATCTAATCTGATTTCATGTTTAAAGAGCGAGTGAGAAAGTGGTTCAAGTTGTGGAAACAATGACATCATACTGTATGTTCAGTACGGCGACCCAGCCCAATCAAGCTAACAGGGACTGAATGTTTTTAAAGATGTTATCTCGCTGTTAGCATGCTTTTCATTTTCATTCTCCTCAGCTGTCCCTCTTTAATTCAGTTTGTTTCAGAATCAGTTTCGAGAGAAATAAAGACCAAACAGGAAATTTCTCTTTTCTGACAAACACAGATGCAACTAACTCAGACAGGCAGAAACACCCTCATAAATACACACCAAGCATGACCGAAAGTCAGCCACAGATGTACAAAAAGTAGCACACACGCAACAAAGATCAAAAATAGACTGAAAATATTCTGTTTATGATCAGTGCATCTGGACGATTTTAATATATTGAAGCAATAAATAGTTTTTTTATACTCCTCCCACCCTTAGGGGATTACAGAAAAGGGATTCCAAAGGATTGCTCTCGAAATGTTTCTTTTTAATAAAAATCAAACCAGCACTGAGTGAGAGATATTTCAAACAAAACACACTGAGCCAAGCATGAAATATATAGTTTCTGTGCCAAGGAGAGAGACCTGGGAATATATAGCACAGAAAAGAAAGAGCAAAAAAAGGGGAGGAAAAAGGGGGGGCAGCTGCTCTGAACTGCTTTGCCTCAAACATGATTGCCTCACTAACTCTCAAAATGCTGTTGATTTAAGCAGTGTGCACACAAGGAGGGTTAGGTTTCTAAAGACGGGAGGAGAGGAAGGTCAGCATAACTTTAAAAATCAGAGAAATGAGAAAAATGTTGGTCATAATATTTTCCTTAACAGACGCCCAAATGTGTGCGACCGCTGAGTTGTTCTTTGCTGTTAAATCATGAAATATCTCTCTGGCTCAGCTTACAAATGTTTATGTTGTTGCTTTACTGCGCATAGAGAATTAGTGCCAAATCGATGTGAGTAATACTAAACACAGTGACAGCTTCTAACAAAACCTTCAACCTTGTCGTCTGTCGTTTAGTGCTACAAAGGCCGGGCCCACTCAAACTATTCCTGGATTTTTCTCACCACAGAGGAGCTGGCAGTTACGCCAATATTATTCCAGTACAATGAGTAAGACCCGTTTTATCCTTTAATTTATATAAGAGCTTGTTTTTTTAACTCGGAGTGCGAGGTAATAAGTACTGTAAGGATTATGTGTCTTCAGCCCTACTAATTTTTCTTTTTTTCTGTCATGGTGCTGATATTACTTTCCTCCTGGCAAGAAAATTAAATTGGGGACACAAAGTAGCGATGGGTATAATCAATCCATGCTGGCAGAGTGCATGATAATTATAAACAAAAACTGTGTCATTCCCCGTGAGGAAAGCAGCTGCAGGGGTGACAGGCAATGCTGAACATAAATATGGATCACAGGACTAAAAGATCTGCGATCTGACGCAACTGCAGTTTTCGCTCACGCTGGTTTCAAAGGCAAGGCTGGTGATGTGAAAGGAGAAGAAAAAAAAAAGGAAAATAGAGTGAGTTAGATAGAGCTCAGACAACTGTCCGTATCAGAGCAAAGATGGCCTTACATCACTGTGAGAAGTCAGAGCAAATATTGGAGATATCAAAGTGATGGTGTACACAGGAGCAGCAGGAGGATGCTGCTTGTCCATCACTCACCTTAAAAATTACAGATCAACCCAAATGTAAGTCGAAAAAGAAACATATGCTTTTGATTACATAATAAATCTATGCATATTCATGTCCTTTAAATACATTGAAGAGAGGATTTGAAGATGTGGTAAGGTCTCCAAGAACAGACTATAGAGTATTTCCACACAAAGCTTTTTATCTGATGGCTACATTTCATAAAACACTGAACCAACAGGCTTGCTGCAAATCTGCAATAGCACTTCTTTTTTTTTTTTTTTTTCCTGAGGGCCTCTCCTCTCCTGCTCCCTTAGGTAGCCTGACACACTTTCATGAATTAGCTGAGACAAGACGGACGGCTATTAGAGCTGCCACAGCAGATTTGGCTGAATATAAAAGGTCAGAATTAGCATTAAGAGAAGCAAAGAAGAAAGTCCTAAAACTGCTCCCCAGATCAATTTTTAACTTTTTAATATTTCTCAGCTGCACAGTATTTCCTCCTAACGTGTCCACAGCGCTGGTATTTATCCTAATAAAGGTGGATTTAATATGGCTTTTATTGCTGCTTTTTTTGATACTGAGCCTGTAAATGGCAGGAGAACTTTACTCAGCACTTGTGTGTGATTCTAGGTGAAAATGTGCGCACGTTCATGCGTGTTTGTGCCTATAAGTAAGACGCCCCTGAGGCTTCAGTTCACTTGGCAGAGAAATGGAAATTACTTAGCTCTGCTGTTTTGAAACAAATCACAAACAAGTCTCCTAGCAGCAATTGAAGCAGAAATAAAAACCAGCTTCAAACCTAGTAAAACCTTCATGTGAATAACTTAAGAAATCTGGTTGCGTTAGTCAAAAAATAAAAAAGTAGAGCTCCCTTAGGCTTTGAAAATAAACCTTTAGCTTAAATGTGGCTCACAGAGGAATGGCATTATTGAGCCAAGCGAATGAGCAACAGCAGCCACAGGATGTTAGCGTTACTATTCATAACTTATTTTCCTATGCCTAAAACCGTTTTCCCTTCTGGTCTCACCTCTGCCGCACTCTTAAAAATGCAATTACCTGCTGGCAAATTTACAGGAAAAGAAAAACAATGACTTTTGACCAGAGGAGCCGTAACTGTGAATGTCAAATTGATGCTGCACAAGAGCCCACTGAGCTCCACTGTGCAAACCGAGCAGAGGAAATATAAAGAGAGATGAATCACATTATTCCTTTGTTTTAGCCCAGCTCGGGGTTAATAAAATGTGTGGATTCATGAGCAGACAGGGAAAGCACAGTGAATGGCAAATAGACATGTTTCAGCACTTCAAAATTCCTCACTGGAACCACAGAATGCTTTTCATAGGAGTGACTGGTGAGAGCGTTTGAATGGAGGTCACTTGTTGTGTACAGAGAGACCTATGAGGTCAAAAGAACTGAGGTGAAGATAAAAAAACACGACCAGCCTGTTAAAAATCAAAGAATAATCCACACTGAACACTGCGCTAAAGTCTTTTCATCAAAATCAACTTTGTAACTCGAAAAGAGGATATATAGTTTAAACAGCTTTTATTGAATTGAGGGAATTAAACCTCAAATAAGGCATTGTAATGACAGAAACAAAGGAGTTATGGGTGAAATGAGCTCGCAGCTCATAAGCTGATGATTTCCAGCCAAATTCAAATCACAGCAAGGGAATAAGTCACAAAGATTTACTCATTATAACTTACAACAAATGTGTAAAATTCTCATTTCTCTTTCTAATGCTCTTTTCCTGCGTCTCTTTTATCTGCATATGTCTTTCATTTGAAGCCGACAGACTATATTTCTATAAACATGGATTATGTCGCAAATACGGAGTTCTACACTTGGGCTTGAACTGGATGCGAATAGGTGAAATTGTTTGGGGATTGGTTTGTGGAATCATTGTCAATGGGATATCAAGGGGTTTTGACTCAAATGACTAATCACAGTCAGCAAAAAAAGCCAAGCAATAGTAAAATGAATATTGAGACTTACATGATAACTCCTTTTTCTGGTGTCTATCACTTTTGATAAGTAGAAAGGCAGTTTAAACAATTGCATCTGAATATTAACTGCACAGCAAGAGAAACGTCAGAGACAAACAGATATTTTCTTTTTAAAATCTATAAAACTAACACGTCATGTCAATATTTTAGCCAGTAGACTGGTAATGAGTGTGATAACGCATAGTGAATGTGTTGAGGTCTAATATCACCCTGTTGTAATTCTAAATTTCCTAACTACCTGTTCAACATGAGTCATTTCTTACATACATGTCTAGAACATTCAGTTCATTGAGTTATATTCACAGCTAGTTGTGGCTAAATACAGAAAGAAAAATGGCGATCAAAGCTGCAGAATCAGAGCAGTTGTCTTATTTCATTAAACATATTCTTGTTCTTTGTCTAATGTCTGCCCACAGTGCTGCAAAAGTAATTTAATAGCTAAAAGTTTGGACTGAGTATGGGAGTGTTTTGCAGGAAGCAGCTAGTGTAGCTTCAGCTGCCAACCTCAAGAGAAGAGCTTGCAGCAGAAGTCTGGTTAGGTGTTTTTATTTTTTTGTGTTTGTTTCCATACCACAACCTCAGTTCTTCATTTTTATGTCAGATCACTTTTTTTTTTACAGATGCAGTCGTAACCACAGAGAACTATGAGCTGAATTTGGAGTGTAAGGTTGACATAATCTGCTTCCCCGAAGTGCCGAAAACAGGAAAGCAGGCAGTTTTTTCTTTCTCAGCTAATTAAATGCCGCTGTTTTAAGGTAGTGTTTTCTTATAGGTCAGCAACTCTGTTTGATTCGGGAACTAAGTGATACAGCTACTACCTCTTCTTTGACCTTTATTCGTCTGCAGTTTGATGGTCAGACCGTGCAAAGTTAACATTTTAAATGGATTCAAGTAGCCCGCATTTTCTGGGATTTAACACAATGGCATCAAATAGCTTGGCCCAAAGAGTGTCCACTAAAAGCAGACTTGAACAAATGGTCAGGGTAACCACAATGACATAATTGAAAGTTTGAGTTGAACCAAACTGTGAGAATGAGTTTTAAGTGCCTCCTCACATTCAGAGTTTAGGACATGAGGAGTTTGATGTTTCATTGGACAACGTGCAACATCTCATCTGCCATAAACCGTCACTATAATGGCTATTAGCATTTCAGATGAGCTAATATAATATCTACAATAAAACGTCCAGCTGCCTCACTCACCGAATTCGTCACAGATGCTGTCGTTCTGCAGCAGGGCGGGATGTTCGAAGGTGTCCCTACAGTACAGGATCCTCGTGCTTCCTCCCAATGCAGCGATGCCGCCCAGCGCCAGCACTGTGTGATCTATGAGCAGGGAGGACGGCTGCTCTCTGAGCCGGGCCAACACTGAGCGGTAGCGACAATACTGGGGGTAACTGAGGACCAAAATCTTCCGCCCGTCCTCCTCCTGGCCTGGAAAACATAAAATACAGACAACATGGTTAGAGGGCACATAGATAGTATACCGAGTTAAACTTTCAAAGGGGAAACTTTCAGGTTTTTTTTCTTTTCAAGTGCTCCCATAAAATCTGTAGAGAACTGCAGCACTTAATTTTACAGGATATGTGCACTCTTCCTTTTCTTCTTCAGGTTTTACAACCTATGTCACTCTCATAGGTCTTTCTTTGGCTGCTGTAATAGTTTTGCACTTCTACTTCAGTGTGCTTGAACCCTGTGATCTGTTCAGTCCTAACTTTTGTGATCTAAAGATTGTAGATTTATTTAAACCTCAGTGATTTTGGTTATCTAACCAAAACATGAGAACAGAAAAACAACTACACAGAAAAGGTACAATTACTCTAATTGTTTATAGTATCTCCGGGTTAGCAACACCTCTTTGCAGTGTGATTATGTGTTGGGTAATACTGTTTATTCATGATAGTTTGCATAAGAGTTTCATTCCATTTCCTTGTAGTGATAATGCATTTCACCAATCCCACACAACAGCTTTTTCTGTGCTCTGTGGAGACATGTTATGTTGTCGGGCTGCATGTTTGAAATGCGTAACATGCATCGCTGTTGAGGTGACAAAAGGAATGCCAACAACAACTCGAGAAGCTCGCAAATTTGACTGACAAGGTCTTTTTAACAAGCCAGTTCAAGACTGGAAAATCCTGGGAGCAATTTAGACAAGGCGGAGGTGAACAAGTGCTTGTGTTCATACACGTGTGTGTGAGTGCTGACCTTGTTACCCTACAACCATAACAGTAGGAATCTATTTATACAAGCTGGGAAAACAATAATTTATGAGAAAACACATCGTAAAAATACAAACTGTGAGTGCACAACGCAGATTCTGTTTTGCTTCAGAATACCTCCCATTGGGATTCCTCCCATTACAGATACATTTTATTAACACATTGACTGTGTTGTTCCTGGTGTAGCCTGGTGTATGTAAGCATTATCACCGGTGATGAAGACCTAGTGGTGAAATCTCATTGGTTACTTTGAAAACCTCTGGGCAGGCAGTACAGACTGACCTGACACAGTAAACTGCCATAAAAACAGAAAAATATGCTGAAATACAGATTTAACTGTTAATATTAAACTCCAGAACAAGAATGAGAGCCAACAGCTCGCCAATTCAGGTATCAGCTGATGATCTTTAGGCAAACAAAGAGGAAAGCTCACCAACTTTGTTTAAAAACTAAGAACAGCTGAAACTTAAAGGAGTGATTAGTGATTAGTTTGACATATATTATATATTATATATATATATATATATATATATATACATTTGTATATACATATATATATACATACACACACACATATATATATATATATATATGTGTGTGTGTGTGTGTGTGTGTGTGTGTGTGTGTGTGGTTTTTACAAATGCATTACACTGAATTTATTACCTGGCCTTTTATTAATCCCCTGGCTGTGTTAAATACTTGATTCTGATTGGTCAAAACCCTCTTGACTTGGTTATTAAGTCTGAATGGTAAAGGCAACGTTAAAGACAACCTGATCATATATGTCATATGGTAACGTCATTTGACTAGTTAATGATAATAGTCAGTCAACTGTAATGGCACATTACAATGTAATTCTCATGTTTCACCTCTACCTGTCGACAGCACGGCAAAAAACTCTATAGAGCTGGAATAAAATATGGAGGATATTTTTATAGTTGACGGTATAACAGCAGTCTGGTTTGAATTAAAGTTCCTGCCTGTTAGAAAGAGGTTTTTTCCTTTCCAGAGTAAGTTGCTAAATGCTGCAAAGTGTTTGGATTAAGTGAGAATAGAATGGGTCTCATCCTTCGAGGTGAGACTCAATCTCATCCTATCTTGGTGATAATGAAACGGCACTTGTGATAGTCTAAACCTGCCTTTTTTTGTAAAGAGCCGTGAGATAACATCTGTTGTGAATTAGTGCTATATGAAAATACAACTTGATTGGTTAGTTTGTTGACTGATTAATTGGCAAAGTAAACACAAACATGGTATGTATGAACATTAAAGTGTTGATTCAAGCTGTTAAGTAGGCTAACAAGAATACTGTTCTTAAGGAAGTCCTGGCAGCTGTTGAAACTGATGTTGATATGGCTAAATCCACCCTGATCATTTCAATATTTAGTGTCAGCTTCTTTGCGTATTGAGTTGGTAATGTGGCATAGAAGCCCAATAAGACGAGACCCAGACTTATTATTATCATTAACTTGTCAAATGAGGTCATCATCTTGTTTTCCTTAACACAACAGCTGTCTAACATACAAATTAAACCATTAGCCTCTTCAATTTGATTCTTTTGAATCTCCTCTCACAGTATAACATCGTCTACAAATATAGATGTGGTGAAAATAACTATTCGCTGTTGAGTCCACAGGTTACAGATGGTGGTTAGAATAACTTTTCATGCAGACCTGCTTAATTATATCAGTACATCTCCTGCCACCCACACGACTCACATATCATAATCTACAGCTAATTACATGCTCAATTATTATTTTTATCCAGCGGGAGATGGAACAAGAGAAATAACACAAGACAAAAATGATTATATGAGAATAAGTCATACAGGAAATACATTCTCTTTCTCTTTCAGATGGCACTGAACCCAGTCTCTTTCTACTTTTGATGCAGGAGCTATTGACGCAAACATGTTGACACCAATAATCAATAATGATACTACTACAGTTTTGCTCTAAACAGACTGACTATGTTGGCCCAAGAATGTCAGTAACAAAGAGCAAAAAGACTAACTAGACATCTTTAAAGTGAGAGTAATAAACACAGAAGTCTGAGAAAACCTCCTAAAGTGAACATCTGATCACTGAAAACAAAAAACAGAATTGACTCATTTTTGGTTAAAATGATTCATGTTTAACTAGAAAAATAGATGCTGATTCACACACTGATACAACCAACTAATTGTTTTGGCAATCACTTCATATTATGCAGACTGACTCCCTTTAAGTAATGTGGTGTTTGAAACAGGAGTGCTAATATTTTTCTAGCTTACAAAGCCGACTACACGGTTCAACAGTTGATGAAGCAGAGTTAGGCAGTTTGAAACAGGATTTTTACATGAATTATTCACTGTGCTGTCTGCTTTTACAAAGCCCTCGGACATGACATTCATGGGAATTTCTGCTGCTGAGTAAATATTTCAAGGCTGGCTAACTAGCAAAGCTTTTCACCTTGCCTTCCCGGAGACAAACAGACAGTTTAAAGAGGTCTATTTAAAAATGTATTTTCTGCATTCTTTCATGTTTTTTTTTTTTTATCAAGCTGGAGGCTGATAGCATCATGAAAGTGCTGCAAAAACAGGGAGAGAAGGACACCATTCATAGCATATTTACAGCAGCTGCATTCCTGACAATCAGCGTAATTAGTTCCACCGTACTCCGCTGTGACGACCACTTCAAAAGAAATTATTAAAACCATTCAACCAGCACATACACGCACAAGTACACACATACAGTGTTATTCACACAGAGAAAGACAGCCTATGTGGAGTTAAGCCTCACAAAGCTTACAGATGTATAAACACACATATTTCTATCTATATGCACATAGAAATCACACTGCAGATGCACACATTTATTGAGGATTGCAGCAGTTGTCTTTTGCAATTACAGCTCAGAGGTAGAGAAGGCTTTGTTTCCAAATGTCAGGATTTTATTGTAAGCGGTCACCGTCAGACCTGCTCTCTCTCTCTCTCTCTCTCTCTCTCTCCCTCTCTCTCTCTCTCCCGAGGACCCTCACAACATTTCACTTGATTAGATTCAATTTGGAGAGAGAGAGCTGCAGGGCACTAATAACTGTACAAAGGCATTGCAGCATATGCATGTTGATGTGTGTGTAAGTTGGTGCGTGCAACGTATATTGAGCGTGCACACACTGTAGAAAAATCCTTTTGTTCTTACTGCAGGACCTTTCAAATCAAAGGACAGCCTTATCTTTATAAAGCTTTCTAATTGGCTGAGGCTGTGACTACATTGCTGGAGAGCTGGAAAACAGCACGAGACCATTATGCAATTTGTTTCTCTCTCTCTCTCTCTCTCTCTGGACCTCTTTTCTGTTTTTTTTTTTTCTGTCTGTTGGTCTGTCAGTCCTCTCCTAGTGGCAGTATAGCGTGTTGATCAAACAGCTGCAGTGTAGGAGATTATTTTCAGAACATGCTGTAAAGCTCCTGACCTCATAAACTACAATAGTGTCAGGGTCATAACTGCTCTGCAGGACAGCTGACATTACAACCACTCAGTCAGGGCAGCACTCAATAAATTCTAATATAAAACAATAAAAAAGTAAACTAACAAAGTCAGTTGAGTACAAAATTTAGCCGTGCAGCAGGGGGCTCTGTGTGAAAATTTCACTTTTTGAAGGCTATAACATTCATGTTACACAACACATCAACTTTCAACACTTCGCAGTGTGTGGATAAAGTTGTATAACGTTCTCTACGACTCTCTGGGAGCCTTCCAAAGTCTGAAAATAACCCCGGCGGTGATGTCATAGTGATGTCATCAGGGTTGGGTTGCTCGCTACAAATCTATAACAGAAAACATGTGTTACAAACTCCGAGCCATAGAGTATGACAGACATGGGGATTTACGAGCCAAGAGAGCCCTAATGAAAGATGAACTATTGAGTTGCATTGTGGGAATTGTAAGTCGCAGTGTTTGGACAAAAAGCCAGATATTTGCTTCAGTTTCTCTCCCATGTCTGAAATCTTTCCATATTAGCGCTTCAATGGTTGAGAGTAATCGTACAAAAGGAGGAAATATGGAAAAGTACAGCAGCTGTATAAAGTAACCGGAGCGTTACGATACAGAACAGGTTCAAAAGACGAACTAGGTGTTCCTCAAACAGGTGGGATTTCAAGCATGGTTTGAAAGCACTGGCATAGTATATATGATTTTATACTGTGTTATAACTGGTGCAAGGTTTTGGAGCAATAAAAGATATGCTTGTTCACCATGTAGAGGGACAGGGAGCGAGGACCTTCGTCAGTTTTGTTATGGCTTCTTTTTACTGCTGGTGCTCATAACTTTTATGATTGTAGTTGTTGTTAGAGTGGTAGCATAGAAGCTCTATAACAAAAGCTGACACATTACAAGCCGTGCCAAAGGTGTGAAATTGTATATACTTCCTGTCATCTTAACAGGTACAATGCCCTCCATCTTAAACCAATAAAACACTTAATACTGTTCAGATTTAATAACTGCATCTATATTTGCCACCTGCTTTATTTAATGTCTGATAGCAACTCAATCTCTCACACACAAAACACTAAACCCAAATTGATTAAGTCTGTAGTGTAAATAAGCAATGAAAATGGTGTGTACCATTCTTAAGTTATTTCTTTCATCCGCAATGCCCTTTAAATTCTGTCTACGTACACAACAGTGTTAATGACACAGGTGATACCAGTACGTCTGCACTAAATGAATCAACTTACAACCCTGAGCTAGCATCCTGAACAAAGGGGTGTTGAGAAAACCCTTTTAACACAGGTATAAGTAATACCTGCTGGAGCACTGTCTCTTTTCTTATGGGTTACAGGCTGTGTGTGAAATCACACACTTATCCACTACTCCCTGTAGTGGATTATATAGTGATCTCACCAGTACAGTGGAAAAATTCTTCTCGCCTGATAGTAATGACATATCGCTGTCGCACAGTTGAAACATGTTAGTGTGAGCTGGTGATCAGAAATAATGGTGATGATAACTACTCCAGATCCATATCAGTATCAGCCGTAACTGAGGGCTACAATATCAATATCGTATCAGAAGTAAAATAGTTGTATCGTGACACCCCTAATGGTTATTGAAGTATTAGGTGGTTGAAGAGGCCCATGATAAAAACTGTAGCTCTGCCACAGAAAGCATAGGAAATAACAGAGAAATACACTAATGTAAAAGGAGCAAAAATATGTGTGATATTAACACAGATCTGGTCTTATTGTGGAGTCTGGCAGCAGAACTTTGTTTAAGCCGCAGACACTTCAAGGCTGGCTGACTAACACAAGTATAGAGTACATTACAATAATGTAACCAGGATTTGACAAATGCATGGATGACTTCAGCTGTCTTGAGATGACAGGATGAGCCTCATCTTACTAACACTCCAGAGATTAAAGAAGCATGACTGAACCAGTTTTGTAATATGCAAATTGAAATGCAAACAGAAATCAAATTTTTACATTTTTTAGACGCAGGCTGTGCATGACGACAAGAAGAGTGTCGTCGAAATCATTGAACTGCTTTTGCAACGCGGCTGGAACTGAAGATTAAAATGTATGCTTCAATTTAAGGCCTGAGCCATCCACCCCCTGATGTTAGGAGGACAATTATATAAAACGGACAGTCTGCTAAAATCATTTGTGGCCTGAAATACCTTTAAATTACATCAGTCACATAGTTGTACACAACAAAGCTCTCTTTCTTTCAACATAGAAATGCACTACAGTGTTTCAAGTCTTGTTTAGACCAAAGAAACTGTACAGTGAATCAATACAGAAATGTTGCTGCTTTAGCTTTGTAGGATTGTTCTTTGTTATGAATCACAACCCAGGGGACGAGACAGATGCCACATAAATGAAAGGGAGCCGAACACAAAGGAAGCTACAGTATATCTGTTTAATTTTCTGAAGACAAAGGCATACAAACATCTGTCACTCAGGAGCAACGGTATTATCCTTCCAGCAACTCTTTTAATAAAAAACTCAACACGCAGAGATCGAGAGAAAAGCACCGAACAAACAGGGAATGAAAAGAAGAAGTTACAGAGCGCAGAGTTAGTGATTCTCAAGATGTGATATGGTTTACAAGTTGCCATTACTTTCTATTTGCAACACTATGAACATCTGCTCCTAAAGCCCTTACATTTGCTTACAATACATTATGCAATCCATCTTATAAGTGATTTTAATCTCTGGCTCTGATGCTTCACTTAAGTAAGAGAGGAAATTTCAGAGTCTTCTGCTGAACAGAAACTTTACAAGAACATGATGAAATCCAAATCATCCTTATTGCAACATCTGTATCTGCTTCCTGTCTGCCTTCCTCATAAAACTACTCATGAGTGAGATTCTTTCAGCAGCTCACTATCTTCTTGGATATATCGGACGCTGAATTTCCCAGAAACACATCATCACAACATAAATCAGATGAATCTGATACGTTCACACCGATATGAGTGGGTTTATGGGTCCTTATCAGAAGATTTTATCCATTAGTCATGTAATAGAACATTTAGTGCAAACAATTTGAGGAGGGATTTACTGAGTCAACATTTTACATAGAAAGACATATATATATAGATATAGATATAGGTATAGATAGATATATAGATATGTATATAAAAACTTAAATAATACAGTGCTTCAGGCCTGTGCTGACAGAGACACTACTGCAGTCCAGGGCTGACTGGTAAAGTCATTAGCTCCATTAGCCGTCATGAGACCCTCTGCACAGTAAAACAGATTTCAGTCTATTCCAACACAGTAAAAGCGGCACGTTGTAATATATGTGGACAATATTTGGTTCATAAACATGACAGAAGTTTATTTAACAATGCAGGATAGATTTAGTATTCGTGGGGGAAATATTCGAGTGAGCCAACTCTTCTTTTCAGGAAAAACGTTCAACGAAAAAAAGGGATTAGGAGAGACTTCCTGCACTACAGCTTACATGAGCAGAAATAAATATGATGGGAACAAGCTCTTAAACTGCATTATAGCAGAAGTGATTAAAGAATATTTTGTGTAATTGAAGTGAAAGAAAAATGTCTACTTCACTTCCATAACCAGCATGATAAATTACTTGTGGTAATCAAAATCTCAGAAATGCTGCATACGACATGAGAGTCATTAGTTGTGGTTGAAGCAGCTGCTCTGCTGGATTGCTATGTTTGATGAAACATCATTGATATCATTGAATTTCAAACCATAAAAAAAGGGCTGATCCTGATCTACTGCTGCATGTTGCAGATCTGCTGCTCGAACTAGAGAGTTTTTGAAGCTGCTGTTGCAAGTTGAGGATAAAACTGGTCATAATAAGAGGGCTGCTGACAGTTAAAAGCGGATCTGCGCTGGCTAATTAAAACCCAAATGTGACTCATGTATGTTGTGTCATTTAAACTCACCCAAGCTTAAAAATATTCCAAACTGCCCACAAGCTCTGACAAGATCTTTCAGGGCAAGTGTGCTCATTTCTGCTGTCATATAGGCAGAGGAAAAGCTGAAAACCATTACTCTCATGCTCCCTGTCACACACTGTAGTCCTTAAATCACTCACTCACCTCAAATTTGCTGTTGTCAACATTTCCACATTATCTGCCCGGCCGAGGAATTTTACTGGATCCCCCCGCTGCTTTTGTGGGCTTGGCAAGAAATGGTAAGGCATGTACGCCAGAGTCAATCATGTAACTCTCATATTTTGTGTTTGTTTTTGCTCCTTTTTTTAAAACACTAAAGTAGTGTAAAATCTTTCAAAAAGCAATAATAATAATGGCAAAAGTAATAACACTTGTAAGGAAAAGAGAAAGCCAGGGGAAAGTAACAAAATAAGGGTCTTGTTTGGTATTCTGATCCATCCTAGTGGCTCTCAGCTTTGTGCTCTGTATTGATCTCTGAGGCTGCCCTGTTTCCATTTAGCCTCTTCTCATAATATATAACATATCTCTGATTCATCTGCCTTCTTGCTCTCTCTGTCTCTCTCTCTCCCTCTCACTTCTGAATGAGGGGACATGACACTGAGAGGGGGCCACATAAGCAGCAGCAGGCGCCCGATCTGGCTATTGGTTTCATGTTATTGAAACCCGACCAAATAAAGAGGGAACGGCATCTGTCAATGACACCGAATGGAAATGAAGTGAAAGGGAGGAAAAAAGGAGAGGGGGGGGGGTTTAGTGGGCGTCACAATTTCTCTAACAGCAACGTTGTGTTTTCTCTGAAAAGGAGAATTACATAAAACAATGGAATAATTTCATACGCATGATTCATTGCTTGTCCAATCTGTGAATGACTACACTATCAAGATCAAACAAAATGTGCTAGAACATTCTGCTAATTACAAGCAAGTCAGTACTGTAAACAAAATCACATTAATTATGCGGAGGATGCAGCATCAATCAATCACGGCGCTGGAGTAAAACAAAGCCCAGCAATCACCCCCGTGTATCATCAGCTTATTTTGTTCAAAGTGAGGAGAATTTTAACAATATCTGACATTTTTCATGGATCTACAAAGAAGAACATACTGTTTAATCTGTTACCGTCTGTCATCATGATAACATCAGTCACAGACACTGACCCGCCTTTCCTCTGCTCATCATACTAGTTGTAATCTGTGTTCTCACAATCACACACAACATGCAGGCTTTGCTAAAGGAGCATTTTTCCCTAAAATCCATCCCTTAATCCTTTTGGGATCCTATGTGGTGAGGTATAATACTAATGTAGTGATACCATCAATTTCTCCCTAAGGATCACTGAAGTCTTTTCTCATTAGGAAGCCTCTTTCTCCTGTGGTAGTATGGTAAATTTAGTCTCACACCAATCGGCGATTTGCTGCTATAGCTGCAATAATCAACACTTTACAGAGTCAGGACTAAAGTGCGTAATGTGATGTTAAATGTGAATCAAACTGCTTGAATGCAACAAGGCATTTCCTCCTCAGGTTATTTCAACTCATTGTTCAAAGCTATCCTGGTATTTGTTGACTTTCTTCCATCTTTCATTTCAAAGCAGGTGCCAAAAACTGTTTTTCAGCAAATGTTCTTTCTGAGTAAAGAAACTCGGCTAGAATCAAATTGCAAATACAGATACTTGCTGGTGGGGTTTTAGATTGAAAAACTCTCTTAGTAACACCACTGTGGCCTGAGAGAGACTCATGATAGATAAGTACGGTCTTCAATAAGTTTTTATGTCCACTCTCTCCTTCATCCTTCTGTTTCTTAAGCATTCAAGAAATACAAAAAGACATTTGTCACCACTGTGCGACTCTGGCATCAGTATATCACAACAAATATAAGAGCATAGTTTCCAATGATAAGTCCCTCGGGTGAAAAAAATGATCAATTTTGTCTATTTGTACATGTGTCAAGCTAAATAATGAAACTCTTAATTCAACTTTGTCAGACTGGCTTGAGTCTGGTGTTTGGCTTAAGTGGTAAATCAAGATGCAACTGAACAACAGTGCAATTTATAAACCAAGAAAAAGCTGGGGGGGTATTTTTCCAAAGAGTGGCTGACCAGTGGGGAGTCTGGTCATGTTTTGGTAGAGAGAGAAAAAAAAGACTATTTGGGACAAATAGAGCAAATGATGAAGAGTAGTGTGGAAGGCAAGGCTGGTTTGATAAGCTTACAAACTTTTGTTTGCCTTCATTTTCAACCGTGTTTTCTGATTAAAAACGCCCTACTACTTTTATCACTCCCTTGTAATCTTTGCTGAGGAAAATATCAACTATATCTGACTTAAGGTCCTTTCACACAGGAACCGTTTTTGTCGTGTGATTATTTCAGATGTCAATATTTTTTTCAAACCTTTATCCTGTCAATACAAGAGTTCACATCAGCAACATTTTCCCGTCCTGCTATATTGCGGCATTTTTCGGATCATGGTCGATTTTTTTAAGTTTCGCATACAGTGTGTCCACTTCTGACCAATCAGATTGCGTGTTGTTGCGATGTCAGATTCACCGGTATATCCAACATGGCCGACCGGCTGATTGTTTACGTGTCGAGAACAGAGTGCTTTTTGATAAAAGACACAAACATTACAGAGATACCGACCTGAAGGACAACTTGTGTCATAACGTCGGATCTCTCATATGACGATGTTTGTGTGCTTTAACAGTTTGCTGAACGTCTTTGTTTTAACATTTATCTGTGCTAACATATGCTAACGGTTGTTACCATAGTTTCATCTTATCGCCTCTGATTGGCTATAAGTGCTGCCTGTTTGGCTTTAGCGTGTGATGACATTTCCAGCTTTTCTAGCCAATCAGAGGTGAAGGAGGCAGGACTTTCCCTGGCAAAGGTCTTCCCGGGATGCGTCTTTTCTCCCCGGAAAGTTGCAAAATCGCATCGGGCATCAGGCGCGTCAAAATTTGCCTCCGGATATTTCGTACTTTCGCGTTCTTTATTCGTGTCAGCCCCGGAGTGTAAGGACCTTTAATGTGACACCTACCCAAGTGAAAGCATTTTTCAGGGATCAATTAGGCATGTTATCAGTGATGGTCTTGTTTGCTTTTATAGCTCACACAGATGCATTAATCGTATTTTCACTTTGTTTCATAACAAGCGAAACACCCCTCACAGGAGCTTTAATATGGTTGTAATGCCATTATGAATTCAAGCTGATCAAATACAATCTGATCCCTGACGGACAAACTTGCCTGTTATGAAAAAGATTCGCAGTAATCAGGTACAAAAGCTGCAATACAACTTTAAGAGTTATCTGGCTTTTACACTCACAGGCCATGTCTGTGAGCTAATTTTTCTTAGATAATCATATTCCCACAAAAGGCCACTAACACCCAGAGGAAATGTTCTATTGAAACAGAGGGCGGAGAGAGAGAGAGAGAGTAACATAAGGAAATACAGAGAAAGAGAGAGAGAGAGCGGGAGAGACAGAGCCCTCCATGCATGCTGGCTCCTGTTCTTAATTATAGTAAAGCACTAAAGTGCCTCATTCATTTCAGCTGGGTGGGGCATCGGCCTGTGACAAAGAAGGAAAAAAAAAGAAACATTTATATAATTTTCACCTCAATTTATTCAAGTGTGCACAAGGATTGAGGACACACAGCTATGCATACAAAAACAAGCACACTCATAAGAAGTGTGCGCACACACACACACACTCAGATAAACACAGAGAAAATTCAACTTCCCTCAGCTTAATTCCTACCCAGATGTTCTTGCGGTTGACAAAGAGAGTTGGGGGGGGGGGGGGGGGGGGGTAGTGGGTGGTGGTGGTGGCTGCAGCACATTTTCAAAAACACACACCCATATTAAATGTTTTCAGTTAAACAGAGAGACGAAGAAGAGAAGAGAAGAAGAAACAACACAAGCACTTTCCTCCGCTTGATTTATGTGATTCTATTACATTAAACATTCTTTCCCCTGAGCAGGCTCAGCTCCCTAGCAACCATCGCTCGCAGCCCTAATGTGTCTGGCACGCGGCCAGGGAAAGCTGCCTGCCTTATTGATTGCCAGATTGAAAAGTTTGCTTTTAATAGGTCCTGTAATACATGAAGGAATTATTCAGGGAGCGTCCTTGTCAAAAACCCAAATTGGTTCTTTTGACTATCAAAAAACAACAGGGGCCTTGTAACAAATGAGCTATCAGAAAAGCTCTGAAGGGCCCCTTTTTTTTTTTGTTCCTGTGGATGAAATTAAACAACGCTGTAGCCTCATCAGAGTCATGCAGAAGAGAAAAAAAGTGATGTGGTGATTACTACGAGGTTAGAGGCCACGTTGTTGCTACAGATGAAGAAGACAAGCCTGTGCCATGCTGATCCCCTTTTGTGTCGTGATGGATTGGCCCTAAACACCACTCGCTGTCTGGTCCCCGGCCGCATACTGACTAATGAAAGACTACTGCTGGGTTTTTGGGGGTCAATCCACTTATGGCGCAGTCAATTCTCGGAGTAAAAACAAGATGCTCTGCAAGAACAACGAAATGTGCAAATACCACAGGGAGCAAATTTAATCAACTATTCTCAGTTGCAGAAAAGCAGCTGCCTTTTGATGAGACACAAACAAGAGAAACACTCATCTCAGTGTCTGTTTCCTTCTCCTCAAACACGCCTAAAAGCTCTTACACCCAGGTGATGATACCCTATCTGCTATGATGGCAGCTCTCGTTTGTCACGCAGCTCTGTCCGACTCCAACTCAATCGAGCAGCTGTGATCAGAGATCTCAGAGAGGTTGTCACCGACACAGAGCGAGGGATACATCGAGGCTTTTCTTCACAGAGACTCACATTTCCTCCTCCTGCAGACTGAAATGAATGTCATGTTTGGCTTTAAATGTATCTTTAATGGGACAGCAAGTTCCCATTTGAGTGAGTTCTGCAAGAAGGTTAGAGCAAAGGAGGAGAAGGAGGAGGAAAAGAGGGGAAAAAACATCTTATCAGGAGATTGGGAATTGGGTCAGGCAAGGAATTACATGCCATTCTAGATCAAAGTTGCCGTGTGTATTTCCTCAAAGAAGGGCCCCCTCATTATCAACGCAGACTTACTGTATTTCTCAGGGCGTGTACGTGTAAAAGGAAGTATGATTTAATATGTTTGGAGTAAGGAATGAAGCAAGGCGATGGGGGGGAGAGGGGGGGATGATACTATAGGGCTATTTGGAACAAGCGCGTTTCCTAAAAGTAGAATCTGAAACGACAAATTGAATGGGGGGGGGGGGGGTATTTGAGATATTTAAAGGGGCTCCATTGTAAATTCCTGTCATTATATAAGAAGCTCTCCATCTCTCTCTCTCTCTCTCTCTCTCTCTCTCTCTATCATCAGATCAGTACGGAGGAGGGAGGCTTTAAATAAACAGCCCGTTGAGCTAAGCCAACTGGAACCCTTTTCAATAATTACATCCCGCACAATACTCCATTTACATTGCATTTATTTAGCTGGAGGACTCGACAATGTGGCAAAGAAAAGAGTGACATTAGCAGCGGATGATAACAACTAGAGCGGTGCGCTCCCCAAGGGGGAGACGTTTTAGTCTGTGGATTAGAGGGAGACTTTACAGATAGCAATATGTCATTAAAAACCAGTGCCATCTGTTCACATTTCTTGTTTATGTGCTGTCTGTGGTATAAAGCATATTGAGTGAACAAAAGAAAATCCCGGAAATGCAAACCAGGGGATTTTCTTCTCCATATTTTGGTGTTTGCAATTAGCTGTGATTACACATTTTAAAAAGAGCCACAGAAAAGTAAAAAAAAAAATAACACTAACAATTGCTTTCTCTCCACAAGCTCTAATGATGTGCGTTTGAAGCTCCTGCACAAACTGTTTTCAGAAGACTGCTGTGTTATTCATGTGACAAACACAGAATCTGGCTAGAAAACAAGCAGGTAATTTCTGATAAACTGCTCCCAGCTTGCCTTTAAACCTCCAGTTTACAGAGCGAGATCTCTGATGTGGCAAACGTCTGCTTTACCAACAGAGCTGTAATCACCTAAATGCAACGCATACATACACAGTTTGCAGCTGCATGCCTCACACTGTACCGCAAAGATAAGAACTTCAGTGGAGACTATCTATTATGCCTGATCACAAGTTTAAGTCCACTCAGGCCAGAAAAACTTCTTATTTTTCTCACTTTAATATTTCTGTGTCTTCTTAAACAACCACTCGCAATAAGTCCAGTATGGGCTGAAATGACAGGGTGATTTTTTTTTTTTGTTTATTTTGTAAAACCCATCCCTGGACGCTTCTTTATTTTGTATACAGTATAATAACACAGTAAGAAGAGACATGAAATGACAACAGCATGAATCACAGAACTTATTTAAAGTCCTTTGTTGTTCTTAAAGTCTCTGTGATGACTGGCAGTGTCTATGTATGTGTCACTGGCTTGATTGGATGCGAAAAACTGTTCCTCATGAAAGCCACAAACAGAAATAACAGGTTGGTTTGCTGAATAATAGTCCATCCAATCAAGTTTTTCTCACATTTACTAAAGTAAAGTTCAATCCTCTCTGTTAACTTTTGATTTTATCTTTTGGCACGTCAAACAAAACAACAGCTTTCCTTGAGATATGGCTGAAGGGGAAAATCGGGGAGGAGTGGGGGGGCAGGACTGGCTGAATGCCTCTCATTTTGCCAAGTGCTCCTCAGGCCAGTACATAACAAGGAAATGGACTGACAGGTTGAGAAAGAGGACAGAGAGGCATCAATGATCTATTGTTTGCAGCCCAGGCGCTCCTTTCCAACTCCCCTGGCAGTCAATATATCAAAGAAAGCAAAATATATTACACCATCTGCACAGATATGTTTTGCAAATACAAATTATGTCATTTATGTTTTGTTTGGCTTAATAAAAGCATTAAGGACAGTTATGTATCCGTGCAAGTATGTGCGAGCATGCAGCGCGTACACGCACACACATACACACATACACAGCTCCCACTGAAGGTCTGGAATCTATCAAAGCCTGCATTGCAATTACCTTTCAATGCTGGTGAAATGCATTACCACTACGCTGTGAAATAAACACTATGTTATTCCTGCAAGGCTAAAAGTCTATCTTCCACACTGTGACCCATAGTACGTACACCCAGCAGCAGCCGCTATGTTTCAGTTCTGCCTTACAGATTATGGCAGAAATTAAGTGGAAGTTGTCAAGAGGCTGATGTGCAATCTACAGGAAGAGCTATTTTTAACTCTGCATAGGTCACAAGTGTTTCTCTGTCAAAGTAACTCCAAAGTAAGAGCTAAATGTGTTTTTAATGCGGTGACTTACTACAGCAGCAATGTTCACAGTTAACTCTTTTGAAACCATGATCTCAGGTGATGAGTAAAACAGCAGATAATGTAACTAAATCCTTTGTGTACTGTTGACACTTGTACCACTGTTAGCTTGGTTCATTTGTCTAAGATAGTGTAGCTTTCTCTGCAACAGTCTGTGCTGTTCGAATTCAAGTGTCACTTAAGTAGAAGTATTATTCGCAAAATGTACCACATTTGAAAGAACCACAATTAAAGCTACTCATAAGCATACTCAGTGACCAAAAGTGGCTCATTTAAGTATACCCTTAAATTACTGGGTTGTTATCGCCGATGCATTCTTGTATTAGTCGAAGTAAGAGTAGCTAGTTGAAGTAGAGCTAATTTAACTTTGTTTTCCTACTGATGTTTGGGAGCCTAATCATATTTGATTAAATAATCATTGTGTGAAAGCTCCTTTGAGAAGTTCAGAGCTGGTTTTGGCACTGACTAGAAATAATTTTGCCTCTTTGTGACCTACAAAAAGAAATAAGACCACCAATGATTTGTTGATCATTTTCGACACTGTTGTTTTTGAGACTTGTAGCCATTGCTGTGAGGGAAGTTGTCAGTGAAGTCAGCTGAAGTGCTCGGCCAAAACAGCCTTTGTTTACAGTAACTGTTGGAGAAGGAAGAGATTTATCTGAAAACATGACTTTTAGATAGGAAGAACCACTTTGTCCACAGGGGGCGCCAAAACACACAGACCAAAAGTCTCTTACTGTAGCTTTAGAGTGAAATCAAAATGATGCAGCTACAACCGAAACTGTAGGAAAGAAGAAATATAAAGCTGCACAAATTACAACGTCTCTTTGTGTGTTTTTCTAACTGATGGCACGAACTTGAAGTCCTTATGATAAACACAACAGGACAACATTCTCCTATGGATCCATAAAGCAGATGGACTGGCATACTCATAAAATATGCAGAGTTATTATTTGTACAATCTGTGTGTGAGCAGCGTGCCCACTGAGCAGCACACAATCATCCACATCTATCTGTTTTTCTTTATTTCTTCATCTGAAGGTACACAACACGACATAACAAGGAGATGTGAAGAAAGAGCAGTTCCCTGCTAAAATATAGATGTTGCTGTAATACTCAAAATGAGCATTATTTTGACAAAGACGGATATAGAAATCTTTCCAGAAAGACTGCTGGTTGGGTAACACATAAGTGTGAGTCAGAGTGTAACTGGAACTGGCAGGCAATTTGTTTAAGAAGAGAGAGCAAAATGTTCCTGAATCAACACACAATCTCAGATAAAAACCTCCTGATCCATGAGCTTTTAAGGCTTTTTATAACAAAGAAAATTATGGTGAAATTACTCTATCAGGAAATTTGTCTCTGAGGCAGATTAGCTGCTGTATTAAAACAGTCTCATTCGCTTTTTCTGCCTGTTTAAGATGCCTGGCAGAGGTCACATCAATAGCATCTCTGTTGTTTCAGACCTGACTAATGGAGAGAAGAGAGACACAACTGTTGTAATGGAGAGACAGGGGGGGGGGCTCTTCATTTCCTTGGAGGCCGTTCTCATTGTTTAACCAGCCCTCACTCAAAGCAGAAAACACATTATGTGACATTCCAGAAATAAAATAACACAAATTATTAATGAATATAGCCATCCAAAGGAGCTGAATTTGATTATGGTGGGAGTCATAAGAGGATATGGCATGGGTGTTGGGTGGTCTCTCTTGCTTTCTTTCTCCCATTCAAATTCAAGGCATGCTCAAACATCTAATAGATTTTTCCACCCCAGCACACAATTTACTGCTTACAGATTTAGAATTCTCTGGCTTCCGGCCAGTCAGAAGTGAATTAATGATATGAGCACATCAGTGAGGAAAAACAGCTTGTGATTCTCTCTCCTACAGGTCTGAGCATAATGAAGAAGATACTGCCATAAAGCCACCCCCTCCAAACACCAGCAAACAGGGAAAAAAACACACCCGGGAAGGAGAGAAAGAGGGGGAAGGGGGGGCGAGAGAGGCACATAATCAATACAAACACTCCATTAAATTACTTCAAAAGGGATTTTTCGACAGTTTGTTGAATTAGTTCTGCGCAAAAAAGCAGAAGGGGAAGCAAATATGTTTGAGGGGCGGAAAGCAAATGAGTGCAAACGATACAATCTGCCACATATTCTGAATGGAGGAGTAAAGTGTTGGTGTGTCTTACAAGGAAGAATTCCTTCTCTGTCACAGTCACAACATACCATTACTCTTGTAACACCGCAACGTATTCTCTTTTTATCTTTTCCAAGAAAACCGCTTACTCCCTTCCCACGTTGCAGCCGAAACATAAAACATTTTCATGTGTGATAGCGAGTCAAAGTCCCAAATATTGTTCTGTATTGTCACCAAGACAAATCAAGCATGAGAAGACAGCATCTGTCTGTCTCCTTATCACTGGCTCCTACCCGTATAAACATTCTGTGACGCTCACAACAGCCTCTGAAAAGGGACAGAATCTACCCTCTACATCAAATTGAAATGTTCCGACTGAAATATTGTCGGGATATCAACATCGGGTATATGTGGCAAGCCTGGCATACAGATCAGATGTTGCATCAGAGAGAAAATACACAGCGGTTCTCTACACAAGCAGGTTAGGCTGTAAAGAATTTTGAAATGCAGTGATATCGCTCTGTGTCTGGCCGGCTGGCTGCACCATCCAGCTCAATCAATGTTCGTTTAGCTCTGATCACATAAAGGGATGTTCAGGTGCATCCCAATTCCCGCCTGCACACTACTCTAACCAAGCAAATTCTTGGTATAAAATGATACAATTCAACATACCCCCAGATAGAAATAAAACTATATTTTGGCTTTAAAAAATCCTACTTTCTGAGTTTGCATACAATGCAATGCACTGAGGAAACTCAGAAGCTCAAGGCTCAAACTCAAGGCTGAGAAAAGTTTCAATTTTAATGTAATTTTGTGGCTCAGTTGGTGGAGAAGGTCATCCATTTATCGTAAGGGTGGTGGTTTGATCCCTAACATCACCAGACCATATATAGTAAATACAATAACCCACACCCCTTTCATAACAAAACAAGCTTTGCATGCGTGTATGGAAAAAAAACAAGATAATTTAACTGAAAAATGATAGTAACTTCAAGTGAAAAGTACAACATGATCTGTGATTATAGTCTGCTGTAATGGATTGGCAGGAAAATGCTATTATGTCATTTCTTTATACCTGCAGCTCACAGAAAAGTGAGCTTTGAATTAAATCCATGTTCAATTGGAATCTACACATTGAGATATTCCATAAATTCAAATCAAACTTCATTTTTATATACCAAAGAAAGCATGCCATAAGTTTTTTACTAAAAGTACATTCCACTGAGTTTTAAAAAGGTTTCACAGAATAAAAAACGGTAAAAGCTCTCTAATGGATGTTAACCTCTTTTGAAATATTATTTTCTGCCTGCAAGCTTACACATTCCTGTCATGATGTTTTTCCTCAGAGCCCTGATCCTTGCCATGCCAACAGATGATGAAGCTACAGATGATACTATATGTGAGGGCAGGAGTCAGGAACACCGTCTATGTTTCTCTGAATTCAGGAGTCTTGAGATCCGACCTTGTGTAATTTTCTGCAGCATCTCAACCCAGAATCTGTTCACTGGCTTGCCAACTGAAAGCCCAACTTAAAGACAGACAAGAAAGCAAACCTATTGAGCTATTTAAACAGCAGAAACAATCTATCCTGTTGTTTTCTATACATTTTTTTATTTTCCTTCTATAGCTCTATGTTTTTCTAAGCACAAGCCAACAAACTGTATCAGCAGATACAGCTCTCCAACCCCTCGGCCTCCTGGTATACGACCAGAAACCAATTTCAGCAGGCAGCAATGAAAAAAAATCAGGCCAGTTCTCTGGGGAGAGATAGACGGGCAGAATGTAAACTTCCCTGGCAAGCTATCCCTGGTGGATTGAACTGTAAAAAGAAGCTATAATGCTCACTTCAATACAAGATAAACTGAGTGGACAGTTTGCATTACCTGATTAAGTGAACTGCTTTACAGATTACGTAACGACTGCAAGCTGTAATGCATCTGTCTGTATGTACTCACAGCAATAATTTTCAATCTCTTCTTGGTTAGAGTGCTGCACATGGGATACTGATACTCAGTATATTTATTTATAGCTATAGCACAAATGTTGGTCTGACTTACTGTTATAGCAGAGTCAAAAAAAAAGATAGAAACTAGACCTATCAAAAGAAAATAATCTGCATTGTTATCAGATGAGCAGATACTGCACTTATTTTCTTACTGTAATACTCACATTCATGTTTTGTGCAAATTTGGCGCTAGCTGCAGCAGCATTATATCTTAGCTGAGCTCAGCATAATTACTTCAAATCTGAATCTGAATCAGCTTTATTGGCCAAGTAGGTGTGCACATATAAGGAATTTGACTCCTTTGCTTTCTATGTACAAACATTAAACATGAAATGAATTAAAGGTCCATATACAATTTTATTTTCATTTTCTAGATTAAAATAATGCCAAACCGTAGCTTGATACCACACATCATCTGACATCTGTGCTTGTTTACATCTAGATAGTGGAGCATGATAGTATTTTGGCATAGTATTAGTACTTTCGGAGGCTCTGCTACAACTAAAGGTCCTTTCACACCGGGGGCATTATTTTCGTGTGGTTATTTCGGACATCAATATTTTTTTTCGAGCCCGTATCCTGTCAATACAAGCATTTACATCAGCAACATTTTCCCGTCCTGCGATATTGCAGCATTTTTTTTTTCGTATCACAGTCGATCTTTCAAAAGTTTCGCATACTGTGTGTCCACTTCTGACCAATCAGATATCGTGTTGTTGCAACGTCAGATTTACCGGTATATCCAACATGGCCGACCGGCTGATTGTTTACGTGTCGGAGAACAGAGTACTTTTTGATAAAAAACACAAATATTACAAAGATAACGACCTGAAGGACAACTTGTGGAGACTCATAGCGTCGGATCTCTTATATGACGATAGTTTGTGTGTTTTAACAGTTTGCTAAATGTCTTTGTTTTAACTTTCATCTGTGCTAAGTATCTTTAGCTCGTAAGCTAACCTGTTCAGATACAACATACTATATGTATTTTTCACTGTCTCAAACTCAATCGCGTTGCTGTCACAGCACCATAAGGTCTCACTTGTTACCTTACGTTTATGGATTATAGTTTAATGTGCTTATCTGGTACTGGCCCCGACTCAGTACATGCTATCATGACAGACAGACATCTCAACACTAGTGTTTATACATTAATGCCAAGCTCATCATACTATCATGTTAAAACTACAATATATGACCTCTACAATCAGATGGTTAAAAGAAAAAAGTTTAAGTGTTTCACATGCAATATTTTTACATGCCGATGTCAACACTTGGCCTCTTTTTTTCCTGTCTTTGCCATGCTAAGCTGGCAGGCTCATGCTTGTATAGGCTTCTGTATAAGACATGGATGGCAGCGGTATCAAAGAACAGACTGGTGCCACTTGTTCAACAAATTGTACAAATTAAATCATTTTTCCTTTTAAGTTTCAGACGTCTGTGAGAAAGTTGCGTCATTCTCAAGGTTCTTTCATGCTAGTTCAGAAGCTCTTTTTTAAAAAAACCTGTTTTTCAAAGCCTCCCTAAAACTGGAATCTGAATTATGATACCAATCATCTCTCTGCCTCACAGGTTTTAGAGTCACAGCTGTCGATGCTGCAGGACAGACAGACAGAGGTAGTAAAGGTCACTTGTTTCTTTAATTAATTGCTTTAATTTGAATGGCCGTCTTTGGTTTCAATTTTTGTGCATTTTTGAGGACATTCAGTTTGGTTCAGTTATACTTTAGGGCTTAACATCATGTTTATCAAAGTAATGCAATTCTCAAGCTGCTATTTGAGGAACATTTCTCTGGCGGTATTTTTCATTTATGCCTGTGAGACACAAATACATTACAGTGCACTTAACTCACCTTGGCAGCGTGCCAGGAAAAGTTAAGATACGCACTTGGAAAAAAAAAAAGAAAAAAGAGAACCGTTTCCCTCGGTAACAATGGCACACTTTATTGGTCTTTAGCTCACAATGGTGTTCTGTGCAGCTTGTGGTATTGCTGCAATATCCTGTTATGGGGAACAATCCAATTCCTCTGACATAGTTACGGATCAGAATAACAATCAGCAAAATACATCATTTAAGCCATTCAGCTAGCAGCCACCTCGGGCTGTTCTGTTCATAAATACAATCGCCCCAAAAAGGGAATATAGCTGTATGACAAAAAAAGAGTCAGTTGAGTGTATGAGCTAACATATTACAGCAAATTACAGACATTCAGATACAGGATGCTTTAAGGCTTCTTTTATATCTGATCTGCTGCTGCTGTGGCATGAATATTTCATTTGGATAGTCAGCAGCATTGCAGAGGCATATTTCATATTTCTATGCAAACCCTTGCTCAGAGTAACGTGCATTTGCCTTGATGAATAAGTGATCTCTCTCTCTCCCTGACTCCCAAACTCTCTAGCCCGCTTATATTGTTGGACTGTCAACAACAGAAACACGCCAAAGACATAGTGAGCAAACAAACAAATGGATAAGTGGATGCACACCACCGATTGTCGGTGTGTAACATGTGTGCATGTTTGTATGCGTGTTAAAGAGTGCTTGTGTGTCTCTGGTGGCCTGCCAGAGTCTGAGCTGGTTCTGCTGAGTGGGCAGATTCTCTGGCGGAGTGTCCCATCGGAGTGACAAGTGCATTTAGAAACAGCCTGATGGAGTCATTAACGGCAGCGCTGCTCATTAGCAACACACGCACGCACGAACACACGCGCACGTACACACACACACACACACACACACAGCCCCTTGGTAACAAAAGCATCATCGTCAGGTTATTACACCAAGAGCAGATAAATCCATAAAATCTGGACGGTACAGCGCATTTATAGAACGCGATAATATGGAACATAATACCTTTTAAGAAGCACAATGGCACATCTGATTACGAAAGCAAGCCATCACACATACACCACAAGCACGATCAAACTGTATTGATCCCTGGAATAACAACAAAGCATCCCTTATTGATCTTCTTGTCCTTTTTTTGCGTATGAGATTCAAGCAAAGTCGAGCAATCAAGGGCACCGCCGCATTCCTGGAAGACCCTGAACAGTCAAACAGAACCACAGTCATCGATAAAGGAGCGTTTTTCTCGAGAAAAGTGCGTCATAATTTTAAGCCTGAAGCGGTTTCACTTCCATGTAGGCTTTAAAAATGATAATTGAGCAATAACTCAGGCTGAAATCTCCATCATTCTGTATAACCTGACAAGACAAATTGTCATAGTGATGGTATTTTAAGCATGTTTGCAAAGCTCCATTATAACACTCTAATCAGTACTAGGCATTACATCATAGCCATGTGAGAGGCAGGGAAGCAAATAAGTGGGAAATAGCTTCAAAGGGAACATTATGTTCTTTCTGATTATTAGGCTCAAATGCCAGTTTCCTATTTGCATCCGATGACTCATACACACAGACATACAGCTTTATGTTTCAACTGATTCATGGGTAACGCTGAAGCGAGACCCCGAGGGCCCGAGAACGCAGGAATCAAACAATCAGTGACACTTAATGGCACCGTGAACATGATGAACACACCAGACAGCTAGTGAGACACACAGCAATGATCCTTCGAGCTTCTGCGCCGCACGTCTGAACCGAAGGATAAGAAGGTGTCAGAGGTGCTGTGGTCTGCAGTTTGATGGGACTCAATTATTTAAAGACATAAGCAGCAGCAGAGTGATGTTATTGTTCGACATGCAGCCTTTGTTGTCTGGAAACGTATCTGTTGTAAAGTAAGACCGTAATGCATTTGCAAACCTGTCTCTAACAGGTCTCTGGTAGAGCAAGTCTGCACTTATTATAGCAGGAGGCTTTTCAACTACTTACTGATGAATTACTCGAGTCAAGACAACACTTGTTAAACTAGGTAAAACCAATAAACATAAGATGATTTATGGCAGAGGCAGGAGCCAAATGCATGAACATTTAACACAGCAGCATGTGGGGATAGAAAATTCAGCGGTAACCTTTAAAATGAAAATGATTTTAAGATAAACTAAAAAAAAAATTGGGGGGTTTTTCTAGCTGTCACCTGGTTTCAGCACTGAACAGAAGCAGGCTAAGTGCTTTTTATCTGTTTAATCTAGGCCAGTTGCCTCCAGACTCTAGTTTGGGAATTATCACAGACAGAAGATTGGTTTTGATCTTCTTGGTTTGATACAAGGAACATACAGTGGGTGAAAATTGTTTCCCAAAATTCTTTCAAAGGCAATATTCAACAAACCACCTTGACAGATCAATCTACTGTGGAGGAAGGACCCAAATACCGACCCCCAAAAGAAATCCGAAACCCAGCAGCAACCTTAAGAACTGCTTTTGAAGAAATAAACTTGTATGAATTGAGTTTTCATGAGTGCTCACCTAGCAGTGCCCTCTCCCTCTGGACATCCTTGAAGTTGAGACCACTGGTCAGGGTGCTCTCCCGGTAGCGGTGGAGAGCCTCCCGCCTTCCGTTGGTGCCCAGCTCCCGCAGCACGGAGGGTTTGAGAGGCTCGGCCTTCAGACAGTGGGCCCATCCTGAGAAGTCTGGCACAGTCCACTTCACCAAGTCTTCCAGCCGCACAATCACCTTCTCAGACACAGCAATTACCTCGTGCTGAAAGGAAACAGGGCACAGACCCAATTACAATCAGAAGCATCGAGAGGGAGTTACACATATGCGACTGTGCCAAGGTCGTGGGTCATTTCCTTGTTACATCATTTTATGGTTCTGTCTGAACAGACTTAAAGAAAAATTACAGCAATAACTTTTTATCTTGAACCTGATTAAAATTTGTGAGTCGTGAAGATCGTGAACGGGATATTCCCTAAGAGAAAACTACAATATCGATTTGTAGAATGAAGGAAAAAGAATAAACGATAAACAATCTCCTCAACTTTTTAGAAAAACTTTTTTTTATGCAACTACCCTTTCAACTAAATGCCACTTTATTGTGGCACAAATTCTTATTTCACACAACTTCTGTGTACTCCCTCATGGCAATTTGCTGAAGACTTGTGCAACAGTTATTTAACAACACTTTTTAAATCTCAGAGGGTTTTTTTTCAATAAAAATGTGTTTTTGTTAGATCGTGTTGTTTTCCTTATTTTCCAAAGTGTTCTGAGTGTTTTTCAAGTCTTCATCTTTTTAAATGTGGAGCATATCTTAAAAACTTAAGTACTTTATTTCCCTCTGACAGCTGGTGTAGAAAAAAACATAGATTTAAAACACTTGAATAAAGTCCAGGTGCATCAAACTGACTCTGTGCGACGGTACTTTAGGTCCTTTGGTAATTAATGTATATCTGTAGAAAGTGAACATAACACAGGTCAAAGGTCAGGTTGAATAACAGGATCACAATAGGGTCAAAGATTAGTCCCATATCCAGAGCCAGTAGAGGACAGAGGACGAACAACACAGTGTCCTTATTTATAGACTAAATTGGTATGTGCGTCAAGCAGCATTACGGCTGTGGATGCACATTAATGTAAGTAAATTACTGCAGCATGAATATGGATGATGTGGATGATTGCTGAATTGAATTTATGCCAGCAGTTAAATCAATGTCAATGAGGACGTTGGATGTTTTGGACTTTTTTTTTTGATTAGCATTTAGATAGAGAAGTTCAGCTCCTGATAACTGCCATGAACACAGAGAGTTTATCCTTTTTAAAACACAAGTTAAAGCAGATGGAGGAGTGGAACAAATGTCAGGAGAAAGCTGTGGTCGAACTGACACACAATAAACGGCGGTCAGGAAACTATAAATGTAAATCCATAGCAGTGATGTGCATGTCTGGATAAACGGAGCTGGTTTTGTACACAGTGGTTGTACTTAATAAGATATGCTCTCTCTCTCTCTCTCTCTCTCTCTCTCTTTTTTCTCTCCTAAGGTTGATTTTACCTTTTTAAATAACTACCACACTTGACAAACAACAAGTCCAGTGTAGAGGAAGCAGAGATGCCTAAATGTGTTTTCATTTGAGGGGCTAATGGCTGAAGTGTGTTACCAACAGAGTGGAGTGGCGTGCTGGAAGATGGCCATTACAGAAACGGGTAAATCTGGAGGACAGATGTGTACAGGCAGAAACACAGACACTCTGAGTAGGGCTCTGATGTTTACCTTCGTATGTAGCAGGCATATGTCCCTCAGCCTGTATATTACTGACGTTAAAACAACATTTATTTGCCCTGTATTGACATTTTTATGTAGTGTATGTATGCATGTAAAGGGTGGGGACGCAGTAAAAGCTACACCTTGTACGATCTAATAAAATTCAAAAGAGCAACAGCGCAGTAAATCCTTCCTTTGTGAAGCTAAACATGTCGAGTCTTTTTAAGCTGCATTTTTCTCATTTAAATGGAGTATTTCAAAGACTTCCTGTTATTTTGTTTCCATTTTCTAAAAACAAACACACAATTTCTCTGGGTTTCAGATTCTCTCAGAGTGCTCTGTCTACACAATTACCCGTATTCAGTTCTCACATCATCTGCAACTACAGGCATATCAAATCCCAACCAGTTGGAGACAGTATTTCCTTATAAAGGAAAAGCCTGCGAGGGATAGCTTGATATAGCTGTGCCTCCCTCACTAAGTAGAAACATCAAACATGGGTTTTCGGTCTTCTTATAATGAGCTGTCTTCAGCTGTCAAGTGGTGGCGGGTGGTTGTAACCGGCTTTCCATGCAATGAAAAACTGACTGCTGTTCGTGCCTTCAGAAAAAGCAGGCCATTTGAATAATGTAGAACAACAGTAAATAGCATCCAGCCTGCAGCCAAAACCACATTGTACTCTTTCTCTACAGATTTAGCTACTGTACTTTGATGCTATCTACTGACAGCACATAGAGAAATCTAACTGTGAAGTATTTCCATTCAAAACTAAAATAATGTACCGAATGTTCTCCTGCTGGGGTATGAGTCAAACAGAAAAACTTCAAGTAATCCAATAGCACACCAGAGCATTCACACACAGCAACAGCAAGCTTTAAAAACACACAGCCTTTCCCTCTATATCAATCAGCTGGATGACACACTGCCTTGTGTGAGTGTCAACAGATCCTGTTTGGGGACTTGTTCGGCTCGAGAGCAAAACACAACAGGTGAGAGCAATTCAGCAGCTGTCAACACAGTTCAGAATATAATCAGTCTATGAACGCAGCCAAAACAGGCTACATCCATTAGCTGTGCTGTATACTGATCTTTAAAACAGCAGCTGAGGTCTGGGAGCCGCTGCTGTGTGATGCAGCACATACAGCCAGGAAGCTGCTGAATACATGCTGCGGTTTTGCTTAACTCATGATGCTTGATTGTGAAATGTTTAGGTAAATACTGTAGATTTACGAAAAGTGCTGGGTTTCCATGAGAACAAGGCCGTTGAGAAATGACAACAGTATTACTTTAGCCTGCTTCGCCACTATAAAATAAAAAAAACCAAGGGCCTGCCACCAGTGATTATTTTCATTACAGTACAATCTGTTTGTTCAGTTAATCTTCTTGGCTACGCAGTCTGAAAAAGGAAAATGGTACTCAGGATAATGACATCATATTATTTATTTTAGTCCAGTTTTCCAGTATTTTAAAAACCAAACAATGAATCAAGGGAGCCAGGAAGTTATTGAGAAACCAAGTGTTGCCTTAGTCAAACAAAAACATATTTTTTAGCAATGACAGTAAAAGACGAAACTAGGCCTGTGACCAATAACTGTTTCTGTTATTGTGTAATCTGATGATTCAGTCAATTTTTTCATCTATGGAGAAGAAAAAAACTTCCAAAATTCAGCTTTGAGAAGCTGCTGCCTTTCACAACTGCAGCTCAGTTTGATCTTTTTTAGTCATACAAGGGTTGTTCTGAAAAGCTCTTGTGAGGAGCACTTTATCTGGTTATGAAACAAGTTGAAATTAAAATTAATGTCTCTTTGTGACCTGCAGAAAACAAAACCACCAACACAAAGAGATATAAAGGTTTATTCCATATAGTCATTCTCAACGTCTAAAACCACTGCTGTGCTCTGGGGTTGGTGTCACAAATTATCAACAGCATCACATTAAAAATTAGAGATGAGTAAAACATTCAACTGTTCACAAACAGGATGACATTTACTGAAAACTCTACAAACAGATGCGCATTATAAAATCAGGAGAGATAGGAGTTACCTCTCTCTCCACAGGGGGCGCTACAACCCCCACGCACAACCAAAATAGTTCCGCACAGGAACTTTAAGCATGTTAACTTTGATTATGCACACTTGGGTAACTCCACTACTTTTTGTATTAAATGGCAAATATTTGAACACGTCATTATTTTCTACTTCCTACTAATAAATGGTAGAAAATGAGAACTGAGATGAGATGAGAAAGTAATGATTACTTACTTTTAATATACACACTTGGGTAAATCCACTACTTTTCTTTTAAATGGTAAATATTTGAACACGTCATTATTTTCTACTTCCTACTAATAAAAGGTGGAAAATGAGAACTGAGATGAGTATGAGATAGGAAAGTAATGTTTAATTACTTTGAATATACACACTTGGGTAAATCCACTACTTTTTGTTTTAAATGGCAAATATTTGCTCACACAAGTCATTATTTTCTACTTCCTACTAATAAAAGGTAGAAAATGAGAACTGAGCTGAATCATTACTGCTGTATTCAACCCTTAAGGGCTCTTGTACTTGGATAAATTTTTTTTTTTTTTTTGGTTGTTAAATTGTGCCTTGGAAACTTGCTCTTGTGTAAATGCAGCCCATCCACACTGTCCTGTCATACTGAGTTAGACAGCTGATAGTTTTGCAGAGCAGCAGACACAGCCAGCAGGCCACTTGATAATATAGGTCAGAGGACTGTAAGCCCATAGCCAAGAGGTGACACTCCACATCAGCAACATACCAAAGTGCCTGGTGTCATTTCACTGACACTTCCTACACGCATGCATTACAAGCGTTTATACACTCTGGATCCTACTCCTAATATCTTAATGTACTACCATTATTTCAGCTCCAGGAAGTCAATACACACACACATGCTGTCTAACTGCTCAATTTTATGATTGAGTTAGAATGCATGGTAACACATTAACAGCTGAATGTTACATTCCGTCTCCATTCTTCCATCAATAATTCATGTTATTACTGCAGCAGTGTGATATCTCCAAAAACATTACTGACTGAATTTATTGCTCTGACTGCATATAATGGACTAAAAGTGATGTGTGTGTGGGTGTGTGGGGTGTCTCTGTGTGTGTGTGTGTAATAATCTGCTGTGAAACTGTAGATAATTCTGTTCCAGAGAATGCATGACTCCAGAAATCTCATTGAAAAATTAAACTCACTAAAATCCATATCATTCAATTTATATGCACACTGCAGTGTACTGGGGGTGGCAAAAATGGCACATAAAGGGACATTCCCAGTTTTATGTATATTGGGTGATCCTATTAGAGACAATGCACCCTGAAATATTCCATATTGCGCCCAACAATTCCCAGTGAGACACAGTGAGGGAGACATTCCTGACTGTCAGCGTTCTGCACTGGAGCGTCTCATCGCTCGGACAGGACTTTCAGCTTGGGAGTCAATGGGGTGCACGCTCCCAGTGGGTGGGTGTCTTTCTATACTGTGGGTACACACATGCGCACACACGCACACAGAGCGCTCCTGTCATGCTGGGAAGGTTTCAGCCTGCTGCCTCAGAGGGGTCAGCGCTGGAATTCGTAAGGCCAAAGGAGATTAGTAATTGAGTAATGGACATGGTGACATGGACAATGAGGAGACAGAGACAGAGGGAGAGAAAGAGAGGAAGAAGGACAGAGAGAGAAAGAGAGAGAGAGAGGGGAAAAAACGAAGGTATGAAACACAATATGAGTTCATTATCTTTCTCCCGCCCCATGCCTGACCTTGGCTTCAGTGTCCCAAAACAAACTTATCTTGGAATTAAAAAGCAGCTCTGGGGAGTGAGCCAGGCACAATTGAATTAGAATATGTTTTCCTCGAGTCTAGAAAGAGTTCAAGGTATAATATTTAAAAGGTGAGAATCATTGTACATAATGTTCTGCCACTTAATGCATGCAGTTTATTCGTATGCATAAAAAGTTGCTGTAATATCTGCAGGGTGCTGAGCTCATCTTTTATTCACTGATTCCATTAAGAGATTGCTCAGGTGATATATGAACTGAAAGCATTCTTTTGGGGTTATAATGACAGAGAAAAATAGCGAGATAACAGGAGGTTTCAAAGCCTCTCTGAAAGTGGGTGAGGCATCCATCATGTAAGGTGACACCACAAAAAAAAAGCTCTGTCAGCTCCTTTGAAACGCTTCATCTTTGTACTCTTGTATTTTAGCAAATATATGCACACAAAGACAAAAAAGAGACAAAATGCCCGATGATCCCGTACGCTCCGTCTAAGAATGAAAAATACTGGCTGCAGCATTAAGCAACAGCTTCTCATCTGCGTCTGCATTCTCCTCAAAGGTTATAATAACGATCCACTGTAGCTGGGGGCACTGGAGTCATGCATCAAGGCAAATGTTTGCCTGTTCAAGTGGTTAGTCAATGAGAAAGTGGAAAAAACTGGAGGTAAAGAGCACCAAAAGGCTCTGCTGTGTTGATATAGCAGGCGCTGCTGAAACATATCATTACTGAGGCGGGAAAGACACAAAAGTTTGAAGAAAGAATCAGAGGCTGGTGAAGGACGAGAATGACAACTTCTTTACCAATGGGAAATGTTAGCAGGGGTTTTATAGTCTTTGAAGTCCAGGGTATTCAATTTTAAAGGTTTTAAATTACACTATCCTAAAAAGCTGGTAATAATTTACATGCTATTTCAGCAATGGTGAGGAATTCACTGGAGGGCAGTGTTCAGAGTTAATGACTTGTTCTGCGGCAGGAGGCGGCACACATGCACGCACGCACGCCACACATGCACACTGAAAGCCCCCTCCTCCTCTTCACTTCTACCCCTACTCTAAATTCCTGCCATTGTTGTGTGAATGGGGAGATTTGGTACAATGCGCAGACCGGCCAAAGACAAGGACGCTGTAAAAAGATCACTGTAAAAATGTGCCATATCACATTTACACCGGAGTCATTCAACAGAACGACCTTATCCATCAAAATGCTGGTCGCATATCTAAGCCACTTACACTTAATTTAACCAGCATCCCAGATGCTTGAATTACCCATTCAGGGTTTTTCCCTCAGGAAAAATCAAAGAAGCAGCAAATGAATACAATCTAATTTCCCTACAAGCTGGCTTTCCAAGCACTGAAACACATGCATGGACTCCTGCCATGGACTGAAGAAATGGCCCTGGATGCATGCCAAAGTGTTTTCCACAGCAATCAATACTGGCCTACTGCTGCAGTCCCCTGCCTGTCAGTGTGTGTGTATGTGTATGTGTATGTGTGTGTGTGCGTGTGTGTGTGCCAAAGCCTTGTCAGCTAGAGGGACAGAATAGAGGAGAAGAGAGGTCAGATGAAATCAGAGGTGATGATAATAGCACATTAATATAACATGATCCAGAAATATTCTCTGCGGTTGTGAATTCCCATTAAGAGCGCCGTGCTGTATTTGCACTAAAGTGGGATATATAGTATAAGATAAGAATAAGCAATTAAGCGCCTGAAGCAGAATGTACAATAAGTGGGTGTTGTGAGGGGCGAGCTGTTATCTACACATGGCTCTCTCCTGAAATGGGGGGAGTCCAAAAACAGACAGAGGAAGGCCAAGAAATAATGTGTCACTCAGAGTTTTAAAACACATGTGACTGTTTAGTCGGTGGCAGTTTGCAGGCAGACAAATAGAGCGGAGGCCCCAATAGAGGGTTTGTCATAATGGGTGAGCAGCTCGGCACAAAGCCTGTTTAAAGAGCAAGCAGAGCTCAACTGGTGGGGGTAAACATTGCTCGTCAGGCTGAGACACTAAGAAAAATAGAGCTCCCTCCACATATGGACTTAATAATTAACTTCACAGATTAATAAATTCCTTTCTGGTTTTGTTTATCAACTATTCAGCAAACTCAGGCGCCGAGAGTTTAAGTTTATTCAATGAATCATTATTTCTATTTCCAGCCTACACGGGTTTGAAAGCTGGCTGCGTTTAAAAGGAATTGACCTGCGACCCCAGGACAGAAGAAAAACAAGCACAGTAGGTCATGGGTTGGTTCCTCTTGTCACTGCACAGCACAGCAAAACACAGCAGCGCAGGAGAGGCTGGGAGCAAACAAATACCTGAGAAATAACCAGGAAATTACATCATACCTCTGCGCAGTGAATCAGTAATCCAATTCCAGTGAGCAAGCTCAATATAAGGCTGTTGTGATGTTCTTGAAAGAGTCATGCCTTGTGGTATTTGCAGGATATTGGCTCTGAGCTTAAGATAATACCAATCTGCAAGATATGAAGCGCGATTTCATCGAGGCTGGGAGCAACATAAAAGCAGCTGTTTACATGTCAAATGTAGAATAACACCTCGTCTGTTTTTACGTTGTGTGAAAATATAAAAATGTAAATCTGACATGATCTAAGAATAAAAGTCTTGAGCCCCTATGACACAAAGCTGCGGCTTCACCTCTTAGTGCTGCCTGTGCTCATTTAGCACTCAAATCTTGTGAAAATAGCACACTTCCTGAGAGCTAGATGCTATCAGGTCCATATCTGTATGACTCACTCAGCTAATTTTCAGCCAGTCAATTACAGATTTACAATCCTGAGCAACTCCGCAGCCATTAATCTGTCTTTATGTGCTCCCAAAGAAAAATGACTAATGATAGGTTTATAAAATCCACTTCCCAGCGTAGCTATAAATGAACTCTTCTCCTTCTTCTTCTTGTTTACATTCTCAAACAAGCAATCTTTTCGCACATGCATCACTTAGGCGCAGATTTTAACAGCCAGTGAGTTTTTTTTTTTTTTTTTGTATCATCGCAGCCTTTTTTTTTGTCAAGTGGGTTTAGCCTTCCTGTTTGTTTTTTGGATTATGGCTCGCATCTGTAAGCGCTCCTCGCTGACTCATGCAGGGCAGATTAGTGTTATGGGGCAAAGTCAGCGAGAATCTGAACGGGCTCAGTGAAGGTCATAAACTGACTTGAAGTTGTCAGGGCAATTTCCACTGTGTAATATACAGTAAGTAGTCTAATTCGCTGAGAGCAGGAGGTTTGACAGGGCTCTTTAATTGAGGTCAGCCTGCAGGCACTTACATTGCACTTAAACATATCATCCTCAAATTATCTTATTTGATAGTTTGACTTATTCTGTAATCAGTCTGCAGCTTCAAAGCATCTGCAGGGTTGTGTGATGCAAGTCGCTGCATAATTCATGTGCTCTGTTCCTCTTGTGATTTCACTTCTATCAAACACACAAACTGTAACACTTTGTGTTGCACTTTGTGTCCCAAATTCTCTGAGATTTCATTTGCATTGCTGGTGCAGCACATAATATTTTCCAGATATACCCAATGGACGGGAGTGTAAGCACTTTGCAATGCAAATAAGTCTTTGGGAAAGGGGGCGGAGTCGATGTGTCGTTGCGCAAGTGTGGCCTCAGAATCAGCGATGCATGCTCTCCAAGTAATTACTAAATAATTGCAGCGTGTTAAAGGCTAAAGTGAGAGGGCTGCAGGAGATGATACCCGTTTATAGAAGAATTCTGCCACAAAGATGATAGCTTGTGTAAGCGGCAGGGCCATAAATAGCCACCTTTCTCATGAAAGGGAAATGTGATAGCCACTCTATTACTCAAGAGGAAAGAATGTAAGTAAACCATCAGCGGAAGAGTCGAGTACAAACACGGCTTTGTCCTTCCCTATAAACAATATAACAGCAGCGGAGAATCATTTCCATCCAGCCGCGAGTGATCAAAAGCAGAGAGGAGTAATTAAAGTGCTGTTGTCGCTGGCGGAGGAATATCAGAGAGAAAACAACACGGCGTTTGTTTAACTCTCGATATCAGACTAATGCCATTCAGAGCAGCGATGTAACCGGATCACAAGCGCCACATATGGCCACAGTCAATCATAACTATTGCTTTTCTGTGCCAACAGCGGCGTCATGTAACACACACAGGCGAGGAGACAATATCACATTGTCGCGGGTGGAAATGTCCACATGGAAAATTATGCAAAGCTTGGAGAGTAGTTAAAACGTGTCAGCGCTGGCTCTGCTTTATGACTCGCTCTGCCTCTTTCAACACCAGGCAGCATTACAAAATATCTAATAACTATCACAGCGACTGATCTCCACCAGGTTGACCCCATGCATTCATTGTCGTTTCGCAATTTCCGCCCATATGCCAGTATTTGACACGCTTACTAAGAAATGAAATGACAGAGTCTAGGCGCAGGATTGTTGCGGATTTTCCCCTTTATAACACAATTAACCCCATAGAGCGCAGCGGCAGCCTTATTGAGCGCAGCTGGACAAGTGCACATTCAGCAGTTGACACCACAATAGGCAAATAGGCTAAAAGTAAAACTAGAGAACAAACACCGCCGTAGGTCAATCCTTTTACTGCTCTGATACATCAATGTCAGTATCAATACGCGCGTTTATGAAAGCCTGCCTCGGGAGGATACACTTCCACTGCCAACTCTTAATGCAGTAAAGATGCTGCTTAATACAATACAACAAAAAGACTCGCAAACGAGGAAGAACAGGAAACAAAAAAAAGGACAAATCATTCATAAATATTCAGCAGCTGAGTATTAAATGCTCCTACCTCTCCATGGCTGATCGTCCGTCCCTGGGGAGTATCCTCGGGTAGAAAATAAAGTTTGGAGCTTGATAAAAGTTGCTTGCTTGTTCTTTCTTCCCAGAGCAGCTGAAGCTCCGCTATGCAAATAGGATCCTCTGGTTTACATCTGACGAAGAAAAAGTCTCCAAGAGACAGAATCCTAGATTTGCAGTCCCGGTGAAATTTAAAGGCTTTATAGAATATATATGGTCCATGTAAACCGCAAGACGAGCCCACCCACTGTTGAGGAAAAAACACACACAGACGGAGAAATTAATGAATGGCTTATCGAATCGTTTGGTAAACAAAATGGTAGCAAAGTGTAAACAAACATTTGAAACATCCCTGCGTGATTACACTCGACAGGCAAATATCACATGAGAATATCTCAGTTTTCTTCACACAATTACTATCGTTGCAACTATTTTTAGACGTCCAACATATGACACAGATGTGGCCGGACTAAATTTGATGTGGCAAAGTTTGGCGGATGAGGCACGTGCGTACGTTTCACAGCAGGTGGCGAGCGTAAAAAAATATGAAAATGATATAAATCGACGGTTGATAACAAACGTTACCTTCAGTGAGTTCGGCTCCATCTCGACGTTATGAATTGATTAAACTCAACACGCTCTCCAAACTTGCTGGCTTGAATGGATTGCCGAAGGTCCTGCAAGGAACATATCTCTGTGGAGTTTAAAAACATCGTGTTTTCGTCGATAACTAATCGTAAAAATACGTTTTGTTGAAAAATACATTTTGACGAACATCTATTGAGTTTGTGTGATTATTTCTCGTTGTTTACACGCGGTTGTGATTTTTTTGTACATTTCTATGACGCGGCGAGACCTGTCCAGGTTCAATATTTGCATAAAACCATAAAACTACGAAGAATTTTCATTACCTTGTGAGAAGCTATTGTATATACGATTAAAACAAGTCGTTCATTTGAGATATTATACAAACATGGACCTACTTTGTGGTGATTTCAAACGTTTATGCTCTTTTTTCAGTTTATGCACCTTCCAGGACTTGTGTAAAAGACGTTCAGTATGAAAGCACATTTCTCACAGTAATGACACTGAGGCGCTTGCTGTGGATGCCTTCAAGAAACAATGTTACATGAAAGTTAATAGGGCTATCAAATGATTCCTCAAAAGGCAATGTAGGACCCGCGAGGTGCCGGCTTTGCTTTCAGCGGAACTTGTAAAGCGTTATGACTCGGGCTCGTGGGTTGGCTATAATGGCGAAAATAATGGCCTTAAAGATATATTTATATGTATATTTTAAGGCGAGCATGAAAAGACGAAATTGGCCGAGTTGGAAAGCGGGGAGTCACGAGACAGAATTCACGAGGCGTGCCATTATTGAGACGTAAATTATGTGAAAATGCCGCGCTGTCCTTGTGAAGACAGCGAGCTGGGCTATATATTTGTCACGGATTAACACATATGCACGATCAAAGCTCCTTACATAATTATGTTGATTAATATTAACTATCAAAATACCATAATCTATACCTCTATACGCAGGGTGGGCAATGTCAGCATATATATTAACAATCAGTTTTATTATTCATTTATTTTGAAGTTACAGCCCACTTTAACTTCACAGTTTCTATTTGTAGACTCACTGTCCTTTCAGTCTCCGCTGCTCATTGTGTCAACTGTATTTTATCGGCTGTCTAGAGTTATTCATGTGTTGGGAGGTACCATCTCTGTCCACAGGGCTGCGCTGTTTCCCCGCTATTATCCACCCTTTGCCCTGCATTTATCCTCCACTCAGATCACAGAGCATGCAACAGCGACATAGGCCTACTTCTGACACCAGCTATTTCAAGTACACTATTACGCAATGCGCTTTTTTCTTCCTGAAATGACGGGCAGAGCAAACAGACGCATTGATTCACTTCCAGGAAAGCTTTTTCCTCTCTAATAGAGGGATGTTTTCTCATTATGCTGCTGCTGTGCCATAGTTAATCCTAAAAACACACAGGAGTTTATTTTGAAGATGTAGTGTCATTACTCTCCTATCTGTTTGCATGTTATGGGGTTCAGTAAGACAGCATAATGGGATATAATTTGTATGATTGTAATGTCAGCCTAAAACCAGGCTTGATTTGAAGTTCTTAATAGAGAGTCTCTGAAGTGCCCTCTTTTCAGAGAAGCTGCAGAACATGATGTGTTAATACTAAAATAGCTGAGGCAATGTTCTGTGACACTCTGATATTTTAAGTACCAGTTTAGTGCATCGTTTCAGAGTAAAAGGTGGTACACAGAGCCTCACTGTCTCACACACGGCTGCAGCAGTGCTGGGATCCTGCAGTGAATCTAATATAAAGCGTGCCTCTTAGTGTTATCTTCCCTGATTTCTCTCCCAGCCATTTCAGTGGCTGAATCAATGGGGTTGCATTGTTAATGGCAGCCACTATAATGAAGTCCCTGGTTAATCAATGGCACCACTCGAGCTCTTATCTGGCAATTGCAAGTGTTTGCTTGTCAACAGCCAGAGAGTGCCCAGCAGCAACTGCAACATTGTGATGCATATATTGATGTGAATTGGTGTGAATGGAGCTCCATGTTGAGAAATCTCTATTAGGAGTAAATTTTTAAAAATGAAGTAGAAAGAGAGAGAGGTGATTTATAAAATACTGAAGGGATTCTTGTTTTGCATTATATACTGCATGATATAAATGGTGGGTGCAATAAACACAACCTCAAGTATAGTCCTCTATCTGGACAGGTCTTTGTGATAAGATTGGGTTTAAAAAGAAAATCAATGAGTCATATTTACATAGTTTGACCTGAGTGAACTTGAAGCATGAGAAGAAAGAATAAACAAAAGGGAGAAGGGTTTCCAATATCTGATAAAATGTTTTAGACAAATAAGAAACTGTACACCATAATGGACAAATTAACATAAAATTGAATCTACTGTAAACAAGTTTTCACAATGATGTGCACGGCATGAATATCAAAGTAGCCTGAATCTGGATCTAGCCTCATGACTCTTAACGGATCTTTTTATGTCAGTTGAAGCAGTTTTCAACGTTTTGCAATCACTTCCCTCATTTTGCAGAGAAAAGCCACCATATAATCATCCTTAGCTTCTTTCTTTATTTGACTTTAAAGCTCCAACTTATGGGTTTTAAACTGCCAACATGTGTTGACTGCGTGAGTGAGCACAGAAAACAGAAAAAAAGCTACACAAAAAAAGCCCAAAATGCTTTTTAATAGAAAATATCTGGAAGAATGTGTGTACTTGGTTATTTGTTGCCTTCAGCAGCAGTGTACAATGAGTGCATAAGTGGTAAAAAAAAAACCTTTGTTTTTCTCAACACAGGTGTTCCACATTCCACATAATGAGGCAGCCTCAGCAGGGAGCCATAAATGTGGTCAGAAAGTCACTTCAGTATTGAGAGCCGCAGTAACAGTTGTAACAACAACAAAAACCAATACAAATGCTACTATAATGTTGCAAACCTCTGCCAATATTTGGAAATGTTTCAAGACGGGAAAGTAGTTTTAGTTGTAATGCAATCTTTGAAATAACATTGAGGCCAACTGTTATACCTACATGTAAGAAATCAATTCATAGACAGCTGAAGAGATTCTTATATATCAACCATTTGGTGGGATCAACCAAAGGAAAGGAAAAAGAAATCATGTTTGATGGGAAATTAAAATTTCATCCATTTTGCACCCATCATTGAGGCAAAAGCTGCTGAAACAAAAGCTACACACTTATCACATTGGACAATATACCCAAATATACACATTAAAAACAAACAGTCTTGTAGCATCAAACACACGAAGGTCCATCCCACTGCACAGTGCTGGAGCTTTCTTAGATAGCTGTTTTGAAAAATTAGCCATTTAGCAGCAAACTGGTGAACATGATGTAGCATTTAGCAACTACAGAGCCCAACCCTTTGAGGTGGTGGAAAAGCAGATCTGACCAAACTATAAAGCAACTGGATCAGGTAATTTAGTCCAGGACCTTTTCGAAACGGACATTAATAGTTGCAGGTAGTCAGAGCAACAACTTAGTGAGCTAGACTAAGACGCTCACTCCAACATCCAACTCCTGAAATAGTTGAGATAAACACATAGACATGTGGCTTGACAACTGTTACCACTTGCATGCAGAAAACTTTTCATGCAGGTTTTTTTCTTTCATATTTGCATAATTTAGCCATCTTGGTTATGTTAAAAACATACCCCAATAATTCCAGGCTACTCTATCAGTCATTGTGTTAAACCAACATAATGTTAGGCCCTGTATTTTCCAGACCATTAAACAATAGTAGAACCTTTTTGTTTTACAAATCTGAAAGAAATATAAAGACGATACTTATCTTATTTTGTAGAAGTTTATTATTATAGGCAGTAAAAGGGCAGGCTCAAGTGAAAATGGCAAAATATCACTTTTGCTTACAGTAAAAGCTCTAAATGTGATATAAGTCCGCATTTTGTATCACACTGGCAGGCATTATGAAAATCTACAAATGACTCACTCAAGAAAGCTTCTGAGAAATTAGGGCAAAACACTCTATCTCCAACTCATTCTGTATGCACAATTGCATTACCCAGTGGATATCCATCTATCATCAATGGAAAGCCCCGGGACATTAAAAATCCATCAAGTAAATTTGTCCACAGGAACACATTTGAATAGTAACCTAACACCTCTGTCTGTGCTGCAGTATCGCAAAAGCTACAGTCTACAGGCAGCGTGACTTTAGGAAAGGTAACAGGAGATGCAAGTGATGCTGCAGGGCTAATTTTAGCCCCTCAGTCTCATTATGATGCGGTGTTGCATTACTCTCCATTCAGTCATATGTGAGTCACCTATTTGTACAGCACATGAACAAGAAATCCAATTAGTTTATTGAGGGGGTTGCTTTTAATCAAGCTCAATACGGAGGCTATTTAGGATGATTCCTCTGAATATTTGCAGGTGTCAACCAGTGCTACTGTAGGCTGAATATTAACTGGCTGTGCTCATAAATATCTGGGATGCAGACATATCTCCAGAACATCAAAGGCATTACTGCATTCAGTGAACTGTGTGGATTATCGCTCACAGAAAAGAAGGATACATTCCCCCTTTTAGTTCTTATCACTGTTATTTATCCCAGCTACCATATCTCATTGTGCTATATGCATAATTGATGTTTTCTGCAATACATCTTTCAATTGAAATATTCAACAGTGAGGCCCCTCATTTCCAACAACCCAATTATTGTATCCATTCATGACTGTGGCCATTGATTACATCTAATAGCATACATTTATATGTTTTTAGGCAGATTAATTCGCAGGGAAAACATTGGTTTGCCCAGCCTGAATGACTGCCTCCACAATGAACTAATTGCCTGCAAAACACAATTTCACATTCATGGGCCACTATTACAGCTGAATTGTTTGATAATGTCAAGTGAGTCATTTTATTAAGCGCCACACAAATGTAATCATGCGGCAGGCCAACGTGAATTCGAGTGTATACAAGTGTTAACACCACTATGGGTTTTAGGTTATTACTGCCGCAGCAAATGTAAATTTGCCTCATTGATGGAGGGTGCTCGGCTGAATCAGAAATGTGCAAACTACAAACAAAATAGGC